TAAGATTTATAATAAACTCTTTAAGTACTTTAAATAGTTAATAAAATAACTATAATAAAAAAATATTTTTTAGAAATAATAAATATTTTATAGAAATAATAAATATTTTATATACTAGAAGCTAGTTAGATAAAGCTTAATAAGTATTATTCTTAAATTAATAATATTTAAGAGTATATCTATATAGTTAGTATAATACTAATACTAATAAATAAATTTAAGTTTTTTCTTATAAAAGATTAGGATTAGAAATAACGTAATATCTATTATAAATCCTTTAAGTAAGTTTTTATTCTATATTAAAAGTAACCTTTAACTCTTAACTAGTTTTTAGATAGATCTTATTTAGTAGCTTAGCTAAACTTAAAGCTTAATAAAATATTAGATAAAAATAAAGTATAACTAAGGGTTATTACTTATAAAATAATCTAATACCTTAATAGTAATATATTTAAATTTAGTCTTTATTAAATTATATTAACTAGTTAATAGATACTATTTATATTATATCTCTTATATTCTAAAAGAGTACTAAATATATTTTCTAGTAATCGCTATTTTTATATAGGATATATTCTCTTTCTCTATAATAAATATAAGAGTTAAATAACTTTTTAATATTATTTAGGTTATCTATTATTATTATTATTAAGAGAGAATAAAATTATAGATAATTAAAGAGTTAATAATATTTTTTATACTTTAAGATTTAATATTGAAAAATAAGAGATAAGACTTTTTAAAAAATTCTTCTTTTATAATAAAATAGAAGCTATAAAAAAAAGAGAAAGATAAAAAGCTTAATAAGATTAAGATTAACCTAATTAGTAATACTAAAAATCAAGATACTATAATTAATAATAAAAAAGGGCTAAATAAGATAAATAAAATAGATAAAATAAATAAGTCTTAGCTACTACTATCTAAGAATAATATCTAAATATAGGTCTTAGGATAAAGATATAAAAATTAAGATAATAATATCTTTAAATATTATTAGTTAGATCTTAGCGGTAAATAAAATATCTTATTTTTTATTTTTTTCTTTATATAAATCTATTAGAATTAGGGTTCTAAATATCTTTATTAAAACTAGGGTTTTAAGATAGGCCTTAAAACCTTAGTTCTAATCTATCTAAATATTATAAGATACTATCTTTTTTTTAAGCGATAGGCTTTTTAATATCTTTAAACTAACGATTAATATATTAAAAGATAAATAGGATATACTTATTATTATAGCTAATAAATAATTTATCTTAAGATTAACTTAATTTATTTATAAAGAAAGTACTTAATATTATAGGCACAAAATATATAATTTATATAGTTACGGGCCTTCGTATATATATTACGTTTATAACCCAAGTTAGGGCCCCGGACCTAATACTAGGTCGGAGTCTTCGACCCAAAATCTAACCCAGCCCGGGTTAGGTCCGGGTTGGGTCCGGGTTATGTTGGGTCGTGCGGAAGTCTAATCAGAATTCTCACTCCACAGCACTTGCAACAGAAAGTTTTCCAAGAATTCGAGTAGCATATTCGGCACGTTCCTTGCTGTGCTCCCCTATCCGTATTGGCAAGAATCTATCGTCCGGTTTCACAAGTAGGATATAGTCCGCCACGTGGAAATCCTCGCACCCAGATCATCATCCAACCGTCCAATTATAGTCTTTTAGCCTTCCAAAATAAAGCCTCTGGTTATTGTGCTGCTCGTGCTTTCCGGCTGAACAAAATATAATTTGTTTTCAATTTCATTGCGGCAATTTTGTCTGAACGTTCGTGAGAGATATAGTCGTCCTGTTCCTCCTTGTTTGTCGGTTTGTCTTCGGCGTCTGGAAAGCTGTACAGATCAATACGAGGCTGATATATTGCTTTTCCGGAGCTATTCTTCATACAGGGAATAGTGAATCCTGACATTACGGCATGTGAAGTAGTCGTAGAGTGGCTTAGCGGTGATATAGTGGTAAGTTCCCGGCCAACCTATAGGATAATGATCGATGACGATTTTTTATCAGAGTGCTTATGATTTGGAAATGAGCATTGCAGTGATTAATGACATTTTGAAGGTACAACGAAAAACTGCTTCGGGCTATGTAAGAGCAAGAACACTCACTAGACCACCGAGCGGACCATACTATCAAGAGCTTAAGTTTATTTCAGGAGACTTAGTGCCACTAAAACAGTGGCAGCAAGGCTCGCAAGATTGTGTTGCTTGTGACAGTAGCATACCTGGAGGTATTCGCACGTGCAGTCGTGAGAGACGCTCTGTCAGCCTATCAATTCCAAGGTGGCCATGACCAATGCCTTCCGAGAGCCATAACAGACGGACGCTTGGTCCGTACTGGCTCCATAAGGTGGCTATCTGAGGACTTATACAAGAGGTGCGACCTTCTGTCGTTTTGAGCCGATGCCATCAACGCTACATCTTCGCAACGACATGTGGAGCGGCTGTTTAGGAACGAAACAAAAATTGAATCTTCCATTAGGTCGCGGATGTTTCTCACAGCTGGTTCGAGGAGCTCGGGTGAAGGTGGTGTTGACGTAGTTTTGTTTTGCAAAAGGTCATCCCGTACCCTGGCAGGTAGATTGACCTCACGGGCTGCCCCAGGGATAATATACGTCGTCAAGAGAAGCTGGTAGAGCAGACGCAGGTCGATACTTGTTGAGTTGTTGCCTATCAAAATGGACTCTTTCGCTGGTTTGTTTAATGTCTTGTAGCTTTCATAATATCGCTTCGATTCGAGGATAAACTCTAGTGTCTCAAGTAGTGTCTCAAGGCAATGATTCTGGGAGAGGTAGCTTGCGAATGCGCTGAGGGTGTATGGTGGAGGTGCGATATTATTTAGCACTTCATCGAGCGTCGGTCGCCGAGGTACTCTGTATGGCGTAAATCGGGTGTCCTCTAGCATATTCGATACCTTCGTAACACCCGTTGACGAATTATCGGAGTGGGAACTGGACATAATATAAGAAGTTGTCAAAAGAAATTTGGCAGCTAGTTGAGAGATGAAGACGATTCCCAAGAAAAAGAAGAAGTCGCTCTTACGTGGCAAACTTATCTTGAACTTAGAGGTGCAGGATACTGGATTCCAATGTCTCGTAAGTGGTCTTCCTAGATGGTACCGAATACAAGGTGTCTCGTGACGTTCTATGCTTGACATGAACCAAGGTACATCGACGGATTTGCGTGACGAAAAGAAATGGTAATACGGACTAGTACAGCTGAAGCGGGGCTCTAGGAAACCAAGAGAAGAAATCAGCAGTAAAACTGATTTTGAATATCACTTTACATAAAGCACTCTAAGTTAATTAACCAATAATCAACCTCACTATCACCTATCTTAACATCCGCAGTAAATCTAAAACAGCAGCCTTTTGTCCACCCAGGCCCGAGGCTCCTATTCCCAAGTCTAGAATGATCGCAAGACTGCGACTTAAGAACCCGTCAGTGTGGCAGAAGTAAAATGGGGTCGCAAAAGTTAAATAGCGTCCTAGATCGAAGTCAAAGTGAGGAGAGACTACTGGGCTACTGCGGGACCCACTATTTCAGCAGGCTTATGAGCTAATGATATCACCTTTACTGGAACAGCGAGGCTGTCTGGCTAAGAGCCGTCCTCTGGTATACTATCTCAAGATTGGTCTAGGCCTAGAAAGATCGGACTAGGAAATAGGTAGTACTAAGGGCTAGCTGATATGAACGTGCTGCGTTCTGTGTGGCCTGTGCTCTTTATTGGGCCGTACTATGACTGATTTCCTCTCAAGAGGATTCTCTTATAAACAGAACCCTCTTGAAAGAAGTCTTCTGTTCTCGGTCTCCTAACTGACTATCGCTCTTAATATAAGCTATTTGGATCCGTACTTCAGTTAAAAATCTCTTGTGTTACCACCTATAAGATGCCCTTCGGACAAGGCTAGAGACAGGAAAATAGAGGAAAGATGTCATTTGCTAATATAGTACGTTTAGGAGCCTTTTCGATAACACAATAAGTGGACCGGCTGTCTTTATTAAATACTACAATAGAAAAGTTATCATCTTCTTGCCTAGCATCAAACCCCTTAATACCTAGAGACAGTATCTAAAATTAACATCTACTATGCATATATAGGCCCTAAGGCCTTAGGTATCTGTCACCTCGTTAGAGTAACTCAATAGATATCCCTCTAGTAAACCTAAAGCCCACCGATGTGGCCGAGTATAGACAAAATATAGAAAATAAAATCCTAGGGCTGTATTAGGGCTATATTAGCCCTGGGTGGTGGCTAGAGATTTCGGAACCAACTGATCAGTGGTGGAAAGAGATTAGAGGCGGCGAAAGCCGCTGAGAGCGGTAAGTTCCCCTTTAATAGAATTGCCTGGCCCTGTAAGATTTGCTAAGGTTATCAATTAATTCATTATATACCCCCTTTTAACGATTCTAGGCAATCCTAATGCCCTTAACGTTCATTAATATTGATTTTGTCGAAATATCCTCTACGTCCTCTTACTCCTTTGATCGATTATTCTCGCAGTTTCGTAATTTAGTAGAGTCTGGTGAAACGAAATGGCGGTGCTGTAATTTTAGTCATTCATTCCTCTGGGCATATATTCATTCCCCTTAATCAGACACTCTAACCTCTGGATTGCGCTTTTGAAAAACTTACGCTCTGCTTCAAAGTTAGTATCAAAATTTTGTCGTTAATTTCTAGTGTGAACACAAAATAATCTACTTTATCCAGCGCTACAAACTCCATACTTAGGCCCCAATATTTTCGGTTGTTTGGTTGCTTTCAACAGCAATATCGTCGAATATCCGCACGATGGGCTTTTATTACGCCGTAGTACAAAGGCACGCTAAACACATCACGTGACCACATGGTTGGAGGGTATAACGATCAATAGGTAGACAATTCCAAGCCTCACCTACTACTATGCCACCTACCACCGCTACCAAACAGGAAGGACAGGATATATAAAATCATTGGGGGAAATAGAACGTCCAGTAGGTACTTTGCGACTGACCCTATTTCGTGCCCCACGGTATACTTTTCAGAGTCATATCTGGAGACAGCAGCTTTTCGTGGATTAGAAGGGCATTGGAATAATCATTGCCATCCATTCTTCGATATCCTTCCTCCAATGTTGGTTCAATCCCGGTATGAACGTGGCGCTTGGCTACTCGCGTTCGTGCCTCTTGGAGATCAACTTCGATGAAAATTCGATAGTCGAATAAGTCTGTGATTTCTTTCCAGCCTGGTTCATCGAGAAGGAGATAGCTTCCCTCTAGAATTATTATTAGGGTATCCGGTGTGATTGTAAAGCCGTCTTCAATAGGGTCTTTCACTACATGGTCGAATGTCGGCGCCTTGAGTACCTCGTCATCAGACCAACCTCTTGATGTATAGAGAGGTGTTTTGTGTGCCCAATTATGAAGCCGACGCGCGAACTCTGCAAATCGCGGCAGATCAAATGTCCACGGTGAACCGCGACGGGCATGTGCCAATATTGGGTCGGGGAATTGGTCCAGAGCTGCCCTCGGTAGGTGGAATCCATCCAGCGAAATGAGCGCCGTTTGCGAGGATGAACTCTGGTTCAAAAGATTGGCGACCATTTGAGCAGTGGTAGTTTTACCAGACCCTGGTGGTCCTGCGATTGAGACTAAAAAGCGAGGCTTTTGATGGACCTGAGCAAGCTCGCGGATCTTTTCCGCCAATCGGTAGTATTCAGCGTCCATCTACATAGAGTCAGACATGTTGGAGCTCAAAACACTTGTTGGATACTGGCGGAGAGCTCACTTACCGCGAATCAAACGCACCAAGGTATAATTGCTGCTGCCAAAAATCTGTGGTTCGTACAAGACTGTTGATAAGAGTAGCTCTTTCAAACGCATAATACTGCCCGGTCTTGCTCAATAAGCAAAATTTGAAATGTAGAGAAATGGTGGCATGTAACGCGATTTAAGAATAATGACGAAGTGGTATATGCAGCGCCTGTTGACTAGTTAACTAATTAGCGGAAAGGCAAGGCCGCTAGGTAGGTCTACGGACTTTTATGTCCGTCTATAGAGTGAAGCTGCATAGTAATGTGGGTCATCGCGCCCACTGAACTCCGATTTAGTAGGAAGAACATAAACAAACCAGCAGAAATTTACGGAGCAAACTTTATAACTATAAGCTTAGCTGAATATTCTTAAGAAGCTGGTAGCTTTCAGTGTTCAACAACCTACCCCGTACGTACGAATTCCCGAGTTTGTCCGTTGTAAAGAGTAGGAGCCATACGATATACAGTTATTTAGAATTCAATGGAAAATCAAATCCTAGGAAATAAGATATAATGATATAAAATGTTCAAAGTTGACAAAACCGGAGCTCAGATAGTGGCCATTGAATTTTGCTTGTGGATAATCGCAAAAATTCGAAGGTCCCTATCAATATTTATCCGACGAGTTTATGGGGAGTGAAGGAAAGCAGTATATACCATTTTGAGCTTTATCTCAATTTTTTGTAAATATAGTACAGAGGCTCCACGCATCTCGTTTTGGCTATTTTCGGTCCAGTGTTGTTAGAGTGGAGGGTTACCGGACCCGTTGGCGGAAGAATCGGTCCGCCAGACGGTGGCGACGGAGATAGTTGTCCGTCAAGCGCATTCGCCAGACGAGAAAGTAGCTCTTAGCGGATAACATATCCATGCGTATAAATACTAGAGTTCGAGATTTCTAGCTGTCAAAAAAACCTATACTCTAGGTTCAAAATCTACCTCACGCGAAATGACTGTAAGTTTTATTTATTCTGATTGCAAACGCTCTCTCTGATCTTAGGGTTAGTCTCAGGGAAAAAATCGCTCCTTTGTCCTGCGTGCTGTTAAGGATGTAGTGCTTGAAGATCGGCCCATTCCAGTGCTTAAGGACCCTTGGGACGTCCGTGTACACATCGCGCAGACCGGAATCTGTGGAAGTGACGTTCACTACTGGCAGAGAGGGCGGATCGGAGGTCTGTCAGCCACACCCAAACAGTTCTGTGCGAGGGGTCTGACGGTTATATACAGATTTCATCCTGAAATCTCCTATTGTTCTTGGCCACGAAAGCTCCGGTACTGTTGTTGAAATTGGTTCGGCCGTGAAGAATGTCAAGGTAGGGGATCGAGTCGCCATAGAGCCTGGAGTGCCATGCAGACAGTATGTGATGTGAATCCTGGCATATAAGAGTTTCAACGATAGCTGACGACACCTAGCTGCGACTTCTGCCGCAGTGGCTCCTACAACCTCTGCCCTGACACCGTGTTCGCAGCAACTCCTCCACACGACGGCACGCTCTCAAAATACTACAATACCCAGGCGGACTACTGCTACCCGCTCCCAGGGAACATGGACATGGAAGAGGGAGCATTGGTAGAGCCGGTCGCTGTCGCGGCGCAGATTACCAAAGTTGGTGACGTGAGGCCCAACCAGACAGTTGTAGTCTTTGGCTGCGGACCCATTGGTCTGCTCTGCCAAGCTGTGAGCAAGGCATACTCGGCAAAGAAGGTGATCGGAGTGGATATCAGTCAGTCACGCGCAGACTTTGCCCGCAGCTTCGGCGCGGATGACGTGTTTGTGCCCCCTGCTAAGCCCGAAGGTAAAGATGAGGCCGCGTGGAACGAAGAAGTTGCAAAAATGATGAAAGATAAATTCAATTTGGGTGAAGGCCCAGATGTCGTCTTGGAGGCTACTGGAGCCCAGGCATGCATCCAGACCGGGGTGTATCTGACGAAAAAGGGTGGCACCTACGTACAAGCTGGCATGGGCCGCGAGGTGAGTTTACTCCAAATATGCCTTTCGACTAAATAAGCTAAAAATAAAAGAATGTCCTCTTCCCAATTACCACTGCTTGTATTCGTGACCTACACATCCGTGGCTCTATTCGATACACGGTTGGCTGCTATACTACTGCTGTGGACTTGATCGCTTCTGGCAAGATTGATGTCAAGCGGCTCATCACGAATCGATTTAAGTTTGAAGAGGCCGAACAGGCATTTGAGCTTGTCAGGCAGGGAAAAGAGAGCGTTGTCAAAGTGATCATCGAGGGTGTTTCAGCGTGACAGCGGTGTGACCCTTAGGAGTATAGTAGAATTAGCTAAGGCTCAATTTAGAAAAGTAGAGTTCTGAATGAGGTTTGCGAATAATTACATGAGGTATCTGACACAACGTGAAAAAGGAAAAACGTACCATCCTTGGTGTGAAATACTTGATCATTTACGTTTCAACCCAAAAAGACCTCCAATTGGAGGATTATAGTAAACTTCACTTATTAGTGTATTTCGCCAACCAAGTCATTTCCTAATAAACCCTTTCCCTTCATGTTAGTGCGTACTAGCCTAGGCTCGCCATTAGATGGGGTTTGGTTTCAAGCCATCACGAAATACCAGGGAGATTGGAAAGAGTGACAGACATTGGAGCCTGTAAGACCGGTGGGTCTATTATTCGAAACTCGTGAAACTTCATCGCACTACAATTCAGTCAGCCGCGCAAAAAATGTCATGTGTTTGTTACGGCTTAAGGAGGGAGGAATCATAGCTGAAGACTGGTCTGCGCAGGCTTCACCAATTCATTCAAACCTTCTTCAGAGGACGGATTGTCCCCTAATTTTCCATCAATCAGACAAAGTGTCTATGGGTATGTATTCTTAAGCACTGATTTTCCAAGGTTGTCTATCTACAGCAAAACAAATCCTACCCGTTTTTCCTTTCGAGCGCTCGGACACAATCTTATGTTTGCCTGATATTCCAGGTGTTAAGAATGATGGAGATTGGCGGGGATTCGGTAGGATTTTCTCCGCCCGGATTAAGACAATTTAAGCGCCGTTGGAACTCCCAACTATCACGCAACCCAAACACGCCTGATACTTCCTCTTGATCCCTAGGACAGCGATATCCCCAATACAGCAATCCCTCATGCCATCTGAGTCGCCTGAGCCCCTTGGACGGGCTTCGAGTGGCGGGGAGCATGAGGGACACGTACGCCCTAAGGCCGAACAGGCATGTAAGGAGTGCCGCCGCAGGAAGTCCAAAGTTAGTATCGAAACCTATCACATCGATCTTTCATTGACAGATTCGAAGTGCGACCGCATAATTCCGACATGTGTTCTGTGCCGCAAATTTGGGCGACAATGCAACTATGAGAAAAAGACAAAAACACCGCTCACTCGACGCTACCTTAATGAGGTCGAGAATGAGCTAGAGCGCACCAAGGCACTACTCGGGCAATTCGTGGGCCCATCGAGTAACCATCAGAATGTGGACTTTGGGACACCGCTTGAAGATTCAGGTCAAGCATCTAACACGTCAGACTTTACCGGATCTCAACTCCCAGGCAACTTAGGATCTGGGGACCGGCAAACGCGAAGGCCCTTCGATTATTCGAGCAATCTAGAAAGCCCTTCCCGACCATTAACCCAGCATAATGTGGCCGAGGATTCCCATGTTCATTCAAAACCACGATGTCGGTCGCCTTACTCACAAAGGCGATCCCAGGCTCTGTCCTGTCTGTCATTAGAAACTCACTCCTCTCCCAGCAACTTCGAATGGGATGAAAGAAACGAAATCTCAAATGGCGAAAAATTTGTTGATGGAATGGCAAGCTTGACAAGTGGCTCCCATGAGGGCGGCTATTTAGGTTGGTTCGTTATCAACTATTTCGTCAGAAAATTAACACTGATCCAGGAGTCGCATCGGGGGCTGCGTTATTGCGTGCAGCTGATACCGGCATCGACGGCACAACCGAAGTTTCAGACTTGGAACAGAATTTACCGCTAGCTAATCGGCACACTTCGAGCATCCCTTTTGCGTTAAACACCTTGGGTCAGTTGGAACCATTCGTGGACGCCTATTTCTCTGTCTTCCACCGGTCGTATCCAATTGTACATGAAGCAACCTTCAGAGCTCAGCTTATGGAGGTGATTCCCCGGCCACGTGGAAACGCCTGGCAAGTATTGCTATTCATAGTGTCTGCCATGGGCGTATGGACGACAGCAACAGCACCTATTGATATTGACATCGGGCTTTATGAAGCTGCAAAAGCGCGGCTATCTATTGATATGCTGGAAACTGGAAATTTAGTGCTGGTGCAAGCGCTTACGATAATGTCGAACTATATACAGAAACGAAATAAGCCGAATTCTGGCTACAACTACACCGGTTTAGCCCGTCGCATTGCAATGGGTATTGGCTTGCACAAAGAATTTTCCAGCTCGCAAGCGCGAGGTAATCTGTTTACCACTGAGATGAGGCGACGAATTTGGCACTGCCTCTACATCTTTGACGTCGGTGCGATTATTACTTTCTCGCGGCCTCTTGATTTTCCAAAAGATGGCATCGACGTGGCACTTCCGATAAACATTCATGATCCGGTCCGTGCCCTAGTGATTCTTACTCATCTACTCGCTGATCTTCTCTCCAGGACTTCACACAAGGAACCAAAGTCATGCCCGCCTCAGCTAATGAAACGACCATTTATACTCATATGAGAGCCCAAGCAAGCTTCCACATGGCAAGCCGTGAGATCTACTCAAAGATAATCTCTTCTCCGTTTCCCTCCCCATCAGACCTGTTAGACATGGACGACAAGCTTATTGGATGCTGGCTCCGTGATATCCCACATTTCTTTCAAGAAAGCGCTCTTCAAGAACCCAGATTCCGGTTATGCCACTCTATTTTACGATGGAGATATCGAAACTTTCGCATCCTCATGTATCGGCCGTTTCTAGTCAGCAGGCTTATGATTCGGCTAGGGCAAGGTAACACTCAGGACAGCGATGCCAGAACAGATATTGTGGTTCAACGATGCTTGGATGCTGCCCGCGAGTCTGTCGAGCTCATTTCAATATTCTGGTCACAAGAGCAACAGAATATGATGGCTTGCTGGTATGGATTATATTTCTTGTTCCAAGCTGTTCTCATCCCTGTGATCTGCCTTCGCAATGATCCAAACGGATCGCTCGCGGTTGGGTGGCGTGAGCAGATCTATCAAGCTATGAGTATCCTTGAGTCTATGGCGCGGCTCAATCCAACGGCATTGCGGTGCCTGTCGGTCATTCGTGACCGATGCGGGATATATCTCGATCCTTCAACCGATGGGTGGGGCCTTCCGACGGAAGAGTCCCCCCAGACACAACTGGCACATCTGTATCCCTTGATGTGGCCGACGCTGGAGATGGCCCAGCTTGATGGGATGAATTCAGTTTTGTAAGAGCTTTTCGGTTCTGATGCGTGCGGCCTACTAACTACACCCCAGACAAGAATCTACTATCGTGGACTTTATGAATCAAGTTCCGGGCGTGGAATGAGCCTTACTACCATCATTCGGTAGAGTGAACATGATGGATTGACAATTCCTATCTGGCACTAAATGAGGAGCTACTCATAAACTTTGTGCTTGTCTATGGTAGAGTGTAACCACCATCAACAATCAGATCAGCGCCAGTCATGTAGCTGGATGCATCCGAAGCACAGAAAACGTAGGCCTGGGAAATCCGTTAGCTCGACTGACATAAATCATTTCTTGTGGCCGTAACTTACGCCTTTCAACTCGTACGCCTGGGCCATGCGTTTGGCTGGAATCATGTCGTACCATTTGCTGCGCCATTCCTCGGGGTGAATATCTAGAATATCGGTCGCAATGAAGCCAGGGGATATACAGTTGACGCGACAGAAGTCAACCCATTCCACAGAAAGACATTTTGCAAGCTGTACCACGCCAGCTTTAGATGCGTTATACTGCGTTGAGTCAAAAGGAATGTCATCTTAAGAACATGAATGTCGAGCTAAACTTACCGCGGCCTGCCTCTGAGGAACATTAACCAAGTTCGCACTCACTGAAGCAGTGAATATAATATTTCCGTGACCTTGTTGTTTGAAAATACGCGCTGCGGCTTGAGCGGAGTAGAAAGCGCCGTCAAGATTCACCTTCATGATCTCACTCCATTGGCTAGGTGTATAGTTTTCGGCGGCAACGCAAGTTGCAATACCAGAGTTTGCGACAAAGATGTCAAGCTTGCCGAAATCTTTCGTTATGTTTTGAATCACCGTTTCAATTCGGGACTGATTGGTCACATCGGCCTGGTAAGCAGCTGCGCGCACGCTGTTTGCAGACGCAATTTCGGCCACAGTAGCTTCCGCCGACTTAGATGAGTTATAGATCACAGCAACCTTCATAAGCGTAAGACAGTGAGTATACTTCACGAGATGGTAGTATACTTACATTTGCACCAGCCTCTGCCAATCCTCGAGTGACTTCAAGCCCAATTCCACGAGCACCACCCGTGACGATGGCGACTTTGCCTGTAAGGTCAAATGACTTAGTAACGTGCTGGTTGTTAGGCTGGTGAAGAACCATTTTGGGTGCGGTTTGAATCGAAGAAATTGCCAGATTCAGGGAATGGAACGCCAAAGAAATAGTTCTCATGTGGCTGATCGGAAGACGCTGCTCCGCTTGTATCTTGCGATTCTTCAAGCGGACTAGTGGGGCCGCGCGGACAGTCTTGTCCGTTTCAGTTTACTGCCCCAGCCAAGACTTTTCGCTCAATCCAGTTCGAGTGTAGGGTATGCGGTCAAGTTTGCGACACCTAGCTTGTTCACCTAGTTTAGCCTAGTTTAGCACGAGGGCAATCGAATAGCCGCCGGTCAGGTGACACATTTCCACCTTGGGCAACTTCTGCTAAATATGCACTGTTCATCAGCATAATCAACGTTATCGGCCTTTCAAGATTCTTTAAAAAAGCATTCTACAGCTCACAATATTCTCAATGATTGAAACTATACGTAGGCAGCCAATAAGGCTTCCAGAGTAAGGGATGATGAGATAGATGTTGAATTGTTTCGAGAGTAGCGTAACTTAAGGAGTATCTTGCAGGTACAACACTAATATCTGGATCATCCCTATGTTGCCATCAATCAAGTCATGCAGCGTGCTCAGTATGTTCGCCTTTCCCAACCGCGTCGTCGCCTTTGGCGAAAACCTCGCCATTTGTAGCAGGCGACGGTCCGTCGAAAACTTCAGCGATTTCTTCGAGAGAATAACCTTTGGTCTCGGGAAATGCAAACCAAGTCACAACCAAAACCACGACATCAAAACAACAGAAAAATATGTAATAACGCCAGCCGATATTGTCAAGAGCAATTGGGTTGACAAATGCCAGAATAATCAGAGAGCTGTATACACTCAGTAATTCAACTGTCAGTCCCTTACTTCTGGTAGAGTACGGGAAGATCTCAGTTGGGTAACCCAATAGCAAAGGCGTGTAGGCAATATCGTAGTGGAAGAAGAAAATGAAAACAAAAGCAATCACAGCGTTACCGAGGGACTTGGCCTGGGTGCTGTCAAACACGGCCGAGCAGGCAGTCCAGATAACGAAGGATATAAGCATGCCGGCAGCCGACCAAAGAAATAAGGTGCGGCGACCCAATCGGTCCACAAGCATAGCGGCACTACCTGCCGCAATGAAGTTGAAAATTTGGAGCAAGCCATTGATCAGTGTTTGAGTGCTCGAATCTCTGATCCCGACCGTGTCGAGAACAAGTGTGAGATAATAAGATACGACCGCAACTCCCTGCGCTGTGGTGTTATCTCTCATGTCGAAGGAAGCATCGAAGTCTTGTTAATACTTACGTTCCACTGGGCAAAGGCGCCGATACTGACTGCGACGAAGGTGCGCTTACGGTTTCCAGGAGTCTTGATAAGCGCTGCCCATTTGGTCTCACTAGCTCGGCTCTCCATCTCGATAGTACGCCTAATCTCAGCCATCTCGAATTGAATCAAGGGGTGGGAAGTATCGCCGGCCGTATGATATTGAGCTAGCAGTTGTTCGGCTTGTTGCGGTTTTCCATTGGCAATCAACCATCTATATGGCTGTGAGCACATGAATACGAGGTCAAGAGGGGGCAAAAAACCTTGGTGATTCTGGGACGAACCACCAGAACATAATTTGGACGATAGGAAATCCAGCTTGGACGATTGACGGAACTCTCCAACTCCAGTTGGTTTGAACAAGGTGTTTTTGTGTCCCATATGAGGCCCACGACGCCAAAATAGCACCAAGATAGTACATAGTCCAGAAGGCACTTGTGTATTTCCCTCGGTGCGTTGGATATGCTAGTTCAGTGATGAGCATAGGCGAAGGCTGTACGACCAGCATTGAGCCAACACCAACGAGCACGCGAGAAAAGACGAACATTCCGTATTGAACCGAAGCTGCTTGAATGATTGAGGCAAGAATGACCACGATTGCACCTGACAGCAAGGTCAAACGTCTTCCAATCTGGTCGGATAAGACACCCACAAAGGGTAGGGAAAGCACACTTCCGATGGACTGGGCGGCATTCACTACCCCCAGAACTGAGCCGGAAGGGTTACCAAAGTAGTCTTTCCATTCGCCAATGGATTGAAGAGCGTTCATGAGAGAGCCTGTCATAATACCGGATTATTAGAAGCTTCGAGCTTAACTTGACTATTCTCAAACTCACCATCATATCCAGCTACTGACGAGGATAGCAATGGAATAAGCAGAATGAGGTTGAGCTGTAATAGGTGAGGTACACGGTACCAAGGTCGATCATATTGTGGGAGGACAGAGGCCAAAGCCTCACCAACGATGTCTTGATTTTTCATAGTTGGCGATTCCAGTGAGACTCCGATGTTTTAAGTCAGACGGAAAGAATGCATCGCGCTGGGTGCTGGAATATTTGGACTGGCTTCTAACAAATATACTTATCAGCTCGGCGGCAAACAGGGAATGCCACAAATAATGGCTGGGCTTCCCCGTGGGGTTGGCTTTGTAAATGGTGCCTAGCGTCCCGCATTCTTTCGTCGGACTGGAGCCTCCGTCGCAGCGGACGGTGGCTTCCGATCGTCCAGGAAGCAATTTTCTACCCACCAGTCGTGATTGTCCGCAAAGCTTCTTCATACAGATATTGCGTTATTTCTTTTTCCGATGCGGACATACTTATCCGTCATACGGAGATGATCCGAGTCGACATCAAAAAGGTTACCGTTCGAAAGGCTATATGAAAGAAGGCCGGTATCCGATACAGCTAAACCTTGTTCATAGTGTTATCGCTACGGTGTCAAGACATTGAGTTTCTTTTGTTCAAATCCCCGGCCACACAACTTCGAGATGGTTTCCCCAAGCCTTCGACGACCGAATCCGGCACTTTCGGACAGTGTCTTCAAAATGTTCAGCCTACAAGGAAAGGTGGTGATTATCACTGGAGGTGCAGGCGGAATCGGCTACGCTGTTGCCCGCGGTCTAGCTGAAGCTGGCGCAAACATTGCCCTTTGGTACAACAAATCCAATAAAGCTGATTCTCTGACTTGTGCGCTCGAAAAAGACTTTGGTGTCAAAGCCAGGGCGTACAGATGCGCGGTGCAGAACTTTGACGAGGTAATTTTCAAATCCGGCCACTCGAGGTTCTTTAATGCAAGGATGAAACTCATGTTCTTCAACAGGTCCAAGCAACGACCGATGCCGTCGTTCGCGATTTCGGCCGGTTGGATGTCATGATTGCCAACGCCGGTATCCCATCTAAGGCCGGTGGCCTGGATGATAAATTGGAGGACTGGCAGAAAGTTGTGGATGTAGACTTTACTGGAGCATACTATTGCGCCCGGGTCGCTGGAAAAATCTTCCAGAAGCAGGGATCAGGCAACATGATCTTCACAGCATCCATGTCCGGTCATGCGGCGAATGTCCCTCAGGAGCAGGTTCGTTAGTATCTTCTCCGAACGGTTTCCAATCTAACCTTCCGTATAGGCCTGTTATAACGCATGCAAAGCTGGCGTTATTCACCTTGCCAAGTCTCTAGCTGTGGAATGGGCCAGCTTCGCTCGCGTGAATTGCGTTAGTCCTGGTTACATTGATACCCCAATCAGTGGAGATTGTCCATTTGAGATGAAGGAGGCGTGGTATAGCCTCACCCCTCTTAAGCGTGATGCCGATCCTCGCGAACTCAAGGGTATTTATTTATACCTCGCCAGTGACGCTAGCACTTACACGACGGGAGCTGACATAGTGATCGACGGGGGGTACACATGTCGGTAAAAGTGCATTCCCAGGGCCTCAAGTGCACTAGGTGCTCTGAGAGAAACTGGGAGCAAGCGATCCATACTCTGAGAAGTAGCCAGTTTGAATGCGACTGCCAATTAACTGAATAAATATTATCTCTGAGCCGTAGACGTCATGCTACTTAAGAGAGATGTATATCCCTTCGGTCAAAATATTCTCCGTTCTCAACATTTCAATGTCAAAAGATCTCTGCAGAGGGGATGCATACCTGGCCCATTTCACCACATAAAGTCCTGGAAGTAGTCCCACTGAGCTCGCTGATCGAAAAGTGGTTAGTAGTTAGTGGAATACCGTCACTAGCGAAATCTGCTTCCTCCCTAACGATCACTCTTTTTGTCTTAGGTCCTACTACTAAGTCCTTAGTGCAGATCCTTTATTAATCACTCGGTAGTGAGTCAAGGGCTATTAAACAATTCGTAGTGTATAGTATTATATATTCTCCGCACGAGTAGATCCATTGCTAGTATACAAAGACGTACTTAAAATAGATGTAGAGATTATATTTGGACTATAACGCACGTATTGAAATAATGATTCTATAATAAAACTTGTCTTCCTCAATCTTTGCTAGGTGTTGGGCCGTAGTCAAATTTTGGGGTTAGGTAATAGTGACCCTATTAAGTTAGTATTATCTACAAGACCGAGTTTCCACGATATACCAGTTAGGAATTGAGAAATACCCAAAATCCTAAGCCATCCAAAGATAAAATATATACCTAGCCCGTTTCTCGGAGGCGAATACCTATATATATATCCGTATTATATATCTAACTATATTCGTATATCTTCTTTATTAGGTTTATCCGGCGACGATATTATTTCTAGTATATCAACTTCCTCTTTAAGGATTAAATAGAGGCTTTAGTAGCTATTAAGAGTGAATTCTCCTTTCGATATCTAGATAGTGTATAAATACGACTAAGAGTAGTTATAAGTATAGGCTTATTAATAGGAAGTAGCAAATTATTTTTTAAATACTCTAAGTACGTAAAAAGGATTTTTTAACTTTTATATAAGTAAGAGGCCACGATTTCCTTAGATAAATCATAGCCATATACTATTTACGTTCGGCGCTTAAGGGTCGGACTAGGAAAAAGGGGGTATCAAAATATACCCACTATTCTAGTTATACTACTATTCTTATCTATAGCTCACCTTCGGATCAATATTTAGGATAAGCTAAAATATCCAACGTAAGTCATGATCTTCCGAAGAAGAATTTTCTGCTTATCTTTTTGTCGAAGACCAACGTGACTTAACGTTAGCGAGGCGCCGACGAAACAGCGCTTAGGTTAAATCCAGCCATAACCAACCCTATAACTCGAATAAACTAACAGATGCTAAGGCAGCAGAATCCCAAGATCCTAGACTCCCCTTTCGAGCCCTAGCGCACTTCTTGGTTTCTATTCGCTCTACGATAACGTTATAGTGAAAAATCTAACTCCTTATGGGCCGGCGGGAGAGTACAATCGGCCAAACTGAAACATTTCTATAGGCTCAAATACTGTTCTAATAAGCCTCTCGCAGGACATTAAGTAACGCCAGCCAACGTGGCCGAGGTAGCCAAAAGTGGATAAGGAAAACCAGAGTCTTGACCAAGGAATCTTGTAAACCTATTAGTATATCTTAAGTTATTTGTCTTAGATAGGGAAACTTATAGCCGAGTAGGTCTTAGAATTACAGAGGACGCCAATTAGCGAATCGGTGGCCCCTTAGGTCCTAAGACTACGGTCTTCGGACCTTGTGTATTACTGGCCCTATATCCTCTAGCTACGTGGCAATATCTTCGATTCTAAATTAATAATCTTATTTTCCTAATCTTCAGTTCTAGGGTATATAACAATATCCTCTAGACCTCGTTCTAGTTACTGTCTTAGTCTCTAGTCATCGGCCTGAAATCATCCGTAGACCTCTTATAGCGAATATATAACTCTACTAGACTTAAACCTTCTCGTGTCTTGTAAAATACAACTAGAGATATTTATAGTCCTTAGTCCTACCTTCTAGACCCTCTAGTCCGCAGAAGAAGCCCGTCTTATTATTAACGATCCGATATTCCTATTGATTACCACTATATCGCCGACCCTACGTTATTTCCTAGAAGTATTACGATATAACCCGAGCCTTTCGCAAAAATATCTTAGGCGCACGATTTTAAACGTCTAGCGGCACCAATGTTTATACTAGTAATAGAGGAGTTACACAGCCCTCCTCACTATAGTTATAGGACCTACAGCAACCAGGGTCGCCCTCACCAAGGGTTATCCTATACTTACTAAGGATTTTCCGAGTATTTATAGACTTATGCCACTCGCCTTAATATCGGAAACTATACTTCTCCCTACTAAACCATGAATCTACCGCATCCGGAGTGAGTGCTCCCCACCTCCTGCTTAAATACAGGATAGCGGGGCTGTCTAGCTGAGAACCACTGTCCGTATTCTTTACTGCCTCTAGACTATCTTAAGACTTGTCGAGTCCTAGAATGATTAGGCTAGGAGAGAAATAATACTAAGAGTCAGCTCATATGACGTGTGGCACCACCTTCAGGAGCTGGCAATTGTCAGACAATGAACAACATATTTTCACAATGTGAGCGAGGCAAAGATAACGGTGCGGTCGAGTTTGCTCTAGACTTGTTTTTGGAGCTAAGGGAAGTTAGGCTAAGGGACTATACGCTTATGGTAAAGTCGGTTCACTAGGTTGGTCGCGTCGCCCTGGGTCGTGAGGGTAGCATCCGCTTCGACTCGGATAGCTTAGGACAGAGATTTATAGTAGCGATCAAGAAGGCGAAGTAGGGTATTTGGTTGAAGTCGCCGTTCTACCTCTCGCTGGAGGCGCTCTATCTCTTCCTGGAGACGCTCTACCTCTTCTCGCGCCTGTCTCTCCTCTTTAAGCTAACATCGTAGCTCTACGATGGTTTCGTCTATCGATTGTTGAAATCAGTATTCAGTAGGTAGTAGAATAATGTAAATTAAAGTCAACATAATTTGGGTTCAGTGTCTAACGCGGAGGCGTGGCCCTCCAAAGCGAAAGACGTCCAGTTATTTATTTACCGGCTTACTCACTCCTCTTCGCCTAGTCCTCAGCTCTCAGGCATCAAGTATTACTTGGGTCTTTGGCTAATTATACTTCTTGATAAGAGATACTGATATCATTGGTTAGCGTTACTCCTTTCTCTACCTTAGAGTAGCAAAACGCTCGGATAAGATCGGATTAGATTGGGTCGGGCCGGTTATACTAAACCAGATCATCCTCTCACATTCAGGCTGAGACCGAGAGATACAGAAAAGAGAGCCTGACGAATATTGCGATCTAGGATATAGGACAGATTAGGAAGGAATACGTATAGAGGGGGAGTCGTGGCTAGTCAATCGACCAATATAGTAGTATTTTAACTAAAGTATCGAGACTAGAGAGAGAAGAAGTATAAGAGGGCTAGACTCTATTAGATAAGGCAGTACTTTATTCTCTTAATAATCTGAGCACTATTACCCCTAGTGACGACTTGGTTACGGAGTTAACGTAATCCACTACCGGGTATAGGGCTCTACGACCCGACGCCTTTTCACCCTACGTAGGTTTTTTTGGCTTGCGCTGAAGAGGGTTGACTCTTTTCTGGGAGAATTTCTGTTGTATACTGTAATATTTGGCAATTCACGAAAGCTCTGGTCATTAATTGATCTCGACAGAAATTTCCAAAAAGGGTGCGTTGTTGATTGCCCTGGAAACAAACTCTGCTTTTCTTATATATTCCCGAATTGAAAACCGAGGGGTATAACGATTTCTCTGAACCATTATCCCATGTCATCGAGTTATCCATGCAAACAAGCCAAAAGAGTTCTACGGCAAAAGCTTCGGGATACACATCATTCCTGTCAAAATCGGCCAGCCAACGAGAGCAACGCCCACTCCACCCAGAGACAAGTTGATAATAGCACCTTCATCAGGTCTGCTAGTCAGCATCATAGATATACACTCCGTTACACGATTTCCTTCTTCCAGTTCCTCCCTTCGCATTCGGCTCGCCTAGATCGCTCTATGTATATCGGGGCCAAGTGTACGAATAATAGCTTCATCCAACGCACCCTTTAGTGTCATTTCAGGGCTGAGTAACAGTTTGGAACCCTCGTTCAGGACCATATACCGAACCTGTCCTATCGATTCCACGTGAACGTTAAACAGAGACATAGCTAAATATTCGACCTTAGTCTGATAGATAGCCAAGCTTATTAGACAGTCCACTAGCCCGTTAAATAGAAAGTCTATAGTGACTGCGGCTTTGAGGCAAGTGGACTCCCCGCTCTGAATCGCGTCCTTCCTAATGGTACTACATATATACTAGTCGAAAACGTCGGCAATCCCTGGCATTAAAAATATTTCCGATTTCTTACCAATAAACATGTCTTTTTTTTGCATCAATGGATCTGCTCGGCAGCCTCGTCCTGAATGATCAAAATAATGATATTTAGCCTATAACGGCAGATATTTCGATATAAAATGTTACTTTTTCTATTACAAGAGTAGCCCTAACGATTTACGCTATTTCTATTCATGCTCTGCATAGAATTCTATTCCATGGAAATACTAGAACTTGAATAAGTAGAAATACCGAAAAGTCTTAGTAGGTAAGGCTAGGACACCAAATTCTAGATACATGTAATAGAGTTGGGCACTCTAGCCTCTCAACCGATTACGAAATCAGATACTGTTATTTTTCCTGCGTTGCCATTGGCCATTCCAGAATCACTTGATATACCCGTTCCGACACGAGGAGACAGTCATAACCTCTGAAAGAGACCGTGGAAAACATGTTTTCTCCCCTTCCACAAACTAGCCTCGGCATCCAACATCCATTCAACTCCTGATATTCTTGTACATTGGTTCAGCCTTCGGCCCAAGCATGAACTTGTGTCCTGACGACGCGGCATGGGAACAAGCCGAGGATATCTCTGACAATTGGCTTGTTAAGTTTCTTGAACTCGACATCTTGAGACCGATCGCGCATTTCATGCTCAAGCACAATAGAGGCAATGCTACCTAATTTGCTATCCTTAAAAAAAGGCTCTTACAACAAATCTCTGCGGCTAAAATACCGAAATGAGGCCACCGTTATACGATTTTCGCAGTCTGGCGCGGTCTTCTTCCCCGAGGAAAAGGTTGTGAATGAGGTTACTGTTATGCGGTTTATCATCGGTCAGACGTCTATTCCTGTTCCATTTATTCACCTCTCGGGGACTAAAAAGCAGAATCCTCTTGAAGTAAGTCCATTTATCATCATGGATTTTATTGAGCATTATACAAAAATGTATGACGTTTTCAATATACCTGGGTGCCTAAAAGAGGAACGCGGAATTGTGGACCTAAATATCGATGAATCAAAGCTTGAGAATATATATAGACAGGCAGCGGGTATTCTGCTTCAACTTTCAACACTATCTTTGCCTTAAATAGGGTCTCTCCGCTAGATTGATGGCTTTACCTGGGAGGTGACTAACCGGCCTCTATTAATGAATGTGAACGAGCTTGTGCGACTTGGAGATTTGCCTCGGTCGAAGGTTCCAGATACAACTTTCAACACTACTCTTTTACATCGAAGCTCTTGCAAAGCTCAACATTGAGTATCAGGTACACCAACGAAATGATGCTGTGGAATGCGCAGATGACAGCCGACGAAAGTTTGTGGCACGACAACTTTTCCTTAACTTGCGCAAGATAAGCGACTTACCAATCCATCACTCGAAAATGGGCCGTTCAAGATCTGGTGTGATGATTTCCGGCCAGTAAATATCCTCTTGAATAGCGATTCAGAAATTGTCGGTGTCATCGATTGGGAATTCACCTATGCCGCTCCAGTTGAATTTTCTCATGCACCTCCTTGGTGGTTACTTATTGAGAAGCCTGAGTTCTGGCCCAAAGGACTCGAGGACTGAACACGAGTGTTCGATCATCGCCTCAAAGCGATGAAGAACTGTGAAGACACGGCAATGTCGCAGGGTCGGTTACACGAGTACCAACGACTCTCTGGTCCTATGCAACGGAGCTGGGATACCGGAGAGTTCTGAATCGTGTATGCAGTATTGCACAGTTATAACATGTAGGTCATTTGAGCCGAGGATGTGGACATCTCAGAGTAGCTTCCAAGGTGAGCAATTGTGTGAAATCTTGACTTCGAGCAGTGGATTTGAGGAAGAGAAAAAGGTAGGGAGATTGTAAAAATCTATATGGGACTCTTTCAAGACTGTGCAGGGGTCTAAGGATCCGCGCACTGGAAACCTGAAGCCGAAACACGTGATGACAGCACGGGATCCAGAAGTCACCGCTCTGGGCGGTGGTCCAATATGCCAGCAGAATAAGTTAGTCTCTAGCGGCAAATCGCATCATGCTACGCGACCCGGATTGATGATGGTCATGACATTGTTGAGGTCAGGGGGTTTGCAGCAACTGGCCAATGCCAGTGGCCTCTGTGTGCGTTGTGCCTTGAGACAACGACGGTCAGGATGCTTGCCCACCACGATTCCCACTCGCCTTCTGGCGTTAGAGGCCCGACGTCTTTTGTCGGCTCAAGCGTCAGAACCGATCTTCAGCGAGCAAGCCGACGGCCAGGTACGTGAAGAATTGAGTTTTTATTTCGCTCATAATGCGTGTTAAACTGATTCTTTTTATCAAGAACCCCCAGGCCGACCAGGACCCGAAAGGCACATCCAACTCGGTCGAAGATATCCGCCTCAAGGCCGAATTTGAGACCCATCGCGATATTCGGGGATATCTTCAAAGGTGGCAGGATGTTAATCCCAAAATTCTTGACCCCATTCGGGAACCCACGGTCAACCCTGCATCGGGCCCTCCGGCCCAATGGATCGGCACAATGCTCAACGGCCGCGAGGCGTGGGAAGCGACGTGGGATAACTCGAATCCAGCGAACCGGAATGATCTAGACCCCTCGGATGACTTTGAAGGCGCACATCTCGAGCCGGGCGACATGGTATGCCGGCTTTCTGCAGACGGGCTGTTCAACTTCGCAATCTATGTCCGGTCTATCCACCGACAATTGCAGTTTTATACCGATCGTGGCAACTGGCGCATTTGCTCTAATCGAGAACTCGATTATGTGGTCAAGGGTTTTGCTTCCCCGCATTTATTGGAGCCCATCAAACCATACTTTCCGGACGCCCTTGCGCATGCCAATATGGAGATCCAGACTGCCGCCGAGGGTGGACTACCGAGACCCCTCGGTGCTCCATTACTACAAATGATGAGCAATTTTCAGGAGCATGTCCTGGAATTCTACCGAAACCACTCTCAGGTTATGGACAACCTTCACAACCTCGTGGCCGATGACTCCGAGTATTTGTGTTTGAGCCTGGAAGATCTCACCATGAGGGTCCTTGGGATTGACAAGTCAGAACTGAATAGCGTGAATCTCTTTACTATCCACATGGCCGTTCGAAAGCATCCCTTTATCATCGAAAAGGACTCACGCTCCTTGTTCAGCCAAATGTACCTGGTGCAGCCCAAGAGGATTGCCAATACCGTCAAACAGGTCACCGATTGGGTTCACGAACACCAGGAGTTTTGTATCCGAGCAGTGATGAAAAAGGAGACTCCTGGGTTCAAAGATCACCCTATGCAGCAGTTCATTCAAAAAGCACAGCGTCTGATTCGGCTGAGCAGAAAGATTCGATCCCCGACGATCATGTCCAGTGTAGGTCCGTCGTCTCAGAGATACCTTCCGGGACAGGACGGTAAGCCGTTGGTGTATCGGGAAGTTCTCACGGAGAATTTCACCAAGAACGATCAAACAATCCTTGAGTACCTGCAGCTGTATGCCATTCCAGCCGTCATGATGGCTTCGGGGACCTTGAGATCAACAGCTTCGCACATCATGCGGGCGACGGGCATGTACAACGCTCTGGGTCTGAGTGAGTCCTCAACTCGTCTTTTCTTGCAGGAATTGGGTGTGATTGCTCCATGGGAAAATCTCGGCGTTCTTGACCAGAACCTTCTCCTTCCCGGACATGGGATGTCGGTTCTCGATGACATGAAATGGGAAGAGATCGAAGAATCTTGCGCCAGCCTCCCATCAGATCGCTTGCAAGACTCGATGCACCATCTGAGAAAAGACTGGGGAGATCTACCAGTTTATTGCGTCGACGATGCCACGGCACAGGAAATCGACGACGGCGTGTCGCTGGAGCGGGTGCCCGGCTCCGACGATACATTCTGGGTGCATATTCACGTTGCTAACCCAACGGCCTTTTTGACGCATGACGACCCGATCATGCAGTATGCCGGCTTACGGCTTGCCACTACCTATGTGCCCGAGCGTACTTACCCTATGCTCCCTGATACCCTGACTCAGGATCATTTCAGCTTGGCGGCTGGTCGGCCCACGCTCACGTTCAGTGCCAAGATGAATCTCCAGGGAGACATCCTGGACACTGAGGTCAAGAATGGGACGATTCGAAATGTCATTAGTTTCACGCATGGCACGTTGCGCACGTTTTTCAATCCAAATTCCAAGACAAATTCCGACTCCCTCGTGGTCGGGGGTACTTTCGTGGACCCCGTCCCGACCCAAGGCAAAGCCCTTCAAAAGACACTTTCTTCTGAGGACCAGGAGACGTTCAGCCTCCTTCGCCAATTGATGATCGCCTTCCGTCATAAACGACAGCAAAACGGTGCCATGGACTACCCGCCCTCGCGCCGCAACGCTTCAGTCTCAGTCCAAGTGGGCGATGCACCTCTAAAGCCCTACGAGATGCAGGTGACCGAGGGCCGGTATTACCTGGGCGACCCGATCATCCGGCTAGGCATGCAATCGTTCGACCCACACGAGGTTCGCGATCAGTCCAAGGACTATCTGGTCTCGCTACTGATGAACCTGGCCGGCCATGTGGCGGGCCAATTCTGCGCCGCCCGTAACATCCCCGTCGTCTATGACGGGACATGGTACGACCCGGAATACGGCCGTGTCACGCGGCACAACATGGCCGAGTTTGGTGGACAGCGCTTTTTTGAGATGGGCGTGCCCAAGACCCTGTCAGCTTCGACTCCGGTCCACCACCACGTGCTGGGCTTGGACGTCTACGTCAAAAGCACAAGCCCGCTGCGCCGATTCACTGATGTGATTGCGCACTACCAGATTGAAGCGGCATTGCGGTTCGAGCACGAGCATGGAAGGAAATTCGACGCAGGCGCCGACCTTCCCGGTCAGCCTGCATTGACCGTCGATAGGCCGAACGACCCAGCGCCCGTCGTGTCTGCCGTCCTCCCTTTCTCTAAAGCCGACCTTGATGCCCACATCACCTTCTCGCAACCTCTCCGTGCACGCCTCCGCGATACTTCCCTTTTCGCCTCGCAACACTGGGCCTGCATGCTCCTTTTCCGTGCATTCTACTTCGCCGAGTGCGCCCTCCCCGCCACCTTCCAGTGTCTGCTGCGCACGCCGCGCCTGGTACCCACGCGAGACGGCACGGTCTATTCCGGTGTAATCTCTGATCTCGGCGTGGCCTGCGCCATCTATATCCCAGAAGACTGCCCGGGCCGCCAGCAGCTGGATATCTTTGGGGTTGTTGAGGCCAGGATCACGGCGGTGGATATGGCCACGCTAGAAGTGCACATGGAAGCGACGCGGCTAGTGAAGCCGTTTGAGAGGACAGGCGAATGGGCTTGATTTTGCCATGGGATGCAGTTTAGGGAATAACTGTTTCCAAGGGTGTATTATACTGTACTATAGCTGTGATGATAGACGATTCGACTCTGCTCCCACGCATGCTCCTCTTAGATATGCGAAAAGCCTAGTTTTGTTCATTTTATTTTTCATATAGTCGTGTGCACTCTTATCTTCAGTCTGACAACAGTTAACCTCCACGAAAGGCATTTGGGGTCTGACGATCGCCGGAGCATCAAATGGCCCGACCCATAAAATGAACCGAGGCATCTTCACCAAGTGGGGCTCTCTTGAACTGTGGACCTCCAAGCCTTGACCAAAGGAACCGTCGATTACACGCTGTGGCTTCTCTGATCTCATATTTTCTTTCACTGGCCAGCGATCATGATGCAAGCTACGTGGACAGGATGAGAGGCGCCAACTCAACTCGGAGCTGAATTATTCAACCACGCCCCCAGTCTGGGAAGTGTCTCTAGTTCGACGTCGGCCATATTTTTCGGACCGAAGTTTGCAGAGGCGATCGGTGAGATAATTCACCCGACGTTGGACCTATAAACCCAGGCCATTGCAGGTGCCCCGGTTCCTATACACCTATACAAGTCCTGATCATCGCCTGTTGTTCTACTGTCTCTTGTCTTTGGCCCGACGCCTGCTGCACGAACATGGCATCATTCGTCGCATCCTTTGTCAACCCATGCAATTTCATTGGGGGTGTGAATTTCGACCCAGACCAAGATATCCCCGACTTGGCCGGGAAGGTCGTGCTGGTGACTGGCGGTATGTCGAGTTTGTCCTATAGATCTATCATCATTTTCACCATCTAATAACACCACAGGAAATGCCGGTCTCGGAAAAGAAACAGTCCTCCAGCTGGCCAAACACAAGCCATCGCAAATCTTCCTCGGGGCACGATCAGGTCCCAAGGCCGAGGAAGCCATCCGCTCAGTCCAGGAATCCGTCCCTGGAGTCGAGATCCACTGGCTACCACTGGATCTCACATCAACGAGCTCGATCCAAAGCGCCGCTGAGAAATTCCACGCGCACTCTTCCAGACTAGACATCCTAATCCTCAACGCCGGCGTGATGGCCCTGCCCCCGGGCGAAACAGAAATGGGCCACGAAATTCAGCTGGGCACAAACCACACGGGTCACTTCCTGCTCACCAAACTCCTCCTCCCAACCCTGCTCAAGACCGCCGAGGACCCGCACGCCGACGTCCGCGTCGTGTCGCTCTCGTCCGTGGGCCATAACATGGCCCCGTCGTTCGAGACGATCCTCAACCAGGACCGGCTCAAGAATGTCAACACTAATGCGCGCTATGGCGCCTCCAAGGCGGCGAATATCTTGTTTGCGGCTGAGCTTGCTCGTCGCTACCCCTCTCTAACATCTGTGTCGGTCCATCCGGGCATTATCCTGACCGATCTGTATGGCGCTATTAGCGAGAGCTCTCTGATCGCCGGTCTGGGTACCCAGACGCTGAGTTTCTTTGGGTCGTCGGTGCCTGTCGGGGCGCGAAACCAGTTATGGGCTGCGGCTGGTGCGAAGAAAGAGGATCTTGTGAACGGGGCGTATTATGTTCCTGTGGGCAATTTGAAAAGTCACAATTGCTATGCTACCAGCAAAGATATGGGGGCGCGCTTGTGGGATTGGACGGAGACGGAGCTGCAAAAATGTAACTTGTGATTTACGGTGATTCGTATCTAGCAGAAATTTGTGAATAGATCGACATTTCCATGACTTGGCCGTATATGAGGCAGAAATGAATGACCAGAATTTTGATATGAAGTGTTCTACGTCAGTTATAGTTCATCGCGAAATGTATAGGAGTGGAGATGTCATCAAGTGATGTGATTCCCGGTTGAGCTCCACTCTTCTTCAGGCTTCGGAGAAGATGCAATTAAACTATCCGAAAGATCCACTTGCAAAGCACTGGCTTTGGGGATGTTCGACCTCGGCTGGTTTTGCGTCGAGCTTCGTGCATACAAAATGTGGCAGATCATAAATTCCCTCTGAGCACATGTTGATTTAAGTGGAATCAAGTTTTCCAGAAACCAGAGACCATGCCCAACTCACGAAACAACTCATCGACTTCACCAGGGGTTTTCCGGCTATACCCATAGGTATGCTTGCCGTGATACCATGCCTTGATAGGGGTCAGCCCTGGTCCTTGAGCCAATCCTTGCAGAAAAACATATCAAATGTCTACTTTCTACTTACCTTGGACAATCACCGCAGCGTCTCCTTGCTAAGGATTTCTCCCGCATAGAAAGAGTGTTTCCTCGGCCACTCCAGCGCCTCTTGCCTCGTAGCAAAGAACTGGATCGTGCCACACGCAAAGTGCAAATCCATCCACCACATGGACGGTGGCACGGAAAAATGTACACAGCATCCACTGGGCTGGATCTCGCCGTGCAGGCTTCTGGCATTTGATCTCATCGTTCTCGATCACTCACTGCATCTCTGTGCCGATTGACCCCGATCGAACGGAAACAGTTGTTCGAGCTGGCGAGAGCATTGCCGCAAGACCAAATGCGCACCATGCGCAGTTAGCCCACCAGCTTCGTGGTCCTTGGAACTGTGCTGTGTTAGTGTCGATGTCACTGAAGCACTGACGGGTCGAATTGGATCTTGTTACTTACCACCACATATGGAGTCGGTCTTTATGGGGATGTGTCAGTTGTGAATGACGGAAAGAGGAGAGAGCCACTCATAGACAGCACTTACAGATGAGAGAACGGATAAGCTATCGCGATGGGCGACGGCGAGCACGCCTCATGCTTGTAGAGGACAATGTGGTGCAGATCCTCTAATCGATTCAGAATAGGAGACTTCCGTAGAGGCGAAACCGGACTCGGTGGCCAGCTCGTCAAGGGTAGACGGGCGGCATTCTCAGAGGTAGAAGGTGAGGATATCGTGGCGGGCTTTCCGGGTTGTGTCGTCCATGGTGCGGCTGATAACCTTGGTAAGAGAGAATGTGCTGTGGTAAATGAGTGAAGACTATGATCCCAGTCTCAAAACCTGTATTTAAAGCCCGTCAATGTGGATGTTGCGGATGCCATAGCTAAGATGGAATAAATAAATGGCTCTATATTGGTCTATCCAACCCATACATCTAATGTACAAACTCAGTATAGATTCAGCTGTACGATCATACTTACCCGAAAACCTCCTTGATAAGAGCTTTTTTATTCACTGCAGTTAATCAGCACCCAACAGACCTCAAATAGAATACCCAAAGCCAAGAAAGAGGAGGAAAAAAAAACTCACCTTTCCCCATCGCATTCCTCGGAATCGCTTCCAACACCTTCATCTCCTGCGGAATCTTATATGAAGCCAGTCGATCCCGCAGAGCGCGCCGCAGATCCATCGGACCCCAGGCCCGGCCGGTACGGCTACTCTTTGCGTCCGGATGCAGCACAACCATGGCGGCGACCTTCTGACCCCATTTTTCTGAGGGGAGGGCGACGACGGCTGCCTCGGTGATTTGAGGGCTGTTGTGGAGTGGTCAGTATGATTGAAGAGAAAAGGAGAGGGAATGGGCAGGGCAAAGCCAAAGTGCAAAGCATACAGAGACAGCATTTCGCGCTCCACCTCCAACGCGCTCACTTTCTCGCCGCCCGTCTTGATGATATCCACGCTCTTCCGGCCGCGAATGAAATACATCGGCCCCTTGGCCCAGGCCCCGCTCGTGCCTTTGCCGGCTCCTTCCACCGGATGCCGGGTGGCCACATCCCCCGTGCGGAACCAGCGGGAGCCGCCGTCATCGCTCGCGACAAACTCCTCACGCGTGGCCTTTTCGTTGGCCCAATACTTGTGGAACACGGTAGGCCCACGGATCTGGATCTCGCCCTCGCGGGCACGGCCGGCCGAGTCGGTGTCCTCACCCGGTGGAATTACAGCACCGGTCTCGGTATCGACTAGCCGCACCTCGACGTTCGGGAGCGGCCAGCCCACGCTGCCGTCGACGCGGTCTGCAAAGTCGAGCCCGCAGCTGATCGCCATGCCGACTTCGGTCATACCGAACCGCTCCAGCAGTACGTTGCCGTTACTGAGCTGCTGCCACGCAGTCTTGGTGGGCGTGGGCAGTGCCGCGGATCCAGAGATGTTTAGCCGGAGGTTCTCTGGAGAAATAGCTTGTTTGGCGGCGTTTTGAATCTCCGGCGAGAGATTGGGGAAGGACGACATCAGCCGGCTGTAGATTGTGGGCACGGCATTGAGGAATGTGATTTTAGGGGGAGTTGCGTCGGTATTTTTGGATGGCAGAAAAGGCGCCGCGAACCGTTTCCAGACCTGGTCCGCGTTAAACGGATACAAGAATTCAATGGATGACCCCGCCAGAATTGGAGTCACAATGGCGTTCACCACCCCATGAATATGGTGGAGTGGCAGGAGATGAAGGAGTCGATCCTGCGGCGCGTACTTCCACGCTTCCAGGAGCGAGGATGCCTGCGCGGCCAACGCAGAATCGGGGATAAGTACGCCTTTCTGTTCTATGTAAGTATCCCCTTCAGATAGCAAAGGACACCAGAACCTACCGGTCGATTTGTCGTGCCCGAGGTATATAGCATCATGCCCCCGGACGACGGCTGCTTCAAGTCTTCCAACTGTACAGCCTCGCTGCCCGTTGCGCCCTTTGTGATCTTGGGTCTGATATCGAGTAAAGGCTCACGTTCCAGTCCCGCTTGTAAAATCTCTTGTGCCTTCTGAGCATATTTCTCGGTCGAAAGCAATACCTTGGCCTGGGAATTGTCCAAAATATATTGCAGCTCCCCAGTAGGAAACGATGGGGACAGCGGAAGTGCAACAGCATCATTGGCAAAGATAGCCAGCAGCGTCACTGGGTCCAGTTAGCACACACACACACACAAATCTTGCGGGTACGGACCGGAGGGGAAGACGCTACAGTACCTACGTAATCGTAGCTGTTCTCTGCGAGAAGTGCTACTCGCTCCCCCGCGAGCTGTCCCTCGGACTTTGCGACTTTGCGTTGAAGATCCTCCTTGGCACGGACGACGTCGGCGATGAGATTGCCGTAGGTGAAGGACCGCGTGGTCACGCTATGAATAATCGCCAGACTGGCCGGGTCATAGCTCTGCAGGGCACGGAAGAGAGGGATGTTCGGGAGAGTCGAAAGAAATCGCGTCCTGGCGGGTTGGCGCACGTCGCGTAGGAAACAGCTGCGCGCCAGCGGGCGCGAGACCAGCGAGACCAGACGGCCGGACATGTTGGATATGATGATGCACTGGGTGAGTCTATCGCATCGTTGGTTGCATCTAGAGAGAGTAAAGGCTTGAGACCTCGGGCAATTGGGGCAATTGGGAGGCAACAAAAATTGATGTCATTTGCGAAGTTCCGCGGAAGCCAGAACCACTCCGCTTCATTGCTTGGCTGTCATTTTTTCCCTCCTCCTCTCCTGCTCTGATCACCTCGTATCATTCTCTTTCACTCCTTTCCAATGCTCTTCCGCGGCCTCTCAGGCCAGCTCCCCCGCCTATTCTCCGTCTCTGCCAGAATGGTCTCCGCCACGCCGATGGAGGATGTGATGCGCGACAAGGTGAGGCCCGCACACTCACTTCGAAACCGAGTTGACGAACACTCAATTGACTTGGTTGACATCTAAACAGCTCGCCCATGCATTCACACCCTCCACGCTCGTCATTCGCAACGACTCACACCTCCACGCGCACCATGCCCCGATGCAAGGGTCGACGTCGAAGGAGACGCATTTCCAGTTCGTCGCAATCCACGCTTACACCGTCTATACATCTTGATCGCTGCTGGTTCTAACCGCTGCCTCATATAGTGTCACAATAGTCTCTGATTCGTTCGAATCCAAGATGCAGGCGGCTCGGCATCGGATGGTCTATGCGCTGCTGAAGGAGGAGATGAGCCGCGAGAATGGGATCCACGCGCTGCAGCTGAAAACCAAGACCCCGGCAGAGGAGCAGCGGGAGAACGAGAGACAAGCATAAATATGAGACTGTCCTCTCGAAGCTAGAGCGATCTGTTGATTCTATACACATAAAGGATACCCCAAGATCATGGCCAACAGGACTTCCTATCGCCCCCGGAACTATGACCCGGGAGCGGAGTATCAGACATGAACAGAAGGAATCGATTATTAGACGGTATTACATAGAGTCTAGCGCCAAAACGGGGGGCACAGAAAACAACATCAAGTATATACATCCATGCGCGGCCGCGCGCAACCAAAGAGCCCCCGAGCATCAGACACAATCATCAAGGGTGGTCGCATCTGGCCAAGCACAGAACTGTACACGAACGCGCAAGACCAATTTGGAAAGAAGAAAAAAGAGAAACACAAGGAGACGAACCGGTACGATAAGACATTGCTTTTACACAAGAGTGAATAAAAGAGATATGCGAGAGGGTGGTATAGAAACGAGGGCAGGTGGTACAAAGGGGAGGAACGGGGAGGGCGGGGATCTTTGGTGCGATCGTGGCCATCGAGAAAGGTCGTACACGGGGGAAAGCGGACGTAAACAAAAGGAAGCCTCTTAGTGCGTGCTCTTGTTGGCCTCCGTGACACCGACGGCAACACCGACGACAATGGCGATGATGATGACTGTCACGAAAGTTAGCGAGTCATCTCACCGAGAAATCGTATTGTGCAAACTCACTAATGATGATCAACGCGTACCACTTCCACCGTCGAGCATTCTTGGCGCTCTGGATGGCGTCGTCAAGCTTGGTGTTGGCCTGCTCGACGTTGTGGTGGGTCTCTTCGGCGCCCTGGTTGATGTTCTCGATCATGGGTTCTTGGATGTGCACCAGTTCAGCGACCTCCTGGTACAGGTTGCTGAGTTCGATCATATCCTGCTCGATCTTGCGGATGGCGGCAGAACGCTGCAGAGTAGCCTGACGAGCATCGTTGGCTTGGCGAGTTCGAGCGCCGGGAACCTATTGATGGCAAAGAAAAAAAACATGAGCGAATCTGATTGAAGAAAGCCAGACCGGACACCGCAACATACGACAAAGCTCTGCTCCTGGCCCAACAACACATTCTGCACACCCTGCTCCAGCTCCTCCGGCGTGGCCTCCGGGTTGGCGATCTCGTATCGTCGACGAACTTGCTCCTCCAAGCGCTTGCGGAAGTCAGACTGTGCGCGCTGATACTGCTCGATCTCGCGGCGCAGGTTCCGGCTGGTGTTCTCGACCTGGCCCTGTACGCGGGGGTCTCCAGACCCGGGGGTCTCCTTTACGCGCTTGAATTGGTCGCGCAGGTAGCGGAAGGCGGTGTTGATATCATCTTCAATGTAGTCCAGACCCTGTCGCGAAGCCTGGTCCTCCTTGCCTGTGCTGGAATCCAGCAGGGCATTCTGGGCGGCCACCAGCTGGCCTTCGCGCTTTGAACGCAGCTGAGAAATCCCGTCGTTGATCTCCTTGCACTTGTTCAGAATCGCGGTCGGACCGCCGGAGGACTGGTTGATGCTCGACATCTCTGTTTGGGTGCGGGCGATTAGCGCGACTGCGCGAAATGCAACCCAAAAAAGCCCCAAATCACGTACCATAGCCACCATTTCCCTGCTCCATGGCACCGGCCTGACCGTAGCCTCCTCCATAACCGTAGCCCTGTTGGCTGCCGTAAGGGTTCTGTTGGCCGCCATAGGGGTTGTATTGGCCGTAGCCGCCTCCTTGGCTATCTCCCAAGCTCTGGTACTTGGACAACTCGGGTCAGTATTCATTCAGACAACATCTCGATGGAACACTCACACTCATGATGGTAAATGCTCAAGATTTTTTTTTGAATTTTGGTGGAACAAAAAAAAGTGACGAGCAAGGGGGGAGATGAAGGAGGGAAGGGTGAGACGGGAGAAAGTGGAGTGGCGGCAGAAGTGCTGGCGGTGTCAGGGTGAGCCAAGCAATTTGCCTCGAACGGCTTTTTTTTCTTTTCTTTTCTTTTCTTTTTTTGATGATCAGGGGGAATGCCCCTTTTATTTGGCTGGATTTCGTTGATTTCACTAGTCTCTTTTGTTCTTTCGAGTGGATGCACTTGACCAAAATTCCCTTTTTCTGCAGTGCAGCCTCCTTGCGATTGCAGTGGATCTGAATCCCGGCATTGGCCAGTCATCCAGCGTGGCTGATGCTGTTCTATTTCTGAGTCTCGGATCGGCGAAGGCTGGGATTGGCGCGCAGGGAATCCTTGGGGGTATTGAGTACCTGGCATTGGGTGGTTATTACCACAGTAGTGCAGGTACCGGGTACCTACCGCCATCCCCACGTCATGATTATTCCACGTCGACATTAGGGGTCTTGGGGAAGGCCAGCACCAAGGTTGGAACAAGCACAGAATGAGTTTAAAATTAACATTAAATCGAGCCTGTAATCTCCATGCCTTGCCGGGATCTAACGAATTACGGGTGAGCATGAAGATATAATCTGGTTGGCGTAGGATCACTTCTGAGTAATTCGGCTCTCTACTAGAAATACTATCAGTCGATGTAACTATTTATGGATAAACAGACATGCACCGGCAGTACAGATCTCACTGCAAAATCGCAGGCAGATACAAACCAGCCAATCAGAAACTGCATGTTCAGTCGATTAGTGAGATTCTAAGAATAGGTGCAATTCAGGCATTCTCGTAAATAACTGTTCGTTCTGGCTGGTAGTCCGAGTCTCCCATATACTCTTGAGCTCTTCTCTTGAGCTCTTCTACCTCAGTCCTTCGAAACACCTTCGTTCTCAACAAGTTTCCTCTGTACGAACCCATCCATCTCTAGTCTTTCATCGGGACTTAGCAATCCCAGTCGATCGTCTAAATCGCCTGCCCCAAAAAAGCGCCGGTCAATATATGATCTACTGCTGCATAGTTGACCCAGAAGTCTCCATTCTCCCAGCTTTCCTTCATGCGCCTCGAGAGTCGACCGTCCTCGGTCATCATCCCACGCTGGATCGCACTATCCTCCTGTTTCTGTAGTTCTTCCAGAAACACGGCGAGGCGTTTCTCGTAGACCTGTGTTCAGTCCTCCAATCCCTCCTCCCAGTATTCTGGGCGCTCCAATAAGAGCCATGAAGGGGGATCATACAAAAACTCAGCCGAGGCACAGTAGGAAAATTCCCGGTCGATGGCCCCGACAATACGATAGTTGTGCTCGGAATTGGTGAGCACATTCGCGGGGCCGAAGTCGTCGCAGAAGAGCTTGAATGGGCCATGCTCATGGCGGCGGAGTCGATTCTAGACGCGCCAATCTCCGGAACAAACGTCGTGCAAGATACTTTCTTCGACAGTTTTCCGCGGAGGTAATCGCGTTGTTTCGTTTTGAAGACAGATGCGTGATATATATGTCTGCTAGTGCCAGGAAATAGGAAGATGCCGTTTGGGATGTATGGTTGGGAAGTAAATCTGGGTAGGTACCCGCCCAGCTGAACGAATTCGTTCATGTTGAGGGTCAAGGGATGATGTATGACGATCCAGTCATCATCGAAATCATCGTCCTCGGTGTTTGAAATACACCCGATCTCGTTGAATGAATATTTTGCTATCTGGGGAAGTAGGTTTGCCATCTCACTGTACGCTGACCGGAGCCTGCCTTCGGCGATATCAGGGTTCAAGACTGGTCGGTCATCGTCTGAGCGACCAGGTATATTGAGCGCATCGACAAGATCCGAGTCGTTCTCGATGTACTCCATAACAATAAATGGGCCCAACCCAACAGGACTCTTCTCGGTCATCCCGTCATGGAGAGCATGAGGCACGCGGATGCCTGTGTGTCGTTCGATGAAGCGCATCACAGAGACCTCTCTTCACATTCTCCTCGGGGAAGACAGAATACCCCGGAGCTGAGAATCGGATGATGACTGAGCCGCCATCGAGGAATTTCATGCGAAGCATCACGTTGAAGGAGCCTTTGCGCGGAGGGAAAAGTTCATCACCAGGGCCTCCTCTATGTTTGATGATTGAGGCCCTGATCTCACGGAAAACATCTGTCTTGAAGAGCCTGCTCTTCCATTGCGCAAAAAGAGCGTCGCTTCTATCCCATGAAACCTCATCGAACTTCATAAGCTTCTCAATGCAGATAGGGGGTGGGGGGGGGGGGGAATTGGGTGGAAGTGCATTGTTGGAAACAGAAAATAAGTGCGAGGACTCTATCCAGGCTGCGATGCAACAGGATCATTCCCACATTACACCCGCGTCTTTCTGTTTCTTAGCGTAAGTCTACCTTAACATCCCGAGGATCTATCCATGATATATCCGATGTTTTGCTCGTCTACTATGGTTGGTTCCGGCTTTTGATCCCAGTGAATATTGATTGAATCCAGTCTTGAGTCCTACGATATTCACAGTACGGAATTGACCCGTTCACCATAATTCACAGACGGTCCACACAGGAGTATAATAAGGCGCATATTCATCTTCTTGGGCCCCGGCAGTGAGAAGGAGAAAGCCGGTAAGAATCTTCATAGTGAGCAGGGGGGTGATCAACAGGAGATGGGGATGTATGAAAGTGAATGGACTTGCGGATGTTAGTGTGAGAAGAAGGATCAGGGGAGACGGTGAGCATCTTTATATTTTGTCTTTGACAGCCTTGTCCCCATCTTCGTCGGGTTACCCCCACGGTCCAGCCGAGGAAACTTTGTATTAAGACGATTCAATGCGATGATCTGCAACTTCTACAAGACTTTCCATACCAAAAGATGACATGATCGGCCGCAAGGCTGCGTAGCCTCGCGCTAGCTTGGCGTCTGTGTGGACGCGAGTCATGTCATGGGTTGTTCATCGAATTCTGTTGTGGAGTTAGAATCTGTGGGTCCAAGATTGGAATTTTCATTCATGATTCATGCGTCTTGGTTGAATTCTCTGGGGATGAACGAATAGAAGGAGAAGGAGAAATAAGGTATACGGAGTGCATGGCTTTTCAAATGACACTACTTGGTCGGGACGTGGAAAAGTACAGAATGTAAGTACTAGTGCTAGATTGGTAATGATTGAACAAAGAGACACGAGAATTATTTCCGACGTCGAGGATCATTAAGCTGTGATCGAAGGACAGACAGGTGTGCATGAACGCAAGAAGTCCATATTATTTGCACAATGGCTTCGGTGCTTACTCTGGTACCCTTTCACGTTCAAGCTGAAGGTCAAGTCATGTATATTCATAGATATGGATATCTACACACTAGATATTACTCCCGTCATGTCTCGTCTCCCATAGCTGCTCAGCAGTAAAGACGCAAGAGGGCCCTGCTCCAGTCATGCGTGCAGTGAAATACGGCCCGGCACCAACACCAAGTATGTATCACGAAAGAAAAGAAAAGAGAGAAATAAAAAGGCAAGACAAGAGAGGAATTACTGCTTCTCGTCGCGCGGTGCTTCGGGCATCCAGTCCTCGGCATCCAAAGCGTTCATGTCGTCCTCCTGGGCATTGAGGTGGTGGAAGAGGAGCCAGAACACAATGCCAACCAGGAAAGATGCACCGGAAAGACCCACAAACATCCACAGGATAGCCGGGTCATAGGCGGCCGGGGTCAAGGCTTCGGCCAGCGCGGACCCAAAGGCGTTGGTCAGGAGGTACATGGACTGCACGAAGGACTTCATCGACGGCGGCGCCTTGGTGTAGGCGTACTCGAGACCCGACACCGAGGCAAAGATCTCCGAGATACCAATCAGCACGTATGCCGGGGTCTGGATGGCGATATGGACATTGTTTCCCTGCGCGGTGCCGTCGACCTCTGAGGCCGAGCAGCCCGGGTGCTCGTAGCACGGTCCCGCTGAATAGATCAGGTGCTGCACGATGGCGGCGTACATCATCGCCAGTGACGCGACCACAAAGCCCAGTGCAATGCGCGTGATGGGGCGCAGTGGGATCTTCATCCGGCGCAGGAGGGGGTACACCAGCGTCTCGAGGATTGGGATGAACACGATGATAGAAATCGGGTCAAAATTCTGCATCAGGTCGTTGGGGATGCCGTGGCCATCCATCTGGCCGGCCTGCGTAACGAAGTTGCTGGAGAACTGGCCGTACACCACCCAGTAGATCGGGTAGAAACAGAACACGCGGCACGCAACCAGGGCGCGCTTAAGCTCGTCGATAAAGTGGTCGTCCCATGGCACATGCGCCTGCACCCCGCGGTGCTGGGCCTGCCAGCCGGGCTTGGGCGCGTCCATGTTGCGGTTGCGGACCATGATCCACAGCGCCTTGAAGGCGTCGGTGATGATCGAGCCCTGGGGTGGGCGCACCACGTAGAAGTTGCGGCCCAAGATGAGCACCATTGTCCCGCAGGCGAACATGCAGAGACAGAGCAGAAACGCCGACCAGAAGCCAACGTCACGCTCCATGTATGGAGTAGCCAGCAGTGACAGCGAGCCAATGTTGATACAGCCGTAAAAGATCATGTAGATGCGCTGGATCGTCAGCGACGGGTCGATGATCACTCGCTCGCCTTTCTTGGTGGTCGACAGCGCCATTCTCTTGCGCTTGTACTGGTCCGCAATCAGAGGCGCCACGTTACTCTTGATACCACCGGTGCCGAGACCAATAATCAAAATAGCCACGATGAAACCACCCAGACCCGCACCATGTGCCAAAGCCGTGGGGATCGACGTACACACCAGGATCAGCAGACCGATCAGGTAGATGACACAGAAGGCCATGATCGTCTTGTACTTGCCGAGATACTGGTCGGCAACGATGGCACCAATGATGGGGGTGACTGAGGACATGCTAGTTAGAGCCAGAAAATCCATCTTGACATTTCAGGCTACACTCACCATAGCACCAGAACTGGAAGAAAGTGGTCAACCCCGTTGCGCCCTGGTGTCCCATACCCAGCGCACCCCGTCCCTGGCTGCCGTCCAGAGGACGCTGGACGTAGTTCTGGAACAACCCGGACATGCCATAGTAGGTGAACCGCTCGCTCAGCTCCACGGCAGCCACCAACCATGCGGAGATGGGAAGATTCTCTGCGACATGGCGCAGGGCCTTCTTCTCGGTATCGGTGGGCTCCTCGCCATCGGGGGTGACGGAGAGGGACTCCTTGTCCACCTCGATCGCGGCCTTGTCGTCTAGAACCACCTCCTGGGGGACGCCATTGTTGGGAGATCTGCAATCGGTCAGTATGGAAAATGTGAGGGGAAACGGAAAACCCCCCAGAGTACATACTGAGTAACCTCGGTGTCGCGATCCGCAGTCGACATCACAGATAGACTAAGTCAAGCGAATAACTTTCTTGTGCAGGAGAACGGCTGGGAGACCAAGCAAGGAAAAAGGAAAAAATGGGACAACCCAGGGAGTGTGTGACCTTATACCTAGCCCATTTTTATTACCCAACCGAGGTTGTAGTGCCGAGTGGGGGCTTTCTAGTCTTATCGCGAAAAGAACGGATTCAATCTGTCTCCACGGCCAATTCCCTGTCTCACTTGGACAGGCATTGTTTGCAGGTCAACCGTGGATGCGATCGGCAATTGTGTATCGAATGTAACCTCGAATCAGCACGAAAGCGAAAGGAAAAGAGAAAGAAACAAGCCATGACAAGCCTCGCCCAGGTCTCCACTTTCTTATCAGAGCGAATCATCGCAACAAGTCGGAGATTGCCGATGTGAAAAAGGGATCTTTCCCGGTTGAGAAGGTGTATAACTGGCCACTCACGTGAATATACACAGGGATTGGAATCGTCTTTTCTTTCTTTACTTTACTTTTCTTTTCTGTCTCTTCCTTTTTCCTCTTTATCTTTTATCATGATTATCTTATTATCTTATTATTTGGTTATTTGAGTATTTTATTTTTTTTCTCGCGACCATGGAACACCGCAAACGGGTAGAACGGCATCGGGTGCAACGTTGGCTTCCCCGCAGAACTCTCTTATCAGCCGTGTGTTTTTAGTGTGCTGTTAGTGTGTTGTTAGTGTCTGTATAGACTCGGAGTCCGATACCTTCTCACCCTTTTCTGTGGGGAAAGAGATCTGAGAGTTCCGGCAATAGCCACTACCCATAGATACCCAGGGATACCCATGGGGGTGTCTGTTCCTAAATCAGCTGTGTTTTTCGGTGCGAGTAATTCTTCTCTCGTAAAAGCAATTGCTTCAGTGGGTCCAGAAATTAAAAAAAAGTTTCTGGAGGTTGGGGGAATTATTCAGGACATAGAACGAGGCATGCGGGATGGATTTCCAATTGGCAAAAGGAAAGAAATTATCTCGAGATGGGAGGCTTACATACAAAAACCAACTTCCGCATACGGTAAAAGCAAGCCTGATTTTTTGGGCACTCCGCTCAGTCGGACTATCAATATTCCACAATGCTTGGTAATAGATTACATATCTTTCATGCCCCAGGCATCAATACTATCTTTTCCCCGAAAGCTTAAATTCCACCTTCTCTCTCGAGGACACTGCTCTCTCCTAATCTGACAATTCTCCCTATTTATGTCCATGGATAGTCTTGGGAGGACCTCAAAAGTTGGAAGAATGATGATTTTATTATATCCCCTGACACAGAGAAAAACAAATCAATACTGTCCTATCACTGTGTCTTCTCTAGCTTCATTCATTATCATGCCCGTCCCAAGACTTTCTATGCTAAATGCCCCAAAAATATAACACCACCCGCCCGTGGACAAATTACTAGCCCTTGTTTGCTTATTCAGCTTCAGGAGGTATAATAGAGAAAAGAAAATAGATTTTATAGTCTTATCAACCGGGTTACAGCTGAGGGGGCCCCAAAAATACTGAGCGGGCCCCAAAAATCGGTGGAATATTACGCCGACTTTTGGGGCCCCCTTAGCTCGCTAAGTCGACTGGGCCCCAAAATATTTTTATTACCTAATCTTATTTTATACACACAAAAAGAAAATTCTCAACTTTATATTATTATCACCTTACTATGTCATCTTCACAGTACTTCCATAGTCCGTCATTCGGACCTCGTTTTATATTTTCGCTTACCCCCCCTTATTTTCTTTGTTTGTACCGTTTCTAGGTTTTGCATATAATTTGGAACACAGATTTTTTATATGTATTCAATAAAAAATCACTGTAAATATCATAAATATAGAGATATAAGGTTATATAGAGTTGATCTGTGGATAATGAAAGCATTATTAGTAAGAATTTTAATTTTTGCATAAAATATTTTGGGGCCCAGTCGACTTAGCGAGCTAAGGGGGGCCCCAAAAGTCGGCGTAATATTCCACCGATTTTTGGGGCCCGCTCAGTATTTTTTGGGGCCCCCTCAGCTGGGTGCCCCTTATCAACTTAATTTTAATCTTGTTTAAGAGGTTTTATTATATCGGGGTCCAAAAGTCTGCCGATACCACCCCAATTTAGTAAACTCCACATTCCAACCCCTTTTTTCTTTTCTCTCTACCACAACGAATATACAATATTTTAGCACAGAAATTAGTGGAAATCGTAGGCTAAATACTGAATTACCAGAATCTACTCGCGCCGCGATTATTTTTGCTCTCGAAAATCGCATAAGTCCCACCAAAATCGCTCGCGATTTACGCTACTCGCGATCGTTTTTAGCAATACTATACTCTTAAATCTAACCCCCGAAGTGGTAGACCCCTAAAATTAAACGAGTAGACTATTTAATCTATTTATTGAATAGCTCGTCGGAACCCTCGAATAAGCTATAAAGCCCTCGGAGCTAATACCCTTTATTTACTCTCTCGAATAATGATACGACACGTTTTAAAGATATATAGGCTTCGAAAATAGAAGAGTAAAAAAAATATATTCTTAACCCTAGTTACACAAAAAAGACGTGTTTTTTATCGCGAATAGAAACGATTTTTAAATTAGGAGAATATTATCTTTTCTAACGAATATTCGGTCTAAAGAATATCGAATTGTAATATCTAATTTGTCTTCCGATTTACCTCCGAAGTATACTAAAGCGATCTTGTGAATCTCATAAGTTATAGCAAAGCTATTTTATAGATAATTTAGGCTAAAAGCTAGATTAGTGGCCGAACAAAAATAATAATTATAAATCGCGATAAAAACGTACCCTGGCAAGGTTATATTACGAACCGAACTTCTACCTCAATACTCTCGAAGAAGGTCTTTTACTAGTATACGAACTATGCTCGATGTTTTAACAAGATAATACGAGGATTTATATAGCAGAAATCTCGTAAGAGTAATTCAAAATTTATAGGATTTGGGTAATCGACTGGCCTCCGTATTCACCTGACCTTAACCCTATCGAACTAGATAGAAGGTCTAAATTAGATTAGGAATTTTTTAAAAAAAGCTATATACGAAGTATAGGAACTGCTTGATCAAAACGTCATTGATAGCTTAATTCGATCTGTGCCTCGCAGAATGGCTACTGTACGCGTAGCGAAGAGTTGGTATACTAGATATTAATCTATTTTCTTTGTATATTGAGTATGAATTTATATTAATTAATATTGGGGGAGTTATTCAAATTTTAATATAGTGGGGTAAATCGAAATTATAGACCATCGGCAGACTTTTGGCCGCGTAGTGTATATCTATGGATGGTTCATATATAGAGAACCATTTTACTACTACTATTCTTATTTCACTATCGATTTGGTTAATAGTTGCTAATTCTGTCTGTCTTTCCTTTTCCAGCGGAAAGGACCACTTTTGCCAGTTTGGCTCTGATATCTCGTGTTGTATCTAAGCGTTTTATTCAATTTGGGGTTTATCAGGTTTTTCGTTCTGTATAGCGCTTGCGTGGTAGATGCAAAGGTTGAGCGGCACTTGGAAATGACATGCAGAGAAATGCTGGACGTATGTTGTCTATATCATCCATGGCATATTGCATTGAGTGTTGCGGGAGATACATCGTATAAGATATCCTGCAGGACATTATTAGGCAATCAAAACAGAAGAATGAAAAATTTCTTATTCTCCATCGCTCGACAAATACATGGTATATCAGCCAAATACGGCACTTCCGTGATTTCACACGAAATAGCAAAAGGCCACCAACTGCACCGTCCCACCTGGAGCAGTAGCATCCACCTCGGCAAATCCACAGAAAGACTCAAACCCAGCTTTCAGCAGGACCTTCTGGCTAGCGAGGTTGCTCGCCTCGGTAATAGCAACCAGACGCTCCCGCACCACCGGCACCACATTAGCATCTCCCTTCTCGCTGACAGCCAGCATATCTCGCCGAACCCTCATCTCACGCTCAGACCTCGACAGCCGTCCCCAAAACGGTAGCCAGACACTCAAGAATTCAGTCGCGAGACCCCGGCCCCAGACCTCTTGCTGGAGCATATACCCGATCTCGGGCCAGCCATGACAGCCGGGGTAGAGGTGGCAGCCGCCTATGCCGATGAACTCGCCCGAGCCCTTGAGGCAGATGGCGCAGTTGGCTGTGCGGGTATCGTTTGGTGGTAGGAAGAGATCTAGTTTGGCGTGGGTTTCCTTGAGATCATGGTCGATTCGTCCGGCTGTTGTCCATTTCATGACTTCTGGTTGTGTTCGGAGTGTGTGCAGTGCTTCTAGATCGCTGGATGCTAGTGGCCGTATAAGGAGCCGGTCTGTTGTCAAGATAGGCCGCATTGTATTTGCCGGAAGCGGGAGGGTTGGCAGAGACGTCTTGATCGTAACGAACTCTTCTGCTTCTGGCTGGGTCATATTGGATGTGTTATTTTGTGCTGGATGCTCTTTTCCTTGCATCACTGGCTGTCCATCCATTCCATGAATTGATCGCTGTTGAGAAAAGGTGGACCGAGGTGAGGTTGGGATGTGACTCAGATGAAGAGACGGGTAGGAAAAGGTATGTTAGCGAGCCGCAGTTCTATAATCCTGTGGTCTTATCTATGAGATACTCTATTTAAGTCAGCCTTTTCTGTTGATACCTTTCTCTAATACAAAACTATTTAATCATCTCATGTATATAAAGTCCATCACGATATCTCAAATCAGCCTACGAGAAAGGCTGGCATGGACCATGTCTACTCCATCACCAACTCACCAATCCTCGCTGGCAATTCCCCAGCCGTGCACATAGAGAGTCGATCACTCCAAATCTGTATTGAACATCATTTCAAGAAAATACCATCACACCAACAAGACCCGACACCACGTCGCGCATGGCATATGCCTCGTAGAATGCGTTTGGGAGAGAGTAAGATACAAATGGTGCAAGCAATCAAGTCGTTACTGCAAGAAATTGCAGTCAGGCTAAAAAGAGACTGGGAATCTGTTTCCCCCTGAATCCTTTCTCGTTCTCCAATCTTTCCCGCAGAACCGCATATAAAACCGAGTCCGTCTCTCGTGCAGAATCATCCATTTTGTTTCCCCGATATCGAATGCGAGCTGCGATGTTTAGACAGTGTACTTGGCCTTGGCGCGCGTGCTGCCGCTGTGCGCACTATCAGTGTGTCCTGAGAATTCCACCACATCGACATCCTTGAGCCGCAGCACCTCCTTGAACCGCCGACCAATCGCCTCCAGCACATCCTTGCCCTGCGCCGGCGTGCGAGGGCTCTTGTCGCCGGGGATGCTCTTGCCCACGGTGCGCGTCCATAGACCAACTCGGTAGAAGCCCTTGCGCACGTTCACAACCACTCCCATGACCTCGCTGTCGGCGTCGCCTTCGAGGGTCTCGCCGATCGCCGACAGTTGTGCATGCAGCCACAGCTCGTCGATGGGAACCGATCGCTTGTCCTTGAATTGGTACGACCATTTGCCACCGTGCTTGTTCTGCGGGTCCTCCCACTCCGGTCGTACACCCTTCTTGAAGAGGTGGTAGTCGGCTTTGAGGCCCAGTTCGGAGGTCGGTGTGATGTTGTTCTAGATGACCGACAGTTAGTGTTGATAGGGGAATCAACGCAATCATGCACCTACATAGATGCCCCAGAATTCCTCGACGGAGCTGAACGTGACCACTTCCTTCAGCAGATCATTCCAGTTGTCGCCCTGTAGGTCCCTCGGTCAGCACTGAGGATGGCGCCGGTCAAACCAAGGGGCACAGACCTTGCCACTGGGGGGCTTCGTGAACCACAGAGTCCACTCATGCATCAGGGGGTGTTTGACATTGAAGTTCTCGGGGTTGTGGAAGACGGTGACTAGCTCATCGGACTGCGCCTGGGTGGCGACCGCAGGGGCACTGTTCTCGTTGGACACCGGGGGGTGGCCATTTTCTGCGACAGCAGCCATGACGAAGAATATGGGAAGAAGAGAGAGGAAAGTGACGTGGGTTGAAACTAAGTCGAAGATGTCGGAGTCGGAGGCGGAGGGGGAGGGAGGAGATTTTCGCGGGCAAGTGCAATTCAGATTAACGAATTGACACGAAGAACGCGCGATCAAAGTCAAGACCTGGTTCAAGTCTGCACAAGAAGTCTGCTCCAGGCAGAGTCAGAGAGGTGGAGGGGGAAGTGGGCGACAAAGAGAAAAGGACCCGCGGAAGTGAAGTTTTGACGATCGAGCCACAAAATCCTGCCTTTGCCTCTTTGGGTCGCTCCGTTGGCAGCCCTAATGACCGCCTGTGAATAGTTGAATTATTCGACTTGTTTTCTGCTCTCCAACTGATCTATTGAATTCTAGGAATCTAGTTTCTATGCAAATCTCTGAAATCGTCACAACTTGTACCAACTCAATCAACCCAAATCCCTAGCACAGCGACCGTGTAAACCTGTATAATGCGCAAATGTGAAGATCATAACCAAGGTGATCAAGACCAGCTTAGAAAAAGGGTATCTCCAAACACACATTCTCTATATCTTTCTGTCGTGCCTCTTTCCCTTCTCTTTTTCATTCCTCGCCACTGTTCATCATGCTCAGGAAACAGTTCCAGCCTGACAGGGTTAGCAACAATCTCGACAGCTATCAAGTCACTTGATCACTCACCTAAGCTGACCACATTCACTACTAGCACACGGAGCTCTGGTGGCACAAAAGAAAAGTTGGCCCCTTGCACAAACGGCCAGACTATCAGGTTGGCCTTGTAGCTGGGCTCAAAGGTACTACGCCACTTCTCCATCGGGTCACTCCCTTCCATGATGGCCATCGAGGACAGGAAGCAGGTCAGCTGCAATGGTGCAAAGACCATCTGATCAGCAGCCACACGGGCCAAAGTGGTGGTCTTGGTGCTTTTCAGGACGACGTGACGCTGAAGGATGCCGAACCAAGTGGTGGCCACCGGACCGAAGAAGGCTAGCAGGAGACAGATTAGGGGCAATCCCTGGACTTTTCCACTGTTGTCTTCCAATGGAGGAGCTTACCTCCACCATAGAGAACCATGCGCCCGGTGCGGGCAAAGTCATGCTTCTCGAGACCTCTTCTATCAACAGCCTGCTGGGCGAGGACATCGCCACTGCCAAACAGTACCTGTGGAAATGGGAATGAGCCAAGTCGATTGAAAAGACTGGAAGAGGATCTTACCCCACTGGTAATGCTGGCGGTCAGGATGGGCTTTCTCGCCAGCTTAGTTTGATACCTAGAGATGATCAGCGGTTGGGGCTTGATTTGGGAATTCTACCTAGGACTCGGGATGACTCACCAGCGCAACATGGTGTCAATTGAAGATCAGAGAAGAGAATGAAAAAAGGGGGGGGGATAATGAAGACAACCGGGGGGAGTTCCTTGTCTTTAAATTGCGGAGTCGAGTTGCGCTTGAAGGATCGCCCAGACAGGCACCGCAGCCGCTCCAGGCGGGATTGCCAAACAGGGGATCGGTCATTACGTAGTGCCCCGGAGGTACATAATAGAATACTGAGATGTTTTTTTTTTCAAGATTGACGAGGACTACTGGTCAAGTGGTCGATATATCTGAGGTGTCATTCTCATTTTTAATTTATTTTATTTTATTTGCTCTATCACTCTTTGTTGTGTCCCTCCGGGGTAAAAGCCAGGATCCGCGATATGGTGGAGCAGTCACCTGACTTGTTAGGAAGCTTAAGGGCACGTGCCACCTTCCAGATCCAGCACTTAGGGCATAGGGTATTCACACTCGCTTAGCCCACCCGCGCAAATTTCGGTGGACACCGCGAAGACCTCCCGATCCCCCCCCAACAACGACAACTTCGCCCTCGTCGCCCAATCTCACCCTAAGAGATATCCAACATGGCTGACGCTGCTCCCCGTGGACGTGGAGGTTTCGGTTCGCGCGGCGACCGTGGTGGTGACCGTGGCCGTGGCCGTGGTCGCCGTGGCCGCCGTGGTGGTGCGAAGGAGGAGAAGGAGTGGCAGCCCGTCACCAAGCTCGGCCGTCTCGTCAAGGCCGGCAAGATCACCAGCATGGAGCAGATCTACCTGCACTCCCTCCCCATCAAGGAGTTCCAGATCGTGGACTTCTTCCTGCCTAAGCTGAAGGACGAGGTCATGAAGGTACGACACACCGACTCGGAGGAATCGAGAAGGAAGGACGCCTGGAAATACTCGGATGATGGTGCAATTGCATGAATTGGAAGACAAAAGGAAGCTGACCAAATCTCCCTTGTACAGATCAAACCCGTCCAGAAGCAGACCCGTGCCGGTCAGCGCACCCGTTTCAAGGCCATCGTCATCATTGGTGACTCCGAGGGCCACATCGGTCTCGGAATCAAGACCTCCAAGGAAGTCGCGACCGCCATCCGTGCCGCCATCACCATTGCCAAGCTCGCCGTCCTGCCCGTCCGGAGAGGTTACTGGGGTACCAACCTTGGTGAGCCCCACTCGCTGCCCGTCAAGCAGAGCGGCAAGTGTGGTTCCGTTTCTGTCCGTGTATGTTGCGCACCTTTCTCTCATGCACCAATGTACGGCCTGCTAATATCGAGTTCAGCTCATCCCCGCTCCCCGTGGTACCGGCCTTGTTGCCTCGCCCGCCGTCAAGCGTCTCCTCCAGCTTGCCGGTGTCCAGGATGCCTACACCTCGTCGTCCGGCTCTACCAAAACCCTCGAGAACACCCTCAAGGCCACCTTTGTCGCTGTTGTCAACACCTACGGCTTCCTCACCCCCAACCTCTGGAAGGAAACCAAGCTCATCCGGAGCCCTCTGGAGGAGTTTGGCGACGTGCTGCGCCAGGGCAAGAAGTATTAGGTTTATGGGATAGTCACGTTCGCATGATTTTAAAAAATTCCAACGGGTTTCCAAGCCCAGTTCACCCTTTCCAATCTGGACAACTACCGTACGAGAGATCTCCAAGATCCATGTATCTATCACGAGGGGAAACAATAGCGAAGATGGTCCTCTCCAGGTATGAATTGGTCATTGAAGATTTTCTCTGCCTCATCCCAGTGGCCTCAGATTTGAATTCCGTACATTAAGCTCCGCCCCACCATAACATCCGCGCAAGTCGACGTCAGCCGTCAGGATTGCAATTCGGATGTGACTGACACGTTCAGATCATCGAAGGTAATCTTAGAAGTGTGTGAGGCACCTAGTCAGCGGGTGGTTCTCTCGGGCAACAAAATGTGTATACAAGCCGAGTCGGGGAAGGACCTCATGCACGGATCGAGATCGCCTTGCCCCGATGCGTGGATGTCGCCTGCCTCAAAATTGTTGGACTCTGTGGACTCGGGTTCCTCCGCTTCTCGTCTCATGCGGCATCCTCTCTTTCTCCTCTGATCCTTGGTCTTTAACCCCTTCCACCTCAAACCAACACATCCTACAGCCTCACCATGGAGGAGTATCCAGAACACTGGAGAGCTACCCTCATGGGATTCGACTTCTGGAAAGACGCGACAAACTACGAGGATGATCTCAACAAGAAACTTGGCGCTGGTAAGATGGATCTTTTTGTGTTGTCTCATTGTTCTTCTTGTCTCTACTCTGCGTTGCCTGCTCTATACATTCTGGCTTACTGTCTCGCTCACCACCTTACAGCCTTGAACCCCAACCTCCACACGCAGTTCCCCTTCAACCTGGCTGTCGAGCAAGGCCCACGCCTCACTGAGGAAGTGCCCAAGAAACGCCGCCGTCTCAGCCTCAGTGAAATCCGCAAACCCCAGAGCCTGCGGCGGCATGCGTCGTTGAATATTGCTTCGTCGCGCATTCGCGATTTCCGGAACCGTGCTTCCTCGCCCTCGAAAAAGCCTCCTGCGCTTCCCAGTTCTAAATTCCCTCTTCACTCGGCATTCAAGGCCTTCAGTGACGTGAAAGATACAACCGTTGAAACGGTCGAGGAGACTCCTCCCTCCCAATTCATTCCCCTGCTGGCAGCGATCCTACCATGCCATCAAAGTCACACGTCGGCTTCCATGGTGGAGAGTCATGGTCAGGTATGTCCCGTACCACGGCAGCATTGGGGTTTGATCTCTTCCGCCCGACCCAGAACGACCAGGAAGAAGGGAACATACTCGATATCATGGAACTCCAGCCACTATGCCAATTTCGTGGTCTACGCTCACTCAAGATCACTGGCATGATGCAATCGTACCAGATGTATATCTGGCAAGCAGCGTGGCTGAATGCAAATCTTGACAAGCTCGAACTGGGAATGACGCTTGAGCCGGAGCTCCTCAGCCCGAAATACACAGCCCAATGGAAACTTATCCAAGACTCGTGGAAGATGGGTGACCAGTTCTCTGCTGAACCGGTTTACTAGTAAGTGATCATTTTATGCATTGAGCTTTCAACCTTTGTTATAGTTCTCACACAGTCCATTGGGGTGTTGTAGTGGCTATCGTGGCAATGGCATCCTACACCCAGACATTGGCTGTGGCGAATACCTCGACAAGCACAGCATTGAAAAGGCCAAGATCCGCGCGCTGGCTATGGGCCGTACCCCAAAGCGCCTTGGGATTAAGACCCTGGTCCTAACCGGGTTTGTGGTAGACGCCGATCCATTCTTGCACTGGTTTGACCCCCACAAACTGCGCAGCATCCATTTCAAGGGCCACTGTATCGATGCAGGGTTCTGGCTGGCTCACAGTATGCGTCAAGTGACGGTTCGCCACCCCAAAGCTATTGATCTGGAGGCCGTACCGACTGGGATTCTTTCGCTCAATCTGTGGAAAGATCTGAAGGTGGTTGGACTGAAGGGCGGGAAGAAAGTGGAAGAGGTTACACTGGGTGAAGTGGAAAAGTGTCGTTCATGAAGATACCAGGAGTGCGAAACTGGGGAACGCTGGCTCTTGCTGGTGATGCAAATAATCCACGCATGGAATCCATGGAAGAGAGAACTCCTTGAACTAATACATTTTAGTCGAAAAGAAGCAATCCATTTTTAGCCTCGAATCGGGCTTGGTTATCTACACTTCCCAGCTACCCTCATCCCTCTTCTCGGTATCGGGCCGATTCTCTGGGTCTCTCTCTTCCTCTGAATCGCCAGACGATCGAAGCACATCCAAAATAGCACAGCCAGAGCTCTGGCCCACAGACATCTGCAAGGGCGATTTACAATTGGAGGCTGTCGCTGCCAGAGTAGACGCCTCGTCCAGGATATGGTTGATCTTCGTAATGACCTTGCCCTGGTCATTCGCCCAGTGCATTACGCGGGTGGTATACTAAAAAAAAAAAGCGTCCGATTAGTACCCATTTCCTCCTGAGGTGGAACCAGCGGAGACAGACTTACCCGGCCTTTTGGGTTGATATACACAAATGTCCATTTCGCGCCGTCGGTCATAATCCCGTAGATGATGCACGGTTGTCGGCCTGTCTCGCGGCGTGCCCAGTGGATCTTGGCTGAGAGGGTGAGAGGCATGTTAGCTCATTTCCAGAGGAATATCTCAAGAGAGCTCTGACAAGTATCGTCAAAGAATTCCTGGTAAGACTTACCCATATTCCCCACGAGATTCCAAAACGGAGGCTCATCGATGTCCCCGCCAGTCCAGCTCACCACCAGATTCGTTTCGAGTTCCTCCCAGGCGCCGTACCACAGCACGTAGTCGACCTGCCCCTCTGCCATGCAGTAGGTTTCGTCTTTCAGGTATGGCATGGTCACCTGGTTCTCGAGACTCCAATGAAGACGCTCAGCTGGGCTGGGGCTGGAGTCGGAGCGAGCACTTTCGGCTCTCTTTTTGGCTACGAGCAACAGCACCAGGAGGACTTCTAGTTGGGACTGGGCCTGGCTGAGGTTGCGGGTCTGGTTGCGTATATCCTCGCATTCGCTCAGCAGTAGCTCTATATGCGATGAAAAGTTTTGTTAGTGCCTCGATTTTCTTTTTCTTTGGAGTGCAGATATCAGAGTGAAGAAAGGTCAGTACACTCACGGAGGCTACTGGGTATCTCTTCGCGCCTCTTGGGAAATAGTGGGCTTCTTCTTTGTTGCCATCGTCCTGCTGGCAATACATTGAGAGCCTTGGCGAAGCACTCGCAGTCTGATTCTTCGAGATTGCTGCACCAGCTTATTGGGTCAAGGAGGTCGAGGTCCAGCACTGGAGTGAAGATGAGATCATCCTTTGTGCTTGTTGACCAGCGCATTAGAGTCCGCATACTCTCAAACTTGTGTTTCATCCAGTCTGTCGGTTGCATGTCCATTTTAACTACCATCTTGAAATATTGCCTGGGGTTTTGGTGTTTTGGTTTATGGGGAAAGTGTTTTGAAAGTGAGGTTTTCTTTTCTCGTTTTGAAGAGGAAGACACATCCAGGAAGAGCTGGACAATTTTCTTGCGAAATGACCAGTGCTCATCTGTACTTTCCCTGAACAGGACATCTTGGTTGTCCTTCAGGGCTGTGTTGGGGAAAGTGGGTGAGGGTTTGGCCTAAAGGATATCGGCGTGCAATCCATGGATCTCCTTGCTACGAAGTATATCGGTCTGGCTTCGTCGCCCTCAATCATATACTCCGCTTAGCCACAGAATATGCCAATTCTGTCTTCGGTCGGTATCTGGCTATTTGCTATGCTATTTATGGTTAAATATAGCGTACGCTGTGTTGAAAGATACAATAGAGTATATGATCAACAGTATCCTACACTCTGCCAGAATTGTGAGTCATCCTCTTGTGATTACAGTAGTACGGCTAGGGGCTGAATAGACATGGCAATAGGCTGGTGGGCTGTGTATACAGGGCCAAAGAGGCAGGACTATATACTCTCTCCCATCAGGAATATCAACTATTTGAACAATTCCACCTCATTGCAACTGGTCGTCCCCTCCACAGGAGGAATCCACTCTCTTCGGCCCTTGCAAAAGACTTCAACCTCAGGCGCCCAGTCACTTTTCGAAGGCCCAAGATCCATCGTGCCCGAAGTTACGGTCAGCATATCCTTGTTCAGCGAGTTGGTGATGAATAATGGCGAGCTGCAGTTGGAACAAAATGACCGAGACAGAACGTTTCCCGTCGCGTTATTGCTGTCTTTGTAGACCTTTAATATTTCTTCTCCCGAGACAATCCGAAGTTGCTGGGAATGGGTTAGCTTTGAGGCTAAAAGAAATAGAGAGTTTGTAGAATTTGGATAGGAAAAGCACGTACATTCACCTGGTAGACGGCATTCGCCATGAAGCTGGATCCTGTGACCTTGCGACAATTTTCGCAGTGACAGAGCAGTCTTATTTGGGGATCTCCAGAGAGTTCGTATCGAACCTGGTGGCAGAGACAACTACCAGAGATCATAGAGTGGTCTGGCATAGTCTAGAGTATATGAGAGATTGGAGTATGGATGGGACCACAGAAATGAAGAGGACTGGTGTGTCCACTCTCGATCAATTTATCTACCCAAATAAGTGCTGGAGAGAACTCAATAGAAGCTCTGGGAAACTTCTATATAGTTCCACGCAAGGCTCCCACCCGCTCAGAGAGATATGCAGATCTCTACCAAATCGGGTGCAATGATCAGTGCTAAATACTAAGACCAGATAAGACTCCTTTAGGACGCCTGAAAAAAAAATGATATAAGCAGGAAGAAGACACCAGTCTAGAGAAGATACATGACTATCAATATTGTCTTCAACCATATCAAAACTCGCAATATGGACCCTCGGATAGAATTGAGATTATGATAATGGAAGGTTAGGTAAGTAATACCTGTATAGCCCAGATGAAGCCACACCAGGGGAATGAACTCACGCAAATTCCTGCGGCGTCAAGGATACGCTTGCAATTTGTAGGATGTGGATGTGGATATGGAGGGAAGGAAAAGAGGCGGCGATGAGTGCAAGATATATTAGTTAAAGAGAGAAGAGAGGTCGAGTGTTTTATGTCAAGGTGATGGAGAGGAGAGGTTACACTAACCATTTCTAATACTTCACAGGTCCCTATATTGCACCGAAAACAAAGATCATTTTGATTGAGCGGGGAATGAGGAAATTAACGTCGTGTACATATAAAGAGTGATTTCATGAAGCGGAAGCCTGACTTTCCAGCTTCAAGTTCGAGTGGCCAAGGGCAGATACTTCGTCCAGCTCATCAGGTCCAGATACATCATTACATCCTAAAATTCCTTCTCGATATGGTGTGGTCCGAGCACATAACGGTTTCAATTTTACGCGCCCTCTTCGTCCGTGATGCGGATGGCGCCCTCGTTACCGACGCCCTGGGACCAGAAGCCATCGATGTAGAGGGTGCTGTACGGCGAGTGAGCAATCGCATTAAATGACACCTCTAGAAAATGAGATACTTACATCCCCGGCGAGCTATCATGGGCCAGCAGGAGCCAGTACCCCACGAGGCCCTGCATAAAGATATCCATAACGGCAAAGAGAACCGTCTCGACGTCAATGCTGAGCTTGAGCGAAAGGGCTCCGGCCGCAAGGGAACTAGCATATATATGATCAGAAATTTTATTTCTTTTTCTTTGTTCATGCAATCCACTCCGAAAGCCAACTTACATTGGGAACAATGCCAGGACCACCAGCGCCGACCCCGACAGAGACGAGTAGAACCGACGCGTCTGGGCATCTTTGTTGCCCGCAGCACGCTGCGCATGGAAGCCCGCGTGGTGGATGATAGTCAGGTACGAGATACAGCTGATAACCAGCCAGACCCAGCGCTGCGGAGTCTGGCCCGCGAACGAGCCGAGGACCCCCGCCGCCAGCATGACCAGATCGGCCGCGATGGCGATGACCAGGTTGGCGCCCGGCAGCCCGGACAGCAGCGACAAGTTAACTAGGAGCAGTGGCGTGGTCAGCGCCCAGTTGACGTAGCGCAGCCACAGCACCTGGCGGAAGTATTCCTGCGCGGTGTCCGGGACATGGCGGTGCGGCTGGTCGATGTGAGCGTGTTTCCAGGCAATGCCCTGGCCCGTGGCGAGGGCGAGGTACACCACGAACGAGATCGTCGTGATCAGCGATGTCAGCGTGTGGAAGACCCGCTTAGGCTGTTGGGGGGTATGAGAGTTAGCGTTATTTTACCTCCAGGACGATCGGGTATGTATGCAATTTACCAGTGGCGATCGCGACCCTAGAATGTAGAAGACCAGCGACGAAAGTCCCATCAGGACCGTGACCACCCTAGTTCGAATCAGTCTCATTCTCTCTTGGTTGTTTGTTCTGATCCCACCAGAGAGTTCGCTTGCCCACGCCATGGAGCTCCTGGAAGACCGGAGCCCCCGGGATCACCGTGGGGACGGGTCCTACCGAGGAGGTCGTGGGCCAAGACGTGGGAGTCGGCAAGTCGATAAACCGAGGGTCAATCATGGCGTAGATGCAACAATAAGTGAAGTTGTTGGGAAAGTGAGGAAGAAGGAGAGGTAGAAGGAGAGGAAGAAGGAGAGATTTGGGATGACGATTGCATATATCAGTGGCGGCTGGACGTTGTCGTCATCGAACAAACACGGGGAAAAAAAACAGGGAATCTTGAATGCCATCCGCTGGATCGATATGATTACACATAGATTACACAAAAAATACAATAGAAATCACCCAGGGCCCAATAGCAGTCACGGTGATCGTCCAGGTTGCAGAAGATCGGCAGGGGAAGAGTAGCACAGGGTAGAGAATCTCAAGTATAGTACAATATAGTCGGGTATAGTTACAGGTGCTTCAAGCAGTTGCCTCCAGCTCGCTCACCACCGTGTCACACCGCTCGCAGATCGCATTCTCCGCCGGCTCCGAGACCGCATACCGCCAGCACCGCGGACATTTTCCATCGGCGGGCGCGTACACGTACACCTTGCCTTGACGCCCATCCAGGAGCTCAATCGCCTCCTCGTACTGCCATTCAGCCTGACTGATATCTGTGGGGACAGGTTCACCTAGTTGGCCCAGGTGGATGGAGGATACAACGAACAGGTCGGGCAGCTCGGAAAGGTACTGGTGGAAAACGGTGTCGCTAGGGAGGGCCAGATAAACAAAAGATTGCAGGGATGACCCAAGCTGTTTCTTGCCGCGCGCCTGTTCCTGCAAATTCTTGATGACTGAATGGACAGCCATGATGTCTTGGTAGCTGGTCTCTAACGTCGGGTCCTGCCACTCCGACGCGGGTGTAGAGACGACGCGTCGCAAGGGGTGCTCCCACTGTGCACGGATCACATCCGAGGTATGTTCCCACGTCTCCTCCACAAGCAGTGGGGTGATGGGGGCAAGCACCTCTTGAAGATGGCGGTAGATGTGGAACAACGTTGTCTGTGCTGCCCGTCGGCTTGTGCTATCCTCGCCCAGTGTGTAGAGGCGATCCTTAATAGCTTCCATATAAAAGGCCGAAAACTCGAGATTAGCCCACCGGTTCATAGTGTTCACAGCCCGATAGAATTCAAAGTTGCTGTATGCCTTCTGCGACGTCAAAACCATATCCGAGAGTTGCTTGAGAGCAATGCGATCCACTTGCTGCAACTGGTCGTGTGGCACCAAGCGATCCGGGGGAAATCGGCTAGCGCTCCCAGCAGCAGCTTGAACGTGACTCGGAATTTGTGGAGGCTGGTGTTGACCGTTTGGAGTACCTGCTTCCCAATCACCACGTCCCGGGTGTAGTCGCTGCTCGCCGCCCACATGCGCAGGGCATCGGGACCGAGAGCATCGTACAGCAGACCTTGGTTTTCGGCTTGCTTCTTCCCCTTGCCTTTCCGGGGTTTGAGGGGAGGCAGAAGTGTTCCGTCCATGATAGACTGAGGATGGACAACATTGCCAACCGACTTGCTCATTTTGCGGCCATCCTCGTCGAGGGTAAATCCATGCGTGATGAGATGCTTGAAGGGGGCACGAGGCGTCGCAGTAGAGCTCGAGGCCAGTTGATGCGCAATGTAGGTGAGGAGCCCCGATTGGAACCAGCCGCGATGTTGGTCGGTGCCCTCGAGGTACACATCTGCCGGATGGCTTCGCTCGTGCGCGGGAACATCGATCTCCGTCCAACTGGTTCCGCTATCAAACCAAACGTCCATGGTATCAGTCCCGCGTCGGTACCCAGTCCCGGGCTCATCCCGCAGCGACGGCGGAACCCATGCAGGGTCGTCCACACTATCGGTCCACCAGGCATCGATCCCGCGGTCCTCAATAGTCGCCATGATGTGTGAAACACTATCCTTTGTAAGAACCGCGTCACCAGTGGTCCGGTGGTAGAGGGCAGGTATCGGGACTCCCCATGCGCGTTGCCGGGAGATGCACCATTCACTTCTATTCTTCACGAAGTTTTCCAGGCGTTGCTTGCCGGTTTCAGGAACGAATCGAACATCCTCCAATGCTCGGAGCGCATTGTTGCGGATGTCGGCAACATCGGCAAACCACTGCTCCGTTGCCCGGATAATTATTGGAAGTTTCGATCGCCAGTCGTAGGGGTACTTGTGTTCGTATCGATGCTGAGCGAGTAATTGGCCACGGGATTGCGCGTATTCCAAAACAGCATCGTTGCCTTCGCCCAGTACCGGCTTCCCAGTAAGTCTCGTGGGGTCGTGCGGCATTGCCTTCTCTGTGAACCTGCCCTCGTCGTTGACGGGGGCAAACACGGGAATCCCACGAGCACGGCAAGCCTCGTAGTCATCCATGCCATGACCAGGTGCACAATGGACCAGGCCAGATCCGGAGTCAGCCGTAACAAATTCTGCGGCGATGATAGGCTGTGCTGGGGCTTCCGGTCCCTTGAATAAAGGCCGGTATGTGATTTTCTCTGCCAGCTCAGATCCCAGAATGGATGGGATGATGATAGACAACTCTTCTTTCAACATGCTCTGCAGGTACTCGAAGCGAGACTGAGCCACAAGAAGATGACCATGTTTCTCTGACTGGACAATGGTGTACTCCAAAGACTCGTTAACGGCGATCGCAGCATTGGCAGGCAGCGTCCATGGGGTTGTGGTCCAGATCACGACGCTCACATCCTTCACCTTAAGAAGAGGGTCTTTGGTCAAATGCGCTGGAATATCCACGAGAGGAAACATGACCAAAGCCGCCGTGGAGATATGATCGTCCTTGTATTCCAGTTCGGCCTCAGCAAGTGCCGTGCTGGTCGACGGCGACCAGTAGACTGGCTTAAACTTGCGGTAGATGAGACCCCGATCAACCATTTCCCGAAAAATTCCCAGTTGCCTCATCTCAAAATCCTTGTCCATTGTCTTCCAGTGATTTTCCCAATCTGCCATGACTGCGAAGCCCCGAAATCCCTTCATCTGCTCCGTCACCGTCTGCGCCGCCAGCTGCCGTGCAGACTTGCGGATCACAGCTGCACTGACTGGACCATCGTTGACACCTATCTCTCGGAGATTTTGAAGTGCCTTGAGCTCGATGGGCAAGCCATGGCAATCCCATCCGGGAACATAACGTACTCGCCTGCCCTGTCCCAATTGGATTCGGCTGATGATATCCTTCAAGATCTTATTGAGCGCGTGCCCGATGTGCAATTCTCCGTTCGCGTATGGTGGACCATCATGCAAGACAAATGGTTGCTGCGCGGGCCTTTCGCGGCGTTGCCAGGCGTAGAGATCGTCGGTGCATCGTTGCAGGTATTTCGTCTGGTCGGCCGGCGACACCCGCGGGGGAAAGGTAGATTTGGGGAGCTTGAGTGTCGACGACCAGGACCGGGGGAGCGACCTCGCCAATTCTGGCATCCTCCCGCCGATTCCTTGAGTTGCTGGGGGTTGAAGATCGGGGATGGGAAAGTTGCGCGGTGCTAGTTAGGTTAATTAACGGGTATGGTGGCCTGCAAGTCCAGGCAGCCAATTTGAATCCAGCTCACCACGAGCCACAAAACACTACATCCAAGCCCTAAGTTCTAGACTTGTAAATGGATGACTAGGGTTTATTTAAGAAGGTAATAACTGTTTGAAATTCTTGCCGAAATATCATGGGTAAGGTATATATATATATATATATTATTTTTTTTTTCTCTGAACTAAATCGTAATATATATAATTGACAAATTACACAGAAGTCATGCGATCAACTTGAAATAATACACGGTATAATGCAAATGGCTGCATGTATTCTATACCATAGATTAGGCAGAGCCAGGATTTATACTTTAAAATACAAGAATATGTGACTGCAGGGAAACAATTCCCTAATTGCAGTTTCTTAGCGTTGACCTTGGTCCAGCTAATCAGGATCAATGTAGAGCGAAAAGGGCGGAATAGGAATTTATAACTAGAAAAAAAAGGAAAAGATAGAGAGAGAAGTATTAGTTAAATAGCTATCTGGATAATATTTCGTTCATAAGGCTTTACATCTAATTTATAGTTTCTGCTGCCTGAGCGAAGCGAGGATCAGCGGCTTGTATAATTCCATAATACGTAGCCTTGGAGATGGTTTCTTGTTGAATTTTTGGTGGGTCCTGTTTATAAGATCTGTTGTTTTCGTGGGGCTAAAACAAAAAAAAAAAAAAAAAAAAGGCTTGGAGCCTCGTACACTCGCGTCGGGAGAGACAGCTTCGGCTTTGGCTTGGTGATAGCTCATTAGACAGTGCAGGCCAGGTGGGGTTTTTTAGGCCTATATATGTAGGAGTAACTACTAATACCTATAGAATATTTTATTTTATTTTATTATTTATTTATTTTGAATGAAAATCCATGAGCACGCCCCACTTCCTATTTAGAGCTCGCCAGGCGAATTCATTCGGCTCGTTTCTAGGACACCAAGTGGATATTGTACAGCTGATTGCAACGGTAGACAAAATCGTCCCAACTCAACGATGGGGTCCAAGGCCCAGTATAAACGTATAAATTCCGAGCCTTGCTCTTCTCTCAAAGTAGCCATCCGGACTCTATTTTCCTTCTTGGACCACCACAATGCATTTCCAATCTCCGCTTCTTACAGGCCTCTTCGCCGGTCTTGCCCTTGGCTCAACCATCACAGTCGGCACGAATTCGGATGGCAAGTGTGTCCTCAGAGCCGACGGCGCCCCCGACTGCACTGGCGATTCAGGACCCGTCGGCGGTGCTCCCGAAGACAATGACTGCTCCAGTGAGTCTATCAGATAATTTGCCCCAAGACTTCCCAAATTGACTAGCCACAGACTTTGTCGGCTCCAACGGTAGCCCGAGGACGCAGGCGGGCGCATCGATTTGCGGTGACAAGAGGTGCTTGCTCTCAAAAAGGATGGCGGGGCCCAGGTCACTTATGAGAATGGTGATGGCAAGCTCTACTGCACCTTGGCCGATTTGAAGGTGGGCACCTCGTGTACTCTGGGCACCACAGCCCCCGAGGAGCCATCAGGGCAGGATGGAGGCCCAGTCCGAGCTCGTCAGCTGCGGGCATAAATAGTTTCATTCTTTCTCGACATGGGGCCGCTCTGACTCTGTATATTGATTCTCATGCTTGCCAGTCTAAGCAACGATGAGTGTTCGTGCCTGATGTCAGGTTAACATGTGGGTGTATAGAATTCATACTTTCTATGGCCAAGTCAAATCAATAAATAAAGGTAAATTGGTATCTGGTTTCATGGTCATCATTCAAATCAAGTTCACGCAACGTCAATAACTCCGAACCCATTACAATCAATAAACCGTAAGGCAGCTAACGGCGCCGTTCTTCAGGACTTCGAAGAGAAGCCCCGGGAACCCAAAGAGCTCTGTGTTCCTGAGACTGCCGTCCTGGCCGTCTGATCCAGCTCGAGGCCCCTTCGCAGTGCCTTCTTCCCAACCACCTAGAAATTCTACGCTGCTCTCGGGACTCTCTCCCCAACCCCGGTTGAGCACCATGGGGCGTTGCAAAGCATGCTCCTCGGCAGAACTGGCATAAGAGCCTTTCCAAAGAGCGCGCAATCGCTCCGAGATCTCGTCATAGGACGCTTCAGAGGACAGACAACCGCCTGGGCCATCGAGCTGAATTGTCCAGCGACTTCGCCGATGCCGGTTGAACGGGTATGACCCGGGCACGTTGCCGTGTAAAATGATCTTAGTTACTGTCAACTGTGAGGATGGAGGTGGGGGTGGTGGATCCTGTTCGTCAGAGCCCGGAAATGCAGGCCCCGGCGTGGTTGGGTGAGAGATAAACGCGTCGAAGCCATGGTGGAAGTAGTTAAAAAAGCATTCTGTGGGCAGCGAGCTTGGATCTCCAATGTTGCTCGAAGAGATTTCCTCATCCGAATCATCAGTCACGCTATTATTGGAAGAGTGGTCGGTATCAGGAATGTCAATTCCTCTACCCGGAGATGGACTCAGGTGCAAATGATCCCCACTGCCGGTGGCGCGGTGAATTGAGATTCGCCGATCATTCTTACGATGAATGGCGTCCGGAGGCCCAAAATCAGCGATCAGATCCTGAGGACTCGTGTCCCCCAATGTAATGGACAACGGGGGACTCGAGCGTCGGACAACTTCTAGCTTCCCCGCACCGAGAACCCGGAAATTTTCGATCTCGTCAGCGAGTGACTCGCGAGACTTGCCAATCAAGGCGGACGAGCGCGGATATTGAGGCGACTGGGTGAACAGCCTGGCTCGAACTTCGGGCCAGGAGCTCCCTTGAAAAATGGCCATAGAAGTAGCTGGTAAAGCTGCTGAAGAGGAGAGCAGCGCTACAAAGTCACACTGGTCGGACCAGGCCGAGTGTTGAAGAGGGAACGAGAACGCGACACCAGGGTACGATAGCACATATGTGCCATATGGCGATTGATCGGCCGGCGGCACATATTCACCGGGATATGACGGGCCAAATAGGCGGTTGTACACATGGCGGAAGCTGGGACCTTGCTTCGAAATCGGTTGGTCGGAGGTCTTTGCCCCCTTGAGCACATCCTGGTTCTTGTAGACCAGATCCACCCGGGAGAAGTCCAGCACTTCGATTAGACGCAGCCGCTGGTCAGGTCCATCAAATCTGAGGCGCAGTCCATTTGACGGCAGCTGCAAAACAACCGGCTTGCGAACGGGATCCGCCGAGGAGTATGCAAGGTCGATCGCGGGGTAGGTCTGGGGATGAGACTTGACTCGAGTGAGGACGTTGTGCAGCGAAGCGCCCAGGGCTATTCTACCATTAGCTAGGACCCATTAAGCAGCAGAGATTCAACGGAGAGACATGCTGATGAACCCTAGTCCCTTCCCAGGGAAGATCTGCACTTGCGCCGCAGCTCTAGTAGTCATCTTGAGTGGTCCCTTGTGGTGGGCCGCAGACAAGGGGCGGACAAGTGTCCATGCGATATCCGAGAAAGCACTATAGCGGGAAACGTGAGAAGGGAGAAAAGAAAGAGAAAGAGATATCGAGCGAGGGACAGACGAGGCACGGGGAACCAAGTGATGAAAGGCGCATGCGACCCAGTCATGTGAGCGGGGACAATCACGTGTGCTTTGTTTATGTTTTCCCGTTTGAGACGAGTCGGGGTTCCACTCTGCAAAGTTTCGAGTAGGAGCACTTCTACTTACATTCGTGTGGTTTATCTCCTCCGAGTACTTCCTCTCTATCTTTTATAGCTCACACGAGTCCAATTTCATCATGGCTGGCCCACCACGGCCTGCCTCCGCCCTCCCCACGCGGAGGACGGGATTGCGCCAACCAACTCGACGAGCGGGCTCCGCAGTGCCTGAACGACAGGCATCGCCGGCTGTTTCAACAAAACCTTCTGCAGCGAATGCAGCGCGAGCGCCGAAACCAAGCCTCGAACAATCAAGTTCCACGGTCAAGAGAAAGGAGAGAGACTATGAGCGGGAAATCAACGAAGACACCAGCATCCATGTGGTGGTGCGATGTCGCGGCCGTAACGAGCGCGAGATCAAGGAGAATAGCGGTGTGGTACTGTCGGCAGAGGGTGTCAAGGGAAAATCCCTGGATCTTTCGATGGGACCGAATGCGGTTGCAAATAAGACTTACGCCTTTGACAAGGTGTTCTCCCCCGCTGCCGACCAGACAATTGTGTACGAGGATGTAGTCCTCCCGATTGTGAACGAGGTGTGTTGAGCTGCGATACTAGGATGTTATGCGCTGAGCTAATATTCTCGCAGATGCTGGCGGGTTACAATTGCACGATTTTTGCCTACGGACAGACGGGGACGGGTAAGACATATACCATGTCGGGAGACATGACCGATACGCTGGGGATTTTGTCCGACGATGCTGGAATTATCCCACGCACGCTTTACTCGCTGTTTCACAAACTCCAAGAGACCGAGAGTATGGTCAAGTGCTCCTTCATCGAGCTTTACAACGAGGAACTGCGAGACTTGCTCTCAGCCGATGACAACACGAAGCTCAAGATTTTCGAAAACGAGAAGAAGGGACACAGCGGAAGCACCATGGTGCAAGGGATGGAGGAGACCTATATTAATTCAGCCTCGTCTGGGATTAAGCTGCTGCAATCGGGTAGCCATAAACGCCAGGTGGCTGCGACAAAGTGCAACGACTTGAGTTCCCGTAGTCACACCGTTTTCACTATCACCGTCTCCACCAACCACATTTCTGACTCCGGTGAGGAGCATGTCATTTCTGGGAAATTGAATTTGGTCGACCTGGCCGGCAGTGAAAATATTGGACGAAGCGGCGCAGAAAACAAGCGGGCGGCGGAAGCCGGCTTAATCAACAAGAGCTTACTCACGCTGGGGAGAGTAATCAACGCGCTCGTTGACAAGAGCTCGCATATCCCCTATCGCGAGTCTAAGCTCACCCGACTGTTGCAAGACTCTCTGGGGGGACGAACCAAAACATGCATCATCGCCACCGTGTCACCCACCCGCAGCAACCTGGAGGAGACCATTTCGACTCTTGATTACGCGTTCCGGGCCAAGAACATTCGAAACAAGCCCCAGCTCAACTCTATCATTTCCAAAAACAAGTTGCTCCGAGAAATAGGCGTGGAGTTTGAGAAGCTCAAGAGCGAGCTTATTGCCACCCGACATCGCAACGGTGTGTACATGCCGCCTGATGCGTACGAGGAGATGAAAGTGGAGAGCGAATCCAGACGAATTGTCAATGACGAACAGCGAGCCAAGATCGAATCAATGGAATCGAGTCTTCGGCATAAAGTCCAAGAGTTGTTTGCTCTGACTGGCAGCTTTAACTCCTTGAAGCAGGACAGCGAGGAAACTCAGGGCAAGCTCCGCAATACCCGCACTGTTCTCGAACAGACGGAAGTTTCTCTGAGGAGCACTTCGGAGAAATTGGACGAAGAAACGATCGTCCGAAAAGCTCACCAGTTTACCGAAGAGAAGCTTCGCGACATCGGCGCGGGTCTTCTGTCTACGTTGGACGGTACTGTTCATGATGTAAATGGGCTCCACGCCAAGCTGGACCGCAAGGACCGTTTGGAAACCAACAATCGACAAACATGGCAGAGTTCTACTGGCGAGGTCTCGGATGTCACTCAGCGAATTGATGCTCGCATGGAAACTTTCCAGTCACAGCATGCGAAACTGCTCGAGGACATGTCAAGCAAGATCCAGCAATTCGTGGACAACGAACTGAGCACCGTTCAAGCAGCTCGGTCTCAGCTTGGTGACTTTGGCTCCTCTTTTGACAAGGTTGAAGCGGAGGCAAAGACCCAGACATCCGGCGCCCACGATGAGATGAACGATGTCCTTGAGGAGATCAAGGTGCTTCGGGAGGACGTCAAGACCAAGGTTGGCGAGGGCCTGAACGGATTATCTGCTGCCGCTGCTCGTATTTCCAAGGATGTCATTGGGGAGTTTTCCGATTTCCATGCCCAGCTTCACGCATCTTACAGCGCCCTGGGCAAGGACTTCAAGTCCATGTTTGAGAACATGGCGCAGCACCTTGATGAACAGAAGAGCGAGATAAACAGACTACGACTTGAGGTCCAAGATGCCAACCGCCAAACAATCGAAACAAATCGGAAGGCTTCATCTAACGTGGCCCAGGTTCTGGAAGAGGAACATGCCAGTGCGCAGGCCGAGCGCGAAAATCTTATGGCTCAGATCCGCGGCCTACTCGAAGACTCGAGCCAGCGGCAATCTACCCGCCTCAAGAGTAGGTTCGACACTGTTCGAACCGATCTTTCGGCATCCGGCGACTCGCTTGAACAGGCTACAGCGCAGCATGATCGACACATCGACGAATGGATTTTCAAGGAGGAGCGGTTTGCGAAGGATGTTACTGCATCCCGCGATGACATCAAAACGAAGATGCAGAATGACTGGGAGGTAAGTTTGACTTGACATGAGCTATGGTCACCTGGGCTAATTGCAATAGGCATTTGACCAACGCAACGCTTCCATTCAACGAGCGACGCAATCGGTGCATCAGGAGACTGTTCGGATTGTGGATGCTCAGATGAATGACATGGGCAAGCAGATGGAGGCCTTGGATGATTTTGTCGCCAAGGCACGATCCCAGAATGGCCGCTTCCATGAGGTTCAAATGGGCAGCTTGGATGCCATGGCGACTAACGTTCGGGACTCTCACTCGACGATTCACGGATACTTGAATGGATTCAGTGAGCACGTCGGTCAGCTGCAAACAGATGTCAACATGCATACCGACCACCTGGAGCAGTCGACAATGCCTCTGCACGCCGACGTTCGCCAGCCCCTGTCCGAGCTTCGAGTCAACATTCAAAGCCACCCCATGGAAGAGTATACTCCAACCGGGGTCACTCCCCAGAAGCGCAAATATGAATACCCTTCAACCCTCCCCCGGACCGAGCCTCACGAGGGTCTTCGCTCCCGACACCGGACTTCCAAGCAATTTACCGCTCTGCCTTTTGATGGCGAGGAACAGCCTTCGCCTCTTCCTAGTTCGCCTGCGGCCTCTCCATCTAAGAACTTCGTATACACTGATGGCTTGGAAGAGGTAGGGACTCACGCTCCTCCCTCCTCCGCCACTTCTTCCAACACTGGGCTTAGGGAAGTCGATGTAAACGTCGCCAGACCAGTCGTGTGTGATACCGACGAAGACGGGCTTGCCGCGGCCAAGACAGAAACCCCGGCGCAGAACCCATCCCTCGACCTTGACGGGACGCCCGAAAAGGACGAGCCCGAGCAGCCCCCGCTCAAACGCCGTCGTTCTGCATCTACAAACCACGAGAGCAAGCTTCCGCACAAGATGCTGTCCAAGAAGATGGCCGGCATGATGGAAGGCCGTGAAAATGTACCGCCGTCCGCGATCACCGGTGGCCGGAGGTTCAGAAACCGCACCACTGATTAGGAGTTGTCTTCTTTCTTTTTGATTTTTCGCAGTTTGGCATTTTGATACCCAATGTCGCTGGTCTTTTCCCTCTGAACCGGAGTTTCTGGCTGAGAAAACCGAGTGGGTTGGCTACTCTGCCTTTATTTTTTTTTTGTTTGTCGAGTGTCATAGAACAGGGTTGTCTGGCGTCTGGAGTTGAATTACCTTGGTTTTCATAAATTTAATTCTGAAGTTGGATTTGCAGTTGAGCAAGTAATTTTGATGCGATATCCTCGGAAGCAGAGTGTTCGCTACTAATCCTCCAACGCCGATGCTTCTCATATAACGCCAATTCCAAGATCACGCAAAGTCAAGATGTTACGAGTGCTCCAAATCACCATGCCCTTGCTGCGCACTGTTGCCTTCTTTTCTCGTTTCATCATCTGAATCGGTTGCAGTAGTAGTAGGCCTTTGCTCGCCTGCTTCCTGCTCGCGTGGTGGTTCTGTTCCTGAATGTTCAGTCGTATCCGCTGCATCGATAATCTGCTGCAATTCACCCATCCGCTTCGCAAACTGATCCATCATTTCTTCGAGTCTCTGTGGCCCTCTGTTACCGCGGTCTTTTCCCGGTATCTCCGCTGGTAACCCCGCGGTGCCGTGGACTTTCAGCATCAGTCCATGACCCGGCGATTCGCCGGGGTTGCTGTTTTCGAATGTCGGTGCCGGTATTAGCTCGCTATGGAGAACCTGCCATGTTGGCGAGAAGCTCTGCGCCGATGTGACCCGGAACTGCGTTGACGGAGTGCTTTGCCCATGCGGGGTGGGTTGCGATGGTAGCGCGGGAGGATTCGCCGGTGATGAGGACATGGATTTCGGGGCACCACCTGCTCCGCCCCCTCCCCCTGTGATTGTCGTCGATGGATCGGCTGCTGGAGGGATCTGAGGATTTTCCGGAGGAACCGGGCCCACATCCAGGATGAGATAGTTTTCTCGGACTCCCGGGATGGGGGGTGGCAGTAAAGTTGTCTTGCTGGGGTCCAAAGACTCGCCTGCCTCGATAGGATTTACGGCTGGGTCTTTTTGAGAGTCTGGGATGGTATCCTGCTGTGACTGCAGACTGCGAAGGGCAGCCTCTGTCACGATGTCGGTGTCGTCATCGGAGAAGATATAGTGGACTGTCGGATGGTGATAATCCGAGGTATGCGCGTCTTCGATCAGCGTGAAGAATGGCTGGAATCTTGAATGAGACTCCAGCTGTTCTTGCGCAGCATCTGCTCTTCCATCCACTTTGGACCCTTCGACCGCCTCCCTGGCTCCATCGTGGGAAGGCAAAGCGACTGTACTTTGTTCGTCGGTGGAGGTGTGGCCGTGTAGTGGGCGCGAGGCCGCGGTTCCAGGCCTGGATGAGGCTTCTCTGCGGGGAGAATGTCGGGATGAGGAAGAGGATTGGGGCCGATGGGGTGATGTGGTGTTCATAGACATCTCCTTCGACCAGAGCTACCCGTCGTCTTCAGGTGGGAGGAACTGGTCTTCGTCACTGCGGGAGCAAGCTCCTTATCGATAGAACACGTGATACCAGTTTGTTATAGATCTATGATTCAAGTTCAAATGAAGACCTGGTGGACTCAGTATAAGAAGTCTATTTAAGTAAGAGATACACTGGTTATAAATACTCACCTTGGAACAGATGTATCAAACTGTCCCTTATTAAGAGACAAATGCTCACTGAGGCTGGCAGACCACTGTGATAGGGTAAAAAGTATCCAAATCAGAGACAGTCCCTACCGAAAGCTCAGCTTGAAAATCATGGAATATGTCATGTTCAAGCAGTTACAATATATAAGAATAGGAGCATCTATTTTACGGGAGCTCAATGAACACTCGGGGAACAGGCCTAAGCCATTGTCGGTGGGTTGGATCAACAAAACTCTGACGGCGTAACCAGTTGAGAATAATGCCATAAATATCATATTGCTTTGTCGCTTAACCAGAAGTCTTGAATGACCTGATGGACAGGCCTGGTATGAGGCCTCGTAGCCCGCTCAAATCGCGACAGTGCTGAAATTGTATGCTCGATCCATGCAGAGACATCTTTCAAGCTAAACCCGACGCACCAAAAAACCAGAATCCACAGGGTATCATTTTCTTGAGCCATCGAAACGCCGTTGTAATGAGGGTGGGAGGAGGACTGAGCAACGGCTATCATTCATCGTTCCGCTTCCACTCGAATTCTGGAGATTGTCAGCGGGCCCATCTCCATAAGTCTGCGACAGTACATACTTTGTCGACACATTGGACACAGCCCCTTTGAAGTTTCTTGATTAATCCAGGTCAAAAGGCAATGCTGTGCAGGGAGTCAGCCACCAGGTCCACACATTTGTTGTCATCACTCATACCATATGAAATGAGTGACCACATTTTCCGAGTACTACATCAAACCCCAAGGTTAGTAGGAGCAACCAAACACATTACGCCAGGCTATATCAGGACACTCTTACAGAGCGAGCAGTCATCCCCAGGGAATTTGCAGGTCGGACAAGTGCCATCGAACTGGACCCGGCAGATACCACACACTTCATCCTCAGGGATATCCCAGTGCCAGGTGGCAATGGAATTCCACTCTTTGATAGCGACTTTCATGGGGACAAAAGCGTGCAAGTGGGAAGTGGAGACGGATGGCGTGAATGGGAAGTTGGAATACGCGATAAGAGCGGTGTTTATCGCTCGGAGCTCTGCTTTCTCCGCACCCTCTCCTCCACAGCGTGGATCTCGGGATGTGAAAGCTGCCCTTCTCTTTGTTTTTCTTTCTGTTTATCCGTGACCATGGCTTCCATGGCCATTAGATCCTCGATCTCTACTTCAACTCGCCTGCTTCGCTCCATGTCTTCCAAGGGGCCTGGGCTGCATGTCCAGTTGCGCCAGAGCTCCTTCTCCTCTTACCTGGTCACCCCCCAAGAGCTCAATCAAGCCCTCAAGAAGAACCCCCCACGAAAATCTCTACTTCTCCCCGTGTTATTCCTCTCTGTGCAGCATGGTTCATGCCTAATGACCCTGAGGGCCGCAAAGGTCTCGACTCATTCCAGCAATCACGCATTCCTCAGGCACGCTTCTTTGACCTTGACGCCATCAAAGATCATGATTCCCCCTATCCTCATATGCTGCCTACCTGTGAGACCTTTTCAGAGGCGATGGGTGAGCTTGGCATTCGTCGCGACGACGAGGTGGTGGTTTACGATACCGCCGAACTGGGCATCTTCAGTGCACCTCGTGTGGGGTGGACTCTGCGGGTCTTTGGCCACCCCAATGTGCACATCCTTGATAATTACCGTCTCTGGGTTCGTGAGGGACTTCCGACCGAGAGTGGGGAGCGGCCCCCTGCCGAGAAGACCAAATACCCCCTCCCTGTCTACGACTCGAAGCTGGTAATCTCCTTCCGTGAGATGAAGGAGCTGGCCATAGACTACGGAAAGGAGGGTGCTGAGGAGGTTGAAATCCTCGATGCACGCTCCTATGGTCGTTGGGCAGGAACCGACCCAGAGCCACGCCCTGGTCTGTCGTCTGGCCATCTTCCTGGCTCCAAGAGCATGCCTTTCCAGGAGCTGCTGGACCCCGAGACGAAGACATATCGTCCAGCCTCTGAGCTGCGACAGATCTTCGAGGACCGCAAGGTGGATGCATCCCGGACGATTATCAGCTCGTGTGGCACCGGTGTGACGGCTTCGATCATTGAGACCGCACTGGGTGAGGCAGGGTTCGGAGACCCCAACCTGCGCCGGGTTTATGATGGCAGTTGGACGTAAGTCAACTCTTGCTTTGTCTTTTCTTCCACACCGACAGTGCTAATGACAAAGCAGCGAATGGGCCCAACGAGTCAAGGAATCCGATGGGCTCATCAAGAAGGTGAAGCCGTAGACAGCGAAGGAGGTCCTCTCACGAACGACACGATGTGATTACAATGCTTTCCTCTCTACTCTGTTAGATTTGTATCTCTGCCCCGGACATAGGAAGACTCCAATCTCTTTCTCTTCTCTTTCTTTGTATTTTTGAATAGTTACAAGTGTGTGCCTGATCAGGCGGTAGTCATCACTTAGTCAGCACACCACCGTGGACGGTTTGTCTATTTCGCTGGAATTCACCGTTGACTTTCCAAAGTCTTGTGTTCTGCTGTCAAAGATGCTGCAGATGGAATCCCACTATCTTCTGGCTTCTCATGAGTGAGCCGCCCTCGGCAGCCCGGAATCCGCCTGCCCCCACATTCCCAGGTCCCTCCATCGTCAAACCTCCTTCCTGGTTCAGCTCCAGCCTTGTGCTGACCGGCCGATCCAGTCGCGGCTGTCAACACCTCCAGTCCTCTGGTATAGGGCCATACTGCCCTCTATCTTTCGCTTCGGCCTCGCTCACCATGTCAACCGGGCGCAAGGTCTTTCACTGTGCCGTGGACGAGACGGCCTTGTCCACCAACATTAGCGAGATCAAGAAATGGACCACCAACGGTGCCATCGATCTCATTGTCCCTCTTTACAGTAAGGCTTTCTGGTATCTACACATAGTTGGCTTCCCATGTCGCTCATCCTGCTCTAACCTCTTCTACTCCCCTCAGCCCTAGATCGTCTCCATGCGCTGAAGCGAGCGGGATCGCAAGTCGCCATCAACGCCCGCGAGGCGGTTCGCTTCCTCGACCGAGTCACCTCCGGCAAAGATCACATCGCCACCGATCGCGTTGTCTTGCAGGGCCCATTGGAGCAATATGAGCGCTGGGAAGATGCGGAGAAGTTTGTCCTGCCCGAGTTTGAAGAGGAGCTCGCGCCCGATAACGGAGACGGAGTTCCAAATGACGAGCCGGTGCTTGAGTCCCAACCGGATGATATCAGCAAAAAGAATGGACCGGACGATCTGTCACAAATGCTGCTGAGCAAGTCGAACTTCAAGAAAGACCCGGAGGCCGCCTCGATCACTTCCGTCGGCTCGCCGAGCGGACCAGGCTCGCGCACTTCCTCCCACAGCTCGCGCACCAGCCCCGAATGCGCCCAGAACGAGACGACCGACGGAGCCGGCAACACTGGCAAGAACAAGTCTTCGGCGCATCAACGCACGGCATCCGGCTCCACGATCCCGACGGTTCCACCGACGCTCCGCCCGCTGCTGAGTGCCCTCCTCTGGCGTCTACACAGTGGTCCAGATGCCGAGAATACCGCGAAAAACTGCATTCTGATCAGCAATGACCGTACGACACAGTTTTGGGCTCAGATGTTTGGCATTGGTGTGAAGAACATCCTCCAGCTACGCACAGCCATCCAGTACGAGGAGCGCGAATACAAGAACCGCTGCAAATATGTCGAGAAAACTCAAACCCAGCCCCCGAACCGAAGACCCTCCTTTCTTACGACGATGAAAGCGACGAGGATGAGTTGGTGTTCGTCCCCCGCGGCCGTGGCAAAGGGGCGTCCCGAGGCAATGCGCGAGCCAGTGCTCAGCGTAAAGCCGCTGCGAAGCCAGCCGACCCAGCCACTGATAACACGGTCGAAGTGCCAACGCAGCCGATTGACCCGAACTCGTTTAGCCGGTCGCTGGGCGGCACCGCCAAACCGCAGACGGTGGATCTAAGCACGCAAAACGGTGCCGCTCGCGGGATGGCAGGAGCATCTCGGCGTTCAGTCAACGGGCGCCGCGGTGGCTCCTCGCGGGGAGCTGCACGGGGCAACGGGCGCGGACGGGGCAAGCTCTGGGTTCCTTGATGGGCACGACGGGGGCGGTCTGCGACGTCATTGCATCCAAAGCGATGATGGCAGATCGGAGCGCTTATGTGACCCAATGCAATCCGGAACCTGACGGGTGATCTCTTTTGCTCCCCCATTTCAGGACTCCATCTCTCCCGTGATCTAACGCATGATGACTCCACCGGGGTTTTCCCACAGGAGAGAGTCTCAGATCTCAGACCCTATCTGATCGAACACCCCAGACATGACATATGGCATGACCTCTGGAGGATCCGATTTGCGGCTTGCGCGCATAGATTTGACCTTGCACCCTCCCCACCCTTCCCTTGGATCGGAGATCAAGAATCGGCTGCGAACAGCTCCGCTGCTATGGTACGGAAAGGATATGGATTTCGATCTACGTGACTTTGCCTTTGTAGGAATGAAGATTCATGAACATTTCCAAGTTTCTATGGTCGAGTGTAGAGTATACAAGACTTAAGTAGAAGAGTATACCAGCCGCTGACCCTCGCTTCGTTCGGGTGGCTAAGAGTAAGGGGGGCTTCTATTAAGAGAATATTTGTTTAAAAGGAAAAACTATCCAGGTCGAATTCGAGGGTTCACATAATAGTTTGCGCAAATTCCCATATTCTTCTATTCTTCTATTATAAACAAGTAGTACACGGATGATGTTCATTGGATGTTTTCCCCGCGTGTCCCGTGGAACATCACTTGACTTCGCTTTCTCTTCCCTGCATCTTCCTTTTTTCTTCTCTCTATCCACCGACCTACATCGCTACATTATTTACCATGTCTGTCGACGAAACGCCCCTCACTGCCTCGGCCCACGAGCGCCGCAACTCCCTGGAGAAGCATCTGCAGACTCGCCCAGACATGCAGGACCTCAAGAATCGCCATATCCTGCTGGACACTAACGTGGCGCCGTATATGCCCCATTTCATCAGAATCATTATTTTGGTTTCTTATGATCGACTACTAATTCTGGTCCCAGAGCCCTCCAAGCCACCCGCCAGGACCTCGCCCGCCAGCGCGCTTCGGACAACCTGAAGAAGAACCTGGAAAAGAGACCTGGAAGGGACGAGCTGGTGGAGCGTATATACCCCTTTTCTTTTGATCCTTTTCTTTCTGCGTCTATTCTCTTCTGCTTGATTCGCAGAGATGGGATCAAGTATCTGGCACTAACGAGCTCAGGAAACATCCTGCCCGCCACGAACGCCGCCCCGGCCCTACAGGCTCATGCGCGAGAACTGGAAAAACAAATGCTGGCAGACAACTTGGAGCACAGAATTCAGAATCGCCCGCAGCCCGAGGATCTCATTTCGCAGGGCATTTTATCCGAGGATGAAGATCCGCGCTCGGCATGATTCTCCTACTTTTTTATTCTACTCCGCTGTGGGGAGCTCCCCCACACAGCTCCTCCGGCCCCTCTGATATGAGATATGGGTGACACGAGGGTTTATGAGAAACACGGCGTTTTCTTATCTTTTTTTTCTTATCTTTTTCTTTTCGTTTCTTACGGCCGGAGGATTGACTCGTCTCGAGCACTTCCGGTCTCCACGCTCGTTTAGTGCGGATGGTGATGTCACCGTGACGCCTCTACTCTATCAATACTCTATCCAATACGACTGTCAATATTTTGTGAATACTTTTTTTTTCATTACTGAAACGATTATTGTAAATGCATCGAGTATGATAGTAAACAGTGTAGAGCATTTAATCTTGTATAATTGCCATCCCGATCAAGAACTAATGGGTTTCCACCTCCATCGACACTGACAGATCCGGCGTCCATCCGCTCGGCCGCTCACTCCCACGCACAAGGATCCCATAAGCCGCCCGCTCCACCTTCTCCACGCTGGTCTGCATCACCTCCAGCTTTTTGGAGAGGTCGCGGAGCATGTTGTGTCGGCGCGGCACGCTGAGCGACTCGAAGCGCGCCCGCATGGTACGGAGATCCACCACGATGCCGGCCTGTGCGGGCGCAAGCACGGGGACTGACGTAGAAGAAGCATCAGAGGCCTCGGGGCCAGCAGTCGATGTTGACTGTGTGGTGGCCGACGCGTTCCCTGAACTCAGGGCCATCACGGCGAACCGCATCATCTCACCCGTGAGATCGAACAATCCCATCAAATAGTCCTCCTCGGAAACGAGAATCTCGCCCGGTAGCCACGCGGTCACTTCTGCATGGCTGATCAGGGTCTGTGTGCGTAGGTAGTGGTCGAACGCGAGCGCTTCGATGAACTCCTGGATGCCCGGGCTGATTTGGCGCTGATACCGCCACGCCTTGATTTCCGTGAGCTCTGGCACGAGAGACTCGAAGAGCGCGCGGATCTGGTCAAAGCGGGTCTGGTTTTCTTGGGCAATTTTGTTGGGCGGGGGTTGGTTGAGCGTGCGCACGCGTTGGAGGGCGAAGATGCTGGCATGTCAGTCAGTTTAGAGGCTCTATTCAGTCGAGTCTCTTAGATGCAGACGTACACCTTCTTGCTGAGGGCTGTGATGTCTCGACTTGTCTTGATGATCCGCTCACGTCGATCGTGGTGCTCGTCCAGTTCGTCGCGGAAAGTTTCGAAAATCGATTGGACTGACGGCCCCGTCGAGTCGTGGGCGCTCATAGTGGCATCAGATTTGGGGTGCAGACCGAGAGGCTGTCCTTCCCAGGAGCGTTTGGTGCCCATCGAAAGAAGTCCAGGAAGTGGGAGAGAGATAGAGAAATTGAGAGAGAAGATAAGATAAAGCCGGGGTGGATCGTTTACGCTGGGCTAGGCATCTAGAAATCATCTCACTTGAACTTGAACATATATCGATTTTCATATACATATATATAAATATATATATATTTCGATTAAGAAACTCACTCGACTACAGCACAGAATTCTTGCCCAAATGACGGTATTTCACCGGTTGCTCACCCAGCCCCTTAACAGTCACGATCTGCTCGTCCCCTGGGACAATATCCATCGCGTTGTCACTAAACTGCACCCCATCCTGCTCCTCGAAGACCAGACACTTGACAGGATTGCGTGCATTGATGATCAAGAATGTCTCACTTAACCCCCGCCGCAACTGAATGTCGAGCTTTCGCCCTGTCAGGTTCAGATACTTGAAAGGTTGAGGCCAGTCGACGTCTCGCGCCACGATTTGGTTGCCCACCCACAGTCTGGCAGCTAAGACATGCGGCTCGGGCACGGAAAAATGGTCGATCACTCCATCCGTGATAATATTGGTCGTACCATTCGCCGTGATGGCGATGTCGTCGCGCACAATCGGCCGGCGGATATCCTGGCCCGTGTTGACGGACAGGAATCGCAGCTCGACGCGACCTTGAACAGTGTGCGCGCGGCTGCTGGAGATCCACAGCTCATAGCGACTGGCTCGTGGCGGTTGCGCATGCGCTACGCTCCAGTCGTGGTGCTCGCGCCGCACCCCGACAGCGATGGGGTTCAGCACCCGCTTCACAGCATAATAGGCGGGCTTAGGCTTCAGGAAATAATCGACAATGGCCCAGGAGATGGTCGGCCAGCAGTCATTTAGCTGCCACAGCAGTGCTCCTCCACAGTGTCGCTCGTCACCCCATTGTCGGCGCCAGCCCCGATACCCAAACATCATGGTTTCGGCCTGCACGACTTGCGTGAGGTAGACGTATGTCTGCACTTGTCAGGGTGTCTGTGCTATTGTCATACATAGAAGGTGGTTCTCATACCTCGAGGTCGGTGGCTGTCCGCAGGTTTTCTACAAGGTATGTCGCCAGGCGCCGTTCATGCCCATCTGCCTTGTTGTGAAAATCCAGTACATGCGACTGCGGGTACTTGTCTTCAGGGTTCTCGACAAAGTAGTCGATTGTGGACATATGTGGGAAGGACTCCATGCCGAACTCGCTGTTGAACCGTCCGCCGAGAGTGTCAAATATCTGATACTTCTCCTGTGTGCCATGCCAGACTAAATTGGGCGATCAGTGTCAGTCCCTTAACGTTTCACCAGGGGCATGCAAACCATTCCACTGATGCATATCCCCAACCGTGGGATCGGACGAGATTTTCCCATCTCCCCACGGACTTCCTGGATGATAGAACGTGCTAGGCGAGTGTTCGGCCACCACTTCCGGGAGCAGTTTCTCGTAGATGTAGCGGGCCGGGAAATCTGTCTGCAGCCAGCTGTCTGGGGTTTTATCCTCGTAATTGTAGGTCAGTCTTTCCGACTCCTGCACTTGATAGTCTTCGTTATTTCCGACGTAGATTACAATCGAGGGATGATGCCGCAAGCGCCGGACATTGTACACCGTCTCCTGGCGCACCGACTCTAGCATCGCAGGCCAGGTTGGGTAGTTACCGCACCCAAACATGAAGTCTTGCCAGACCAGCACTCCGAGTTCATCGCATGCCTCATAAAACGAGTCATCTTCGTAGATTCCACCGCCCCAGACTCTATGTAATAAACCTGCATTAGCGGCAGTCTATCATGGGAGAATAGGGCAAGTCATACCGGATCATCACCTGTCGTCCCGCTACCATGAGCTCGATCCATTTGCGGTACCGTTCTGCACTGATGGCTGGTAGCAAGCTATCAGCTGGGATCCAGCAAGAGCCTCCACAGAAGATGTCCATCCCGTTGACCCGGAAGAAGAAGGATTTGCCATGCTTGTCGGGCCTCTGAATAAGTTCTGCGTTGCGGATGCCAAACTTCTTGTAAGCGTGGTCTACCACCTCGTCATTGCACAGCAGTGTGGCGGTTATCTCATACAGAGTCTGTTCGCCGTAGCCATGCGGCCACCAAAGAACTGGGTGGTTGACTCGAAATGTCACCTGGGATGTCTTTTCCTCCTGGACGGGGATTTCTTGAGCTGCGATCTCATGGCCGCCCACACCCAAGCTAAAGCGGGCTGTGTACGGCCCGTCGACAACAGTGTCTAGTGTGGCAACTGCAGTGACCTCTGCAGTCTGGTAGTGCGCTGCCAGCTGGGTTTGGGGCCAGAGATCCGCTATCCGTGCAGTATAGACCTCAAGTCGTACAGCACGCCAAATGCCAGCCGTCATCAGAAAGGGACCCCAGTCCCAGCCCCAGTGATACTGCGCTTTGCGCACCGCCAGACGCGCCATATCTCCGTTGAACCCAACCCACTTGTGTCCTGGGTCCTGGTTCCGGAGCTCGCGTGCCCGGAGCAGCGCACAATCGAACTCAACCTCGAGCGTGTGTTCGCTGTCGGCCTCCAGCGAGGTGGTCACATCCACTCGATGGCCTATAAACATGTTGTCACTGTGCAGGATGATCTGACCATCTAGCTTTACCGTGGCAAAGGTGTCCAGCCCATCAAATACCAGCGCGATGGTGGCGCCTGCGGGAGTCGCCGGTTTTTGAAACGTCGTCCGGTAGACCCATGATTTCTCGTTGACCCAGCGGGCTTTCAATTCATTGAACCCGACAAATGGATCTTCGAGCCTAAGGTTATGAGATATCTGCTTCGTCGGACTATTGACAGCAATGCCTTACTTTTGGTTGGCGATCAGATCTTGCTGCACCACAGAGGGCACGGAAGGCACCGGCAGCCAGGTATCGGCGTCGCGGTCCTTGAAGAACCAGCCTGTCGATAGTGGCTGTGTAATGAGCGACATGGCAGAAAACAAAGAATGGTTGCCAGAGCTGCGACGACTTGGGGTTTGTATACATCGGCTTATCGATAAGCGCGGAGGGCCTCCGCTTCCCCACGCGCCTGCCGTTTTGGGAACGGAGGGGCACCCTTTCCTAATTGGGAAATATATCACATGATGTCATTCCATGGTGTCATGTGATTCATCTTTGCTTCTGTTGTCCTCTCACTGGCGTCGAGGATCTTGGTCAACTAGCAAAACAGTCAAGGAGCCAATCATTGGTGGTTTTCTGAAAAATCTTCGAGAATTGCCCAAACAGGTTCACGATACGACTTGTTTGTCCGAACTTGACGCTCCTCTATCGAGCTCGGAGACACCTTTGGTCTTGCAATATCAGGGCTGCCAACCGTCGAGGGCACGAGGCACCAGCTTCACCGGTTTAGTGTTTCTGGACATCTGCATTCGGATCTGCCTGGATGATGTTTATGTTAAACCGCCAACCCCCCGATGGCGCGCTAGATGTCTCGCTTCCAACCGAGCCAATAATCGCCTAGCTGTCGTTCGGAGCCAACAGCCACGAATCCTTCCGCTTCTGCCTTCAAATGTTCAAGCACCAGTGGAAAGTTGCTAGGTTTTGGACAGGCGTGGTGCCACACCTGACCAGGAGCGCAGGAAGTGTACTGAGTCCGAGGCCATGTGGTCGAAATCCACCCTCAGGTTTTTCCATACTCAACCGCCGGCTGTTCGACCTCCCCTTACAAGAGACCAGAATTTGAAAGCCAGGGGGGTTAAATAGCCCTAAACTATGGAGTTCCCGGGGTCTTCGGACCCATCACTGGAAACAGAAACGGTGCCCGTGAGCAGGTCTCGGCACCGGCGATGCCCTTCTCGGTGGCGTTGGGAGTGTCTAGTCGGACACGCCCGTGCCCCGCCGGGGTTAGGATAGCCGGTCTGCCCACGTTGAGAAGCCAAATTCCCTCATACTGCAGACGGGAGGCAAAGGCTTCGAGGCGCCATCGTTGCAGAGAACATTGATTGGGCTGGCATTTTGTAAACCCCATAGACTGCCGGGCCAAAGGATATTGTTGCGATGTCAAAGCACAAACACCCTGGAATGACCGGGTCATTGATCGACCTTGGTTCATCTTCCCCAAATGATCGTCTGGTTTTTTTTTCTGCGGGGCTCGTTTCAACTCACTGCTCATGCATTGGCGATAGATGTTCCACTGCTACTTGATCCAGTTATTCCGGGGAAATTACATCTCCCTGTTCAAATGAGCTGTGGCGTGTGAAGACCACGCGCAAGTGAGATTGGGCGGAGAGACTTTACAGCACCCCGGTCTCATGAGCGCGTGGCATCGGTCAGCACCAACAACGAAATCATTAGGTGATCTTCAAGCGAACTGAGCGGATCGAAGTCGATGGGCCCATAGACATCACGAACTCTGGAAATACCATCCTCGTAGACAGCAAGGTCTACTAGAATGGCTCCTTCTGGGTGAATAATTCGATTGACCGGTATATTTTGGCTCGCTAGGGTCTTGAAGAGGGACGGCTACTAGAACAACATCACCTAACCCCTTTTGCTCAATTTCGAACATTGGTTGATGGTTGATAGACCAAATGCGTACAGTCTATATTATCAGCATGTGCATAATCTGAAGTCCGCAGAAAACGCTACCTGCAACTTTCTGGTAGTTTGCTCCATGATTTCAATACTCCAACAGCCAAGGCTCTGTGCGACAAGCTTCTGAGCCCGGCGTTACTTGTTGACTCGTTTATACTATATCTGAGCCAGTATGATACAGGAAACTTCCAACTTGTGAACTACTGTTGTTGAACGTCGAGGTCATCTTAAGGTACATGAGGATCTCCAATGATCCCTATCGAGCAGGATAAGCTTTGGCTACTTACTATTGACTATAATTCCGCGAGCTCTTTGGAGTTAGGCAGCACGATATCTCATACTGCGGGTGTTAGGGATACGTATGCGGTATACATGATAGAGGGAGGACATGGATCCATGGGAAAAGACGCATTCCTGGGTGAAATACGTGTCTTATAGGGTCACAATATTCTCTCAAGGCTTTCTTGACAACGCAGAACAGTCTCACGATCGGTATTCCACCCATGCGATCAAGATGTTGGATTCAGCCAAGTACCTGTGCCTCCTCTACCTATCTCGAGGCGCTGTTCCCCACTAGTAGCTACCATCTTTAAGCTTTTAAAAGAATTTGCACATCCCCTGAACTTCAATTTGACCTTGCGGATAGAATGATTCATAACTGGGGCTGGTTGGTCACAATACATTGAAGCAACAAAATGCATCAATCCATCCACTCGTTCCACGCCGGCTTTTATGTTGCCTTCAGATTGTGCTATAAAAGGACATCGTTAGCTCTCGCAAGAATAAAATTTCAAGGTATTGGCTCGCCTCACCTCAACAGCTAAAAGATATGAACTAGCTCAAATTTTGAAGGGTTCAAAATCTTCACCATTTTGAAGGTTCTCGATGGACTCAATGGTCTCGCGAAGCCGGCCTCCGATCTTCCAGCCACATGAACAAGTACCGTTCCCGGTTCCATTCCAAGTTGCACAGTTTCCACATTTCCAGGCCATGGCTCTGCTTGATCTGATTGCGCTGAATAAGTTAAGATGAGAGTAGACAATGTTCAAGGGCAAATGAGATAGAAGGAAGGTTTATTTGGAGGAATAAATGAAGTTGAATCTCGAAGTAAATCATTCGGGGAATCAATCAAGCTTAAGTACCTATTGGCTTAAGTACCTATTGAGCAGAAAATACTCCAGCTTTTCGAGCCGAAAGCCAGACAATGAGCCATGGTCTGTGCGTGTGATAGGTCGCCATGGCGCTTAACTTGCTTTGATTATTCGTCAACAGGGTTGCAAAGACCCCTCAAAAGGAACCTCAGTACGTGAGGCCCATGCGCCCTTGTGAGACACGTGACTGTAGACCGACATTGTTCTCCCTCCCTCCGTGCTGTGCGAATCCATATTCATTTTCTTGCCGCCCAACGAGACTGAAATGATATACTCAACAGACAAAGAATGGCTTGAGAAATGCCGACCTGAAGCTTTGCCTGTTCCACCGTTTGACCGATATGTCTATATGCTTGAGGGCCATGTGGTAAAAAAAGGGCTGAAGCCTGGTGAGCTTGGCTTTGATGGCTATCAACCTGACGTATTGACGATTCCGCAACGTGATGAAAACGAATTACACACTCTGGAAATTGTTCGTCAGTACACGAATATTCCAGTACCGAAGCTTATATACGAAGGGAACGGGTAAGTCCTAACGATCTAAGTACGGTTGGAAGGTGTACCTAATGCGACTAGGTTCAATGTCTTTGAGCGAATCCCAGGCGTCACAATATTTGAAGGTCCGATTTGGGATTCTATTTCCCCTCGTCAACAAGAAGGGATCAAGCTCCAAGTGCAGAGTTATATCAAGGAGCTTGCAAAGATTCCAAACCACACTGGTGGTGTTCGATCGTTAAGTGCTTCTGGAGAGATTATTCACAACCAGCTTCCTCACCGTGGACCCTTTATATCCACGAATGATTTCCTCCGTTCATACGACCATGAAGATGTACCTCTAATCCATCAAATCAACCCTTCTAGTCTGCCAGTATTGTCACATATGGATTGGGATCTCTCAAACATTGTTTTGCATCCAAATATGGATGCAGTTGCGGGGGTGATTGATTGGGAAAGAGCGGCTTTCTTTCCAGAAGGCGGGCGAAGTATTCATCGCATGTGCCATCAGTGGCGTGGATGGGAGACCCTGTTCGACGATATTCAATTTCCAGTAGAGAATTGAGAAATTGCATACGGATTGGAAATACCAAATTGTACCTCGTTCAGCGTAAGCGATTTTATTCAGCTCTGCGAGCTTACCACACTTTGTTGTTTTTCTTCCCTTCCCTTTTCCTCTTTTCACTCAACTCCCCAGCCCCTCCGTCCAACAAGGAGAGACACCCAGCGGTCGTGCTTGACTCGAAGGGTCCAGGTAATCAGGGAGTGATTCCCAGCTGCATACCACTACCCAATGTGCACGACTGGTGGAAAACGCCCCAGACGTGCTTAAGCCTCCAGCCATCTACAGGTCATTCAAGTAGCGCTGCGACTCATTTGGTGGTCCTTGGTTCGGACTAATGCGAGCCGGCAAGGCTGCCTCGCAGCCAATCTGGAAGATTCTTAACTGGCAGGTGTGGGTACTGTAATCACCTCCCACTTAGTGGTCCGCAGGTACGCCAGAATGATTGTGTCAAACAAGGAGATATTCAGAATACGCTTGTAATCCTATGAAACGATCGTATGAGGGTCTCATCTGTAAAACTATCTGTGTATTCTAGCTGCTCTTTTCAATCTGATCATTCTGAACACGACCTTCCAAATCAGTAATCTTGCATAAAATGAAACATGATCATCAAGGTGCCGAATCTTCGCTATAGGAAATAGATTAAGACAAGACCGCCTCTTGCTTGAAAATCGTGAAGTTGAATGAAACAGCCACCGTACGATAACATGTCCTTGTTTCGGGTTAAATGGTACAAGCCCCAACCAATCATCAAGACCAGATCCAGAATCTTCTCTGTAGAAAGCATTGCCAAATAAACATGCTTCTCTTCACAATAGCATGTAGGTATCTTCGCCAGGCCGGCTGAAAGCGGCGAGCCAACTCAGGTCCCAGTAAGCCTCTGCGAACCAATGCTTCACAGGTCTTTGTCTCCTTTGCAGAGTCAATGAAGATGTATTTTGCATTCCAGATCATATCCTTTGTCTTGCGCTTGAAGTCGTACACTAGCAAGGCTATTGTAGGATAGACATTGTGCCAACAAGCAGAAATAAGACCATCAAAAACTTCATTGCGGTTAAGTTCTGGAAACTCCATTTCCCCAAATCGGCGATCCCATTCCGTGGCGCTGAGGATAATGTCGTCATAGGGTTCATGGCTATATACCATGAATTATAGAAGCGTCCCAACCGCAAACTGTTCAGTTCTGGCGGAAGAGAGACCGTATGTGCCTTTTAATGGTCCAGCAAGTATTGGTTTGGCCTGTGGAGGCAAGGTACCTTTAAGCGGCTGTCCAATAGTAGTGGCACGACCAAAATCAGCCAGCTTCAAGTTGAAGTTCCTATCAAGAAGACAGTTGCTTGTATGTAGGTTATTGTGATAGAAGCCCATTTTCTCTATATACTCAAGAGCAGAGGTGATTTGATGTATCCACCGAGCGATGAGAGCAGGATCCTCGTATTCCTTGACCCTGATAAGACGCCCATAAAAACCATTTGTTCTTGTCTCTCGCTCCTGGCGTTTATAGAAGCGAGGGGTGGTTGCCTTATGCGTGTAATATGATAGAAAAAGATAGTCTGGGAGTATGAGGAAACATTCAACAATATTCGCGCATCGATCCCGGCACTCATTAAGACGTTTGTAAAACGCGATTTCCTTGAGGAAAGGATGCTCTGCTGCCTTTTCTTCAGGGGGTTCGGTCGCGACGAACAGTTTTCACCACAATAGTTGGAGTGACATGGTAGATATAAGCGTCAAGTCCTCCGCCAACCCAGTTATGTTCCTCGAGAGCAGCAGCGTAATGAAAGCCCATGGCGAATTAAAACACATATAATGGTAGTCGTGGCCGTGCAAACTTTTGGCAAAGACGTACAGAGTTGATAACTCTTTCGGTGACGGCAAATAATGATCGGGTGTGAGAAGGGGTTGGGAGTGAGGGTAGAGCAGGAATGGAGAGAAGGGGGAAAGGGAGAACCTTGGGGAGATCGTCTTGCAAATAGGGTCTTATAGCACGCCTCTGCCGAGTAAGGGAGACAAGCACTCGCTACAGTACGATAGCCAACATATTCGTACAGTCTTAAAGGATAATTTCTTGTAGCCATCATTTTCGTACTACGGCATACGACGATCAGCTCCCGATATCGATACTGAACTAGCACTCCCAATTCAGGCACCAATTCGCAGGCCGCTAAGAAGAAAAGTTGCAACAACGTTGAGTTGTGTTTCTGGCGCATTTCTTCTTTCAACTGTTTACGAGCCCAGTTTGACCAGTATCGACAGCAAGTAAGCGCAAGCCAATGGGGCCCAAAGAAACTATGCCAGGCCTGAAATTTCTCGTCATAGGTTCATCGAAAATTAGTCGAAAATTAGTCGAAAATTCATCAAAGTATAGATTTATTTCTCAAGCAAAAGCAAATCAGAACATTCTCCCATCGTGTACAGGTCCCGAGAGGATCATTGTTTGTACCTGGTCTGGAACCTGGACGTAACATAGGACCATTGGTGACATGGTTGCTAAAGGAACGTACCCCGGAAATGAGGTAAATGCGTACTACGGGGATCTGCAATATACCTAGACTAGTTCGTGATAAACGGGAGTATATTGTACCAGCGTCGATGAGTTTGTTTGGTTAACCACGGTACTCATCTACTTGGCATGATGCTAAATACATAGGAAATATCCTAGGGACGCATGGGATCTCGACTTGGCCGAGACCATCTTATCGTAGGTCGCATGGAAGAGGGGATCTGGTACTTCATATAGAAAGAGATGTTAGTCTTCAAACAATGGCTAGGATATAAGGAAGTAGTATCCCTTAGGTCAACCCAACCCAGCACCTGTGTTTGCCATCCACGCTATATTTTCTGTCAATCATCCATATACTCAGTGCAATCCGTATATGGCGTGCCTTAACTTGTCCTTACTTCGCAAGATAAAAGACCTTCTATCCAAGCTCCGAGGTTCAGACAGAGAGCGCTGTTACTCGCCTACATGGTTGTGGGGACCCGATATCGAACTCCAAGAAGAAATTATCGTGCTTCCTGACTCTGAAGAGCTCGTGAAACTACAGTCCAAAGTAAGTAGTCAAAGCTTATCCTGCCCGATAGGGAACCATTGGAGGCCCTCATATTTTGATATAACCTCGACGTCAACTAATAATGGTTCACAAGTTGGAAGTTCCCTGTACTGACTCAGATATAGTATAAACAAGTCAACAATCAAGCCAATTTCCGTACTCATCCACAAACAACTTTGCATAGCGAAATGGACGCCTTTGATCTTGCCTTTGATCGTGCGGCCCGTCGTGGCGATGACATCCGTATCAAGTCCATTGAGGCTTGGTGTATGCATGAGGAGGATTGTGGCTATCATTGGGTAATTACCTATTCACATCCTACCGGGGGCTCGACGAGTGTGAGCCGGGAGATAAATGTCCCACCAAAGTGGATCACAGGAATTCCACGCGAAAAAGGTATCACTGCCATTGAATTTCCAGTCACGTCTTGGTGCCCGGACCTCGAAAGTCTCGCGTCTCGCGTATGTTTCCTCGAAGAACATCACTACAGCTGTGCTAATTTTGTGTAAGTTCGAACCAGGACTAGCATATGTAACACCAGCTCTAACATTCTTATAGGATTGCTCTACTCTGGGACCATAAGCGTTGCAAATACATTGAAGACCCAGATAATCAAATACGAAGTCTCGCGGATCGAATGACTAAACTTGAAGAAGAATTGTCAACTTTTCACGTCTCTGAATACCTCGAACCATTTTAAGTTCCCCGATCAAACATACAGTCAGACTTGGAAGTTAGGGTTATTATCTTTGCACCTGGAAAGGATCACGTGTTCCTGGTTGCAGGGTCGAAGGGCGACAGCCACGGAAACATCTGGGAATACCCTGGTTAGGCTATAGGGCAGAGTGACAACCCCATTTTGGATTGTGTTGCTCGTAAGTTTCGTGAGAAGACCCAACTGCATATCTCTGCTTTCATCAACTGTTTTTATGACAAGTGGCTGGAAGGAAACCGGCAAGTGGACAAGTATACATTCATTGCGGATGTGCATGAGAGCAAAAAACCTGAGGAACTGTTCACAAAGAAAGAGGTAATACTCAATGCGGCCGACTGCCGAAAAATTTGGTGGGCGAAGCGAAGGGATATAGAAAAGATGGATGAGGCTATGCTTTTCCCACAGAAGGATATCATACTACGCGCTTTTGACTTTGTGGAGCGTCAATAATGTGCAACCAAGTGTTATTCAGGTGCGTTGTCTCTCTATTCCCCTCCCTTCTCTCTCTCTCTCTTTCAGTCTCTCTTTCAGTCTCTCTTTCAGTCTCCCTTTCGCTCTCTCTCTCTCCCTTTTTTAATTTTGCATTCATCCTTGTTGATTCATTTTTGTTAATGTCAATGGTTTCTATTAATTTGACTTGATTCGATGTTCTAATAAATTTAACCTGCTCCGAGTCTGGCTGCAGGTCTGTGGTGAATGTAATATGTGCGAAGAACGATGAGGCTCTAGGCTGGACCTGGTCACTAGCTGATGCCGATAATTAGACATGCTAGCGTCAATTCTACGAGCGTGCTATCCGGGATGCTGCCGTTGGGTTGCCGGACTTTTTATGGCCCTACAGTCGTAAGATGTAAACGCTCCATACTCCTAACATTTTGGTCCCTGTTATATTCCATTGTTTAGTACTGTTCCCACCATTTGCATGGGCTTTTAGGGCGCGCTTGACCAACGAATTCGTCAACCTGCGCTCAGACAGACTGCTTTAGAGAATGTGTAGTCCATTGTTCAGGAATGTGCAAAACTAAAAAGGCACAATTGTACAGCTATTGTCACGGGCCACTCTCACGCGCTTGACCAGGTGGCTGGAGCTCTGGAGCATTAGCAGACAGGCTTCACCGATATATAATTATTGTAGAGCTGCCAGCTAAATTATTTGTAGGAACTTCGCTAATACACGAAGATGTCTTTCTACATAGGCTGTTCGAGATCTCTAAAAGTGCCTTAGAAAGAAAATCAGTAGGAAAAAGGGCTATTTGAAAATAGCCAAGAAAGGATAGAAGAATTTCCATGGTATACTCTGTTCAGTCATTCAAAGTACAAGACTTTCAGCATATTGGAGTGCTGAAAGCTGGGAGACTATTTATATTTATATCATAGGTTGCTTGTTAACGCCCACGATTTGCGTTCAACCCCTCCACGTAAACGCCGTACTAATACTAAAACTAATTATAGTAATCCAGGTTCTTTTCAATGTATCATTGGCTCACTGTAACTCCTTTTTCTTTTTTTCCTTTTGATTTGTCTGTCAGTTATTCTCTTCACAGAAATGGATGAGAGAAGGAGATTGCGTGATACATATTTGCGACAAGAATTTCTGGTTTTTTTGGATGTTTGAAAACGTTTTGACCGACTGTGACGATTTCCCACCCAGTCCCAGAATTTCGGAGTGGCAGCTTAGGCTTTGGGTCCTACTTTTTCATGAAATGATGTAGGATACCCTCCCGGCGCTATTCCTAGGAGTGTACTAATATGGCCGCAGCCACTGTGATACTATTGGTGACCATACTATGACAGAGCATGGGTGAGTATCTTAGGACTCTAGGCTGAATATCCTGTCGGTAGACTGACTTCAAATCTGAAATTCCAGTTACGAATTAATCCTCGCGAGGCGTCGGCGCGAAGACGAAATTTACGACTTCTATGATGTCCACCAAGCAGCTGATGATTGCTCGGGACTTGCCGTTCGCAATCCATCAAATTATCAGTGGCATGCAGTGGTATGAACCTTGAATCTATTTGATCCAGATAGATTTTTCTAATTTCATCGATAGAACCGACACTGGAATGCTAAGTGTCCCTGGAATATGAGAAGCCCCTATCCCGAAATTCCTCCAAAACCCAATCGTCTGCGGGGGAAACCTCTTCCGACCGTAGAAGAGATGGAGGGAATATCTCATGCTGAACTCTAACAATATGTACCCAAGGGTATCATTTGTTATCCAGCCACCCCCATAACTGCAGCATGGAGTCTCCTGCAACCAGGATGTTGTACCGATTTGGATGGCCGAGCAATTTTCGACTTCGAATTTTCGACTACTCTCTATATCTACAACCTCAAACAAACCCGATAGACCAGCATCAAATCAGATCGATAACTAGGTGTTCATTGGGAATCAATAGTTGTCGTGGAGGACAACGGACATATAGAGAGGGAAATATGATCACCCATATTTTCCTTTTGGCAGACATCTACACCACTTCTTGGGTACTTTTGATCCGGTGCATACGCGTCGGGGACCAAGAAAAGTGGCCCACGGGAATTGCAAAGAAACTGTTGCCCGGGTCGGCGATGCCCGCAAACGCATTGTACCAGGCCGCCAGCGCGGCCAGAATCCCCCAAAATCCACCGGCTTTTTGAACGGAGATATTGATAGTGCCGGTCGATTCGGCGTGAAGGTGAGCAATGCCGAGGAGGAGGTAATTCACGTCCAAGAAAAAGAACAGAAGAAATAGTGCGGTTGAGGACTTGAGGATGCACAAGAGCATGATCGTGGTAAAGATGAACCAGGCCTGGTCTATAGGTTAGAATGAAAGATGCCTCCAAGTGTTTTTTTTTTTTCATGGGTCAGGTATGAATAGTTTGACTGACCATTAGGAATAGCCCCATGAATGCTTCAGATGGAGAGTTGTCATTGCTGTTTTCTTTGGTGGGATTAGAAATGTCCGCGTTGGAGATCAGCGCAAATGCTATCCAGTAGCCGTCATACGAACAGCACGGATGCAGTCATTCAACGCGGAAGGGAATGGCTCATGCTAGGGCTCGGCGACGTCCGGTTCTTCCTCCCGGAGTCTCCGAATTATCCCGCCCAAGGATATTTTCCTGATACATGATGTTGATTGACCCGATCCCCTGCTAAGTTGTCGTGTCCTTCATTTGTTTCGTTGTAGAACAATGATTCAGGTTCCCTATAAGATCACTTACTGACATTGAGGTCTGGCTCGTCATGAACTTGTTTCCCCAGGTACAAACCCTATACTGTTGGTATTGTACTAAAGCAATATCAATAAGACCCGCGGAAAAGATGGGACTCCGCGGGGAGTAGAAGATAAACCCACTAGACAAGGTCCAAGAAAAAGAATCCGGTAGACCCAACAGGAAACGAGTGGCCTGGAAAAGGAAATTTCACGCGGACGATGATCACGAACCCGGGCCATAATATTCTGCTGGGATTGCGGTAATAAATGACCGTAACAGATCTCTGTCCACTGTGTCTTTGTTTAAATGTCGTAAGAGAGGGGGTTAAGTTCTTCTGAGAAGGTTTTGGATACTCCCTTTCGCATTGTCTCAGTAATGGGGAAGGGCGTAAAGATAAAAGTTAAGAGACGAAATTTATTTTAGCTATTTTTTAAGGCCAAACTGGTAACTAGACAAAGGATCAATATATCCGTGGATTGCTTTCGTACTAGATAGCGATTGGCAAAGGACGTTCTATAAAATCCCAGGTTGGAAACTCCCGGCTCTGATTGAGGATACGGCGATGTTATCTAATCGTACCTATACTAGATATTTCTATTCCACTGCCAGTATCCATGGATGCCTATTTCATGACACATTAAATCGGGTCGAGGATCCGTCGGAGGCTGCCGTGAGGGCCCAACACCCCACTTGATATTGGAATTGCATGAATTCGTGCTTGCTGTCATGAATTCATATATTAGTGAGTTCCGATTGTATCTGATTTATCTGATTTTTCTGGATTGGGGCATAAACACTTTGTGGCCAGTGTTTGGAGAGATTTATGCGTACAAAGTCCCCCTTAGCTAATTCATCCCCTGGATTTCTGACGACCCCCCGTATTCCCACCACATTCTCTTCTTTTCAAGTTACGTTGTATATTCCAGAAGATATATTATAAATAGTAAAGACCCAGCGAGGCACGACCGAGTCGAATCTTGAACCTTCCCAATCGAGTTTGGCGGGCTCTTGGCGTTGCGATGTCAGCTCGCAGCGAACATCATGACATGTTTACTTCGATTGATCCGCGAAAGAAAATCCCCAAAGCCAATGAGCGAGCTGCGTTATAGAACACCAGTGGTTCTTGGATTCTTCGGTCTCTGAATCCATTGCAGCCGGACATGGCGCTCTTTGACTCGGCGCCGCGGGTCTTCCTCGCAGCCACCACGCTGCGTCTTGTTCTCCTTCTGTACGGAGGCTGGCAGGATGCCCATTCGGCTGTGAAATACACCGACATTGACTATATGGTTTTCACCGATGCCGCGCGTTATGTCGCTCGCGGTGAGTCGCCTTATGCGCGCGACACGTATCGCTACACGCCCCTCCTGGCTTGGATGCTCCTCCCGACGGCCTGGGAGGGTGCTGCCCCCTGGGCATCGGTGGCCTTTGCTTTTGGAAAGGCTCTATTTGCGCTTTCTGATGTGCTGGCTGGATGGCTGGTCGTGCAGTTATTGCGCCGGTGCTACTCTTTCCCCATGGAGAAAGCGCTGCGCTATGTCGCCGTCGTGTGGCTGTGGAACCCCATGGTCGCTAACATCAGCACCCGCGGCAGTGCCGAGGGCCTGCTTGGTGTGCTGGTCGCTGCGCTGGTGTGGGCCTCCCTGACCCGACGTGCGGTGCTGGCCGGCGCGATCCTCGGCCTGGCCGTCCATTTCAAGATCTATCCTTTCATCTATGGCGTATCAATTCTGTGGTGGTGGGATGCCCAGTGCGATGGAGTTGCTGCGCCCGTCCAGCAATCCAGTCTCACCTCACGCGCTGTCGCTTTTCTCACCCCGTCGCGCGTGAAGCTCACGGTCTCGGCCCTGGCCTCTTTTATCGCGCTCAATCTCCTCATGTACTTCCAGTACGGCGAGCCCTTCCTCCAATATACCTTCTTCCACCATCTCACCCGCATCGACCACCGCCACAACTTCTCTCCCTACAGCACCCTGCTCTATCTGTCTGCCGCCGGCGGTGCGAACTCGCATTTCGAGGCACTCGCATTTCTCCCTCAATTGCTGTTGGTCGTTGTCCTGCTCCCGCTCGTGCTGGCAAAGAAGAGCTTGACCACCGCAATGCTCGCCCAAACTTTTGCCTTTGTGACGTTCAATAAAGTCTGTACAAGCCAGGTATGCTCTTCGACTTTGGCCTATCGTTGCGCGCTGGATCGTAGCTCACTTGTCTAGTATTTCCTATGGTATCTGGTCCTCCTTCCATTCTACCTTCCTTCGTCTTCGTTCATCCGGAGGCCAGCTTTGGGGATTTCGGCTGCCGGTCTCTGGGTCCTTGGGCAGGTATGTTTCCTCGGTGTTCTCTTTCTTTATCTATCTCTGACTGCGTATGATAGGCTCTTTGGCTTCATCAAGGCTATAACCTTGAGTTCTTGGGTCGCTCCGCCTTCGTCCCGGGCTTGTTCCTTGCGGCCTTGTTTTTCTTCGCCGTGAACATTTGGATCCTGGGCATCATTATCCAGGATGGAGGCGATGATGCTACCATTAATGCCGGTGGGAGTATTAAGCCCTCGGCAAAGATCTAGCTGGGAGCGCTAAGCGTTCCTACCATGTACACTATTCCTGGAACTAATTCAATTGTCTTGCTCAATCCGTTGATCCATTTTAGTTGGCTGCATGATAAAACCCCCACGTTGTTCTGTCATCGAACATGTAAATCCTTCCGCGATCTCCAGTTTTGACTCTGTCAGCGAGAGGAAACACGGAAATCGAACATAGTTTGCTTCAAGGCTTCTTGGGGATAGATCAGAGTTGGAACTAACATGGTTGTTTGGGTGGGCACAGGTTCCTGCTTGGATTAAGTTAAAGACCCATAAGACTGAAGATTGACAAGTCGGGGCGTGTTTGAAGCAAATATCCATGAAATTGTTGTTTTTTGTTTCAGGCATGGCAAGGGGAAAAAAAAAAAAATGAATATGAAAATAACAAGGGACAAAGAGATAAAAGGAAATGGGGTATTGGGCTAAATGGCGACAGCACGCAGGACAGATAAAATCTTCGAAGAACAATACTAAGACTTGGACGCATCGGCGATAATCTTGTACATGCACGCCTGGATACTTCGGGGTCGGGCACGGGGGTACACTGCGCCCACGATCTGCTGGTTGGGCCCATACTGTGGGTAGATGCCATCGGCCAACTCAACAAAGTGGGCCTCCGGTCGGTTGATCCGCAGAGCGTCAAGAATAGGATAGCTCCACAAGCCCGCGCACTGATCGCCGATGAGTTGGAAGTATGGGTTGAGTAACGGGCATGGCGAATCCAGGTCGATGAAGCGGATGCGCAGATAATCCAGGGCAGGGAGCCCCGACAGACACTGCACAGCCCCAATCACCATTTTCTCAAACGCGTAGATGAAACCCATGTTAGTGATGCCCGACAGCTCTGAGCTCAAGGTGAATGGCAGTTGGCCAGATTGCAGGCCTTTGCCGGCGCAGCAGGTCTTGACTACAAGATCCAGTGATTTTAGGCGCATCCGGGTTGGCGAGTTAGCAATCTGGTATTGAAGCGCTTGGAAGAACGTGGCACAGATCTTGCCAGTAAAGGCCAAGGACTCCAAACGCGGTGCAAGCTCACCCAACAACTGACAGATGGGTGGAAGCATCGTTCGTGTGCCAAACAATCCTTTCAGAGTGTCCTTGTTGTTGTAAAATCCTTCCAGGCTCAAGTTGACGTGACGTACCGAGCGCGGCGGCCGCACTAGGATCTGGGACATGGTGAAGTAGACTTCAGGCTGAGGCTGAGCATAGCCACAGTGCCACTCTCGCAGTGCCGGTAGCGCTCGTGCCAAATTGTACCAGTGTCCCGAGTCTCGCATCAGGTTCCAAGACCCTCGCATCACCAGAGTCTGGATGTTCGGCAGGACCGAGAGGCGCTGTCGCCCGACGAGGGTATTCGAGTGGTTCCGGAAGTGTTGGACCATCGGTGGGTTCTTGCAATGTCCTCCTTCAAGGGTCAGCACCCGAGCTGCCGAGAAGAAGATCTGGATGAGTTGAAAGATCTCGTCTAAGGTGGCATTGTGCGTGGCACAGTGATAATGGATGTCGTTGCCGTGAGAGGGGTCTGAATGAGCCCACAGCGTCGCCATAATCGCATCAACATTCCTGGTATCTGTTGCATCCAACCGTCGTCCTCGAGGCTGGCGTGGGGGTGGTCGACTCGCTCGGCTCCCCCAGACAGGAATCCAAACTTCGATGTGACGGACATGGTTGGTGAGATGTGGGTGCTCTGAGAACCACTCGGCGCATTCTGCCAATCCTTCCGTGGTCCCTTTGACCTTGATGTGTCGGTAGATACGGCTTTGAACCAGAGGCGTCCACACACGCGAGATCAAGGCCAAATTCGACAGCGCTTTGCGCCGCGGGTGACGAAGGGCCTTGTTCCAGCTCTGGCTCGATGATTTGCCCGTCGTCGTGGTGATAAACGCTGAAACCCGTTCGCCGAAGAGGTGATCAAGGATTACTTCATGGATTTCGATTGGCAAATTGGCAAAAGGTGATGTTGCGCGACGTGGCGGTTGTAAATTTGTAGATGCGGATACGGGTGATGCCGGAGATATCGAAGACAGATTCTGGGTTACGGTTGAAACTGAGGACAGAGAGTTGTCATGGCATGAAACTTCCGCACTGGTGATGCGGTTGGTCTTTTGGCCGGTTGTCGTAGCGCCTGGGATCGAGGTTCTGGCCAAGGAATTGACCGACACGGGCCGGGGTGGGGGGATGGTGGAGATCATGGGGACCACGATAAGGAGGGAAGGGAACCCCTTAAATGAAGTTTCGCGGAGGGTTAAAACCCCGAGGAGACTCGAGAAAGAGAGGCGCAATAAAGGGTTGACTGCCCATGCGACACAGTCAGTATGAAGACAAACGAAGGACGGCCAGCACAACACTTGCTGTTGGTATGATGTGCCGGCGATGCGCACAGCCTCTGGGGAGCGGGTTTAGGCCACAGAAAAGGACCAGTAAGTATCAATGACCCTCCACTCGGCCCATGCCGATGACCGAATTGCGTATCGTGGGGACAGTCGGGAGGGGGAGCATAAGGTGATCAGGCTGTTGGGCAGCGGTGAATGAGGCGAGACAAAGGATTGATAGGGAGAAATATCTGGAGAGGGGATAACTGATTGGCAGAAAGAATTCCAAGAGAGAGAGAGAGAGGAAGAGAGAAAAGGAGTGAAGGATGATGGGGAGAAGAGAGGGAAGAAATGGAGATGGTAAACGGCAGAAGTGAAGGGAGAAAAGAAAGAGGGGAGACAGTCTGCACAACTCCCCTAGATCTACACGATCCGATGCTCTTTACTGCTTTGGATTTCCTTTGATTTCAATTTTTTTCCCTTCATTTTCGCTCTATCAAATTGACCGCGGTAGTTTGTTTGGATTATGATCCATCGGATCCACCACTCCAAGGCTATTGATTATGCAGGCTTAGAAACAGACCTCGGGAGACACCTCAGCCCATCTTGACTGTATCATGTCGTCTTTGAGGATGAGGCATTCAGCGTCCCAGTCATGGATATAACAGAATTTGTAGGTTTCTTCCAATTTTGAATAAACAAAGAAGGAAAATGATTTTAGTCTAATTATATCAAGCAATAAAACGAGGTGTGTTATGATATGCAGAACTCTTTTATATACGACACTATCTAAATAAATACAACTACTCCAGTGAAAATGAGACAAGATGCCCTTTTTTACTCCGATCCGAATATCCACTTCCTGGGGTTTAACGACTGTGCCGGCTTGTTTCAGCTCGAGGTGGATCGGATCCTGGTGCAAGAAATACAGCCAGTCCTCGTCATTAGTGAATTCCATCATGAAGACATGCGTGATGCCGTACTGTTCTCTCAGTCAGTGGGACTTGACGTCGAATGGAATTGGTTGCGTACCTGGATGTTTTCCGGGCTGATATCCTCTCCGCCTCGTAGGGTCTGGATATATGGCTGCTGTGTATTGGGTTTACGGCATCGGTCTTTCAGGCCGAGGATGGTGTTGCAGAACTACAGAAACGTCGGTGATCTCCCAGGCCATGTACATCCCGATCCTCCAGGATGATCACTTACCTCCTGCAGCTTGACGGGATCGGCGTCTGCCTTCATTTGGAACATGATGATGTGGATGATGCCCATGATGTCTGCTAATATGGGGGATCGAATATTCAAGGACCGGTGAGACAGTGCGCTATAAATGTCGATGCAGATGACATTCGAAAAAGTGGACAATGGAATTCGGGTATCGATGGAAGAAATGCAGACTTGAATGTACAAACGCCACATACACATCAACATACTAGCGCCTGCGCCTGAATCGGAAGCGGAGCTCATCCTCACTGTCGGAATCGCGTACCTCGCGTGGCCGTTTCTGACGCGTCGGAGCCGGGCGCGGATCCGGGGTCGGATCCGGGGATGCGGCAGGCTGCGATGGGGTTGCCTCATCGCGACTGTGGCCTCGATCGGCGGGCTGGCTGGTATCGGGGGATTTTTCACTGGTCCAGTAGTGGTCTCCGATCCCGAAGTCCTTGCGGGTGGTCTCCTCCAACGGGACAATCACGGTCTGCACGCGCTGCCGGGCATATTGCGGTTCACCTTTTCGACAAAAGCGCTTGAAATTCTTGCGGCCATTCCATTTTTCATCCCATCGGCCAGAACTACCATCAATATGGACCGGCGAGTTTCGGACTGGAATTTCCATTTCTTCCACGATGGCCAGGTTTTTCAACTGTCCGACGTCGATGTCGGCGGAGGAAGCGTGAGGATCTTCTTCCACTTGTCGCTGTTGTTCTTCCTCTTCACGGTGCTTGCGCGCGGCTTCCAAAACATCTAGCTTGGGCCGCTTGCGTTTTGGAGCAGCCTCCGGTTCTGCGGGTGTGGGATCAGCATCCGGGCGGTGCTGGGTCATCTCCGCACGGCGTCGCTTCATGGCCCGTGCTCCCGGCAGCAGACTTGACACGGCATCTTCTTCCGCTTGTTCTTGCACCGGACTCAGATGTTGGCTCAGTTGCGGGGGTCCTGAGGTCCAAGGTCCATACCTTGGGGGGCATTGGTGGGACCCTCATCTTCAGCTGAAGTATATATCGGCACAGACTCCATGTCAAAGCCATCATCAAATGTTTTCATCTTACTCACAAAGCTGCGAACTCGAGGACCCTTCGCGCGTGCTGTGGGCGCCTGGGTGAATTCAGGCTGCGGCGAGGTGGACGGACGGCCGGGATCGCTACTTCTCGAGGCTTGTGATGGCTCGGGTGCTGGTGCTGAGATAGAGACCTGACTTGGTCTGTCCTCGCTGGGAAGCGGGCGACAGAGGGGAGAAGCGTCACTCTCCAGGATGGCGTCAAGGAATTCTCTCTGCTCAATCACACGTTGGTCTGTCATCAAGGCGACTTCATTGCCAACCTCGATAGACCATGGCTCGTATCGACCCTTGGATCGAAACCGCACAAGAACCACACCTCCATGTCCTTCTCGATCACTGCCCATCCCTTTGGGTCCTGTTGCGTTCCTCATGAACTGTACTAACTCAGCGGCGGTGGTCACTCCGTCTTCCACTTGATAGAAGAGCGCCTTTCCCTGGCCATTGGTGATCGGTGCCTGAAGGTTTTTGAATTGTGCTGTGTCCCCGAAAACGAAAGTATATTCCTCGAAGATGTTGATACGCCCCGGATTCGGGGCAAACGCTGCGGCGGGGCGATTGATAGGTTCCTTGCCGGCGGGTGGAAGGTGTTCCGTAGGGTCTGGCCACGCGGCATCGAAATCGGTCTCGAGAGGTGATAACGATTCAAAATTCTCCAGGTCACCTGGGGTGGCCGCATAGACAAGTGCATCAATGTAGGAGTCCTGGACAATGTATTTGCCGTTGATCAGTGCTTGCAGGCCCTTGGCCGTATTACGCTTGCTTTGGACGACATGGGTGGTTTGGCCGACAATATAAGGGATTATCGTCTTGATATCGAGGTCCTCGAGTCGAGAGCAGACACGGGCAAGAGGGTCCTCTGTCTTCATCTCCTTGGAAGAGAACGAGAAACTAAGTACAACCGGCTCCCAGTGGATACTGATCCAATAACGTCAGTTGAGTATCAACGCAACCCACGTGGAGTGACAAACCGCAAAGCATGTTGATAGCGGCCTAGATTGATACTGTGTTCGTCGCCCGCCAGTTTGCATTGTCCTTGAATTTGTTCGCTGTTAACGAAGGTCCCGCACTTCGAGTCTAGATCAGTCACAGAAACCTCGGATCTGGCATGGGTACGAGTCTGTTTTTCTGGTCAGCAATGAATCAATCCACGTCGAATCGGCAGCGTACTCCATCGCGGGGTTTGACGGGGGAGACTTCGATGATCATATGCTTGCGTGATATCGAAGTGTGCTGAATCGCGTGGCGAACTACCATTCACAAGTCAGTTTCAATGGCCCAAAAAGTATTCGGGTTCACATAGAACTAGACACACCTCCATCTTGCCGGATTCGACCAAATAAGTACTTCTTGCCGGGACGCAGCCACACCCGCTTCCCTTTGGCTTCGTCAGACACTCCCAGGTTTCCTTAACGTTGATAACTCACCATCCAGAAAGTCCCCTGTTGACTCAAGAATCCACATGAGGAGCCGCCCGCATGTCTGAGTTGGTTGCGTTGAAGATGAGAGGCGTGCAAGTTGAGGGTTGGAACACGTGAAATGGAAACGCGTGTCCACGTGACCCGGCGTTTCGACTCGACGGCTGTGAATAATTAGGCCACGATTCTCTCAACTCGCGCATAAGATCCTCTCCAATGGACCTGGAAAATGGAGTCCTCCGGCCAACTGCCTGCGGATGACCAGTCATCGGAGTCGGCACGTGGCGAGGACTATGGCACTCTGAAATACCAGCTGCTTGGCCCCTCCTTAACCAAGGCGGGCCAGGACGCGGTCGATCAGCAAAAGGTGCGCGGGCCTGGTTCCGAGTGAAGTAGCATCGCTGGCTGATTTTGAATTGCTAGGTATCGGAGATTATCTACAACGCTTCTAAGGGGTCTAAATTCTTCAACCACGAGCAAGAGCGCGATCGGAACCTGACTGTCAAGATTGAGCGGATTCTCAAAGAAAAAGCTCGACTAGAGCGACTGGACCTTAGTCCTGATGTTCGACGAACAGACGAGTATCTAGCGGAGCTTGAGTTAAGCCGCGACCTGTCACAGCATGTCATCCATGTTGACTGCGACGCATTCTTTGCGGCGGTCGAGGAGTTGGACCGGCCAGAGCTCAAGACCGTGCCCATGGCCGTGGGGAAAGGTGTACTGACGACGTGTAACTATCTAGCCAGAAAATTTGGGGTCCGCAGCGGCATGGCATCCTTTGTCGCCAAGAAGCTTTGCCCTCAGCTGGTTCTCCTACCTCAGAACTACGAAAAGTATACGTCCAAGGCCAAGGAAATCCGTGCCATCTTAGCTCAATATGATCCGCTTTTTGAGAGTGCCAGCATTGATGAGGCGTACTTGAATATCACTTCCTTTTGCGAAGAGAACCATGTCGACCCCGACGAGGCGGTTCAACGGATGCGCGAGCAGATCCTGGAGAATACCAAGGTATCTGTCTCAGCTGGAATCGCAGCGAATGCGAAGTTGGCGAAGATCGCATCAAATAAAAACAAACCGAATGGTCAGTTCAGAGTCCCGAGTGAAAGGGATACTATCATGATGTTCATGCGCGAACTCCCGGTCCGCAACGTGAACGGCGTGGGCCGCGTCTTTGAGCGAGAACTCGACTCGATTGGCGTCAAAGTCTGTGGTGATATTTACCCACAGCGCGGGCTGTTGGCCAAACTGTTTGGGGAAAAAGCATTCCAATTCCTGGCCCAGTGCTATCTCGGCTTGGGACGCACAAAGATTGAGCCCGTCGAGAACTATGAGCGAAAAAGTGTCGGAACCGAGGCTACATTCCACGAGATCGGGGATAAAGAGGAGCTTCGTGCGAAACTACGATGGGCCGCAGAAGAGCTGGAAAAGGACCTGGCACGAACCCAGTTCAAAGGTCGCACGCTGGTGTTGAAAGTCAAACTCCATACTTTCGAAGTGCTCACCCGTCAGACAGCACCGCCGCGCGCCGTATTTCAAGCAAAAGACTTGTATGCATTTGCCCTACCGATGCTGGTCAAGTTGGAAAAAGACATCCCGGGTATGAAATTGCGACTGCTGGGTCTTCGCTGCACGAACCTTGTCAGCACCAAGAAAGTGGACATCAACTTTTTTGGTCTAGCGGCGCAGACCAAACCCAGTACCGGTTCTACTGTCGACGAGAAGGCGGAATGCGAGATCGGTACGGAGGAAGCTTTCGAAACAGCTGCTCGTCAGGAGGTACAAGACGAAATGAACGATTTGGAGCAGTTGAGTCAAGAAGCAGCAGGGGGACCAGACACCTCCGAGCCCGAGATTACCTCAAGCACGGGGCCAAATTCTTCTCACCTGGAGCAGTGGGAATGCCCAATCTGTGCTCGACTCCAGGATGCAGATGATCGTGCCTTTAACGATCATGTGGACTTTTGCCTGTCTCGACAGACCATCCGAGAAGCCGTGCAAGGGGCATCGCAGGACGTGCCCTCGATACCTCCGACCCAGAAACGAAAGACTCCATCACATCCCTCTGGTTCAGGCACGGATCCACGACAGAAACGATTGTTCTTCCGCTGAAATGTACACTTGAAAGTAAAAGTAAAAACAAAAACAAGAGCTCGAGCTTCAAGTGTATTGTGGTATACTGGGTACTTTGATATAAACATAACCAATAACCAGGCTCCTTTCTACATGAATTCATGAATCAATAAATACGGAAGAGCCACGAACTACTACGAACTACTACGAATTAATACCGAGGAAACAAGTCTCTGTCGATGATTGTAGTCCCTGGAATTCCTCGATGCGGTGAACACCCGCCCTAAACCCGTTCGGGGGGCAATGTTTTCCAGACAGTTGATCTTCACCCGCAGACCCTCTCTCTCTCTCTCTCTCTCTCTCTCTCCTGCCCATCAGGCCATTGGAAATCTCGCGGTCTCGTCTTTGTGCTGATCAGTACCACCATGCTGACAGCCTGCAGAGACTCGCAATGTCATAATCTGCACTCCACTCCCCCGCAACCATGACCTCCGATAAACAAAACAACGGCCATCTCGCCAAACCATTCACGCCAACCCTCAGCGCGGCCTTTCACCGGACCAGCAAGTCGCCTCTAACGCCGAAGCTCGCCAGTCCAAGTCCAGGACCGCCTGTTGCCCGCCGCCTCGCCCATCCGGACCAGTCGTATTCAACCCCTTCCAAGGACGAGATCCCCGCGATTCCTCCAACCTTCCTTAGTGCCAACGTTACGCCTCGATCAGGCTCTCGCAACACGCGCCGGGATGGATTACTATGCTCGCCCTCGAATACTCCCCCAGTCCCTTCGCCGCAGACTCCCTATTCTCAGCCCACCACCGGCCCTGGCGGCCCTGGGTACAATGGGGGCCGTCGAACGGAACGCAGCCCAGCTCGCGGCGTCAAGCCAGAACAGCCGAGAAGCTTGAGAGCCAAAATCCTGACAGCAGAAGGGCCGCAGCTTTCGCGTCCAAACTCATTTTCTGACGTGCCTTCCTCGTCTCCTATGTTCTTCCATGCCTCCGATGCCCACTCCTCCCACTCCTCCGAGACGGATACCTCTCGTCCCAAGCCCCAGGCGAAGATGTCCCCTGCTTCGAGCTTTATCTATGCCGACGGGAACCAAGAACAGCAATCACCGGCGGAGGATTCCATTGCTACAACTGCTGCTAATCGCCGGTCCGGTGGTCTCCCGGGGGGCCTTCCCCGTCCCGTGGCCGCCAGCAGACCAGTGCCTTCGTCCTCGCCTCGCTTAAAATCCCCCAAACTTTCGGATGCTGCTTCCCCCCACCGGTCGACACACGGCTGCAATCCAGCCCCAACCCTGATCCCGGATTGGATCGGTTCCCGCAGCGCTATGGCTCGCCTCCAAGCACACTCCCTCACAAACCACACCCCTCGATTACACAACACGCCAGATCATCCAGTATGGACTCGACACACCACGGTACTCCGCTACGGGACAGTCTCCATGCGAGCCCTATCATTGTCTCTCCCAGCACCTTCTACGGCGAGGGCAGTATGCCGGTGATGTCAGACCAAATCCCCACTCTTCGCCCCCGGATCTTCAGCAATGGATCTTCCGTTTCTGTTTCGACCGATGCCCCGTCATCTGTGCCTCTTAGTCCTGGAAAATCAGAAGGCCCCGGTGGTGACGCGGCGGCCAATGCTCGAACCGAGCGCAAAATTCTAGATCTGGAGATCAGTAATTCGTCTCTGCTTGCTATCAATCGCACACTGGAGCGAGAAATGCGGAAACAGAATGCTGAGCTGCGTCGATATCGACGCCTAAGCCGCTCGGGTCGTCTGTCCGTGGCCCCCTCCACCCGGTCTTTCTCGGGCACAGCACTGTCGGTCACCAGCGAATTAGACGAGGGTACCAGCGAGCTCTCATCCACTCGCTCGCAGGATGACTTAACCGAGTTCAGCGACGAGGAATCTGTCGCAGACGAGAGTATCATGAGCCCAGACTCGCTGGCCGAGCACGACGCGAAGCACCGAGTTCACGATGAGAAGCGGTTCATGCTTGACCTTGTGCGGCACCAGGAGCTCCTGGTGGACAGTCAGAAAATGAACCAGAGCCTAAAGCGCTGTCTGGGATGGACAGAAGAGCTGATCAAAGAAGGGCAAAAGGCACTAGAGTATAATGTCCATGTCCACGATATCGAGCTTGGTGGGCGCGTGCTGGCACCGGAAGAACTGGGTGAAATCGACGAGAGCACACAAGGATTGCTCAGTCCGTCCACCGAATGTCCTCCGACGTTTCCCTCGAGTGAGCCGGCATCTGATGCCATGGAACAGGCTGCATAGTCCTCCACTTTTTGGCTTCCATCTCCCGGCGAGAGGAAATCTCTACTTGTCATCTGTGTATATGTTGCCAAATACCCCTATATTTCTGTGATCTGGTCATCCTGCAACCTGTTCTGATACAGACTTTTTTTTCTTACGCTCACTTGCCCTCACTCATGCCCTTCCCCAGTTGTACCTTGCTACCCGCCCCGGATTTCTTTCTTTCCTTTCTGCTCAAGTCTGTCACCCAAGGTGATGGTAAAGATCGATATACCTAACCATCTAGGTTGACTGTCGTGATGTACTTGGACATTTTCCCCCTGGTTTTTTTTTCATTCCGATAGATACCCGACATGCTACTCTGCGTTTGACACACTGTTTTGGATTCTTGCCGTGAACGCTCTCTTATGTTTTGATATGTTGAAGAATAATAAGAACAATACGATAATTAATTTCCCTGACATGTTTGCCATCAATATAATTTATCATGTCGTGTTCGACGACTGCCCAGTTTTATATCCAGCTGAATATCATGTTGAATGTGAATAAAGACCTTGCTCTTCTGCTCCTTCCAATCTTGTTGCACTCGATATGAAGAGCCCACGGTTCATCCGATAGCTACTAACATCCCTCCACGCAGAGGGTCAGTATATCACGGAAATGGACACCGGCCCGTCCGCTGTTCCCGAAGACTCTCCTTTATAACCTCCATGTCCTTCCGACCTTTCCCCTCAAAGTATTTTGGTCCCAAATTAGGCGTGGAGTAGCCTTGCGGGTGGTACTTCTCCCCTTCGTCGCCCGGCAGCGGCTGACCGAGCACCCACTTGCACCACGCAATAGGCCCCCAGCGATTCCAGAGGGTAGGCTGCACATAGAACGGTGCGCCTTCGTACACCAGAACGAAGTTACGGCCTTGCTTGTTGGGTTTGTCGGTGAAGACGTCCAGGCGCAAAAGGTTGGGGCGCGGCAGGGCCAAGTATCGAAGGCAAAGTCTGCGCAGCGTGAAAAATAGAAAAAACATGGAGTGGAACTCTCTCGGTGGGGAGTCTATCCTAGATGGAGAAAACATATGAGTCCTTGTTTACGCAAATATCATGTCTGAGAACATACATCATTGCTCTGCGCAGGCGATCATCCATCAGGTACGAAACAAAGTATACACCCAGCGGCTTCATGAACCCGGGTAGATTGTATACTAGAACGTCGATGGTCCTGTCCGCGATCTCCTTGTTGCGTGGGTGCGGCTTCATATGCTGTGATTCGTATTGTTGACTCCAGGCGCACATCTCCTCCAGCCAGTGGATACCGTCTCGAAATCCCGTCTTCCCCGAGGGTAGGACTTCATAACTGATGCTCAGCGCATCCCCGAGGCTTTTCCAATAGGTTCCGACCGCGCATCGCTCCATGTCGGACATTTCACGCCACTCGTACAGCCCAACGAACCGGATCGGCTCTGCAGCGAACAGGCCCAAAGTGTAGAGCATATCCTCTTCCAAGATCTTTCCGCTGGCACGGTAACCTTTATGCAGGAACTTGGTTCGTGCAATTGCCGTCTGCGCTCGCTCTGAACGTGGCTCAAAGGCCATGAACTCGCCGATCAAGGTTCCTGTGTCGGCATATCGCTTGAATGAGGTTGCCGGATCCGAGAACTGGGATGTCTTAAGTAGCAGCGTGGAGATTGTGGGAATACCGTACGTCTGCGTCGCAAAATGCGTCAGCCTGGGTTTTATTATATGCGTGAGAAAATGCAAAGGCTATGACATACTCGGAATAAGGCAAATTGGAGTGATTTGAGTACGATGAACGGGAACTCCATCTGCGAGATGGTCTTCTGGATTGCCCAGGCATCATGGTCGGTCATTCGACTGAATGACTCGCGGGTTGTATATGGAAATTTCTTTTGTAGATTGCGTTGCCGTTGGAAACGTAATGACAATGCCAGCACTAGGTACGCACCAAGCCCTGCTAGCATGGAGATGATGCACTGCTGGAGCGAGACTTGCGAGAGATTGTTGAGCTGAAGGATTTCCAGAAAGCTAGGCATGTTCGACGACGTTATCTTGACAATGGTCAAGTCAGAGTTGCTAACCTCGAATATATCAATAGTTGGAAGCTGAATATATTTCCTGGTATGTTGGGATGATAACGTGGTTTATATGCATCCATTCCCACTCCTAGGACAAGATATTTAGCCTCGCAGTATACAATATATGTCAATGAGGAGCCATATAGCCAGTATTGCCTATAAAAAATGCCTCATGTAATGGGAACCCCTCTCAAAGAACAGGCGGACCGAGGAGTAAACCATCGAGCAGAGTGGGTTTTACCAAAGTAATGCATACAATGCACTGAGAGATGGTGTATACCAAACCAAAATCGAGTATGCGGCATACAACGCCAGAGTGGTTAAAGAAGAACATAGCCGAGGTGTGGCATGTCAGCCTAAACTATCAGTTCATCAAGCTAATTATGCCCAGCATTCAGTGGATGATTTGTTAGAATGGTTTTCTCGTTTCATGCACAACAGCAGCATAAGGCCTGGCATACTCGGCAAATCGGTCGGGGTCGAGCTGGCCGACATCGTACGACTGTAGTCGAACAATGGAAGTTCGGGAAACCCCAGCTCATTCCACTAGATAAACCCCGCCGGAGCACAAAATTGCTGGGGATCAACACTGCCGCCGGTTTTAGAGCCATCGCGGTTGGTCGGGCGATCCGGGATCAGCATCACATGGGACGGATATGACATCGCTGGGGCATGCCGGGCCAACAGCATCCGTCGAGTTGGTCAGAGGGGTTGCGGGATGTATACAGATTGGGGTTGTCTTCGGAATAGCCCAGTGCCTGCTTCATTTTCCTATATTCGTTTGTTGGTCAAGTTCCCTTGGCGAAAATGGCGAAGCAACGGTGAATATCTTTTGATGAGGCTATCAAAGCCATCCCTCATGTTAACCGCGCGGCTTCTTGGCTGCCCTTGCTGGGCGGTTCAACTGCTCTACCGCATATAAGAAACTACTCGAGAAAGAAAGAAATTGTTGATATTTGCCTTGAATATACGGCATAAGTTCATTATTCCAGGAGCTGCCTAGGTATGGGGTTAACTTAAAAATTTTGTATTGTTCCAATATACGCTGGAACTGAATGATTTTTGGTTGATTCTATAAATAATCTTGAAGGCATTAATTGGTCTTCCCAGTGAACTTCTCTTGTGAGAGACCGCATGGTTTAGTATTGGGAGCATCCTATATTAGGGATACAGTCTCTCGGACTTATGTTTCAGATCAAAAAGGAAAACGGAAAGGAAAAGGGAAAAGAAACTTCACGAGAATTGATCTACAGAGTTGTGTCATTGGCAAGGCTACTATCTTTTTGGTGTCAACCCTGGGGCACCCAGCTAAGGGGGCCCAAAATTTGACCTAGTTTTTGGGCCCCCGTCGACTCGCTTAATCGACCGGGGCCCAAAGAATTCCTTATTATCTAGGCTAATTTTATACACAAATCTTTTTTTTTAATCTTTTTTATTCTATATCTACTATATCATGGCACCTTCACAGTATTTCCATGATCCCTTATTTGGACCCCGATTCCGACCACTACGAGAAGCTACCCTCATTGAGCTAGGGTCTGAGTTATCTTCCAGTTAACGTATTATTTATATGTTAATTAAATTATGTTTTTTATAGTATATCTAATATAAGTTTATTAATCTTTAAATATATTATATAGAGTTGATCTATAGATAAAGAAAGTATTATTAGTAAGAAATTTCATTATGCATAAAATATTTTGGGCCCCCCTGGCTGTAACCCGCAGTTGTACACATCCATGAGAAAAGTGTTTGTTTATAATCCTGAAAAATTTCTGACTACGACACAGATACTGCGAGATTCTTCGTTCAGAGATATTATGGACAATTATGGCTGTTGGTATTCTGCCTGCTGTGATGCACGCGACGAGTTGCTTTTTTGCTGGCCCTAAGAATTCAATCCCTTTACCTGTTCTAAAGTCTGCGAATACAAGCCCTCTGCCACTGATAGTGCGCTAGACACTTCGATACGAGATGTTATCGCGGGTGCAGTATCCTCGGTTTAAATATACCATACTCATTGACTCAGGAACATTCGTACAAGAAATAATAGAGGGAGGTGAATGATCACAGAAGGCGACTGTCCCACGAAATAAAAGCTTGTCAAGTACATATGACAAGCTTACGCCTTCTTGGGCTGCCCGTTGCCAACTTGGCTGGTGATATTGTAAGAACCAAAGCAAGCCTGCTGGTACATGGCCTCCTTGGACAGGTGAGGCACTTGGTCGAGGAACTTCTTCAGAGGACAGAACCCATTCACTGAGCCAGCACAGGTATTCACTCCATCCAGCGGCACCGGGGCATTGTTCAACACAAACCGGATGTAGTCCGTAGTTCCAGATTTCGAAGACAAATCTGGGTTCTTGTACATCTGCGGCTGAAGGTGTTCAAACGACGCTCCTTTAGGACACGTCCAAACTTCCGAGAACAGACGCGCACCAAAGGGAGTGAGCTGATTTAGGTTGAAGTTCCGGCGAGGGGCGTGAATTACAGACGTTGGCATGCCATGCGAGCTGTACTTGAAATAATCCAAGCCCAGTGCCGTCAGCACCGCGACGATGATGTCGTCGTGGGACATGTCCATGTACATCGGCTGGTGCAGTGGGAACTGCTTGGCATTGTTGTCATACGTGTAGTTGATGCTGCTGTCACTGCTCTTGATCAAGTGGGACTGGAGACGTGCCGCCAGCTCTTGCACGTAGCCAATCCCCTGGGCGCGGCCGCTGGGTGACCCGAAGCCATAGTTGCCGTAGAACTGGATGTCAACGTAGTACTCAAAGTCGCGCCATTCCTGCTCGGTAAACAGTGAACAAAAAGATGAGGTGCCTAGAGCCGCAGTTTCATATGGGCACATGCTGAACATGGCCATGAGATCGTGAGTGTTCAGCTCAAGATCATCTGGCAGGAATGCAGATAGACGCTTGCGGGCGTTCTTGACCAGGGTCTTGGCGAAAACCTCGGACGCATCATCTCTGGGGACAAGTTCGTTAGCGACGTTCAACTGGCGGTTATATTATTTGTTAGGAACCTACCCAGGACCAACGCCGTTGGGGCAAGAGTCTGTCGAGGAAAGTGTGTTGTTAAATTTCTCCCTTTCGGGCATGGTGACGAGGTTGTACTGTGAGTATGAGCTATTGGCGCCTGTGTTTCCAAAGAAACCGCCTTTGGGAAAAGTCAGTTCATTGGTCTGGTGAGGAAACACGAATAAAGGCACTCACTCAGCCACCAACGAGCGCTCTCCAAAATCCGAGGATAAGAGGTGCTGCGGAAGGTGGGCTTCGGTCGTGCTGTGCCATTGGGATACACATTAAACGATGAATTCCACGCCGCAGCACCATGAGGGACACGATAGAGTAGACGGCCGTACTGGCTCCAAAACTCGGCACCAGAGGCCGCCTCGGTGGCTGCCCCCGTCGGCAGGAGAGTTTCCTCGCCTAACAAATATACCCAATGATTCAAGAACGAGAGGGGACCCGAGCCGATCTTCTTGCTGGGGTGCTTCTTAGAATAGTTGGCCAGTTTCTGGGCAAAGTTCTCCATGCCTCCCCCGTCCAATGCCCATGCAGTAGGATACCGCTGCGCATGACGGTGTAAGACATGGACCTGCGACAGCTCGCACTCGGTAGGAAAGCCCTTAGAGACATTGAAGCTCGCTGCGTCGGCATAAGGGCTAAGATTGGCCCAACTGGTCTTCATGTCAAATCCCGAGGCGTAGGTGGCTCCTGTTGGTCCCGCGGCGGCAGCCGAATTCGAGGCAGCCATCGCAGCCTGTCCACCCAGTAGGACCGACAGGGCAAGCGCGGTGGAAGACATCAGAGTCAGCATGGTGAGTTTTCACGGCAAAGCCCAGTACACGCGTGGATGGCCGCTGGTTTCGTGCGGGGAGAGGTCAATATATAATAGCTAGGTAATGTGCGAGGGGAAGAGGGGGATCGGCTGCTCTCCTTCCAGCGAGGAATTCCTTCGGGCGCTGTGTTCTCCGCAGCTGCGACAGAAGGGTCGGACCGCCCTCAAAGAAGTGGTCAAGTTGCAGTGGATGACCCACTATGTCTACAACATCGGTGTGGGATCGACACGGCCAAGCCTCGGGCAAAATTGCTTGGCCCAGGTTAAGCGAGTCATGAATGCAGCCCTATCAGTGAGACTGTGCTGGGCGAGGGTCGGAAATTTCGCGAAACCTGCGTTGGGAAGACGTAGGCTATGGAAGGCCCACCGGGGCAAGGCGAATGCCGATCGGTGGGAACAGAAGCCCAGGAAAGAAATTGAACCCGACGGAAGAGCTCGCATGATGGTTTTGCGACATACGCCATTAGCGTTCTTATCCTTGATCCTAGCTTGATCATAGTTGCTGTGGGTGGCCACTAGTCGGGGAGATGCAAGGAGGGTTGTCGTCTCGGCGAGATTGACGACGCGATAAAAATGTCCCGTCACGGGACTCACTCATACCAGGGCTAACATGGACGATTTGCACTCGACTTTTCTCTCCCAACTTTCTTCAGGAAAAATGCTTCCTCGTATTCAAAACCAACAATGGTTGGCGCCTGGCTCCAGTCGTGTTCGCAAGCAAAATGAATGCCTTACACTACGATGATTCGCCGGCAGTGATATACCGCCTGGACATCCATCGGGTACGATTTGGATGTATCCAACATCTCACACGTGGGCCCTCCATATAACGCAAGGGTACCCTCGCCCCTGCGTCGTCCTCTCTGTCATTCTCGTTGGGTCTTGATTTATTTGACCGGTCCCTCTCAGAATCCTCGTCAGACCTTCACACCATGCCGGCGCTTCATCTTGCCCTCTATGCCCTCTGGGGCAGTGCGCTGGTCTTCGCCATCGTTGAACTGGGTCTCACGGCCTATGTCACCACTTTCTGGGGTTCCCGCCAAACCGTCACCTGGAATCCGGCCAGAAGTTATCTGTATCCAAAGATTCGCTCTAGCACCCCGGCCATTCTCATCTTTATACTTTTCGCTGCATGCTGGACCATCCTGGCCATGATCGCCTGCCTGGTGCTGCCATGGCTCTCTACGCGGAAGGGTGTCGTGAGCTCAAAGCTGAACAAAACACTCGCGGCCATTTTCGTAGCCATCTACCTTGTCACAATTGTGTTTTGGTTGGCCGCCTTCGCCGACATCGCAAATATGCTCAACGGCAATATCAACTCGTTTGATTACTTGGATGCCATCATTGCGTTCGCCGTGCTCCTTTGGTACGTACACTCGTATCATCATTGTCGCCCCCAACCAGCCCGAGCCTAATCGCTGACTTCTATCAAGGCTGGTCTTCTTCACGCTGTTGGTTTTGACCATTCTGGCATTATGTGGTGTGCTGGCGTCGGATTTGGCGGGGTATCAGTCGTTCAAAAAGCCTCAAGCTACCGATGTGCCGCATGAGAGTGCCAGTGCACCTGCTCGTGATGTGCCTATGAGTACGACTCCGGTGGCTCCATCGGAGCTGTCGACTCATGATGCTGAGGCTTTGCATAATCAGCCACACAGCCAGGCACATAGCACTTCCTCGCCCTCGGCCATTGCCAGTGCCGAGCTCAGTGGCGAGAGCGTCCAGCACTACCATGCTCATGAGCGGCCTGTCGGCCAGTCATGGTCATAATGAGGTGCACCTACACTGTCGATTTATGGGAGAGACATGAAAGAAGAGGGCTGGCATGAGGCCTTGAATGGGACACTTACTGGGAATTAATCGGATTTTTTGTCTAATAATAATGCCATGTCAATATGAATTGGGTCATATGCCGCGTGGGAATCTGGTTTACAGGAAGCTTAGGGAATGGAGACTGAGGTATACGAGACAATCTATCACTCAAAGAACATGATGCTCAGCGCCACAACAATTCATCATTGTCGAGGGGAGAATTGAGGAGCACGGGAAAAAAAGAAAACACCAGGGAACCAAAGTGTATGTCCAAAACGATACCACATAAAGGCAAGCTCAGCAAAAGAAAAAAAAAAAAGAAGAAGGAATACAGCTTGGATATCACAAGTCAAGGGATCACGCCGAGGTCTTTTCCTCCGGCTCCGGGACATCTTCACTGGAGCTGTGGCCATGCTTAGGCTTTTCCTTCTTCTTTTTCTTGTCATCCTTGCCCTTCTTGGTCATGGCCTCAGCCATGAGCTGTTCAAAGGCCATGTAGTCACCTTCTTCCTCGGGATCACGTTCGGCCTAGGGTGCAGGTATTAGAACATCAATTCTCAACAATCCCGTGGGAATACATACCTTGGCATAGATGTTGCCCGCAATGACCAGTGCGTGGGCACGCTCAACCCGCTTCTCAAGCCGGATGCGCTTGTCGCTCAGGATCTGGTCGCAAACCTCACGCAGGACGCTTTGGATCTCAAATTTGCTTCCACGCCATGCCGCCGCCAGAATCTTGCCTGTGACCTTCTTCTCGTACTCGGCCTTCTTTTCATCCGTCCAATCCTCGCCACCACGCTCTTCCAGCTTGGCCATCTCTTCCATGGTCATCTGCGCATCGATAGCCGTAGAGATGGTTGTCCATGTCTCCTTCGCCAGTGTGCCCTTGTCCTTGAGCCGCGAAAAGAAGCCCGAGATACCGAGGAACTTCTGGGATTTGAGAAACGATGTGCCTTTCTGCACATAGGTCGCGCCGACGGCATGTAGAATCTCCAAGCCAAACGACTCCATCTTCAGATTCTCCACTTCGAGTCGGATTTTTTCCTCGAATGCGTGCGTAACATCCTTGTTTTTGTCCGTCTCCGTCCACACACTGAGTCGGTCGATCAGCTTGTTTGCCAACGTGTTGACCCGTTCCTCCCGGGCCTTCTTCCGTTCCTCCTCGAATGCGACCAGGCGCTCCTGCTGCTCCTTCGACAAGCCCTTCTTCTTTTCTTTCTTGCGCAGCTCCTTCTCCTCTTGTGACAGGCCAGCTGCCTCCATCCGCGCTTCCTCCTCGGATCTGTCCATCAAGGTTTGTTGACCGAAATTCCGTCGAGGCGTACTGGTGTCTGAGCCTTGGGGCGACGTCTCCGGCGGCTTATGAGCTTTCTCCGAAGTGCCCGAGGAGGCTGCCGCGGCAGCGTGCGATTCAGTAGCCGGGGCAGCATCCGCCTCGGCACCCTTCATCTCTTCATCATGGACATGGAGTTTCTGCTCGGCGGACTCGGCCAGTTCCTCCTCCTCCATCTGTTGCATCGTGATATCCATCGTCGCGGTCAGATCTTTCATAAGAGATATTTCGCCAATAAGGTCCACAAAAGCCTCGCCACCAAAGATCATGCTGAAGAATTCGGCCGGGTCCTCTGTGGAGGGAGTCAGCCACAGTATCTCTTAGGCGCAGACAAGCCCACGTACCAAAACCACCACCGGGGACCGCATCTTCTTTGCCAAACTTATCATAGCGCTTTCGCAGCTCTTCATTGCTCAAAACCTGGTAAGCCTCGCCGATCTAGGAAAGAAAATCAAAATCATTAGCGGGAGAGCGGTGGGATCGCACGGTAGCCCACATACTGCCTGGAAGCGTTCATGTGCGGTTTCATCGCCAGGATTTTTGTCTAAGGTGAGATGTCAGCATATATCTCACAAGGGTAGCCATCGGGGCAGATCCTACCAGGGTGAGTGACGATGGCGAGCTTTCGATAGGCTTTCTTGATCTCGAGTTCAGTGGCTGTGGGCGGCACACCGAGGGCATCGTAGTAGGTGGTGTCAGCAACCATGGCTGCAACACAGAGCCTCTCGGACAATATAAATTGGAGAGTAGCAGGAACAAGACCACGTCCCCAATCACCGAGGGGAAGATGTGGTATTTTTTTTAGGCGCCAACTGATATCATGGCATGGCGGGGAGTCACGTGGAGGGCACGGACACGCCCGGGCTTCGTTTTAATTTCACTTTTTCTCTTCCCCTTTTTTACTCCATCTCTTTCTCCCCATTCTCCTTTTCTTCTTCTTTTTTCTTCATTTTCTCTAGCCTTCTCCTTCATTTTGGAAAGAGTTTTTTTTTTGTCCCTTTGTCCTCATTGGCCTCATCCACCGTGGTTCTTCCCTGGCGACCGGCACGTGTCCTCTTCGCCCAACATGGGTATCATCGGCAATGTCATCTACTATAGCTTCCATCCCTCTGAGTTGAGGGCAATTGCTCAGTGGTTCGTACGGCTTTGCGAATAATTCCAATTGTGTCGAATATCTGGCTAACCATGTCCATCACATAGGAAAGTTTGGCACAACCCACCACATGAGCGCAACCAAAAAGATGACACGGAAACACAAAAGATCTGTTTCAAGTTCCTGGACCAGACCAGCCGAAGTTTCAGTGCTGTGATCAAGGAATTGCATCCGGAGCTGCTGCTTCCCATCTGTGTCTTCTACCTGGTCCTCCGCGGTCTGGATACCATCGAGGACGACACTTCCATTCCCCTGGAGACTAAGGAACCTCTCCTTCGGGATTTCAAAAACATCCTCACCCAAGATGGCTGGTCCTTCGACGGGAATCGACCTGAGGAAAAAGACCGAGAACTGCTGGTCCAGTTCCACAATGTCATCACCGAGTTCAAGAACATGAAGCCGGCCTACCAGGTCATCATCAAGGACATCACGGACAAGATGTCCAATGGTATGGCCGACTACTGCCGCAAGGCGGCCTTGGATGATGCCAGTGTGCAGACGATCGAGGAGTATGATTTGTACTGTTACTATGTGGCCGGCTTGGTTGGTGAGGGCCTCACCCGCCTCTTTGTGGAGGCTGGGTTTGGCAACCCGGCTTTGCTTAAGCGCCCACACCTTCACAAATCGATGGGTCTTTTCCTGCAGAAGACCAACATCATCCGTGACATCCGGGAGGATTTCGATGATGACCGACGGTTCTGGCCCAAGGAGATTTGGTCGAAGCACGTCGACCAGTTTGAAGATCTGTTCAAGCCGGAGAACCGAGAGGCTGCCCTGAACTGTAATTCTGATATGGTCCTAAACGCCCTGGAGCATGTCGAGGAGTGCCTCTTCTACTTGGCCGGTCTGCGGGAACAGAGCGTGTTCAACTTCTGCGCCATCCCGCAGTCCATGGCAATTGCCACCCTTGAACTCTGCTTCCGCAACTATGCTATTTTTGAGCGGAATATCAAGATCAACAAGGGTCAAGCGTGCGGCCTCATGGTTGAGTCAACGCAGAATCTCCAGGTTGTATGCCAAACCTTCCGGAGGTTGACACGTCAGATTCACAAGAAGAACACCCCCAAGGATCCCAACTTTCTAAAAATCAGCATTGTTTGCGGCCAGGTTAGACTTGTCTTTTCCCCCCATTAAAAAGAGTGAGCTTGGCTAACTTCTTGAAATAGATCGAAAAATTCATCGAGACCATTTTCCCATCGCAGACGGCCGAGGCGGCAAACCGTCTGGCCTCTGGCGAGCTCACCGAGGCCGAAAGGCGAAAGAAGAGTGAGGACGCAGAAAACAGGCAAGATGTGTATCTCATCATGGCCATGATGGGCTCTATCATTTTCGTCATTGCTTCTATCATGGTAACCCTCCCCGGCTTTTAATTTCCCCTCTCCGACTTACCTGCTGACATGCTTAGTTCGTCACGGCCTGGATGATGGGCGCACGCTTCGACCTTGCCTGGCAGGAAATCAAATCCGGCAATTTCAGACCCCCGGAGCGGCAGCATTCCGAACTTTGATTTCCGTTTCCCCCTCCACGGCGTTACGACTTTTACACCCTAATCCTCGATTATTCCCCGTGCCGGTGGCCTCCTGTGTCACTATTCTTCTCATCCTCACCCCTCCGTGCTGCCGGTGCCACGATGTGTATTGATAGTAATATACTATTTCTTGATCGATCCCCCCCACTGACATTGTCCTCTGTTTTCAGTGTTCATCATTCAGCACGGATGTCAAATTGCGATCCGGCCTTTCCATGGCTGCGGTTGTGCCGAAGAAGTGCTTATATCGAATGGAGATTCAATCTCCTTGACCAGTGACGTACTAGATTTGTGTTCAGCGGCGCCGAGTTCTACTCGGGGCCGAGGTGGCATACGTCCATTGAGGATCTGGGACATGTTGTACTTGTAGACTTATTGTAGCGTTGGATTAGATCGCCTCAAATGGCAAATTGTCTGTCTCCGTGGGTTTTTCTTGTCCCATACAAACTTGGTTTCTATGAATCCTTCACTGCCTGGATAACAATCTTAAGCTTGCTTCATCGTCACCACCAGCCAGTTCTCTTGTCCGTAACGTCGAAATTTCGCCAGGATGATTTGTCCCACCACATTGTAGGCTGCGTAGGATTAAAAATCGGACAACCATGCATCTAGGCTTGATTTACTTATGGAATCTTGGGATATATTGAGTATGCTACGGAATGAGTCTCTGGAGCACAGAGGCACAATGTCTTGTTGTGGCGCTAGTGCTCTTATCGAATCAGAGATTTCTCGTTTCTCATCCGTCTTCTACAACCCATTTGTTTGTGGTTTCATTCAACTTTTTATCTTCTGCTGATTTTCGTTCTGCTACATCGACAGTCGGTCGGCCCTCGGCAGTGGCGCTTGCCCAACTGCCGTCTCATGCGACACTCGCCATCTCTTCGAGTTTGCTCATTTGCGCGTGCACCGTCTGTTCCCATCCCTCGAAGACCCTCATCCTTCTCAATGGCATCCAAACGGGACAGCTCTGTATGCACGGGCAGCGCTAGCGAGTCCCTGTCATCGCTTTCTGCAAATGACTTTCGGACATACAACCGCATGTCAGAGCAAATGGACGCATTTGTAAGCGGTTTTATACCCTCATGAATACTGTGGACGTTTCCTTATGATTTTTTGCTAAGTCTGTGCAGCATCATCACTTCCGTTTAACCTGGGATCAGCTCTGGGGTGCTTGTGCCGCTCCAGGGAACCGACCTGGTGGTCTTTCGGCACGCCAAATGATCTTGATGGGCCTCCAATTCTGCTCCCAGCTGGACTTCCACCACTCCATCGAGGAGCAGCATATCTTTCCGGTCTTGGCGAAGAAGATGCCCGAATTTCGAAAGGGCCTCGACTTGCTGCGCCAACATGAGCAGATTCATGCCGGTCTCGAGAAGCTTGAAGCCTATCTCGAGAGCTGTCGCTCAGGTGAACAAGACCTGCGACGTGAAGAGGTGAAGCGACTGATGGATGGCTTTGGCGAGGTGCTGTGGGCGCATTTGGACGAAGAGGTTCAAACGCTCGGTGCGGAAAATATGCGCAAGCACTGGTCGCTCAGCGAGATGCGACGACTTCCTATGTGAGGTCTGCAAAATTGGGGTTGTCGTCCGATGCCACGAGATATTTTACGGCATAATTTAATACTTAAGAGAGCTGGGGGTTGCTCGGTTAGTCAATACCTAGCCGAAATATATCTGTTTGGCTGATATCTGTCTGCCTTCGTTGGCCCTTCTTTTTCCAATGCATTTTCAACCACGACATCAGAGCGATTTGATTTACCACCGACGAATTAAATGTTTGATAAAGTTTCCTTTTCAAAATCAGCGCGCCTGCATAATGCTTGCAAAGCTCGTGCCACTTTCTCCTGGATGCTTGAGCCAGCTCCTTCATATGCTGCTCCCGATGTCGTTCACCATGTGAGCCACGGGATTTAGCAACACGTCCCTTCTTGCGAAGATCAGAGCCTTTGAGGCGATGATCATACCATAAGCCTTGGCATACCGATCACCACATGCGAGATTTGATTCTGCTGATCGCGACCATCCACCAGCCATGATGGCTGTGCGGCAAGCAAGATCGGGCGCACGAGGACATGTGGTTATCCAAGAGGGAAAAGATCAGCTAAAGAATGCTTGCGGCAACACATTCCATGCGGAAAGCCAACCACGGTCAAGGTAGCAGAGCTGAGGAATGCGAACCCATCGTCATCGCTTGGCAGGTATGCGTGCTAACCCGCTCGGACTGACGTTCGCATGCTTCACCCATCTGCGATCTTCTTTTTTGATGATTGCCTCTCCAAAGCTTCATGGATAGCCACACCTCTCGACTTTGCTCTGATTAGCGGGATCGGCAATCGGTCTGCCTCTTCAGAAGTCCAAGTTCATGCCATGGAGCCAGTCAATCGCCAAGATTAGCCCAGTTGGGTGAGACAAGAGAGCATTATGCAACTCGGGTGGGCTGGGTGATAGACTCATACTAATACAAAGCACAGCAATAGAACAATGCCCTTTGTCTCTTTGACATTCGATTGTGTCCGAGCCAGAACTGGATACATCTCGTGGCAGAGATCGGGATATGGCACCGTCGATCTTTCTCTGATCCGTCGCCGCAGTCAAATGTTACTGTGTCTAGGGAATGCTCCTGTCACCCAGACACGCAAGCTGATCTCATTGCTCATTTGAACACCGGCCCACTGGGTTGGTGACGAAGACGGAAAATATGTGCCTGGCCACGCGACGTCCTGAGTGACAGGAGTTGCAAAAGGGAGAAGATCAACCTCATAGTCAAACCCAGAGAGCCAATAGCCTGGCTTCCCTTCTCTTGACTGCTTCGATGCCTGGAAATTCGATGTCGTGTTCTCTCCACCCATCCAACGGGGCCCTGATGATGTCTCAGGTGCCGCCATCTGAGGCCACTACCTTTTAACACCACGGGCTCCATTGCCCCATGCGGTTCCCACGCCGCATGCAAATCGAACGTGAAGAAGATAAAACTCAGCATCATAACCACTCATAGGATAAGTCGGACTCGTCACGCCACTCTCTTTTCTCTCCTTTCTTTACATCCTCCCCCAGCACCCGTGCTCTCCCACGCCTACTACCGCCACCATGAAGCTGAGCAGCACCATTCTCACCACCGCCATGTTGGCGGGTGTCTCCCCTCGCGGCCCCGCGCACCGGGCTCGCTGAGCGTCTGGAGGCTCGCGGTGTCCTGTCGCGCCAGTCGCTCCCAGCCGACAAGCTGCAAAAAGCTGGCGAAGAGAACGGCGTGCTCCTGAAGGAGGGCTCCGATTCTCCCAGTGTCCAGTACAGCAAGAACTGGGCCGGCGTGGTGCGAGAGCACCCTCCTCCCAGTGGCACATACACGGCAGTCTCGGCCACCTTCACAGTCCCGGAGCCTACTGCCACGGATGACTCGGGCGATCTGCAAGCCGCATCCGCCTGGGTTGGCATCGACGGAGACACCTACACTCAGGCCATTCTGCAGACGGGTATCGACTGTTACGTCCAGAACGGCACCAAGGCCTACGACGCCTGGTACGAGTGGTACCCTGAGACCGCGGAGAATTTTGTCCTGGAGCTGTCTGCGGGCGATGTCATTGTCGCCAAGGTCGAGTCTTCCTCACCTGACAAGGGTGTTGCCATCATCGAGAACAAGTCCTCGGGCAAGACTGCCACCAAGACCCTGTCGGCTCCCTCCACCAACGCCACTCTGGGCGGGCAGAATGTCGAGTGGATTGTCGAGGATTTCAACGCCGGTGACTCCATGGTCCCTCTGGTCAACTTTGGCAAGGTTACTTTCACTGGGGCCGAGGCCAAGTCCGAAGACTCAGAGTTTGGTGTCAACAATGCCCAAACCCTGGATATTCAGCAGGATGGTGAGGTGAAAGCCGATGTCAAAATCATCAGCGATTCGGAATTCTCCGTTACCTACCAGTAAACTGGGGCCACGATATGATTTTTCTGGAGTTGGAGGAACTTCCGCTTTTCTATAGATTGTCTTGTCATATACCTTGATTAATCACACCCAGTAAGCTTGGTTATGATAGAAGAAGATGTGAGTTTGCGCAAACAACCATATGAACCTTGAATTTTGACCTAGATGCTTCTTTCTCTTAATCTTTTAAGAAGTAAACATTATCTTAATACAGCCTCACTTACTCTAAGTCACTTACCCTCTCTATAAGAATTATAATAATAAAAATTAGTAGAAAAAACAATAGCAAAATAATCCAAATAACAAACAGTGATAGAAAGGAACAGAGAAAGAGAGAGAAAGAGATCAAAGAAAGGTTTTTAAATATGGTGTGATTTTCCGTCGCTTGAGACTCGGATGCCTGGCTTGGCTGGCCTAACGCTAACGACGACATACTTGGTATAGGGGAAGACAAGATTGACAGACACAGTAGTATGTGATGTAACAAGGAAGTAGAATACAGCTGACGTAGAAACAGAGTCAGGGTTGCGAAGACGAGAGATGAGGAAATCGGTGTCATACTGCGACACTAGCACACTTATACCCAGTCTAGGGCTAGCATCTACTATCGAACAAACCATTTATGGATATGGACCAGCTTAACGCCCCTGTTGAACAGGAATAGGGCGCCCGCAAGCCGGAGGTACAGTTAGAGTCGAAAACAGCTTACCTTCTGTACACAGACGTGTTGTTTCCCGAACCCTAATATGAAACAGCCTAAGCTAAATATAGCATAGCCGTGGATCCCTTACTTCCCAAATAGAAATGTGTATTTTGTTTTGACCATGTTGATACGCACCTTGAACTTGCACAGGAAGAAATGATTCGGATAGTCTTGTTCACTCTTGATTTTCAGATTCAAGAGGCGGTTCGAGGGCTCTATTTATGTGCCTAGACTGCGGCTTGTCGGGGATACCCTAGGCGCTTAGAGCGCTATAAAAAGTAAACAGATTGAGTTGCGATTGATCAACGTCAACCTGCAGCACAAGAGTTTCAGAAAAGACGTCGTTACATCACAAACCAAAAAGAGGTACGTGATTTGCCGCTGGCAGCACAAATAAGGACATCAGGTAAGGGTCAAACCGCCTAAACAGGGCGTTTATAAGAGCACACCATTTCCTGGGAATGGCCATCGTGGCTACAGTATTGGTCAGAATGAACAGTCGTCCAGCCCCCTAAGATTGCTTGGTCAAGGTCCAAAACGTTTATTGCAACATGCCCATGTATGGGTTGTTTCAACACCCTCAAATGATTGGCGGTTGCAGGGGCCTTGATTCAGGGCTTTTGAAAAGTGGTTCCTGGGAACTTCAAAAGTGGTTACTGGGAACTTGAAACAGCGCCCTCATTTTCACAAACTTTATTAATATCACAATTAGCTGTTTTTTAACCTATGTCTGGTGTTGTCAATTTGTGGTGGTGTCGCAACTAGGATTTACTAAGCGTCAAGAAATCGAGTGCAACATTCCCGATCTCCAACCTCCCACCCAGCAGACTTAAATCTAGTCATTATCCGCCCACCCGAAGCCTAGCGATGAGTCCCGACGTACGACACCATTTCCTTTCGATGATTCAACAATTCAGGCCCCGTGCGACCTTTCCATTTCAACAATCAATGCCTGCTCTGTCCCGAAAATCACCTCGATCCCTTCCCGCGTCCATTGTTGTTCACTCTTATCCACGCAGCCTCGCCGCCCGCACGACGCGTACTTTCTCCAGGAAAATGGCGACTTTCAATCGTGATCATGAACACTTTTTCCGCTATACAAGTGGAAGATGGCTCTGGGATGAAGAACAGCAACTTCGAGACAGGTATAAGGCCTTTAATGTTGCAGAACTTCAAATAGTGGCGGCGCAGGCCATTGGCTCCGGCAATTGCGTATCGATGATAAAGCTGGCAGAGGGAGGATACAACAAAGTATTTCGCTTGCTTATGGATGACGGGAAACAGGTGCTGGCACGTATCCCAAATCCAAATGCCGGACCTCCATTTTATACAACCGCCTCCGAAGTTGCCACTATGCAGTTTGTAAGTTCACTCATCCACGACAAAGCACAAGATATAGCTTATTTGGTTGCAAGGCTCGAGATATACTCCAAATTCCCATTCCCCAAGTATTGGGGTGGAGTGCCACATCTCATAATTCTGTGGGTTCGGAATACATCATCATGGAAGAGGCGACTGGGACCCAGCTTGCAATTCGATGGGATAGTCTGGGCCCAGATGTGAAACTCTCCGTTATGAGGGAGGTTGTGTCTATGGAGACGAAGATGATGTCTCTGTCATTTTCACAGTATGCTTTCTCCCATTCATTGTCATGCGCGAATACTTATGTCTTGGCCGTCAGTTACGGAAGCATTTACTTTGCAAGTGATGCAGTGGAAGGCGCAGTTCCAGCTAATATAATCAGCGAAACTTCCGCCGAATTGAAAGAGAAGGTGTCGAAGGCGTACACTATTGGACCTACCGTTGATAGAGGCTTCTGGAACAAGGAGCGTTCGACTATGGATATTTCACGGGGCCCCTGTATGTCGTGCTGTTCATATATAAAACGTCGGTCTAATGGTCTCCAGGGACAAATCCTAAGGACTACGCTGTATGCGTGGGACGACGCGAAATCGAGTGGATTAAAAACTATGCGGTTCCGAAGCCACCTAGTGAGGCGAGATTGATTTCGAAGGCCCAAAGCTGTCCGCAAGCGCATATTCAGCTACTGGAAAAATTCTTACAGATTGCACCTTGCCTTATGGACGTTGATCCCGAACTCACTCTCTCGACCTTATGGCATACAGACCTTCATTCATCCAATATTTTTGTGGCTAACGGTCATATAACAGCCATCATTGATTGGCAAAGTTCGTGGGCTGGTCCGCTCTTCCTCCAAGCGCAGCCGCCACCGCTCGTTGACTATCAAGGTGGCGTTCTACTCAAACGTCCGGATAACTTTGATAGTCTTGATCCGGAGCAACAGACTGAGATTAAGCGAAAGATATTCAAATCGACGCTTTTCCAGCTTTACCTGGTGGAAACTAAGAAGCGCAATCCTATGCTTACAAAAGCATTCCATATTGACCATGGGAAGACTAGACGCCTTCCTATTGAACTAGCCGGCAATACGTGGGATGATGACATTGTGTCTTTTCGGGAGGCGCTTATCAATATCGAAAAGTAATTCTCTATGACAAACATTTTTATTGGTCAGAATCTAACTTTATTCGCTTAGGTATTGGAAAGAGCTCGGTATCCAGGGGGAATGTCCGTACCACTTCTCACGGGACGAGTTAGCTGGACATGCGCTTGACGCAGAAGGATGGAATGAAGTCCAAGACTTCTTTGACAGTATCGAGGATCTCGTGAAGAGGGATGGTTGGACACATCTGGAGACATTTGACGTTGCCTTAAGGTTTTTCTCGGACCTCAGAAAAGGGGGCCTTGAGCATCTGAAAGGCGAAGATAGGGAGAATTTCGAAAAGGAGACCCGATGGGCCAATAGCAGACATTGACAGCTTAGGCTAGGTTCTATCTTCCTGAATAAAATTCGAGAATAGCAGAGGCAATAAGCGTTATCTACCTATGAAATCAAAAGTCTGACTTGGTTGACAACATTAAGTCGCAATATATAGTACTATCGCGACGGTATGAAGTTATGCTATCAAACATGGCCACCCATCCTCAAAAACAAACTGAGAAATATCACACCAAACGCCAACACGGTTCTCTAGATTATATCAAAGATAGGCGTTGCTTTCTTTATGTTCTTAGCCTAGTTACGAATATCGTCTACAAAACGCCGCGCAATGCCGATTTTTATTCCCTTGCCGACAAAGAATTCAAGGTCTTGATCTTTGTAAATCTGCTCAAGATTAAGGCCATCTGCTAATATTTCGCTGGAAGCTTGTCGAAATGCAGCTTTGAGGGTCTCATCGGACACATTGATGTATGCCACTTACTATACTCTTTGACGGCTATATCCCGAGGCCCAGGAATTCTTAATAGACTTGTGTCTTTTATGATAGTCGAGTTAATAGGCGCCTTCGCAGTTGAGACGTCCCCTTCGGAAGAATAGGACTACGAGGGTAGGATATTGATATTGATTAGGGGGTACGGTGCTTCAGTCTTAGTAGTATTTACTCCTTTACGCTTGTGTCTCTCCAGCCTCTGTTGTTCCTCTAGGTATATATCTTCGCGGATCGTCTCCGGAACGTCTTTGTGCGTCTCGAGAACCCTACCTTTCTCAGCGTAGGTAACCAACTTCCTAAGATATTAAGTCCGAAGCTAATAATACTTTTTCCCTATCGGGTCTAGCCAGCAGTAGGGCCCTAGCTAGCATAATAGTGCAGAACATTTCATCAAATTATAAACGCGGCGCGCCAAATTACCTATCCTCCATAAACATTCTTTTTAGTATCAAGATATACGTCTCGCTTATCAAGCATCCGCGTCGTAACTAAAGATTTACCTCTCTTTTCTCCCTTCCGGCCAGCGGGAGGTTGGCTATCCTCTATATAGTTAAAATAGATACACAATCTAAGTTACTTTCCTCGACGAAAGAGGTTTAACCATATCATAAGCTTTTTTTCAATAGGCGGCCAATCAATATCAGTGTGATCGAATCGTTTTATCAGATCACGCTAGATACAATCGTTTACCGATACAACGATCTCAGTATCATCAGCTCTCACCCGTCCGTTCCGGGAAGTCTTCCGACGAAGGACCTTGTCTTGCTTATCCCGTAAGAACAGTTGCCAGTAGGCACTTAGGGCCAAAACAAGGTCTTCTTCCGTGTCCTTTGACACTACCTTGTTAAGAGTAACCCGCTATTCTATCATATAGTAGATACAGCTTAGCGGTTCCTCGTTATAAACCCTCCCCTCTTCCCACTCAGATAACTAAAGTAGTCTAAGCTTATTCAACTGTGATTAGCTTGTAGACTCGGGTCTATCATCAAGTACACTAGATATGGAGGGGCTGCTGTTACATCGGGTGGCGTTAGGGTTACGGAAGTATCCAGGAGAAGGGGCGTATTCCGAGGTCTCATCCTATAGTTCGACCTCGGACCGGTAAATATCATCGATATAGTAAGGGCTTTAAGTTATTTCCAAGTACATATACGTTCAGCCTTAGACCTATGTTAGCTTCGATGGGGCGGCCAAATGTTAACAAGTATGACAGGCAGTGGTAATGAATGATAACTACACCAGGGAACAAAAAGCCATAGAAAAAGAATGCATATTCTCCTACCAGTTTCAGTCCTCCACAGCACTAGTACGGCATTCCTATATATAGGGCTAGTAGGCACAAAGACTGGATAAAAGACGAAGGAAGAAACGATGGGCGAGCGGGTAGTGGGCTGCAAGGTCGCCAGGTGGGCAAACCTGCTTGAGTGGAAGATTCCAAGAGATTCTACAGAACATTACAGTATCAGAACTAGATCTCGTTTAATACTAAAATCTAATACGACATAGTGTATTAATAAAGTAACCAAAAATAGATTAGCGTGTTTCAAGATAGGGTTTGGGAAATAAATCCTGTCTTTATAGAGGGAATTGTTTTCGACTCCGACTGTATGGAAGCCTGAAGACGATCTCGGCAATTACAGTCAGCGGGGCGATCCTTCGTGCATGAGACTTTCGGACATTAATTTATCTCCTGGCCCGGTGGAATCTCATCCGGCGGAGTTCTCACCTATTACCAAGCATGGGCTTGGCAGTTATGTCCGAGGATACATAAAGAGGGCGTCAACAGGATCTCTCTTGGGCATACTCGCAAGTTTGCGCAAAACCACCGTACAAAATGTCACACAACATTCTCGTGATCGGCGCTGGTGAGCTGGGCACTGAAGTTCTACACGCCTTGGTTGAGCACCCACAAGACACAACAGTGGCTGTGCTCTTACGTTCCAACAGCATCGCTTCCACCGACCCTGCAAAGCAAACGCAAATCCAAGCTCTACAGACTCTCGGAGTGCGATTAGTCCCCGGCGACATTGTTGAGGATTCGGAGCAGAAACTGGCCTCGATTTTCGCCGGCTATGACACCATCATCGGCTGCACAGGCTTTGTGTCTGGTAAAGGGACCCAAATGAAAAGCACTCGCGCCGTGCTGGCAGCAAAGACAGCCCGGTATATCCCCTGGCAGTTCGGGGTCGATTACGATGCCATCGGGCGCGGGTCGGCCCAGGATGTCTTTGACGAGCAGCTGGATGTTCGCGATTTGCTCCGATCCCAGCAAACAACCCGTTGGGCAATTGTATCCACGGGCATGTTCACCAGCTTTCTGTTCGCTCCATTTTTTGGGGTCGTTGATCTCGACCATGCCACGGTCTGTGCCCTAGGAAGCTGGGAGAATCGCGTAACGGTTACCACGCCCAAGGATATTGGGCGGCTGACGGCGGAGATTGTGCTAGGAAGTGAAAGTGACGAGTTGTTCTCCAACAAGGCCATCTTTGTGGGCGGCGATACGATCAGCTACGGACAGCTGGCGCAGCTGGTGGAGCATGTTGCGCAGAAGCCGATCACAAGACGGGTTCTTTCCGTGGCTGATATGCAGGTTGCTCTGGAAAATGACCCGACCAATGCGATGCTCAAATACCAGATTGTTTTTGGGCAGGGCCGTGGTGTGGCGTGGGATCTCTCCGAGACGTGGAATCACCGAGGCATCCGTGCGAAGACAGCCGAGGAATGGGCCAAGGAAAACCTGGTGTGATGTTCATGTGTATAGAGCAGGACAGTGGAGATGAAAGAGATGTACATGAAAATCAATTGACGCCAGCTGGCAGACTTCGCAGATCCACGAGGCCTTAGCTACTCGGCAAATGAGTCATCGCTTCGGCTCCTGAGCAAAAGCCCAAGTATTCCTGTTTTGATATTTTTTATCACCAACACTGTTAGACATGACTATTCAGATTGAACCGGCTCGGTTCCCAGAAGACAAGGATGTCGTAGTGTCGTTGTTCTCGGGCTACGCGGCCTCACTCGGCATCGACCTCACCTTCCAACAATTCCAAGCCGAGCTGGATTCCCTGCCGGGAAAATACGCAGAACCCAAAGGCGGCGCGCTTTTGATCGCACGGGAACACAGAAACCTCTCGGTCGCACCGGGCACAGCTTCTCAGCAGCCTATCCCAAGTGTTGCCCCGGCCCCGCTGCTGTCCGTGGGATGTGTGGCTCTCCGGCGCAGCGCTGACAACTGGTGCGAGATGAAGCGATTATATGTGGTCCGAGAAGCGCGTGGAATGCGCCTCGGTGAAATCCTCGTCGAGGCCATTCTTGTACATGCAAAATCTATGGGTTATCGTGGTATCCGCCTGGACACGCTGCCCGAGATGGCGGCCGCGCAACGGCTCTATCGCAAGTACGGGTTTGTGGAGATCAATCCATACTACGACACACCGATCAAAGGAACAATTTTCATGGGCTTCGAATTTTCCCCACAATGACACCGGCAACGTGCAGTTTGCAAGCAGAATACCGAGGCTTCTCGTCGAGGTGTGTGGAGTGTGGAGGGATGAGCAGACATCATCGTTCGTTTTTTTTTTTTTTTTTTTGCGCGAAAAGCCTCTGAACAACAGTCCGTAATGAAATCCATGAATTGTGGATCCTGGAAACCAACGCGAGTGAATCGCGCCTCTCACAACCGCGTCGTATGACCCAGCCGAATTTCTCACCAGTGGAGGGAAAGGCTCACCCAGAGTCTCGTAGTCGAGGATAGCGCTCTGGCATGTCTAAAACAAGATGTCTGAGAGCTGATATCTCATAGCCTTTCTGCAAGGCCATCACTCATCACCTGCAGACGTTTGGTACTGCTCAAAAATGTCTCAATTAGTGCGCAGAGAAGACTGCGATATAATGGCCCTTGATGTACTTGTCGTTGGCGGGGATATCGCCGGCTTCTCAAGCAAGGTCAGTGTGGTCAATCGTTCCGTTCTCATCTGAGTATTGATCAATCTGAGTGTGCTGACGTGGGAAATGCTGGCAGGTCGTGGAAAAGTCAGACATCCTACAGGAAACCGGAGCTGCAATTGATCTTCGGCCGAATTGCACTGCGATGCTATGTTGGATGGGAAGAGGGCCTACCAAGTTTGGTAGTACATTCCTTCTGGTGTAGTTAAACCACGTCCAAAGTGAAAAGAGATTCTTGGTAATGATTGGTAATGAAAGGTGTTGGTTTGCACACTGACGACGGTCTCGCAGTCTCAAATACAACAGAGCATTCCCCCCCCCCCGGGCATCCTTCTCATATTCAGTGATCAAATCGTATTTTCAATGACTCCTGTCTGTGGGAAACCTTAATAAAAACCTCAAACATACCCAAGGCGCAGGGCGCGGGCCGCAGGCGGGTTCATCGAGTGAGCGGCCGAGGACCATCGCCTGGTTACCCGACCATGCCCCAGCAACAAAGTGATTAGTCTCTGTGCACTTTTGCCTTTAGATGAGTCCAAGGCACTAACCATGGTCGAGAGTGAGTGCGATAGTCAAAATCGCAGTTGGCAAGCTCAAAGTGTGGGACTTGTATGATATGGAGACGCTGCCGATGTGAACCCAAGACCACACTACTTTCATTGGCGATTGCGCACATCCATTCCAGTCATATGAGAATTCGAGTCCATCCAGCGTCCCACGCTGGCCGAGAAACAAATCTGGGAGAGGGAGGCGCAATGGCCATTGAAAGCGCCCGCATCAGCATTGCCAATTCGATCGAATAGTGCAAAACGTTGCTGGAGGGGCCATAGAGCGGCAGGAAATTCCGTGGTTCACGCGATCCTTCGGAAAATGCTCGGATGCTCTCGCTGGTGTCTGTTGAATGCAATGTGATCTTGTTTTCCAACCGCCAGTGGAGTTTCCAGTGCACTCTGTTCCCACATTCCGGCATTTTGGATCATTTCGACCTCGTGACAGACCTACCCTGGTCCGATTATACATCAGGAAGATCCACAGTCTCGGGCCCAGGTTTTGATTCAATGCCAGGGTGCCATTGACGAATGTCACCACAGGGTACACCGTGTGGTGTGCTGCTCTTTTTTAATCTTCGACAATGAATTTGGCGCATGGATCGGATCTCCAAATTTGGGTGGAACGTCGGGCGGGTTTGGGCCGGGCCCTATCCCGCCCCGCTTCAATTCTCCACTGCGTCCCGGAATTCTGGTTCGGCATTGGTTACCGATGGCCTGGGCTGGAGGGAAGGGGGTTTAACGCCGATCTGGCATTTAACCCGGATAGGGGCTGGTAGGGGGGAGTGGGTAACGGGGACAGGAGGATAAGGTGAAAGGGAGAGGGAGAAAGGAAGAGAGGGACAAGGTGAGAAAGAATGAGAGAGCAGTGTGAAACGATGGCTAAGTCATACTCGGCCCAAGGACGGTTCAAATGGACTGGGCCCGAGACATGATACATTCCTCGTGGTTGTACGGGCTCCACCTGAATCATGTCCCCTTTCCCTGCACTTGTTTCTCAGGCGCATCCCCATCAAAGAGAGCTGCGTTTTCGAGACTCGTTATTTTCCCCAACCGGGGAAAGACATCGGTGCATCACTTGGATTCACTCAGAAGAATCCTGAGCATCCGCGATGATTTCACCGTTCGTGGAGCCCCTGGCAGAGCAGTGGAGAAGGAGAGAACCTAAGATCTAAGGTCCCCTCGACTGGCGTTGGTCCCGGGGATGTGGTCTGCCTGAAGGGATTTGTGGCCTGGTGGACCCGACATGGTCTCTTGTCGAGGGCCTCATCCTTCTTTCTTTCTCTCTTTCTCTCTTTTCTTCATTTCTTGAATTTCTAATTTTATTCTTCTGCCTTCCCCTCACCCGCTGAACTATCCGATTTTATGGGAAACGGCTGTGTACCCGTCCCTATGCCGTTTGTCATCCGCTCAGCTCCATCATGACTGAGTTGCCTGGGGACTCCGGTCCATATGACATCGAGGTGGACGGCGACGCCAGCGTGAGTCTCCTCGAACCACCCCGCCCATGGCCCATTCTGACCAGCGCAGTCTTCAACCGATGTCGACGACGCGAGCAGCGAACTGGCCTCTCTGACATCGTCCATTTTAACCTATGTCTATGAAAACGGTCGCACCTATCATGCATACCGCCCCGGGACTTATGTATGTCGGGCGCATCTCGCTTGAATCTTTCGGGATGTTTTTTCATCTTCTGACAGTCCAGGTCCTCCCCAACGACGAGCGCGAACAAGGTACCTTTCCCTCCCGCAGCGAGCTGTCATTCGAATGTTGAACGTATCCCACAGACCGACTGGATTGTATCCACCATGTGTTTCGCCTCTGCCTTGATGGAGAACTGTGTCAGACAAAGCTTGAGCACCCGCAGAGCATACTGGATATTGGCACGGGGACAGGTATCTGGGCAATAGAAAGTGAGTGGTGGGCGCTGCGGTTCGATGGCAGTCAACGTTGACTTAAAAAAAAACTTAGTGGCCGACGAATACCCAATGACCGAGGTGATTGGGGTAGATCTTTCGCCCATTCAGCCGGGCTGGTCGGACTTTCTTTCTTGTCTGTCTGAGGGATATTACGAACTGACAGTCATCAGGGTACCGCCGAATCTGCGATTCATCATTGACGATGCCAATCAGCCATGGATCTTTCCTTCGCAGCATTTTGATTTTATTCATATCCGTGGAATGTGCGGGAGCGTGGAGAATTGGCCGAGCTTCTTGCGCCAATGCTACGAGTATGTTAACTTGTGCCGTACCGGTACCTCCCCTCCCAATTGTGGGGGTTTTCTCTAACTGAAACAGTCACCTCAAGCCCGGTGGTCGCATTGAATTGGCCGAAATTGTTCCCCGTGCGCATTGCGATGACGACTCCATGCCGGAGAACTGCTACCTCCTGAAATGGCAAAAGGAATTTCACCGTTTGACGGCGATCCAGGGACGGGACTGGGACATCATGCCTCGTATGCCGAAACTCCTGGAAGAGGCGTTGTTTGACCAAATTGAGCCGAGCGAACAGAACTGTCCAATTGGAACGTGGCCAAAGGACCCCAAGCTGAAAGAGATTGGCCGCTACTTCCGCGCACAGTTCGCAGATAGCGCCTTGGACAGCTACTCCCTCGCCCTCTTCACTCGATTCAGCGACTGGAAACCAACCGAGGTTCAGGTTCTCATGGCGCACGTTCGGTCGGAGTTGAATTCGAATAAGATTCACTGGTATACCAAATTGTGCGTGGATCGTTTTGAATCTCGAGTGAACATTGCTGACTTGTGCTGTAGTTCTTTCGTCACGGCCCAGAAGCCATTGGCATAGCAACTTGATCGGAATTCGGGCTTTGTAATGGGTACGGAGTCAATGTCGCTGATTTACCAAGCATAGCATATGGCGAACGGGATTTGGGTGTTTTATTTTGATTTCGCGTTAATCCAAGCATGGCCAGAAAGTGGTTTCATTATATATCGAGTTTATACCTCCCTTCCTACAGCCAAAGTGCTATCCATTCGGATAATACGAATTGCATGCTCGGAAGAGTATTTAGAGATCTCATCAAATGCCTTCGTGTCTCACCCAACTCGATTGTCGTTAAGGCTGTGCTAGTATTACGTCTATATCTTCCGATATTAGAGTTAACTTTCACACGTTCAATCAATATTGTGGCCATAACCTTCATCTCATAGGTCGAGTTTGGGTAGGACAACAAAGAGCCAGCATAGGAACTTGGCGGGCATAGAGATTCGGTGTCATCACCATGGGACTAAGCGAGGAGAATTCTAGATATTTCTCTTTAACACGATATAAGACGCTGCCACATTTCTGCTTTTCTAGGCATCCTCGATGACAGATGTTTATCTGAACCCAAGTGTGGTTCAATAGAAGGACCAACTCTTTAGGTTGAAAACGAGATTATTATTCGGACTTCCGGATTTTAGCCTAGACTTGATAGATAGATATAAAACTCAATTCTAACTACACAAGTTTCTTTCTAAAGATAGACCTATATTCTGTATTAGAGATCAAAGATTCAACTAGTACTAATACCCGAATTATATTCATACTATAAGATGATACTATAAAATGCAGGTGACCACAAACAAAAATATTGGATTGATCAGTAAATAGGCTTCTTGAGCGCCTCTCCCCTCGACCATCTCTCCAATTCCCCAACCTGCTGCTCATAAAATCCGTTTAGGACACTTTCCTCCATGAACGCAATATGTGGTGTCACCAGCACCTGGCTTTTGCCATTAGTGCCCCAATCCGAGTCTCGCCACTCACTATTCGCCGGCAAGGGTTCTAGGTTGAACACATCCAACGCAGCTCCTCTAATCTTCCCTTCCTTGAGAATTCCCAGCAAATCTTCCTCAACAACTAATGGCCCCCGAGAGGTATTCACGAAGAAAGACGAAGGCTTCATCTTCGACAAGTCTTGAGTCGTGATCAAGCCCCGTGTGCGATCGGATAAAAGCAGATGGACACTCACTACATCTGACGTCGCGAAAAGTTCCCCACGACTCACAAACTTGAAGGTCTTTTCACCATCTGGACCTTCAACGGGTAGCCCTTGAGATTTCGCTTGCTCATCAGCAACGCTCTGAGTCAAGTTTGGGCTCCAGGCAATGATCTTCATGCCAAATGCAAGGCTCATAATTCGAGCAACTGATCTGCCGAGCCGGCCAAGCCCGACTAGACCAAGAGTTTTGTAAGAAACACCAGTGACAAAGCTGGTCTGCCATTTTCCGGCCTTCACAGCTGCATCATTCTGCGCAATGTCGTGAGAAGTCGCGAGGATGAGGGTGATGATGTGTTCCAGCGTAGTATCAATGGCTAGTTTATCTTCTGTGCCTGTTACAGGTATACCCCGCGAGTGGCATGCCTCCATGTCAATCGCCTTATTGTGACGACCACAGCTCAGAAGCAGTTTGAGTCGAGGAAGGCGCTCAATCAACTCTCTGGGAAACGGGGTTCTCTCTCTCATTGTTGCTGGGTAAGTTAGTATGGAGCTGTCAGGCGGGGATCAGACCATCTTTACCAATGACTTCAAATGGCTCCAATCGCTCAGCCAGCTCATCCCTCTCGGCCTGTGTTGTGTCCGGGTGATTATACGGTGGCAGTGTTGCTGGAAAATGTTTGACAACATAAATTGAGGGGTCCAACTTGGCAAAGTGCCCAGGGGCAACACCGTGGTAATCATCAAGCACGGCTACTTGAGTGACCATCTTTGGAGTTTCTGGCTAGTAGGGAATTTCGTTCACTGTCGAGAAGGAGCAGAAGAGAATTTACTGGGAGTATGGCATCTGCTAGCCCCCACCAGATCAGGTGACTAACTGCCCCTTTATGGTATAAAGTCGTAATAAAATAAAATAGATAGTCTAGTAGATCCTCTTATCTTCATATTAATGTACTGGGATTTAGCGTGTCACCGTTTATGCGGCTCCTCTTACCTTTGAAGCGCTTTATAGGCCCCACGAGAATGTAATTAGAATTAAGAATGATCAAGGTCATAGAAAACTAGTATATATGCATACTTCGTAGGGAAGAGATTTTCATTTTCTAATGTTATTCATTTTGCCATATTTACGTCCGAGCAGGGCCTGACTCGAATAAGTGAGGTTTTTTTTTTTCGTAGGGCATGTCCTTTATACAAATCCATCGGGCAATCAGCCGTTAGGTGAGAGATTTTGGACCAGATAAGAATGGCAATTACTGGTGATACCTACATATTACCTCTTTTTTTTTCAAATTGGACATAGAATACTGCAATCACTCCGGTATGGGGTTGCCAGGTAAAATTACATACAGTGGAAGAGAATTTTGCGAGGTACTGGTAAGTTATGAAAGGAGCCGGTTAGATAGTTCAGGCGATCCTCTAGATATTATTTGTTCCAATCAGATTCAGTATGTCATTTTCCATTTAATCAGCTTTCTTCTAGGATGCTTTCGGGAGGCGGAGGAAGAATCCCTTCCGCCCGAGAAGGATCTCCTGGGCCCGAAGGATCTCCTGGGCCCGAAGAAGGATCTCGTGGGCTCGGACGAAAATTTCGTAGGTTCAAAGAAGAATGATGATCATCTACAGGATGGCCAGGATCGTGATTCTCTTGATTCACATATAACACGTTCCTTACCTTGATTACTAAATCATTCTCGCTACACCTAGATGTGATACTTTACAGCACGAGAAAGCTGGGAATATCTTGCTCCACGCGCAGTATATATATATATATATATTTGCACTCATCTAACACCGAATACAACAAAGCATCAGCCTTTGAGCCTTCTTCTCCAACCATTGACCATGGAACGATTCCAAGCTCTCTCGCTCTTCCAACCTTCGAACTTTAATGCGGCAATCAGCAGGGACAACGATGGACATGTCTTTGGCTCTATGCTTGGAATTCCACACCCACAAGCAGCCCGCATTGTAGCTATGCTTGGGTTTGATTTCATCTTTGTGGACACTTTGCATGTGTAAGTTCAGTATGATCTCAGTCGTTCTATTTGGTTCAACCTGACCAAAATGTCTGTCCGGTAGGCCAACCAACCCGGAGACTCTTGTGACCGTCATTCAAACAATTACTCTTGCTAGCGGAGGCAAGACTTGTGCGCTTGTTCGAATTCCGAGCCCTGACTCGGATTTATTGCCTTACGCTTTGGATGCGGGTAAGTGATAATTCAATCGTGGGACCTGGGCTGAGCACCTAAAACTGATTTCATAAGGCGCCTCTGCTATCGTCTTCCCCCAAATCGACACAGCTGCTCAGGCAGCCGCGGCCGTATACAAAGTGCGGTACGCGTATAGCGGTGGAACGCGGTCTCTTTCGCCACTGGCCTTGATGGACGGGATTACAAACATTGCGCCCGAGGGCTGGACGGCAGAGACAATTGCGGACAGAAATATCGCCGTCATCTGCCAGATTGAGAGCGTGGTAAGGGTTGCCCTTGGAGTCTGCCCCTGGGCCTGCTCACCATATAACCCAATCGAGAAATCGCTGACCAAACCGAAAAGCTTGGAGTCGAGAATGTTGATGCTATCGCAAAGACCCCCGGCGTTAACGCCCTCATGATTGGGCTTACAGACCTTAAGGGTTCGCTTGGTCTACCAATGCGTGCCTCTAAGGGGAAGGCCGACGACCCAAAGCTTTCTGCCGCTGTTGCTGAGATCGTGGCTACCTCAAAGAAACATGACATGCCGCTCATGATTCCTGCCTTCAGGGAGAACCCTGATATGGAATGGCTACGGAACTTCAAGATAATTCTAACCAGTATCGATACTTTGGCTGTGGCGAAAACTCATCGACAGGAACTCGCTCGAATGAAGGAGGGTCTGTCCGGATATCAGAACGGATATCAGAACGGACATTAGAACGGGCATGGGAATTGAATTGGTTATCGCGAGACCGTGATTTAGGAGATAGCATTTATCAATGCATTAAAAGTTTGTTGGTTTAGCTGACAGCGTCTGGCTCTTCTATTTATGTATACATTTTTATTGTACGTGAATCTAGTGAGGGGCTCAGCTAGAATTTATCGAACAGAAAGGTTCCTTCATACTTGTCAAAAAGGACGAAATTCTTTCATACAAAGCTCAGCTGATACATGATAAGAAAGGATGAGGTCAATTTCTTGTCGTTGGTGGTAGTCTACGAAAAAGGATGAGATGTATTATGGGTTTTAAGTGTCCGGGTGACCCTTTCTATTGCTTGACCACTGGACAGTGTTATGATCAAGCTAAGAGAGAATTCAGAAAAGACGCCTTACGTGAAAAAGAATTACGACATGGTAAGCCAGGAATAGCAACCTATTCTCATGTTTCCTCTATGAATCTCGCTATATCCAAACTCCATGAAAGCTCTCTTTAAAATTGACGCTAAGCTTTACGCTGCAGTTGGTGATAATTAAGCTCCTCTCGCGCCTTGCCAAGGGTAGCTCCGCCAGCAATCAATTCCCTGATGCTTTCCTCGCACTTCACTACCCACTGTGCAAGTTTAGCCACCTCGCGGGCTCGGTCCCGCGGAACAAAAACCACCCCATTTGCATCTGCTACAACGATATCTCGAGACTTGACATGTACTCCTCCGATCCCGATAGACTCGTTAACACCTGCCAGCTGGACTCTATCCTTAGCAGTCCTCATAAAGCGGCCAGATGTAAACATGGGGTAGTCATCAGTAAGGGCACGGTTCACATCACGGCACACGCCATCAATCACAGTTCCAGAGATGCCTCGAATGCCCGCGTACTGGGTCATAAGATCGCCCCAGATAGTACAATCTGTGCGGCCGCCATTGTCGATGACTATCATATCGCCCGGGGCGACGTCATCAATCCAATTACCAACCCCTCCTGGCGGATTACTAGCTGGTATATAGCGTACAGTAAAGGCTGGTCCAACAGTGACCTTTGTGTAATTGGTCAAAGGCATGATTTTCAGGGCTTGCCCTTGTATATCAAGCCTATCAAGCGCGTCAGAGACTGCAGGGGTATCCGAGCCGGCGAACAGCGCTACCAATTCTTGATCTTCGGCGTTGACGTTGTTGTAGTTTTGCACAGCGTCGACATGTGGCTCACTCATAGTCTCGGACACGGGGCGACTGTCTTGAACAGCTTGAGCCAGCAAGGCTTGACGACGATTGATATTCTCGCCAGCTTTCAAGACCCTCTCAATATGCTCTGCGGATACAAAAACCGCCCCGGAGCTATCGGCAATCACATAGTCGTCTTGATGGACCCCAAAGCCTCGTATCTGAATTGGTGTTCCAAGAGTAACTTGCGCTGATTTATGGTGCCCACTGGCCAAACCGCGACCATAAACCGGATATTCAGCCCGGCGTACGTCATTGTTGTCAAGACATATGCCGTCGATGATGGCGCCTCGAATGCAATGCGATTTCCAGGCATTGTCGATGATATCTTTCCCGCACGAGACGCCGTCGATGCCGCCTGAGACGACAAGAATGCGATCATCTCCTGTTCCCTCATCCAAGACAGAGGTAGAGGGTTGGATTGCAGCAGAGGTATACGGATCGACCTCAATTTTTACTGTGCTGATGCGCCCGACAATCTGAGGGCATTTCCATAATGGTTGAAGGCCATACGTTGCTCCACTAAGGCCGAGGGAATCCAAGGCATCCGACACTGTGTTGCTGTTCAGCGCTGAAAGCCGGTCCAAGGTGTTGCATTGAACCATTGTGCCAGAATGCTGAAATATGCTTCGGCACAAAGCAACCCGAGAAACCGGATATGATCAGAGAATGATGGCTGAGTGGACAACCAGAATATTAGAAGTAAGTTGCGGCAAGGATTCTCATTAGCTGAATAATACAGAAAAACAGGACCTCGAGAAGCTCTCCAACCGGGCACCATAGGCTTGGAGAAATAGGCAAGTGTAGAATATTCCGATTCCTAAAGGGGCGGAGCCGCGCACGCCGGGCGTAGGTCTACCCACCCAGTACAGAATGGCGAAACCAGATAAGAAACTGAATATTTGAATTTATCCCATTGTTATCTATTCACTCATTCACGTAACGGGTGTGTGTTTCGTAGCTAAGTAAGGGTGAATGAGGTAGTGAAAGTATCTATTTATACCTAAGCAATTTACATGAATCAACGCGACGGAGGTTGGTTGTGTACTTCGCGCAGGTCATACTGCCGACTAGTCCGTCAGCGAGTCAATAGGAGTGGTGCGTTTAAACAGTTAGTATGGTTTGTAATGCGTAAATCCTTATTTTGCTTTTTACCCAAGGATCCAGACCATGACACAGCCCCATCCATGGACAAAGACAAGGTTTTTGGATTAAGATAGAATGTATTTAACAGAATTAGAAGCCATTCATTCCTTCGGAGATATGTACTGTATGTACAGTATATATTGTATCTATACAGTACTATTCTCGTACGGGTTTCGTCATTTTCCACGTACAGGAAAAATACTACAAAAGGGATTCCAACATACACCATCTCAGCTTTACTGGACATGGCTCGGGGCCAGAACTTCCACTGTGCCCAGGTGGATTGCTGTAGATCACCCGCAATGGACCCGGTTGCATTTCTGCTTACTTTTCGCCCATACGAAATGCTTCCAGGAGGATTTCAACGAGTCGGGGCAACGGGGCCATTGTTTTCTTTCCTCGGTCGACAAAAATCATCCCGATTAACTGCGCATGTATGTGGACCAACGCTTTTGAGGACTGTCGATCACACTTTGCCCGAGCCTGGATTTTTGCCTGGATCACCACAACTTTTAAGCAGCTTTTTTCCAGGGGGAAAGAGGAAAGATCCGATATCATGTCTGATTCTACGTCTCAGGACGGGGAGAAAGAGGCTCAGCCTGTGCTGGGTTACGAGGTTGATTGGGAGGGCCCCGATGACCCTAGTGTACCGATCAATTGGCCCGAGTGGAAGAAACGAGGGATTATTGCTGCAATTTGTGCCATGAGATTTACGACGTCAGTTCCTTGGGTGACTTTCCTTGCTCCTCTAGAATGTTGACTGACTATCGAGTAGGCCATTCGCCTCGTCCATGATGTCCCCTGCCCTGCTTAGCATCGGCAAGGATTTCCCAGGCACATCGGATGCCCTTCTTAGCTTCACAGTCTCCATCTACGTAAGCAATTTGTCCCTTGACACCGCTGCTCCTTGCTGATCTCCTTAGATCATCGGCTTCGGATTGGGCCCGCTGATCCTGGCTCCCCTCTCCGAGGTATACGGTCGCAACGTGGTCTATCATGTGTCCAACGTTTTTTTCACCATCTTCATAGCATGCTGTGGCTTATCTCCTAACGTTGGGGCCTTGCTAGCCTTTCGCCTAGCGGCGGGCTTCTTCGGGGGCGCGCCCTTGACAAACGGTGGAGGTACTATTGCCGATCTGGTACCCGTCCACAAACGAGGACTGTGAGTGTCTCCAAAATTCAAGACTATACTTCTTAGCCACCATGTGGTAGGAGCTGATTACTTTCACTAGTATCATGAGTATCTTCTCTGCCGTTATGCTGGTTGGTCCAGTTCTAGGCCCAGTTATTGGTGGGTTTCTGGCGCAGGCCATGAGTTGGAGATGGATTTTTTGGATCCTGACTATTATGGTATGTTAGAGACTTAACATTTGTATTCTCTTCTTGTTTTCTATCTTGGGCTTTCTTGACCATTCTAACCAGAGCAGAGTGGTATCGCCAATATCTTGTGCTTCATCTTTCTTCGTGAGACCTACAGTCCTGTCTTGCTGGAACGGAAAGCCCGCTATCTTCGCAAAAAGACAGGGGATCCACTCTATCATCCCAAAGGAAAGTCATCGAAGACATTAGGACAGCTGTTGCTTGTCGCTATCACTCGGCCAGTGCGAATGCTCGCTAATCCGATTATTCTGGGTACCTCAATTTACACAGCGGTGATCTACGGGATATTTTACCTACTACTCACAATATTATCCATTGTCTTCCATGACCAATATGGATTCAAGGAAGGCATCGCTGGTCTAGCATATCTCGGAATCGGGATCGGTAGCGTCTTAGGCATGGTTATCTTTGGCCTATATAGCGATCGGATCTATACTAAGCTGAGTGAAAAGCATAAGGAGGCCAAACCTGAGTACGCTATTTCTTTTTTTTTTCTTTATATTTCTATCTCTTTCTGCTAATCTTTTCTTCTTAGATATCGACTGCCTCCACTGTTACCAAGTGCGCTTGCAATGCCGATTGGTCTGTTTATCTATGGCTGGACAGCACACTATCGCCTGCACTGGATTCTTCCTATTGTTGGCACCGGCTTCTGTGGGTTCAGCCTGATGGGTTGTCTTGTACGTTGCCTTCATCTTCTATTCTATCCATTCTACTAACAAATCTGGTCCCCAGACTGCGGTTCAAACTTACCTTCTGGATGGATTCACAATCTACGCATCTAGCGCTCTCGCAGCAAGTAGTCTGGTCCGAAGTCTTGCCGGTGGTCTCGTTTCGCTAAGTGGGCCAGGCCTTTATGACCGGATGGGCCTGGGTTGGGGAAACTCCCTTCTTGCATTTCTGTCGATCCTTTTTGGTCTTTCGCCTCTCCTGTTCTATAAATATGGCGAAAGATTGAGACAATGTCGGATTGGCGTTGATTAAAATAAAGCATAGATTAGAATAGATTCAATGGAAAAAAAAAAAAAAAAAAAAAACGGCTATGAGTATCTTTCCAATTATTGAAACTCAAAATCGACCACCTTCACGTTTCCTTGTCAAGTTTCTACGACTCTTCATAATTGCGAGGGCATTCTAGCAGTAGGACGCGAACTAACCTGTGTTGTGCTCATAGACTTAATGTATACATAGCCTTAGTGCCTCAGGCAGCATGCTGACTAGGCATCCGGTGTCACGACGATGTCAACAATGCCAACCCCCGACTTTCCTTGGCCAAAGCCTGGTTTTAATTCCGGGAAGTCAATGGAGTCAGACTACCTTCGGCCCCCTGAGCCCATTCGCATCAAGCGAAAGCCGGTATCCAACCCAGATCTGCGGGTTGCTCCCGATCCTACGGGGCGGACCGCTCATGCGGCAAGCACCCCAGCTCTTGTCCCAACCCCATTGTCGCAGCCCCCTCCTACATCGACTTGTATGGACCACAGTACCGGCCATCCACTCCAGGTTCGTTGCAGAGACCACGAACAGCGGGCGCGGCAGCGGCGACTCCCCCGCCACCCACCCCGGCCCAAAAGGCATACGGGGAAGCCCGACACTTCCTCGGCGGTTTGATCAACCACCCCACGGAGTCAAACCGCCATGTGACCATTTTGCGACATTCCCACGGTCTTGTGTTTTATTGCGGGAATTCTACGTCGGTTGAGGTCTCGATCTTCGCAGATGCGCCGTTGCCATCCGATCGCACTCTGTGGTTGCAGAGCAAAGGCTGGACTGGCAAGACGGGCATGCGCGCCAAAGCTCTGCTCCGTCTTCGTGATAACTGGTTGGAGGTCACTCCAGCCATGCCGTTGCGGGCCGAACAAGTCAATCCAGACGATGAGCGAGCTTGGCAGCGTGACATTAAGAAATTCCGGAAGAAGGCTCCGGTGCGTCCGCGCAATAGGCACCAACTTAGGGAGACCGCCGTCGTCCGCATCCCTGCTGATGCTGGCGATGGATATTTCCAGCTTGTGTTGTGCCAGGGGGCAAAGAAGAAGGTCCTTGGCAACAGTCCCGTGTTCCGCGTGCTTTCGACTTCAACCAGCCCCAGTTCCATCCGCGGCGCCAGTTTAAGCACGCTCCCTTTGGAAGTCGGGGCCATGGTGGTGAGTCTGTATGTGCAGACCGCCGCCCGAACGGCGATGACCCCTGCGGCGTCAGCCATCAAAACCCGAGTGGATCGATATCGGCCGCCCTGGTTGGACCAAACAGCTGCACACAAGGCCTATTCGGCGAGCGGGGCCCAAGATCGTGTGAATGGAATTGTGAATTTCTACCGTGGGACAGATGGAAGAGCCCACAGCCAAGCTACATCGTCTGAACTTGTGCCAAATGATACGGTTGTTCTTGATGACGGGCCCCAACCACCATTTCCCATGAACTTCAAAGCTCGCGGGCAACTTGATCACGTTGGGTCACCTGCCAGTCCATGTGATACTCCAAGAATCACCTTGTCCAAAATGCCCGACTGGGTGACAGAGCACTTACGAGGCTATTTCTTTGGTTGGGCCCGATTCCATTTTAACTCCAGCAAAGAGGCACCAGAAAGTCCTTGGTGCCCGAGTGTGTTGTCCGTGCGGACACTGGATCCTTTACAAGCCACGAGGGTCAATCTCGCCGAAGTTTCCAAACGCGTGGTCACCCTTCGTCTTCTAGACGAAGTGCCTCTGCAAACAAGCAAGGTCGAGGTCCGGGTCATGGGCTTTCTTCGCTCCGACATCCCACCCCCTACTGGCAGCACCAGCGAAGAGCTTGCCGAAGCCCACGCAGCAGCAGCAGAAGCCGCCATACTTGCTGATGCCTACGATGCCTCGGTAGTGCAAAATACTTTGGGTCATGTGGCCTGGGCCGCAGATGAACTCAGCCCAGCCGAGCTGCAGCGACAAAACTCTGGCTGGATAGACCGTACCCGTGAAGGATATGCGAATCTTCGAATGCGCGGGCAGAAATTGGTGGAGCAGGTGCCTCTTTATCGACTGGGGGTTCGCTCCGCGACAGATCAAATTCGAGAGCAACAGGTGGCCCTGAATGGGTTTTATATCGTGCGATAATCTTTCTTTCTAGTGGATATCTTTGGGGGCCAATTCACGGTTCAATACTGAATTTAATACGTATAGGATGCCTGTACAATACTCTGAATGTATAATAATAGACCTTTGGTAGAGGTTGCGTCCAAGAAATGACTATGTTAGCTACTATGGATCTCAAGTATACAACAATGCATATTCATGTCTAGTAAAGGACGTCGCAAGAACATCAAGGGTGCACAATAGAGGAGCTCTGGCATCTCGTCGATCTCACGCCTAGGGTCCAACCGGTGGCTCCGAGGCAGCCAAATTGCACTGACGGAACAAGCGCACCTCATCAGGCTTAAACGCCCCGACCACCGAGTGTAGCACGCCTCGGTTGTTAAAAAGCACCATATCCCCGTCCTGCCAGTCGTGTGTATACACATACGGGGGGCTGATGGCGGGCCGTTGCAACTTGTAGACGATATCCCGCACCCGTTCCAGGTCGTCGATGACTGTCCCGTCCGCGCAGTGGATTCGACGAACAGCAGACGGGTGGATCTGCAGCGCCAGCTTTCCTGTCACGGGATTCTTCCAGGCCATGGGGAAAATCATGATCTTGGTCGGGTCGATAGGGGGTAGTTCGGACTCGGGCAGTTCCCGGTTCTCCGAGTACATGCCCAGCCCGGTGGGGAGGGAGCGCGCCGAGCTCATCCAGATGTATCTGCAAAGGGGGTCAGTGTTTGAAAATGCTGGATTTTGCAGAAAAGGAGGGAGGGGCCAAAGAGCCTTACGGGTGTGGCGCGTATTCGATTTTGCTCGTCCGCACAAATTCCTGGTCCTCTGGAGATAGCAGCTCGAACATGCGTTCACCACTGACAAACGCCGTCGTGCCGAGCGGCACATCCAGTGTTTCCCCTGAACCATCATCGTATAGGAGCGTCTGGCGGCGGCCTTTGGGCACCTCCACGGCCATGAGCGTTGTCACCTGTGGCGGGTACAGGTCATAAAGCGCGGCGTCAATGTGCCAGCGGTAGAATCGCGTGAAATCATAGTCTTTTTCGTCGGGGATATGGTCTCGGTGGAACGTCCGGTGGTGCGGATGCCGCAGCTGGACGTTCTCCAAGCCTTCGTACGACGGCACAAAGCCATTTCCAATCACCTGGACCTGTGGCTGGTGGGGCACCGTCTTCAGGTCTGGGTGGAGGATGCTGCGCTTGGCGTCGAGAGTCTTGCCATGGCCATAGTTGTCCGAGGCCGGGTCGAATCGTTTGGTGAGTTCGTACTGCGCTTTGGGGGACAGCTTCTGTTGGTTCTTGAATACAACAACGTGATAGTGGTACAAGGCGTTGCGGATGCCAGTAAACTGCTCATCTGTAAGGCTTTAGCCTCGACTCGTCACAAGGATAGAGAGTATATTGCGAACCGGTCAGGTTCTCCAAGTCAACACCGTCAATCTCCGCACCGAAATCGATCTTGGAGCCCGGTGGGGGTTGTAGCGGACGAACAGCAGCTGGGAGCACAGCCATGGCTGGAGATCAAAACTCTTGGCCCTATGCGAGATGATTTTAAACTTCCTCAAATACTCGCGGCACTCCGGATAGGTTGACTCTGGGGATGCGGTTGACGGCGGGCACCGAAGATAAATGAGATGATGTCAGGGCTTATCAGATAAGATAGTCAAGAGATGACAAAAGGGCATCGATAATTGCGGGTCGCAAAGAAACTTGGAACGCCAACATAGAGCTCAGACAAGATGACCGGCAGAGTGATCCAAGAAAAATCAGAATTTTGAAGGAAAAGAGACTTTCTGACACCAACTGTACCTAAAGGTGGTCCGGACCGGGGCAGCAACCGCCATGGTTAACATACTTAACTTCATTGCCCAAGACATTAGATGATAAGCACGCAACGTATGCCGAGATATCAGGATAGAGTCTTCTATTCTACCTTGGGAATAGTCTTTTTGAAACACGGGGGTCTCAGTCTGCATGCTTAAGAGCATCTATCAGCACTACCCAGAAGACCACGACTATGATGGAAATTATCAGTGATTGTTCTTTCTTTCGCGAAGAGTCAAGAGGGTATTACACAAAATCTCTATTTATAGCGTAAGATCGACCGATCTGAGGAGTCGTTCTCAACTAGCGCGAAAGTAAGTTTCCGAAAATTGGCGACTTCCGCGGCCTTCAATAAATCGAGGATTGCCATGTTGATTGTGGTGTTACCAATCACCATCTCGTAAATGGTATAGCGGTCCCCTATACTAGCTCCGAGATGTTACTGTAAACGCTCATCGGAAGGTTTTTTTTATTTTAAATTAGACATAGAGCCTGTTCTAACTCTGTGGGGGCTTTCTAGATTCTTTCAATTCCTCCTCGACTTCATTTCCTCCGGAAAAGAGATAATTTACATCTCCATTTACCTCACGGAGCGGTCTCTTCTACAGCTACAGTGGACTCAAATCTACAGAGTATGACACCAGGGAAGGTGAGCCTGCCGAGGCTGATGGTCTTGGCTTTGCTGGCACGCCTTTGCATGTCCGCACCGGTAGAATAGTGACAGAGCACTATTGGCTTCAAATCCGTTCATCCTGTACGTCAAACGCCCTTAATCTGCACCTCTTTTTTATTTTCCCACTATATGTAATTGCCTCCCTAGTATATAACACTAATTACTACACGTGGATTACCACTTTGGCACTTGTACAACTGGCAGTGAGAATCGTCTGTTTGATCTGCAAGCCGGGATATTATTACGACAGACGAATTCATATTCACATTTCAGGGACTGATTATTCAAAAATCGGCAAAGACCCGTCACCAAAATTTCCACCACGGCCCGCGGGGTCTGGGCGGCTGCTCGGCTGCAATGATTTCTTGCAACCCCGTGTGCATATCCACCTCTTCGGGACGCCATGCCCAGGGATCGTGCCAAAACAGAACTCGATGGCTGAAATAAAGCACCAGGAAGGCAGGAATACCAATGTACGCAGTGAAAAAATTGCTGACAGACCACTCAGACGGGAAGAACACAGTGAAACCGTTGATGAGGGCCATGAACGAGGCTCCAAAGAGACCAAAGATGACCCCGTAAGGCTGCAGCCGCGATTTGTATGGCAGCTCGATGCCCTGCCTTTGGATTGCCTTGCGAAACCGAAAGTACACGACACAGCAACAGATCCAGGAAATAAATCCCGACGTGTTAGTGAAGTTGACAAACCAGTTGAACACGATGGAGCTGGAATTGCCGACGGAGAGGTATGCGAGTGCGGAGAAGCACGACGAGGCTCCCACGGCGTAATACGGCACACCCCACCGGTTACAGGCCTTGAAAATGCTGGGCGCATTGCCTGACATGGCCAGCGAATATAGCGACCGGGACGACATATATAAAAACGAGTTACCGGCAGACCAGGCCGACGTCAAGACTGCGGCGTTCACAATGTGGTCCAGAACGGGGATACCGGCATTCTGAATGCCCACAACAAATGGTGACCCATTGACAGTGCCATCGTCGTTGGTCAAGCGCTTTGCATTGGAAGGGCAAATCACCCCAATGGCAAGGGCCCCGAAAATATAGAAGAAGACCAGCCGGTATATATACCGCCGTGCGGCCGAGGGCACGTTGCGCCGAGGCGATTCCATCTCGCCGCCACTGATGATGATCAATTCCGGGGCAAAGATAAAGGCAATGGCGCTGCTGACGGTGCACTTCAGCAAGCCCACAAATCGCCCGGCATCTCCCTGCGCAAGAGACTCGTTGAAAGACCCGGGCTGTTTCCAGTAGTGAAACCCCAGTCGCTGGCGATTCGGCCCACCGCCCCAGAACAATATAAACGACAGGGCGAGAAGGCCGATCAGGGTGATAATCTTGATCCCCGAGAACCAAAACTCGGACTCGCCGTAGAATCGCACGGGCAGAAAATTGAGGGCAATGATCACCACCATCATGACGGTGATCCACACCGCGATATTGATGCTGGAATCTGTATCCCAGTATCCGATGACCAGCCCTGCGGCCGTGATCTCATACGGTACCAGAATTCCCAGCGAATACCAGTACAAGTATCCCATGGCAAACCCCAGACTGCGCGACACGTATCGGAATCCATGGTAGCTCATTGTGCCCCCATGCACCGGAAGATAGGCGCCGACCTCAGCGATGGCTGTGACCAGGCCAAAAACCACCATCGAAATGAAGATATACCCCAGGAGTAGCGATGCGGGACCCCCTGTGGCGAGCGATTGACCTGATGATACGAAAAGCCCTAGATTGCTCTATGTCAGCCATCATGGTCGAAGGAGAGCGATGCACTACAGACTTACCCGTTCCGATCGTGCCTCCGAGGGCCATGAGCTGGACATGGCGGTTCTTCAGACCGCGCTGGGTGGTCGCATAGCGCTCATCCAGCAGGTCGGCCTCGACCAGGGTGCGGACTGCATGGCCTTTCTCGGTAAGAGGCGGTTGATCGGCCATTTCACCTGCAGGCGCGGATGCAGGTTTAATTGTGATGGCAAAAAGGCAGCGACAAATGAAGGGGGGTGAAACGGAATGGTCCAGGAAATCGCAAGGCGAAACACTTTTCTTAAAGGGATCGCATTCTCCCGCGACTCCCACCAGCCACCATCCTCTGCGGCATTTGTGACTGGCCCAAGGAGGTCCGTGATAGCCAGGCCAAGCCGCTAAGAAGCGGGTCCGGGGTAAGACACGAGATAAGAGAGGCCCGAGGCTTTGCCCCTCTTGCCCTGCAAAAACAATGCGTCGATTGCATTTCTTATTTCCGAGGAATTGACTTCTTAAATTCCCAGGTCCTTTGAATGGCCTGCAAGAAGCTCTCCGAAAGAAAAAGAAAAAGAAGAAAAGAAGAAGAAGAAACGAATCAGCGATCAGTGAACAAGATTGAAATTATTGAATAAAAGAAGTTTGAAGCCACACGGCATTCAGGAGGCTGCAACATTGAACGCCAAGGCACTTCCAGGCCACCGGTCCGGCGACCGGTCCGGGAAGCGAGGCGTAGAAGAGATAGCCGGTCTGAGGGGGCCAGAGACAGTCTTATCACGGAGGCAAATCATCACGCGTACAACAAGAGTGCACGTAACTAAGGGCGTGGGGCGAATCTACTCGAGTCCCTCCTGGGCCAATCACATCTACATATTTGTCTACACATCTACACAGCGTTGATATGTTCTATCGATGGATTTTATATAGTATGCCGATGTTTAAAGCAATAAATTTCCAACAATGAAATAAGAAATACACCTTTGCTTAAATAAATATCAACTGCTGGGACACACAATTCAGAAGCAAAAGAATTCAGAAGTCACAAAAAGCCGTTCTCCATGCTGATGGATGATAATAGTCGCAATTGCCATGAGAAATCAAACATACATAATGCGATCACTCCTGTTTCATGGACCACCCACTGCTTCGGGTCCAATGATTATCGACCACTTCGAGTGACTGGCCGCGGCTTCAGGTGCTTGAGTTCGGGATCGGTACAGTACACGCCACGATATCGCACGCAGCATCCACAGGCCCGGGTGCAGTGCATGTAGCTCACGCTCCCCGAGGGATCCCGGATCGTCTTCCAGGTTCGCTCGCAGCAGCCACAGTCGCGGGCACAGCAGCCCCCGCGGAGCTGACAGTAGACCTGTTCGATTTTCCACAGTTTTCTCGGTCTTCGACGCAGCGATTGGAGATATTCGCGGACAAGAGGTCCAGATGGTTTGGCCTTTTCGAGGTCTGTCAGTTTCTGTTGGTGGTGCCCGAAGTCATGGTTGAGTTGTCGGAGTTCGAGTTCGCAGGCGCGAATGCCGTTGAGGTCTGCCACGTCCGTAGAAACCTGTTCATTGACCTGGTTCTGGAGATAGGCGAGTTTGGCCCCGAGGTGCATCTCGCGCTGGATAATCTGATTGCCAACCCGGGTTTCCGCTCGATGCTGGGAGATCCATTTGCGTTCGATCTTGGCTCGCTGCCTCTCTCGAAATTCTTGCAGATACAAATGGAGATCATTGGCCTGGAGATGACGCTGGAGTTTGGCCTTGAGGTTTGTCGTCGAGGCCACCACAGACGAAAGCACGGTGCGGAGAGACATCGAGTCTTGGTATTGTGATGGAGATGATATGGTACTTCAGGGTTCGATGGGATGGACGAGTCTTGATCGAGATGGTGATGGAGAGTGAGGTACTGTGAAGAAATCCATCTTCCCAGTCTTTGGAAGCAGATCCAGGCTCCGACACTCTTTGGGAGTCGGAGGCCAGGAGTGATCTAGTGGTGATGCGATTTGGTCAAGTCCAAGGTTACCACACCCGACTAGGCCGATTCGGGCGTCGGCGAGGCCGCCTGATTTGGCTGCAGATGGCTTCAAACATGCGACTTTCAATGTGGTGACTCGGAAAAAGAGATTTGGCCATTTTGGCCTGCCTTTTGTGGTAGATCGAAGATAGATCTGGATAAATCCCGGGATCCATCAATGATCTAACAAGGCCCACGAAGACCGACATTCTCCACATACCCCGCGAAAACAGTCCGAGGCGTTCAAAAAAATCCTGGAGTCGGCCGATCGATAGAGAAAGCACTCGCTCTTGTCGCCGACTTCCCCAGCCTCGAGACGAGCCACGCCAAGTCCACCCAGTATAAGATCACACTCGCGAACATCGATCGACACTCGAGATCTTTGCTTCGATTGAATCTCACACCACGAAAGCACTTGTCTATACTTATACCTCCATCTGCGGCACCGATCTTCGCATCCTCCAAGGCGACGTTCTGAGTGTCCAACCTGGGCGCGTGTTGGGTCATCAGGGAGTCGGGTGTGGAGTCGCTACGGTCCGTAGTCATTGTGGGCGCCGGTCCGGTCGGGATAGCAGCACTGCTCACAGTTCACATGTATACGCCCTTGATGGTCGTGATGGTTGACCTGGATGACACCCGCCTGGCCACCGCCCGGTCCCTCGGTGCCAATGAGACAATCAATTCTGCGACACCCGATGCCAAGCAAAAACCGATGGCCCTGACAGATGGTCAGGGGTTTGACTCGGTCATTGAGGCGGTTGGTAATCCCGCGACATTTTCTTTGGGTCAGGAACTTGTGGCCGTGGGCGGTGCGATCGCGAATGTCGGGGTCCACGGGACCAAAGTGGATTTACACCTGGAGACACTTTGGGATCGAAACATCAGTCAGTGCATGAAAGAGCAACCATCTTGGGGCCACCACTGACTCGCCCGGTATCCACATGTCGCTCGTTAATTGTACTACGACACCCCGTCTGTTGCGGCTGGTGGCGCTGCGGATGTTGGACATCAGCTCACTGGTGACCCATCGTATGTTAGCGAACCAGACGTGCGCCCGTTATCTGTGCTAATCATTCCCCTTTCCAGACTATCCTTTCCACGCGGCTGTCACAGCATATACGACATCCCAGGCAGCATCGCAGCACCAGGCACTCAAAGTGGCCATTGATTTTGCTCCATAGCCAATCACGCTGACATGGATATCATCCGTCTTATCTCTCTACGTCTTTTGCTATCTTTATCTGCCGTGGGCCCGCATGTAGATAAACCTCCGAAGCTGCGGGATGGCCGTCGGCTGGCTTCGGGATGTCTCCCGTGACATGGCGCCCGATGCACGCGAGATGAGTCTGCAGGGCTTCCACTAGGGTTCTATTTACATTGATAGAGATCCATAGAGATCCATGGATATACGAGACTCCATACAAGCAAATTGTCAAAAAATCATCCCCACACCAATTCTAATGATCCACCGAATCCACATACTTCCCAGACATCTCTCACGTGTGGTTCCCGTCTTTTCTCCACCATTTTCCCTTTTTTTTTCTTTCTTTTTTTCTTCCTTCCTTACTCATCCCCAACTGTATTGTCTCCCCTTCTCTCTGGACTGTAGACAGCCCTACGCAAAATCGTCCCCGCATGCAACGCAGACACTGAATCCAATGGTTTCGATGGCTTCCGACTCCCGTCGCCCGTCGCGGGTATCGGTCACGCGAGCGGAACAAGGCGTCGACACCACCCAGGCGGATCGCACGCTGGAGGACCTGGGGTACACGCCCGAATTAAGCCGCAACCGCTCCGTCTGGCAAGTCACTTTTATGTGCTTCATCCTCTCGTCGGTCCCCTACGGTCTGTCGACTACGCTGTACTATCCTCTGGCCGCCGGTGGCCCCGTCGACATCGTTTGGGGCTGGGTACTGGTGTCCTTCTTGATCCTATGCGTCGCCATTTCCTTGGCCGAAATCACCTCAGTCTATCCCACTGCCGGTGGCGTCTACTATCAAACCTTTGTCCTGTCGCCACTCTGGTGTCGTCGCGTAGCCTCGTGGATCTGCGGCTGGGCTTATGTCGCGGGCAACATCACCATTACCCTGGCGGTCAACTTCGGAACTACACTCTTCTTCGTCTCCTGTCTCAACGTATTCGAAAAGGCCCCCAACGTCGGCATCACCGATGACTTTCAACCCTACCAAACCTACCTCATTTTCTTAGCCATCACCCTGCTCACTCATGCCATTTCCGCATTTGGTAACAAATGGCTGCCATGGTTGGAAGTAAGCACTCTTGAACCTTTTCCTGGCGGTAGAAAACTCACCTCGTCCGACCCATAGACCTTTGCTATTTTCTGGACCCTCGCCGGATTGATCGCGATCGTCGTGTGTCTGCTGGCAATCGCGAAGGCAGGTCGACACTCGGGCGCCTAGGTCTTCGGTCACTTTGAGCCTCAGGCTGGGTGGCCTGCCGGTTGGTCATTTTTCATCGGGTTGTTGCACGCCGCCTATGCGACCTCTGCTACTGGCATGATCGTCTCGTAAGTCCCCTGGTTGACATGCCGATTCAGCGAAAGTGGAGAAGCCCCGCTAATCCTCCAGTTTAGTCTCTGTGAAGAGGTCCGAGAGCCCGCAGTCATGGTCCCCAAGGCCATGGTCGGAACCGTCATCATCAACACCATCGCCGGTCTTGTGTTCTTGATCCCAGTCTGCTTTGTTTTGCCGGATTTGAAGGACCTGGTGGCCCTAGCTTCGGCTCAGCCGACGCCCCCGATCTTTAAATCGGCCATCGGCAACTCCGCCGGCGCATTCTGTCTACTGATCCCGTTGCTAGTCCTCGGCATCATCTGCGGAGTGGGTTGTGTGACGGCTACTTCCCGCTGTACCTGGGCCTTTGCCCGTGATGGCGGCATTCCTGGCTCGGGATGGTGGCGTGTCATCAACAAGCACCTGGATATCCCCTTCAATGCCATGATGCTTGGTATGGTCATCGAGATTGCCCTGGGCGCTATTTACTTCGGGTCCACCGCTGCCTACAATGCCTTCTCGGGTGTGGGCGTTATCTTCTTGACCATGAGTTACGCCTGTCCGATCGCCGTGTCACTGATCTTCCGCCGTCGCGAGGACATTGAGCATGGTAGCTTCAACTTTGGCTTCGTGGGTATGATGGCCAACATCTTTGCTCTGGGTAAGTCTCGAGCATATCCGCCTTTTTCCGACTTGAAGCACCCACTAACATGTTCCCCATAGCATGGAGTATGCTTGCCATTCCGTTGTTCAGTATGCCAACGCTCAAGGCCGTCACCAAGGAGAGCATGAACTACGCCTCTGTGGTCTTCGTTGGGTTTGTTATGATTGCGGCCGTCTGGTATGGAGTCTGGGGTTACCACAACTACCGCGGACCCCCCACCGAAGCCGTGGGACGAGATGAAGATTCTGCGCCGGACGCCACGACCGAAGTGCCCGACAAGATGAAGAGTCCATGAATCTGTCTGGGACTAGCAATTGGGTTTAGGCAGTCTCCGCTTGCTCGGGCAGCTTTCCGCCCCTACCCCATTTCCATACACTACGGCTTGGATGGATGCCCGCGGGGGTCTGTATGTATATAGCCATATCACACGCTTGAAGCGGTGTAGCAACATATTCTGTCCAAGGTGACAGTACCGCCTAATCAGATATGATCTTAAAAATCAATTTATTGGCTGGGGAGGCTTCAATCATTGCTGTGTGTGTCAACATGTTATCAACAAGTATATATTCACGGCCACTCCACTTGCACACTTTACGTTAATGCTTTCTTATTAGCTTATCTCTTTTTTACCCCAAATCCCGATTCATCTGACTGTGTACCTTTTTCCTTTTCACTATACCTAATTTTATTATTATTGTGATTATCTTTTGAATCATCTGTTGGATTACTGTTATTATTATTATTATTATCTAATATTTTCTCTACTATCTTTCTACTTTTTTCTATCGTTTTTTCTATCGCTTTTCGAAATTCTTATCTAATTCGTGGTCTTTCAACCCCAAAGAGGCAAGAATGAGGCTACGCGAAGCGTGGCCGCAGTTTTGTTGTATCAATATATCAATATCGAGCAATACTAATTCTTGGAGCCTCACGCGCCGCTTAATTTTCAGCCCAGTCAGGAGAATTTTCACAAGCTACTCCTGCGCCTACAAAGACTAATGGTGTCGCGATTGCATTGATACCTGTTTGGCTCCGCGGCTAGCTCATTCCCAATTTCGTATCGAGTATATAATGAGGTTCTGGATATGTGGATGGGTCATTTTAAGATAATAGGGCGGCGATTACATGCTGAAATGAGATATAGCGTGTCAATAACCCATCTTATGGCATGGACTTAATAGAATGTAGGACTCCCCATAGTATTGAGATGAGAGCTACGTAAAATAGACTACATAGACATCTATGGTTTGATACTTTGAATTTCGAACCGGGCTGTAAGGATGCAATTACCACTCTATTTGCTCTCAGAATTTCCGCCATTTTTGTAGCCACAAGGACTTTTAGATCTTCCATGGCGCAGGCGGCGCCGCAAACAGCCATCTTCCACCTCGAATTTTCAGTAGGCTCCCCATTTTATATGCTCTCTGGCACTTTAATCCTGTGCTATAATTGTAATTGGAAGGAGAACTATTCAAATCCCTTAACGAGGAACAATTGGAGGGCAAGTCTGGTGAACCATCACAGTTCCACAATGCTGACTCCAGAGATACAAAGCCGGGGCTCTCGTCGCGGGTATTCATCGGCCAGCAGCCGCGATAATTCCAGCTCCAAAAGCGTATATTAAAGTTGTTGCAGTTAAAAAGCTCGTAGTTGAACCTTGGGTCTGGCTGGCCGGTCCGCCTCCCCGCGAGTATTGGTCCGGCTGGAACCTTTCCTTCTGGATTCGAACATGCAGTTTAGAGTGAACGAGTCAAATGTTGCGGAATCTCTCATCCTAGTGAGTTCCGTGTTGTTTATGGAATGTGGATAGGGATGGTGTGGAAGCGAATTGGTGGAAGCACGTAGAGCACCTATTCTGCCTAATTATTGCCTACGCTCAACTCGTAATTGATTGATGTGGGGAGATCCCCAGCCAGTCTAGGCGGTGCAAAAACCCGTGAAGCTCCGCGTGTCTCGATTTGCCAAGGCGTTTCAGTCGGTGGAAGCAGGAAGCTCATGCATGGATAATGCCAAAAAAGACCAGGAAAGATCCGCCAATCAACTCACATCCTCAATTAACAGCGGGCGCGTAGTCTTAAAAGAGAAAATTGTCCACGGCATCGGCAATAAAGGGCTGCTCTGGGGCTCAATGAGCGTGCCGGGTTTGCCGGCCGACTTGCCCCTAGGCCCCAGGCTCGGCCCGGGGAACAAGCGAAGCGGACAAGTCCTACTCCGCGACCCATACCGTGTTTGGGTAGAATTTTGGACTATGTCTTTTCACTTATTTATTTCACTTGTGACTATGATTTTCGCAGCTAAGTGCCCACCGAGTATTCTGCAATGGCCTCTCTGTATATTATAGAACGGATGTGGCGGACTATGTTTTTGGGGACAAGCCACTGAAGCTCGCTTCGCCCGAGTGATTGTAGCACAAAGCACGCGACCCGCGCCCTCTCCTCTGGAACTCTTGGTGTTCATTTTCTATAGATAGACAAAATGGGTTAAAAAAAAGAGGAACAACAAATAGATACGAAGAGTGTGCCGACCAGGCACGAGTATTAAAAATAAATCAACCAGACTAACTTCTATGTATCTTCTCACAACTCAAACACCAGCCTTAGTGGCACTGCCGATCCATGATGCTCCGCTCTAGTCTTGGCCAAGCTAGATTCCCTTAATGGGTTTACCTGAAGCCCGAGAAGGTCGACACGGGTCCCTATTTACCTATTTAGGCCCTGCTAAGCCTGCATTCAGCCTAGTCAGTGGGGTCCAAATAGGAGAGAGAGGGATCTGTGTGCTGTGCACGCTTCACTCTACTTCTCAAAAGTCCTGGCCATAGTTTATTCGCCTTTCAGGCCTTAGCCCCAGCTTTGATATGCTTTGAGCGACCGGGGGCTGAATGACCCACAGCATGAACAAGGCAGGTATGGGTCTCTGAGCAGCTCACAATTTCGATCACCGACTTATAAAAGCCAGGCGGAGGCGGCTACGGTCACGGCGGCCGATTAAATGGACGACGAGGGTACGGCGCGCCACAAGACCAGTACAACCCATATGTTCAGCAACAGTGCGGTGGTCCCCAAGGATATGGAGAACCTCAGGGATACGGTGGACCTCCAGGATATGGCCCACCGCAACGGCGATACCCCTAGTAACAATATGGCTCGCCACAGCCGCAGTACCCTCCGCAACAATACGATCCATATGTTTCGCCGCCATCGTATGGGGAACAACAAGATGGCAACGTCCAAGATCCACTACCTCAGCTCCCCGATCACCAGTCAAGCGAACCCCAACCCGGCGGTGTTCCTCGTGAGTACCGAAACTAGTCAGACACTGGGGCCAAACCAACCAACCATGCACCCACTATTCTAGAGGCTGGCCATCAGAGATTCAGCGATGAAAACATGAGCCCGTTCGTCCGCGTCCGGATACCAGAGATGGAGCGACATTACGGAATCACCCATCACGAATGGCTTATCTTTCTCGACGAATTCAACGAAGCATGGATGGCCAATCCAGCTCTCCAAGCCGCCAACAAAGCAGGCAACGTTGCCGGCATGGCCCCCTCCATGATCGCACAGATAGTCGATGCGGGAGTCAACGTGGCTGCTGGTATCGGCTCGTCAGTTACCACCAAAGCGCGGACGAAGAAGTACCTGGAAAATGCGAACAAAGACCTCTTTAATCCAAAGGGATTGAAATGTTCAAGTCTGCAAGACGGAGAAGATGCTCGAGTACGTTGGCTTGAGTGGTCGAGATAATGTCTTCTCTCAGTATAAGCAGGCATTTGAGTACACGCAGATGAACGCTCCGATGGTTCAGGGAAGGAACAATCCTACGATGCAGCGCATGAGGTCGCTGGGAAACCGAGTTATGACAATATCATTCGACAATGTGGAGGCACCGACCAAGCCTGAAGGGTGGATGAAGAAGTGGGGTGCACATGAAGCTCAGAAGGCTGAAGAGAAGCAGAATCAGAAGGATTCTCGGCAGGAGCGGAGGGCAGGTAGATGAGCGGGTCGGGGAGGCTCCAGGAGGGAAGAGAGGCAAGCCAAGAACAAGGAGAAGGAGACCAAAAAGATCAGGTGGCTTGTCATTGTGCCAAAGGAACAAGCTGCTGGAAATGACGACGATTGGGATACGGACTCGGAGTCAGAGAAGAAGTGACGGAGAGAAGTGATCAACGGATTTCATAATTCTGTATTTCTTTATTCTTTCTATCATAGCCTAATGCATAGTGGAATAGAGCAGTGACAGCCATTCATTCCTGTGGCATAAATAAGACGAACTACTAGTATTTCGAACCGCGAGCGAACCCATCCTTTTATGACAGAAAGGGTTTATCTTTGATGATGGAAATTCAAAAATAACAATAACAATAAAAATACACCATGACAGCATTTTGGCCATTTCCCTATAGAAGAATGGGAAGGTGAGAAGAGTGACGTGCCCCAACCCTCCAGAACTCCGCACTTCTCCTCTCCAGAAACCCGCCTTCCTACTCTGGTGATGATTCTCGGGTGCGACTCACCGAAAAACCGATCGGGAATGCCTCGGGGACTCCATGGGGTCGGAAGAAGAGCGGGCATTTTCTGTCCGATACCCACTTTTCTCCAGACTCTCCCATTTTACCCGACTGTTTTGTTGAGCCTGCCGGTCAAAGGAAAACAAAAGGAGCGCGAGGAATCAAGAATATCGAAGTGAGAACTCTCTCGGACCCGATCGCGGGATTCTTCTGGTGTGCCGAGCCAAGACATGTCGGCATGGCGTGCAGGCGAAGTCGCCACTGGTCCTTGAAATCTACCCGACCCTGACGTGCCGGACACTCGGCTAACCGTCTGAATGGCGAACCGCAGCCGATCGCCTGCTGGAATCGGCTCTGGCTGGCTTTGCCCCCCTGACCCGGTGGGTTTCTCGGGGCCGTGCGAGTCGGCTTCGGCCGGTCCGTCTGCTGGCCATCGTCATCTCGCCTCTCCACATTGTCTCTCCACTCGTCTCCAGTTCTCGTTTTTCTGTCCCCGCTGGATTACAAAAGGGCCGTTTCTGTCCCCCCGGGGCGATGTTCTTGTCTCATTTACTTCCCCGTGGGCACTTCCCCCGTTGAACCCGCTGTTATAAAACCAAATTTCCTGCTTTGGTTATATTCTTCTCTTCTTCTTTTCTTTTTTGTCCCTCCTTTCAACTACGTATCCCTCTTTGAACCCCCCACACACACCATGGGTCTTGAATCTACTTCCCATCATGGGGAGTCCGTCGCCCCAGCTCAGAATTTGAATACCGGCGACTCTTCCCCGAATAGTGGTTTCCGGAAACCCATGCAGCCAGCCGGGGTCGACACCCCAATTCCACGTATCACTCTGCGATCCCTGGTCATGGCCCTCTTCGTCTCTATGGGTGGGCTGCTTTTCGGATACGACACGGGTCAAATCTCCGGCTTCCAGGAGATGCCTAACTACCTGCAGCGCTATGGTGAGGTCATTAAAGGCAAATGGGCCTTCTCCGATACACGCTCCGGCTTGATCGTTGGCCTGCTGTCTATTGGTACCTTGATCGGCGCCCTGGTCGGTGCCCCCGTCGCGGATATCCTGGGCCGCAAGTGGTCGATCACGGTCTGGTGCGTGATTCTCAACATCGGCTTGATTGTCCAAATTACCTCGCCTGCTGGTCACTGGTGGCAAATGGTCGTCGGCCGTTGGGTCACTGGCTTGGGTGTCGGCGGTTGTTCATTACTGGTTCCCATGTACCAGGGTGAGAGTGCCCCGCGTCACATTCGCGGTGCCATGATCAGTTGCTACCAACTGTTTGTCACTCTCGGCATCTTCTTGGCCTACTGCATCAACTTGGGCACGCATAATCTCGACGGCACCGCCCAGTGGCGCATCACTCTCGGTCTCACCTTTCTCTTTGCCGTGGTTCTCGGCGGAGGCATGGTCTTCTTTCCCGAAAGCCCCCGGTACGAATTCCGTCACGGCAAGGCCGAGAGTGCCCAGCGCACTTTGGCCAAACTGTACGGCGTCCCCGAGAACCATGTCCGCATTTTGGAGGAGATGGCGGAGATCCGTGAGCAATTCGAAGCCGAATCTGGTGACCAAAAGTGGCACGAGTTCATCACTGCTCCTCGCATGTTCTACCGCATCCTCTTGGGTATGGTCCTGCAATCCCTGCAGCAGCTCACCGGTTCCAATTACTTCTTCTACTATGTGAGTTCCACCACCCTCTGTCGCCTTTGGAAAAGGAAGCTAATACACTTCTTCGATAGGGAACTACCATTTTTGAAGGTGCCGGCCTGTCCGACAGTTTCATCACCCAGTGTATCCTTGGCGCGGTCAACTTCGGTACTACCTTCGGTGGCCTCTACGTGGTGGAGAACTTTGGACGTCGCAAGTCGCTCATTTTCGGTGCCGCTTGGATGTTCGTGTGCTTTATGATCTTCGCCTCGCTGGGCCACTTCATGCTGGACCATGAAGTGCCCCAGAACACCCCGGGTGCCGGTAAAGGCATGATCGTGGTGGCATGCCTGTTCATCGCGGCATATGCCATGACATGGGGTCCCATGGTGTGGGCTATCGTTGCAGAGCTCTTCCCGTCCAAATACCGTGCCAAGGGTATGGCTCTGGCCACCGCCTCGAACTGGGCGTGGAACTTCCTCATCAGTTTCTTCACTACATTTATCACCAGCGCCATCGACTTTGCCTATGGATACGTCTTTGCGGGCTGTCTCTTTGTGGCTGCGCTGGTTGTGTACTTCTTCGTGATTGAAGGCAAGGGCCGCACTCTGGAAGAGCTCGACTACATGTACGTCAACAAGGTTGCTCCCTGGAAGAGCAGCGACTACGAGCTCCCGCAGCGCCAGGAGTGGGCCGCCGACGAAAGCCCATCTGGGCGTAAGGAGGAAGAGATGTATCATGCTGAGAACGCATGAAAGATATCCCGTGGTTTTGGACCTTGATGCATTGAGTTGTTTCTAAACTTCCACATCTCCCGACTTGCCTTGACTATGATTGCATGACGCGATAACATCTTGGACCTGGAGTACCGAGGTGCGATTATTGCACGATTTCATTATTTTCGTTGTAAATTTAGACTTTCACTTTTGCATCCAATAGAACATACAGATTCTCTCACAGCTAGACAGGAGTTCGAAATTGAAACCAGCGCAAGAATATCATATAACTAGCGGACGTGTTTTAGTTCCCGTTAATTTCTTCACCGGAGTCGAAATCCGTGCCCAAGTAAACTAAAACATTCCGAGAAAGTACGCAAAATGCTCCATCTGAGTTAGGGCCAGGTATGTCCTGGGTATTGCACACACCTTCCATTGGCTTTCCAAGAAGAGCGTAAAACGGTGCAACTGCAAGTGAAGCAACGGAAAGCACGGAGCAAAACTAGCTCTGTTATATCAAAATCGGTATTAGTTTCTGGGTAAAAGAGCAAGATAGAATCCGTAAATAGCCCATCACAGCCAATCAGAAGAGTAAACTCCAAAAAACCACGAATATTCCTCGCGAGTCGATCCGGCGATGGCCGGTCTACATGTGTCTCAATCCATACAATGAAAGCAGCTGATCAGTTGGACAATCGGTAGCGAACTGGTTTGCCACCAGGGTCTGAGACGATCCAAGTGCCATCACCCAGGGCTTCAAAATCATAGCTATCGCGTGAATGTGCCTCGAGGCGACCGAGCAAAATACCAGTGCGAAGATCAATACTATGGTGATGGTGCCACTCCTGATTATCAGTCTCGCCCACAATAGAGACGATGACCCTGTCTGCGTCGAGGAATCCACCGCTCCAGTCCATGAATGATTCCCCGTACTCATACCCAAAATCATCCACGGAGAGGTGTGAGATCACCTCACCACTAGGAAAAACATGAAATGCAACATCCTCACGGCCGTGATCAACAGTCATGAAACTCTGCCCGTCGGGCGCCACGTCGATCAAGAAACGATCGATCCATTCGTAGGGGTGCAGGTTCATGTCATCGCCGGTGAGTGACGCTCGGTAAAATCTCACCCCATCTTGACCCTCGCCCACCTAGCAAGATATGCTTCCCGTCGGGATGTTTGTTGAGCTGGGCTGCATTCATGCAGCCCAACACTGCCCAGCTCAGCCTTGTCGATCACCTAGCCAGAATCGGCACGCAGCACTACCAACATATCAGGGCCACGATCGGCCATCGCATCCGGGCGATACACCCACACCAAATTTCCGTCGAGGGAGAATACACAGCTGGGGGAATGTCCGCTACTCCGGGCGGAGCGAGGCTCCAGGCTATAGCGCCAGATACCGCTACCGTCATGGTCAATGCACACAACGTTATGGCGAGTGGCGTAGGTTGCCCGGTCCAAATTTGGGGCCACTGCGTGATTCAATATCTCGTCCTCAGATTTGACCGGATAGATTGCGATGGGCTCCAGTGGCCCGTCCACGCTGCCGGAAACCTGGTACGCGTACACGCCCCCATCCAGATAGCGTGACGTCGTCAGCTTCATACCAAATAGCGAGCGAGATGCGGCGATTCCGACAAGGATGCTTTTGGGTAGCCGAAGGATTTCGTCGTCTCGATGTGGCTTTTCACTTGACCCCCAGCTCAATCGTTCGGTCAAAGGTCGACTTTCTGGCTGACTGTCACCGACAAGAGTCTGGTGGATGGGGTTTAGGTGGATGTCCCGGGTGTTTGGAGTATAAAACCTCGTGGCGTTCAATCTATCACGGTCCCAGGCTGCAGTTAAGAGCTGCTTCTAATGTTGGATGTTGGATGAGGTCCAATGCTGCTGTCAGGCAGCTTCGTTAATGTTAAAAAGAAACTTTCAATGTCAAAGAGAAAAAAATAATGACATGAAAAGTGGGCTTGACAGTGGGTATCTTGAACTGATCCGCAGGATAACTCTCCTGAACAGGGAAGCACTAAATCTTGGCCCTCGTATTTCCTGACGATCAAATCTCGATGCCCACCTCCTTTCGAGCCTCAATGATTTCTTCCACAGTGTCAGGATTTCCAATCTGATTGACCGCGTCAGAGCGAGTTACTTCCTTTCTTCTATAAGACGTAAAGCACCCAGTAGGACATTCAAGCAAAAGTGCGTGGCGTCTCTGGATCCGAAAACTATTCCCAGGTCTAATTGTGACTTTTCTTTTAAAACAATCAACTGATGGAGAAGAAAATACTCTTTGGGGAAGCTATTTTTCACGTCTCTCACTCAACAGGCTCTCGACTTTTCGCACACGTTCTTGATCTCCCAACTCAGGATATAAACCAAGCACAGTATCCAACTCTGATCTCGCATCTCTGATATTTTTCTCTGTCCATGGACAGTGTGCCTTGACAAACTTTTCATGAGTATCCTTGAAATGGAAGGCTGATTGGAAAAACAATCTCTTTCCAGAGTCGTTCTGCAACGTTGATACAGTAAGAGGGAGATGCTGTGAAATCTCTTTCCTCATGATCGCATTCTCAAAGTAAAGACGGTCGTCGGCGAATCTTTCGCCTTCTGCCACGCCATCATTATTCCAACTAGGGATATCGGCTATGAACCAAGGGTGATGGATAATAGTTGGCAGCGGTGCCACGAACATCCAATCCCAGTCGATGACCCTAAATTAAACCCCCTCCAAGTAGAGAGACAGCGTCGCTTGTGCCTACCCTGTCAAATAGAAATCGTCACTTTTCACGATATTATGCGCATTGAGATCTCCGTGGGTAAACCCGATGCTGCTGTATCTATCGAATTCAGCGGCATAATTTGGTATCATAGAGCGCATTATCAGATAGTCAATGGCATTCCTCCATCTGGCAGTGCCAATCAACGTACGACAAGACCTCGGTCCAGGCTTTTAGCCAGACGGAGTACAGAGGACTGTTTTCTGGAACAAAGGTGGAAGTAACTGGGGTGGTCCATAGTTGCAACACAAACTCCGCAAGGTCATTCAGAAGCCTTTGGTGTTGAAAAAAAAAAAAAAAAAAAAAAAAGATTTGATGATTCCATATTGCTAGCGGCTTGCCACTAACCCATTCTGAATAAAGCACATGGTGTTCAGGTTCGATGAAAAGGTTTGGGGCTTCGATCTCTGGTCGTTGCTGTTTGACGTGTTGAAATTGCCTAACGGCACGCAGTTCATTCTTCCAATTATTGGAATGGTGGCTGACCCGGGCGGCCCATGACACAGAATCTTCGAAGACCACTTTTAATACGCGATGCGAGCCACCGTGGCAAGGGCTTTCCTCGGCAAGTGAGCACGGTCTTCCCAAACGAAGGCGGCTAGCTTGAGCAAGCACATCAAGTGACATATTGGGGCTTGGGAAAGACGGGAGGATGTTTTGCATTCAATAGTATGAAGTGGCAGGAAGATAGGGAAATGAGGACCTCGTTGTGGGGATCATGGGGACTTGAGCCCTTTTTTCCATTCATCTTTCCCAGTCCTTGCAATTCTCAGTGTGCACATTGCTAAGCCATTACCGATGATTCAATTATACGGTGCCTCGAACCAGGGTGAGTAATTAGGAGAGGTGTTTAACCCATGAATTGTCAAACTTTGATTCTTAATCATGATCACTGGTTACGTGGCAGGTTTGATGCTTAGGTATAGAACAATATCCATGACCGGGGAACATATAGATCTAGCTCCATCTACAGGCAATAAAACAAAGGCAATCAATCTTGAAGCATTTGTCTCGACGTCAAATCAAGGTCTCCCGCTGCAGGAAGAAGATGCCTCGTTGTATAACACTATTCAAGGAATAAGCTCTGCAATTTGCCCCAACATATTTTGATAAATGCTAAGCAGGTACTTTCGATGACGGTAACTGGCACTCAAGTGTTGTGAAAAATGTTCCCGTCTCGTGCTGGTGTTCCAGGTCTTCTCAGGCTGTCCAAGGTGAATCTCACTGCGCCGTCTCGGTCCCCATACTTCGTCTAAATGGCCTTCTCTTAGCTTTTGGTGAGTTCCATGCATACTTCGAATGGTGTAGCACTCATATCTGTCCTGTCCGTATTTCATCGACTGCCGAACGGCCATGGGGATTGCATCACACAAACTTCGAACCAAATCTGAGAAGGAAACCCCCAAGTAAATGGCACAAGTGGTAATCAATCCCAGCCAGAATGCGTTATGTGAGCGGATGCGACTGTTGGATAATCTGGCGTAGACTAATTGGGCCTGGGGCAACGTCGGATTGTTTCTCGTCCAGTGTTGTCTTGGTGCAGATGAGAACAACCCTTGAGGCTCAACACTTTGAGCGTATCTCTTAGCTCTCTGCAACATTTCGTGTGATAATAGTGCCACGGCCGAGTCATAAGCGGTTGGGTCAATCCTCATCGCCGCCGTCGCAAGTCTATGGACTGCAGCGACTGTGGCGGAATTACAGCAGCAGAGCTCGAGGACACACCATGGTCGCTGCAGAACCGTAAGGAGAGATTCCAAAGGGTTATTTTGTCCAATGACACAATGTGTGGAAAAATTCGCTGCATTCACTAGGAACCATGGGAGATGGTCGCTAATCGGCACTGCTCCTTGAGAATCGATGTTCTGGGGTGTGTGACAGGGTAGCGAGGCGAGGCTTGCCAAAGAATCTTTGCCCAGTGTGACTAGCACCGGCAGAAGTTTTGTAACAGTAAGTGCAGTTTCCTGAAGATCTGTGCGGACTCCAGGGTTGAGGGTGACACTCCAATTGGGAGGAAATGCGACGATGGAATATATTGCGAACGAATCCCCAAGTCTCACCCCACCTCCATGGTCGTATGTGGCACAAACTTGAGCTGGACTTTGGGGGATCGTGAGAGCAGGACAACCGATCGAATCCTCCATAGGAAGGGACTCAACATGCGTGGGGCGTTGACCAAGTCAGCTTCTCTGATCTGCGAGACTTGCCAGTCTTGGCGGATTTGGTGTCGCTGTCACGTGTATCCCATTGAATGCCTGGGGCATCGAGTGTAATTATTCATTTGGGTTTTTGATTGGCCGTAAGCCACCGAACTTATTGTACATCATGTCTGTATACTAATTTAACCTATTCAGTCCTTCTTTGATAAATTTCGAGGGAAAAACACCATGCCCTTTGCTGTATATTTATAGCCAAGCAACCCGAGAGTGCAAGGTCAACTCGATTCAGCTGTCTCTACACTTATCCTGGCACCCACCTCGACCCCTTGCTGGATAACTGCTGGGTTGAATGAGAAGAAAGAGTCTCACTTGACACTCATCTCTCCTCGCTCACCCCTCTGTGGCTTCAGCGGGCATTTTGATCCCCAGTGCCCTTTGTATCTCTTTGACGATTCTTTTGGCCAGTCCCTCGTGATGATGTGGGAAATCGAACAACTCGAGAAATTGTGCGCATTTTTCATGTATCGTGCCGTCTCGTATATCGCCAGAACTTTTCGTTTTGTCCTCATTTGTCTGGGTTGTGCTGAGGTCACGCAAAAGCTCTTGCATTTTGTGGAATACCGGATAGGAAGGAAGCAAACCCAATTCGATCCAGTCGAGGTTCGTCAGCCGACAACTTTCGTCAACCTCCAGTGTTGCACGGATGATACCCTCAGTCCGGTATTTGTTGTCTTGAACCGTGGCCTTGGGAACCTCGCCATGGGCGGCTGTTTGTAGGATGCGGGCGATTCGGGTGGCACCAATTTCCGCCAGCGACCCATATATGAGAGTTCCAAGAAATGCCAGTTGCATATAGCCGCGCATATTCACCATGCACGCCACCGAGGCAATTCCTGACAAGGTTCCTGACATGATCCAGAGCCAATGAAGGCAGTCCTTGACCCACGTCCGATCGTACTCCCACGTTGATCGTGCCCATTCCTCAAGCTTGTTCTGTCGACCTTTGAAGATGACGGTGCCGCCTTCTGCCCGTTGCCAGACCGCATACCTCAGTGTGGAATCGGGCTTCACGCGGGCCGGTTTATGAATCTTGACCATGCTGGTGCGCGATATCAGCAGGGAAGCCAGCCAATGGCTGCTGTATAGAAAGAACAAGGTGAACGCCCAGATATCCGCCACTAGAATCCCAAAGACAGTACCGGCGAACAGCATGGCCCCGTTGACAAGGCCGCTTAGATCCAAGGCCCATTTCAGGATCCGCCACCTGACGATCCCCAGCCTGTCCCGGACATGTCGTTTCGCCTCTGATAACGGCTGGAAGATTGTGTCCACAACGACCACCGCAAAGTCATTGCCCGGGTGGCTTGACGTTTCGAAAGACACAATGTCGCTGAACCAGACATTACTGAGGTTCAAGGGCAGCTGTTGAAAAACATTCTCAGAGACATCTGATTGAACAGGAAGCATTGTGGTATCTTTCGCGCATAGCTTGATTGACGGGTGAATCCACCGCATGGTTGCCGTGAGACGTTCGACCAGCATCTGCATCGGAGGCAGGGTGCCCCCGATCATAATCATGTGCGGCCAGGTGAAGAGACCATGATCATACTGGGTGTAGAGTCGTGCGGCACTATGATCGACTCGAGGGTTGTAAAGGACGGCTGCAACGCCAAGCGGGTCGAAGGTGACCCCATCTTGCGCCTTCAGCTTTGCTTGGGGTCCAGGCGACCAGGAGGGTAGCTGTGGTTTGGCTCGAACCAGATCTGCGAGGATAAGGAGGCATGCACTGGATAGCTGGGACGGAAGGGAAAGCATCTCCGGGTTGGAGAATCTCGGTACCAGAGATCCAAAAGCCCTCGATATTTCAAACTCTTCGCCGATCGGCATTGTCGGTGGAGCATCGCCAAGTCTTCTCCATAGGGCATAGCGCTCAGGCGTACGACTCCAGACAACGCCTCACTATTGAAACTCGGCCTGACACGTCCGATGGTGCCAGATCCACGATCGCATTCAGTACGCGACGCGATGGCTGCAAGAAGATACCCCAAGCGCGTTCCTGGGATATTTCGATCTACCACAAAACCATGCCCAAACTACTATATTTCCCTCACAAGAACTGTACGATTTCTATCATCCAGACACAGTTTCGTTATCTGCTAGGTGCTGGACGGAAAGCTAGACGCTTAGCATGTAGTCCTGTTTACGGCTATCTTAGTATGTGGATATCCGGTAACAAGAGCGGTATTTTGAGCCGGCCACGCATTTCAGATGATATCTGTCCTGTATTTGTTCCTTCGATTTGAGACACAGAGAATAGAGATTTATGCTAGATTGTATGGGATGCAGAAACTTGCTCCAAATGGGATGTGTTGTTCATTTTTGCCGGTCGTTTCAGGTCTTGACCCAGGCGCTGTTTAAAAAAGAAAGGTTTCGCTAATGCACATGCCTCATTGCAATGCTGCAACTAGCTCATCAACACTCTTCATCTCGCGGTCATTGTTTTCGCCAACATCCAGCGCGACGAGGAAGCGACTGACGCAGTTGTATCCAGCAATGCCGGTGGTAAGCTCGACAATCTCACGATCATTGAATCCGACGGCCTGCAGCTGGGAAAACACCTCATCTTGGACTTTAATCGAGCGCGTCATCTGATCCGTGTAGCGCAAGACAGCGCGTTGTCGCGGCGTCAGCGGGCTACTCTCTAGTAGGGAGAGCTCCTCCTCCGTAGTGCAAGGCAGCTCGCGAGCAGCGTTCAGCTCAGCCGGCTGAATGCCGCCTTTAAGGGCCAGAGGAGCATGGGCATTCCATTCATACACGGCGCGGTTCAGCACAGCAACGCGGCAAACCGCTAGCTCGAGGAGGCCCGAGTCGACAACGGTGCGCGAGCGAATCGCACCCAAGAAGCTATTCCAGCCATCAGCCACGGGTGGGCTATGTAATAGAGACAGATCTAGCGGGATCAACGGGCGAGGATTTCGTCGAGCTGCAATGCGAGCATAGATGTCTGCCGTGTCGGCGGGGGCATCATCCGGCAAGGTGGAAGGGGCGTAGGGCAGCCGCATTGTGCGTTTGGGATATTGAGAAGGACGGTATTTCAGAGTGTTGAGGCCAGACACAGTGACTCGGCGCTGGAGGACATACATCAGCAGATTACTTTTGATGTTATGAAGGCGGGAATCGTCACTGCCGAGGCCGCTGCGTCAGGCGGCTAAGTACTTAGCCGGTGTGAAGGTAAATCGGTAAGCGGGCGACCGCGTAACCGACCAGCGCATCACAGTATAATGGACCTCTTCTTGGTTATAGTTACAAGCTTCTGGTGATAAAGTAATAGGGGATCCATTACCTCAAATCCCGGGCATGGTTCGCACTGCATTTTGTTCCAGCAACCAAGGCCATCCTGTCTACAACTCAAATCCAGTCGCATATGCAATGACAGCCCATAGGCCCGACCGGACATTTGAAGGTGGCACATTTATGACTGAATGGTACTGGCCTAGGGGCATCTTGTGAGATTCGAGCAAACCTGCTATGCTCGGCCGGAGATATCCATAAGGGGTCGACGATACATCCCTGGTCACTGTCACTTTACTCCGATCTGGTTAAAATAGCTGATTCCCTTGATCTTTCCGAGTTGAACATCCACTGTTGTATTTTGATTGATTTGTGGCAGCAGATTTTCGGGTCCAGTTTATATTCTCTAGATCCTATATAAGGAAAAGACAGGGATGGCCGCAAAGCGTAGACGTCGGTCTTGTACATTCTTTCAGACCCACCAATTTTTAAGGCAAACCAAAATTGGATTTCCGGTAAGCGGATGGATAGATAATATTCGGGGGCCAATTTGGATCAAGCCTCGCGCTAATCAGCACTAGTCGCAGTCGTAGCTGGAATTACCATGCCTGAAGGCATAGGAGGCCTTGCTTTCCCACCTTTTTTCTCCCTATGTTCTAAGATTCTCTATTTTCTGTTTTCTATTTTCTACTTTCTATTTTCTAGTCTACGGATCTGCCCCCTACTGTCAGAACATGATGTGGTCGGACCTCTAGCCCCAAACCATCTGAGTAAGAGCGGAGCCGGGGCATGAGGCTGGAAGGATAGAACTCGGCGATTGGGTGCCTGATGTGGGTATATCTCCAATAATCATCAAGCTTATCCACATGTGTCTTTTTCTTTTTGGCTTAAAAATATAAAGAGATGGCTCCCCTCTGGATGAGTAGCCCCGTGGATCCAACGTGCGGATGGCGGACGCGGGGATTACTAACCTCACTCTGCTCAGTTGCCATCGCAGGATGCCGGGCAGGAAGTCGACTTTCTTCCTTGTGCTAGCTACCAGCTTAACCTTTTTCTTGGTGGTCTCTTGGACGCTCTCGGGCCCACGCAGCGACGCCACTTTTCAAAAGCACGCCGATTCCAGCACCGCTCACCAAAACGACACAATTTCCTCCGCGCATCTCAAGCCACATTCTAACCCGACTCCCAGCCCTGTCAAGACACCCTACGCGATCGGCACCTTTGTCGGCACAGATACATATGGGACGGAAGATGCCGGCGACGATGAGGACCGATATTATGTAGGGGCCCGGACGCTGGTTTATCAGTTGCTCCATGCCCCCAGCACGAAGCTCACTAGCCCGGTGTCTATTGTGATTCTCGTCACCAAGGGAGTGCGAGAAAGCAAACGCAAGCGCCTCCGGGATGACGGGGCGACGGTGATTGAGGTCGAGGATGTGCCACACAACATAACGGTTGGCCAACCGCGCTGGGCTGAAACGTTCGCCAAAGTCCGCTTATTTGATCCCAAAATCATGCCCTACCGCAAAGTTCTCCTGATGGACACAGACATGGTCATCACACGTCCAATCGATGCCATCTTCGAAGATCCGAGCTCGGAACCTATGAACTCTCGAAAGAATCAGACTAACCGGGCTGATTTGCCGCTGGCTACACTCCCTGAAAAGTTTGCGATAGCCGCAGCTCCCGAATCTCTTGATCGCGACCATCCCTATCCCTTTGTGGACCACGATCACACCAAGGGCTACTTCAATAGTGGACTTGTTCTGTACACACCATCCACCGAGCTTTTCCAGCACTATCTGGAGATCATCGCCCGACCGGACCTGTTCTATAATGGATTCCCTGATCAAGATTTGCTCAACTATGCCCATCGCTGGCAGGGGCCGATGCCCTGGAGGAGGCTGCACTTTTCATGGTATCTCAATTGGCCTAACCAAGATGACATCGATGGTGGCATGGCTATCATCCACTCCAAATTTTGGGAGCCAGATCTGCCCTTTGGGCCGGGAGAGAGGCTTGCTCTTTCGCGAAGATGGGAGATGCAAGGATACTGGATGGGCAAGGGGGGATCTCGGCTGTTTAATGATCTTGTAAAGCTTGTTCTTCTTCTTGTATATACCCCGTCACTTTTGATGTTTCTTATGGTAATTCCACAAGTTCCATATGCTTATTCTGTATGAAAATACTTTGGATACGCTAGGTTTGTCTACAGAGCGCCGCGGTTGCTTTGCTTTCTATGAGTGCATCCTGTGGATTTTTGTGCGCTCATGACCTGCTTACCATTCCAGAGCATTATTTTTACGGCCTGTGAAGGGCTATCAGTATGCAATATCAACGGTAGGGGGTGTATTCCACCGCTGTTTTCATCACACTTTTAAACCAAACACCCACCTTGGAAGATGAACTATCTGGCCGCAACGAAGCAAAAGCCATTTTCAAATAACATTCAAGTTTTTGGACTCAACGCCGGCTCTGATGCGACGGTTTGAAACATAATAGATCCCACCTTGTGTGGCAACGAGGACTAAACCGGACAGAACCAGGCCGATCATTATCAGAAGCCCCCTCGGGTAACTAATAGAATCGAGAGTAGAGTCAGCGAAGTTCAGAAGAGTATGCCAGATCAATATCATCCACAATCAACATACCATACTGATGATTCATCGTGGCGGAATATTTGTGTCCCTGCCATAAGACCACTAGTAGCGGTCATCACAACTACCGAAGGGTTAGTATGATTATCAAACGCATCGACAGGACTAAAACTTCTTACACATTCTAAACAGAAGTATGATTAGCATGTCCACTCAAAAAGAAACCAAGGATAGCCTTACGCTACGCTGATGCTCCTTTCTGCTGCGTTCTGGCAGTTCATCTGGATCCAGGCATTATGGATTGGATGATAACCAACGGCTAGACCATTGACAATAGTCCATAGCCCAAACTTGCTCCATTTGTCGACATGCATCTGGGCAACTCTCAGGACAATCAAAGCAATAAGATAGGTCGCAATTGCAATGGAAACAGCGAGGCCACGGTTGTTAATCCTGTCACTGAGCCATGCGAAGAAAAGGGTCACCGGCAGGGTCAAAAAGCTCCCCACAGCAGCCAAGGCATTTGCTTGGATACGGCCAAATCCCAAAGACATGATGATGGTGGGAGTGTAAGTGGTAAGAGGACTCCATGTTGAAAAAACGCAAGCTGTGGCAATGAAATGGGGCCATTTTCGAATATCAGTTAAGGTCCTCCAGACTGTCCGCAGTGGAATTTGCCCGGCTTCCGTTTTATCCAGAGACTCGTCGCTCAACGTTTTGCTGCTCTTCTCGGGGAGGAAGACCATGAGTACTATGGACAGAGTGATTGACCATATGCCCTCCACTGAGACCAATCAACTATACTGTCTCAAGCCACACGAGAAGATCACGTACCTAAAAAGATCCACTGCCAGCCCGAAAGCCCAGCTCTTCCATCCAACTTCAACAATCCCGCACCCAGGAGAGGAGAAACCGCGGTGCCTCCGAACATGCCAAAAAAGAATACCGCAATTCGTTTTGTGAGCTCTTGCTTGGTGTACCATGTAGATAAAGTGTACATGGCACCCGGGATATATCCCGCTTCTGCAAGACCAAGGATTGATCGCGTGACAAGAAACCCTGTCTTGTTTTTCACAAAGACCTGTAGCGTGGCGACAACCCCAAATATACATACTTGCCCGCCAATCCATCGTCGCGGTCCGACCTAGATTCGTTAGGCCAGCGCGGTGCAATGGGACAGTCGGTTGATTTACCCGATGCAGGATGATATTTGATGGGATCTCCAGAATTATGACACCCAGAAACATGAGCTGGTTGCCCAAGTTGATCGTATTTTGATCGACAGAGAGATCACTTTGGAAACCCCCCGTCAAGGCACTGGCAATATTCGTTCGATCCAATTGATAAGTGGCGAATCCAATCAGAAGAAGAGGGAGGACTCGGAAATCAGGACTTTGGAATCATCAATACTTGGTCTCTCAAGCAATCAGCCAAACCTACGCTCTCAGTCCCTTGAATCCAGCTTTGGCGCCATTCTCAATGAAGCCATCCATCTGAGTAGAATCGTCCTTGCGACGGATAATGACAGAACTCGCGAATTCATTTTCTTTGCTGTGTTGTCCCGCTGGGACCTTGGTGGCCACAGCTTGCGTGGGGCTATACGACCTTGAGGATGATAAGATACACGTAGACGCCCTCATCTTCTTTGGCCACGAAAGCTACTTCTATGGTCATTCTATTTGTGCATAATTCTATCACCATATAGGCAATCATAAGATCGATGGGTAGACAATTCAAACAAATGCGCCCCGTCGAAAGAATCACCCCTATCCAAGCTTTTCGGGTTAGGTGTATAAGCACCAAGCCTCTCATCTATTCCCAAGACCTCTCCAACGCCATGTTACTACTCACGATCACAGCGCCTCGGATGGAATAAAACCAAGACGCGTATTGTACATCCCACAACCCTCTTACAGCATGTCTAATCTCATCCCATTCGTGATCAGAATCACAGCTTCCATTTCAGCAGGTTGGAGATCATCTCACGCCCGGTGATACGCGACGTCGCCCACAAGGTTGGGAAATCCAAGGTGCTGGAGAAAGTGTCGGCGTAGCCGAAGAAGAGCATAGGCGGGATCCATCCACGAGCGTACTCCAGCGCGAAGCAGGACGAGTCCATCTTGTACTGCTTGACCTCCCCGCGGCGGAGGTGATGGACAGTGCCGGCGGGGTAAACCTCAGGCTCGAAGCTACCGGGCACGTAGGCTAACTGGGTGCCATGAAGAATGTTGAAGTAGTCGTCGGCGGTGTGTCGGCCGGTGTGACCCTCGGTACCAATCGCAGTGCCTGTAGATAGGAGAGGCAGTTAGAAAGGGTGCAATCGTCCACTGGATGGAACTTGTGGCTTACCGAAGATGATCAGGTACTCAGTGATACCTAAAGAATGACAGAGTTAGCAGCGAGTCCTCAATATTCCGACCGAGGTCTAGAGGTATGGGTGCCAGTCGTAGAGGTGACTGTTCACGGGAAGAGCCAAGAGACATGAAAATCCAAGGCCCCGAGCAGCACCAGCTTCCCAGGGCACACCTACTGGCATGAATGATGTGCATGGCACCCATAGCACCTCCTGCATTGTTGAACACCCATTCCTCCTCGTGGCTCAGGTACTGCGGGCCAACCTTCTGCTCCAGCTCGGCAACAATGTAATTGACCACGGAGCGCGTGTCTTCGCCATGGGCTTTGATTGCACGCTGGGAGAGATCGTGCAGGTGGCCCGGTTCGAAGATGTAGAACTGCTCCAGACGCGCGTTGAGGAAGCTGTAGACAGCGGAGAACAGAGCGAGGAAGACCGCCAGGAAGCTGAGACTCCGGATAGAAAAACAGCAGCCCGAGGACTTGTTGGCCGGTTTGGAGGGCATGGTGAGTGGGATAGGGAAACAGAGGAAAGAGCAAAACAGAGAAGAGGTGAACTTGATGAATTGCCCCTGGCAGAAACCTTGCAATCCCCGGAAGCTCCACGTGTGGGGCGCTGCCCTCGGGGGCCGCGGAATCCGATCGACTGTGAATCGATTCACCCGAGGTCCACCGGGGGTCCAGCTGAGAGTCTCTTCCTTCATCTCTCTCTCTCCATGGATTCTCTGCTCCCCTACGCCCTGGGGCTACTGTTCGTGTATCCGGTGGTGACCACCTCCCTGCGCTTTCGGCGCCGCCACCAACTCCACCAGCAATACCCATACCCCACACGAGAGTCCCTGGCGCGAATGACCGATGAAGATGCCTTTGAAATCCAGAAAACCGTCGCCCAGCTCGAGTTCCCCTTTATGTTCATCAAATCTTTGCAATTTGCGCTGTTTAGGGTATGAATACGTGATGGAACATTTCATATTAGACCGTTTTCTCAACTCTGCTATCCTTCATCTCGATGCATTCTCTCCCTTCGAGAAACTAACATCCCCGCGAAGACTTATGGCATTCCTACTATTTCGCACCTCCTCACCAGAACCAGCCAGCTCTCCAACCCAGATACTTCGCTGAAACGCTACACCGATACCAGCGCCCTCGTGCAGGAGATGGTGGGAAACAGCCCAACCTCACCCCGGGCGTATCTCTCGCTTGCCCGTACGCGGTTCCTGCACAGTGGCTACCGTGCCTCAGGCAAAATTCTCGAAGCGGACATGTTATACACGCTGGCGCTGTTCGCGCTGCAGCCCGTCCGCTTCATCGATCGGTTCGAGTGGCGCCGCCTGAGTGATCTCGAGCGCTGTGCGATCGGGACCTTTTGGAAAAGCATCGGCGACGCACTGGAGATCCAGTATGACGAGCTGCCGTCCGGTCCAACGGGGTTCCGCGATGGTCTCCAGTGGCTCGAGGAGATGGATGCGTGGAGTATGGCCTACGAGGAGAGATATATGGTCCCAGACGCAAAGAATCGGGAGACGGCAGACCAGACGACTGCTATACTCTTATATCTGCTGCCTCAAGGGCTGCATCCGATCGGACTGCAGTTTGTATCGTTTATGATGGATGACCGGTTACGGAGGGCGATGCTGTAAGTGTTTTTCTTGCTCCAGTGCTGTCTTTGCTTTCCAACCCTCATTTTGGGATGAAATGAAATATCGATCCCACTGACGGCTAAAATAGATATGATCCGCCGACCTGGTTCTTTGCATCTCTTTTCTCTGCCCTGCTGAACACCCGCAAACTCTTCTTACGCTACCTGGCACCACCCAGACCATACTTTCTGCGCTACGCTTCCTTCACCGAGCAGCCAGATGACCATCAACGCTTCTTTCTCACGAAATGGGAGGCGGCACCATATTATGTCAAGCCCACGGTCTGGAACCGCTGGGGCCCCATGGCGTGGTTGACTTGGTTCCTCGGAAAGCCAGTACCTGGAGATGAGGGGAACAAGTACTATCCTGGAGGATACATCATTCCGGACATCGGTCCCAGCTACTTCGAAGGAAAAGGGCGAAAGCAGTTGGAGGAGGCAATGCATGAGCTAAAGGGATATCGGACGGGGAAGTGTCCATTTCACTAAGGACCGGTGGAGACCATCGGTTCATATCTAATAGTGTGTAAGCAGTAGATACTGTGTATCATGGACCAAGCTCGGAACTACCTCCAGGCTTTATTATTATTATGAATACAAAGTACATCATTTCATCAATCTCAACCTCATTCATCAGCAACAGCATGCCGCCATTCGATCATAAACACGCATCTTTGGCCAGGGCGGTTACACACGCCCCGTGGTGGTAAACTTAGCACCTTGCCATTCCACACTGTCTTGATGGTAGGCCCCAGGGACCGGCATCCCTTGCGCGCTTCATTGGCCATCTTTGGCTCAACCACAATGTGGTCAGGGTTCACACAAGTGGGTTGGTGGCATAGGTGGCTCGCCTGTTCTCCAGCCAGCAACCGCGCAATCTCTTCGTCTCTGTTTGGGAGCATTGTCAGCAAAGTCTGGTTTTCTTTGCATCCGCAGTGTGTGGAACTCACGTCTTCTCCGCCAGAACGACCGGGCGATGGGCGTTTTGCGGCGCAGGCGTACGGCGCGGCGGTATCCCCTTCAGCACTCGAGATCGGCGCACGATTGGTGCTATGTGAACGTAGCCGTTATCCTAGTTGAAACCGTCAGAACTCGCCACATCTTACACTTCAGCTTATAGGTCCGCGTGCCTCTCGGTTTGGCGCCTTGCGCACTAGAATGCAACCAGCCTCGTTGGTGATAGCAGCCGGATATCCGGAACCAGATTTGTCACGATACCCATTTTGCAGCCGCTGGAGAGCGCGACGGGCATCGGCACGGGACACGAGGGCAAGCTCCATAGCCATCCGACTTAGCTTTGTCGCCTGTCTCGTGGTATCTGGACTCTTGGCATCGATTGAAGCATTCTTGAGCTGAGGTAAAGGGGAGAGACGACGAGGGGTAGACAGCAGCGCTGGGGGAGAGTGAGGAGGTTTGAGGCCCCCGGGACGTGTAAATACCAACTTAGTCTGCATTGGCTATGAGCAGAACAAGGATTTCACTTTTGGGATGCGGGGCGAGGGGGTGTGTCGATCTAGAGCCCAATGCCGAGCATGAAACGACGGTTTTTGCGGTTATGGCAGAGTGAGAAAACCCGTAGTTATCTAGCAATGGTAATGCCGCTTTTGGGATAAGGTAGTGACAGTATATCGACTGCCCTTTCCATCGATCGAATCAATGATGAACTAGATGAACTAGCATGATCAATGAGATCTCAGACCAGACGAGGAAAACAAAGTAGTAAACGATTTAACCTCTTCAATCCCTGGGAAATCTGTGCTCTCCGGTTGTGGGCTTTGTTGTATAGTTAGAATGAGACTTGGGAGTATGAAGCTTTTGCCAATCCTAAGACCAAAGGGCCAACATTATCATCATAGGGAATCTAGCAGGCCCTAGGCTACTCATATATCCGACAAGAAATGGCTATGGCTGCTATAGCCGGCGCAGTACTTGATACAGGAGGGCTCATGACAACAGATAAAAATCTTCCGGTCACAATGATTACAGGTCACCCAGACCCGACAGCCTTTGCGTGCCAAGATATGTATAAGCCCCTACCCTACCTGCAGTACCTAGGTAATGTTCACATATGATTTGTCAATAGATAACCATCCCTCCACAGATGGTTCATAACAGACACATTTGCTGGGGAAACGTCAAGGGACCCGCCGTACATCGTTCAACCTGGAGGAATCCCACTTCAACCCCGCATGCGACGTGGGGGGAACCCCGAAGATACCAGCAAAGAAGCGATAGTGGATAAGAAGCTCCCACGCGGGGGCACCGAGTGTTGTGGGCGTGGGGGTGGGGATCGGCTTTCCGGGGAGTTATTTAGTGGGAGGCCCGCGATATTTCAATCTTGTTCTTTCCCCGGGTCTCGCAGAATATACTCGTGAATTGTGGTAGGCACTGACGCTGCTACGTACCATTCAACCAACTGACCTTTATCATCCAGACGAACTTCGTCTAGGACAAGCGCAATGACGGCCAACGGCGCTACCAAACAGAATCCCCTCCCCCACGGCGTCTACGTTCCCACCGTCGCATTTTTCCGCCCGGACGAGGAGGTCGACCTGCCGACTGTCGAGAGACACGCCGCCTACCTGGCCCGCAGCGGGGTGACTGGTCTGGTCACCCAGGGGAGTAATGGAGAGGCGGTGCATCTGGATCGTGAGGAGCGTCGGGCCATCACCGCTGCGACTCGTCGCGCGGTGGATGCAGCCGGCTACACATCAATGCCCGTGATCGCTGGCTGTGGCGCTGCGTCAACACGCGAGACAGTTCAATTCTGCCAGGACTCCGGCGCCGCGGGCGCCGACGCCGTGCTGGTCTTGCCGCCGAGCTACTACAAGGCGCTGGTGAATGCGGAAGCCCTTCACGCCCACTTCCGGGCCGTGGCCGATGCCTCCCCGGTGCCAGTGTTGATTTACAACTTCCCGGGAGCGTCGTCGGGGCTTGACCTCAGCTCCGACGATATTTTGTCCCTGTCGCAGCATCCTAACATCATCGGGTGCAAGCTCACCTGCGGCAACACAGGTAAACTGGCGCGCATCGCGGCGAGTGCCAAGCCGGACTTCCTGACCTTTGGCGGGTCTGCCGATTTCACGCTGCAAACCCTCATCGCGGGCGGCGCGGGCATCATCGGCGGCGTTGCCAATCTCATCCCGCGATCGAGCGTGCGAGTCCTGGAGTTGTACCGCAGCGGAAAGGTTGAAGAGGCCCAGAAGGTGCAGGCGGTGGTCGCCCGTGCCGACTGGGCTGCAATTCATGGGGGGTTTATCGCGGTCAAGAGCGCGTTGCAGTCGTATCACGGGTACGGTGGGCTGCCTCGGCGGCCCTGCGTGGTACCGTCCGAGAAGGCTGCGGCAGCCATTCATGAGGAGTTTCGGGAGGGCATGGATTTGGAACAAGCACTCGAAAAGGCGGCGTAATGGTATGACCAGCTAAAGCAGTGTGAATCATGATACCTTACCAGCTATTTCCCAATTGTTTTCCCTCTGCTGTCAGGGTCACAGCGGCGAAACCTCCGTCCTTCCCACGATCGCTGAAGAGCCTAATCACTTCATACCTGCTGTCCTTTGCGCCCAAACTAGCGTTGGAACCCGTAAATTCAGCGGGGTTCTGCCTTGCCCCTATCCCCGGCCGTAGGGTTGTAGAAAATGCGCCCTCGGCCGTTCTTCCCCACCGTCACAACGTCGCTGTAGGGACTTGCGTACTCTCGCGTTGTCGTATTGAGTACTCTAGGGCGTGGTAAGTCTCTCTGATCCTCCTGATCTCACTGACTCCCCCGTTGTCGCCCAGTTCCACAGTCACGCTGACCACTTCGGGTGGGTCGTTTGGGGCAATTTTCCGGCGAGAGAATCACTGGTAATAATGTTTCTGACCGTGTACACCATGTGGATTCGGGACTGGGCGCCCTAGTTGGACTTGGCGACTCACTTGGCGACTCACTTGGCGACTCAATGGGCACCAGAGCTCTAAGGAGAAAGAAAGAAAGGAGAACCTTGGAAGCACGGGATTGACTAGGAAAAAGATACCATTGGGCTAAGGAACCGTATACCACAGGCCACACAAATTGCCTCTGAAACTATGTCTCATCCCAATCACTGATTGTCCAAGATGTCGCCTCATCTTTAATGACCAGTTTCAGCGTTGTGAATAGAATATGCTTATATAGCTCTTGTGCAGCTGCCCTCGCTTGCGCATGCCACGGCCCCCGGCCTCCCAGCCTGGCATCTTCGCGACTGCGCCAGAGACCTAAGCAAAGTTGATCAGCACAGAAACGCACACATCCCCCTGACTATCCATCAAAATGACTTACACGTTGCCAAATTCTGGTGGTTCTCATCTTTGGTCCCGAACCAATACTTCAGCAGCCCGCCACTGGCAGTCGCCTCCTGATGTGAATGCGCATCGAGCGCATACAGTCGGTCCGGATCGGCATCTTCTTGAAGTTTCGACCGGAAAACCACCACATAGAATGACTGCGCAGTCCATGCATGGCCCTCGGCGTGTGCCAATGTCCTCACCAGATCCAAGACCTCGCTCCAGTTGAAGGATTCGGTGTATGTCGCGGTGGCATAGTCGTCGCGGATGGGCTTAAAGGTCGCCAGCGCCAGCGCCAACAACCGGTCTTGTGTGTCTAGCGTTTCAAGGTCCAGAAGATGAGCCGGCGCGTTGTAGGGTGAGGCGATGAGCCGAGTGTCTGTAGCTGCCACTGCGGACGCTCCAAGGCGCAATGGCAGTTGCAATGATGCTGCCGCGTGGAATTTCTGCGCGTCGAAGTCGGTAGTCACCAGCGTGTGGGGCAACAGTCGGGTTAAAGGCAATTGACGATTTGATTTGTCGACAGCATGGCTGTTTTTCGTGGTTGCTGGACTGCTTTGCGCTGGGACCGCTACACTCACGGCCATACTTCAGTTCGCCTGGGGAAACCCTGACCGGGGTGCACTCGGCGCTTGAAGAGACAAGAAGTAATAGACCTGAAAAAAAAATGAAGATCTGGTTTTCCGAGCAGCGCCTTTAAATTATAAGATCTGAAGGGTTGTATCACAAGGCGTCGCATAGGATAAACCGAGTCAGGCCAACGGAGGAATATCAAGACACAGAGATACTCTAGATAATTCAAAAAATGGACACAATGTGAATCAAATGCAAAGAAGCAGATTTATATCCCCATTCACCGCTCCCTTTTCTTCTTGTCTCACATTCCTTCGGGATTGTGTGAGAAGGTGAGCAATCCTCCTGGCTCGAGCACGCCATAGCCATTTCGTTGGAATCGAACTCCCTCGACTCTCTCTTTGTAACGACGAAAAATGCGCCCCAGTACTAATATCCAAAACATTAGTCTTTTTACTTTGTGTAGTCGAGGAATAAAATCCTCAAAATCCGTGGTTCCACGTTGTTCTTGAGTAGAATGGGGTTGATGCCCTTGGCCACGGTCCGAGGTAGGTGGTTCCCCTCATGTATATATCTGCGGCTCATGCGGACCAAAGAGACCATGGAACCTCCTCAAGAGGAGAGTAGACGACAAAACTAAATAGAGCCAAGAAAAGAAGATCATGACGTTCATCGCTGCTCTGCTAATGGCATCGACCTTAGAAAGTATCCTGAAGGAACCAACAACTCAAAATTCAGCCAAAAACAGAATAAACCATCATCACTCACTCCTTTCCCAACATATCAATTGTGGCCTTATCATTGAGCTGCCATCAAATCGACAAACTCGGCCCACTTCGAACCAAAGCTAGAGTAATAGTCTGTGTTGAGATGGGTGATAAACACCTCATCTGCCACCTTGCAAACTTGCTTAACGAGACCGCGAAGCTCTCTGCCTTCGATATCGTCCGGGACCGAATGAACAACGGCGCACAATTGGGTGCGGTTGCTTTCCGGAATGCTCGTGAACAATTTGGCACCCTGCCGTTGCTGGAACGTACTATAAGTTTCCTCGAACACGACAGTCGAGTCGGCTATTGACAAGTAGCGCGAGTCTGGAATAGTGCCAGGATTGTGAACGACCTATCAATGAGCATTAGCAGGGAGAGGAACAAATTTGATTAAAGAATCACAGCTTACAAACTGATTGGGCCCAAGACCATCCAGGCCCTTGACAAAATTGGCCAAATCCTGTAAATATGCCAGTGAGTGTGCACTATATTGCTGAGGCGTTTCGTCGAAGAAAATGCCCTGCACTGCGAGATGCAGATTGGAGGCAGTCGGCCACGCCGCGTAGGTTTTGATATCCTCGCGAACTAGGGAAACATTGCGCTTGGCATAAGTAGTGTGGACATAACCCAGTAGACGCACGTTCTCGTAGGAAGCAATCGTCGGGATTTCTCGAGTATAGTTGGCATCGGGCAGAGTATCAGGCCCGGGCCCATTGCCCGGGTTGATGACAATGGTAAAGTTGACGTCGGGGTGAGCAGAAATCCTGTGGCGTCTTAACCTCCCGGTCTGGCATTGAGGGGTTCTGGGCTAATTGAAAAGCGTGCAACATACACATTTTCCAGCGGCGTCCACGCTCCAGGGGCGGGGTACACGTAGAGTGGCACGAACACCTTAGACTTTGGGCCCATGTTGTTTTTCTTCCGCAGCGTGGTGATAACAACGGGAGGAATAACAGCCGCGAGAATTACAACAAAGAGCACAACTGCCAAGATTAGTCGACTTTTTTTTCGACTGAAGACATCCGCATCGGCTCACGTTTCTCTCGGAGAGTAGAGACATCGCGGAAGAGGGGTTACAGGCGGATATGAGGGAAACTGATTGCAAAGTGGAATCGAAGAAAAAAAAAAACCATCATCTTATCAAATCCACGGACAGCAACGGCCTAAAACTCATCGCCCGACCAAATAATTTCGTATGTCTCAGTGCCCAATGTATAGTAGTGGCGGATCTTGGCCGCGCCATGCACAAAGGGTCTCAGATGAGGTAGTCAATATGAACAAGGGCACGTTGTTTCAGAGCCGAGACACCAGCAGTGCACTTGTAAGAGCACGGCTAGCTTTGATTGGAATAGTCGACTCAGCTGAGTGACCACGAAGTTAGCGAACTTTTCAACACAACAGTCTCGGCGCCTCCTAGTACCAGCTCTACCACACAATATGAACGATCCCGGTTAAATTATGTATCTTTCTCCAACCCATGGTCTTAGTATGTGCCAAGCAGCAATTGCTTTATAGGGACTGAATATATAATTAGCCCCATCAATTAAGCGAAAGGTCGCCCCTGGAATCGCAGAAAGCAAAAGCCGATCAACAGTGCCGTAAATATCGATGTATTTTCTTTCTATTTTTTCTTTTTGGGGGCCTCGAATGATTAAGAGGGGTAGCTTTTGAGTCTCAGTCAAATCTCGACCCAAACTCTCGACTTATTTTGATGAGTTGTTGCATCCAACGCCGCATACCAGGCCAACCATATTCCCAAACACCTAATAATACCCCACAAGTCTATTGCTGTTGACGTAGATTACGTCACGTGTGCTTTTAAAGCCGTTGAACTGGGTAGCCGTAGTCATCGTGTATGCTGCCACGAGTCAGTAATAAAATTACCTTTGAGGTGGCTTCACTTACCACCCATATTCCTATACTTGAGCCAATCACCCAGGTCAACCTCCGCTTCGAGATTCACCTCCGGCGTAACACAATCCATGCTATCACAGGTCGGCCCCCAAATTGAGTACCGGTGCTGGCCCATTTGCCGTGGCTCACATATAATCAAGGATGGGACCATCGCCTCCTTCTCCATTATGACATTCATGAAATTCCCGTACACTCCGTCATTCTGATATAGCATGTCCGGCACGCCGGCACTGGCAGCGCTTCCGAGCTGGCGCCGCCGTGAAATGACTCGACAGGCGAGTGTGTATGCGCTGCGAGCGTAGAACCGGCCTGGCTCGGCGATGGTAGTCACGCCCATGGGAAACTCAGCAGAGATTGTATCGCGCAATGCAGTCGCCATTGCCTCGAAATGGCTGTCCTGGAACCCCCCGCCCACGTCGAGGATCTTTGGGTGAAATCCCAGTTTCTCGGCCTGCGAGAAAACGGAGCGAGCGTTTTTGATGGCTCTTGTGAAGGAATTAGGGTTTGTGGCACCGGTCCCTGCGTTGAGAGGAGATAATTAGCTCAGATGCGTCGACATGTTCCCCGATATTGGTGCTAGATCTGGTCCTTTCCGAATGGAGTTATGTAGACCAATGAAATAAGTGTTTTCTTACCTACGTGGAAACTTGCCCCAATCACATCTAGCCCCAGCTCTCGCGCCCGCGAAAGCAGTGGTTCCGTCGTATCTAGATGTGCGCCAAACTTGTCGCCTAAGTTGATGAGTGCACCATCATCTTCCGCGTAAATCCGAAGGAGAAGCTGTGCCTCCGGCATATACGCTTTCACCTTTTCCAACTCATCGATATTATCATAAGTAGTTTGGATCACGCCAGCGTGGTGGGCAAAGGCCAGTGCTGCGGGAGACTTGCATGGATTTGCAAAGAGAATCCGGGCCGGGTCCACACCCTGGGTTAGGACCGCACGCATCTCTTCAATCGATGCACAGTCGAATCCCGTGCCGAGATCGGCGAGGAACTTGAGCAAAGTGGGATCTGAGTTACATTTTACCGCTATGAGAAATTAGCTTGATAGCTTGAGATAAGGCCTTCTCTTTGGTTCAACATGGTTGAACTATATCCGGACATATATGATATTTTCGTAGGGCCATAAAACTTTAAGGGGGAAAAATAATTGAACGCACCATAGTATGGCCGCACTTTTGGCAGACTGCTTGTCCAGCGTAGATGTTGACGCTCGACCTGGCCTAAGTCGGCCACGAAGAATGACTCGTCACCGCCCACAACTGAGCGTTTTGACACCCGGGAAATGTGTCTCTCAATGACTAGGTCCACCAATTCCTCTGGTGAGGGTTTCTGGTATTCCTGGCTCGGGATCGGTTTGATAGGGAGGACAGCCTCACGAGGAGTCGGTAGGAGGCCCATGATTGCAGAAACCAAAGGGCCTAACATCCCGAAAAACGATGGGGGGAGTTTGGATCGAATTGCATTAATTTGTACAGACCATAAAAAGAGCGAAAAGAAGGAGATATGAAGCGCTTTGATCTACAGCAAATTGGCCTCGTTTCTTCCTACGCACGGCGTACTGATACTTGGTTTATTTCTTACCCAAAGGAAAACTACAGGAGAGCACATTTGTTTGCAGATCATTGAGACAAATGCCCCGACCAGGCACCCGCGACGCCCGAAGATCGACGGGGGCTGTAATCTCCACCCATAATAGTACCTAGACCAATACCAACACCGAAACTGTTGGTCTAAATATGGAGAGCAGCTACATGGGTTGCACCATAACTTACGCAACCCCACACCAAGGCGAAATGAGCTGTTTGTTAGATCTATATGGAGTTGGTGAGTGGGGCATGGAAATCCCCCATAGAATGGACTTTCTAATTCTCGCCGTAATCAAGTCCAGTTTGCTTTCTTACTGCAGGAAGGATCGGACTCAATTTTTGGGGTTCGTGGATGCACAAAACATTTGAATCATATACTATAAGTAGGAACAGCTTTCGTGGAATAGGCTTCTCCTATTCAGGTATATGTCTCATCCGAATTTCCAAATAGCATGAGTCGAGAGTGCTATATTCTTCAAAGATGCAGAAAATGATATAATCATAATTCATATTTACTTCGCTATTGGTTGGGTCAGTCTTCGTGGCCACGAACAGGGGCATGTCCTTTATTATGACAAACTAGGGGGCCATTTGGGGCGAGTATGTACTGTAGACCTGCCGAACTCCGATGAAAGGGATTAAAAAAAAAAAAAAAAAAAAAAAATTCTTCTGCGACTTGCGTGGCTTTTTGCTTGCGCAGTCCTAACTGTTGTCTTGAGCCAGATCCTTTCGTGCTTACAACACCAAATTAGATCCTTTGCGACAAGTTCGTAGCCGTCCCCTATAGTACCCTATAGTCGGACCCACACCTTCGGTGTTGGTCCTCCACGGCTCAACGCACATTCTCGTCTCAACGCAAAGTTTTGATTTCTATCCACTTTTTTGCTAATATTACGATATAAGTAGATATAAGTCGTATAGAGTACAAAATAAATTAGGAGAATTAAATAATTATAATAGAATTCGATAAAGTTATATATAACGTACGAACTATACCTATCTATTATTAGTACTCTTTTTTGCTCTTTTTCGACGCGATTTAATAGTCGTCGGGGAGGCTAGGGGAGTTATATTATCGTTCGAGATGATATTCACCGCGAAAAATAAAGTAAAAAGAAAAAAAAGCTATTAGCTATAATACACTTAATAGCTATAAATAATTCTCTAGTAACGCTCGTAGGATTACCTTATCTAAACTAGAACCTAGTTTCGTCGAAGTATATTTTAATTAAATATCGGTGATATAGAGCTCTATACGTTCGAACCAAGCTATTAAAAAGCCTATATCCTCTATTTCTGATAGATTTCTCTTAAGTAGCTTTTGTTTTATTAACTATAGGTCCGGTAGGAGTTATCCGACGAAGCGATATAGCCAATTCTTCGAAACGCGTAGGAACGCGTCATCCGCAGCATTCCGCTTCAGAATTTGATTCGCACATTGCTCAACCATACGAATTATAGGCGGAACTTGGAACTTGCAAAGAATCAAGCTATCGAATCCAGCGAATCAGGGCCTTCTCTTGCGAGATATCAAGGGATTTGTTGATTGAGGGACGAGAGGATCGAGATTCGCGACCGTGGAAGCGAGCATACAGTCGACAGCGAGGAACGTCGAATTTACGCGCCAAAGCAGAGAAATTTGGTTGTTTTTTTTTTTTCGCGTTTACCATCTTCGCAGGCATCAGCAATTTGCTTTTCTGTATTTTTGTACGATTTAGACATGATAAATAGGGGTAAAAAGCAGATGGAAATCAAAAATGTGTGTTGAGACGAGAATGCGCGTTGAGCGGTGGTGGACCAACGCCGAAGGTGTGGGTCCGACTATAGGGCACGGCTACCCAGAATCCATCAGAAGCAAATCCTCATCGCTGCACGGGGCGAGAAGAGTTTCCATATTTGATCCTTCATGCCTCGAATCCTTAAAGTTCTGGCCACTTCCTCGGGCAACGGATGATCTATAACGTGGCTTTGCCCTAATTGACACGCCCCGTTGTTGGGCTCTTAGGGTTGATCTCCATCGAGCGGCTAGCCTTGAGCCTTTTGTATGCGGGGGAGCTTGCAGTCCACCAGCAAAACCCCTTGACATTGTCTAAGTTTCTGTGGCGGTCATTTCTGGGGATCTATCATGGTTTCGCTCAAGCGACTACTCCCGATAGGTGACCGGCCACCATGGCTGCTGCAATTGCGATCGTCGCAGTCTTTCATCGTGACCACTATCTCGCTGTCGATGTTCACGGTATTTATCATTTGTATTCCAATTCTTCCAATCTGGCTCTGAGCTGATGGCTGTTTGACTAGGACCTTTTTCTCTACGCTATGGTATGCTCGACTCGACCCAATGTCTGAGTCCGATCTAACACAAGACAGATTGTTCCCGTTATGCCCACAGCGTTGGTTGATCGGGCTGGAGTGGCATATGAAGATCGTATGTTGATGCCCTGCTCGATTGAAGATCTTGGTCGCTCACACAAAGAATTCATCATAGGGGAACATTGGAACAGCATTTTACTTATCGCTGAAGCTGTCTCAGCCCTCGTCTCCAGCCCGATTTTTGGATATGCGCTAGATGTCTCTGGTACACGCCAAGGCTTGTATCTGCTCGGACTTATTCTTCTTGCTGGGTCGATGGCGGCGTTGACCGCTGCTCGCTCGGTCGCATGGTATGTGGTTGCGCGAGTGCTGCAAGGTTCCGCGACGGCCATGGTTGCCGTGGCTGGTCTTGCGATTGTAACGGATACAGTGGACAAAAAGCAGCTCGGCCAGATGCTCGGGTATATTGGTACCGCCACGACGCTAGGCTTTATGGCTGGTCCATTACTGGGAGGCATAGTATACCAGGAGGGAGGCTTCTACGCGGTGTTTGGCATGGCATTTGGCATCGTTGGCCTCGACATGTTCCTACGACTCGCGGTGGTGGAGAAGAGAACCGCGAACCGTTGGCTCTCGTCACCTTCGGATAGTGAGCATCTATCTGAAGAGACGAGTGACGATCCACAGGAGACATCTGCGACATCTTCGGAGAGCGAAGAGCCATCTGACGAAGCTAGTATGAGGAAGGCACCATCCTCCGATGGAGAACAACAACCCGACGAAAAGCGCCATGGTCCAAAGGAGTCAGCGGTAGGAGCAAGTGTGCAAGTCAACACTTCTACCCCCGCCACAGACGACAGGACACGCAAGGGCAGATTTGCTCTTCTCAAGTTACTCAAACAGCCGCGAATTCTCATTATTGGCTGGGCCGTCATTGTCAGCTCAATCGTGTTCTCTTCCTTCGATGCTGTGCGTGGAGTTGCCTCGTTTCCCCAGATTTGCGGACGAGTGTTATGCTGACTTGATTTGCCATCACCTAGACACTCCCAATTTTCGTTCAAGATACCTTCCATTGGAATGCTTTGGGGCAGGGTTTAGTTTTCCTCCCACCCTGTGTGGCATCCATCCTCCAGCCACTTTTTGGTAAGTAGAGGCATGGTCCATAAATGTACACAGAGCCGACCGTCTGGCTAAGACTTATCGCATCCATTCAGGTTACTTGTCTGACAAGTTTGGGGCACGGTGGATTACATTCACCGGATTTGTCGCTTTGGCGCCCTGTCTGATCTGTCTCCGCTTGATCGAACGCAATACCCTGACAGAGAAGGTCATCCTTTGTCTCCTACTGGGTCTAGTTGGGGCTTGTGCCGACCTCACCATTCCTGCTTTGCTTGTGGAGCTCCAGATGGTGCTGGACGACATGGAAGAGAAGGAGCCTGGCGTGTTTGGGGAAAACGGTGCGATTGCGCAAGCCTTCAGCCTCGAGACAATGGCGCAATTTGGGGGCTTAGCTCTAGGGCCGCTCATCAGTGGCTTTGTTGACGATCACTACGGGTGGAAAGTTATGACACTTCTCCTTGGTATCTTGGCTGGGATCACAGCCATCCCTATGCTTTGGCTCAGTGGTGGCCGGAGAGTTTGGCCCGAAAAGGCGCCCGAAGATGCATAATATGCGCCCCTGTTGGTATATATGAGAATCTGGTGAAACCGATACTGGATTACCTTAATAGAATGTGTGGGTAAGAAACAATGTTGCCCCGTTAGAGTTGTGTAAGATGTACAAGTATACAACTACTATAGTGGCAGTAATCCCGAGGCCCACTTTTCATCAGTCCACTTGTTTGAATGACGATCCCTGGCCTCTTGAACCATAAGCACAATAGTTTTGCCCCAGGCCAGAGCTAGCCAAGGCCGCCGTTTACGCCCGGGAGCCGGCAGATCATGTACGTACCAAGTGTCGATCCCTTGCCGGACTTGATTAGGATAGGGGTTAGGTTTACAGGGCGATGCCCGAAGGATGAGTATTTTCCAAGAGATGTGGCCCCAGTTACCCATAATTATGAGACCGGTAATCAACGCAATGGAAGTGAAATGGAATAGTTCCTCTTCCCAATACAATCCATAATTGTGTATTGAGCTAGTCGCGTCAAACGATACAGTAGACCTACATAATAAATAGCTCAACCATTATGTAGAGCATTTTCCATGCTCCGGACATTTTCTTATAAAACAAAGGCAAAGCTGTGCCTTTCTTCTTATAACTATTTCTCACTGACTTTGTATCTATTCTCTATATATTCAACAACATGGATTTCTTGAACAAATTCCAGAAGCTTCTTCTCTCTTTCTCTTTCACCTCCACGTCCTGGCTCTCGTCAACTACCAAAGAAGAGCCAGGTATTGTTCACAATGGACGATATGTCTGGCCCGCTGAATAGGATCGCCATAGTGCGACAATTCTAGGGTTCCCATCCCGATGGTCGCTTCCCCCAAACCAACATGATGCTTTCTGTCGGGAACTGGTACAGCTCGCCGCAGCAATCGCCGACTTTGAGCCAGTCCGGATGCACGTCCGACCTGAAGATATGGAGCTGGCCCAGTCTTTGATCAAGGCCAATGTGAAAGACGCCTCCAATATCACTTTGATCCCATCCCCGGTGAACCATCCCTGGGTTCGGGACACTGGTCCGGTGTACGTGCGTGATCCAACATTGCCTAGCCGGAGAGTGGCCGTGAACTTCCGGTTTAATGAGTGGGGCAACAAGGCGCCGGAAAACGACGGCATTTGCTGGGGCCAGCAATGGCCGCTGATGGACGAGAAAACGCTCCAAGAGAACGAGAACTGGGCACGTTGGGTGATCGCGCATGATCGAGAGCCAGAACCTGTCACGCGAATCGACGCTCTTATTCGCGCCGAGGGCGGGGGGGGTGTCCATGATGGTGACGGTACCCTGATAATTAGCGAGAGCTGTATTGTTGACGAGGCACGGAACCCTGGGATGGCCAAGGCCGAGATTGAGGTGGAACTCAAGCGCTTGCTTGGAATTGAGAAGGTCCTCTGGTTCCCCGGCCGGAAGAATATCGATATCACAGACAGCCACATGGACGCGGAGGCACGATTCGTCCGGCCAGGCGTAGTGGTTCACTCGAAACCACACGATATGGGACCTACGGAATGGAAAGAGCTATCGGCAGAGATCCGAGAGATCCTCGACCGTGCGACGGACGCTAAGGGCCGCAGGCTGGAAATTCATATCCTCGAGGAGCCCGATCCGGCCCATATGGTGAATGCTGATGACGAGAAGCCCGCCATTAGCTATGTGAACTTCTATTTTGTTAATGGTGGTCTCGTCATTCCGCAGTTTGGAGATGAGGAGAGAGACCAGAAGGCGCTACGCCTCCTCCAACAATTGCTTCCGGAGCGGACCGTCAAGCAAGTACGGGTCAACGCCATTCCATTGACTGGCGGTGTGTTACATTGCGTCACGCAACAGGTTCCTGCGATGGAGTAGATGGAGATAGTTAAGGAGAATAGTAAGAAGGCGAATATAGGCAGCAATACTGTTTTGTTATTGATTGAATTTCAGTCTCTATATCCTTTCAATCCTATAATGAAAATCTATCTATCGCGCCATCCTCCTAAGGCCTCTAAAATCCATGCTTTGAATATTGCCTTGATAACGATACATTGCCTTTTCTGTATGCGAGTTCATTTCCCAATTAACAATTCGGCCCCTAGACAAAGTTACAATGGAATATACATACATAACTTGGGGCCGTTGTATGAATTCATACCGCTGGGCCGACAGATCTTGGGGGGTGCGTAATGAGCCGTGTAAATGACAGGCGTTGCCATCTATGTATGCCCCTATGCTTCACAAATCGTCCCACGTTCCCGCTTTTTCCAACGAAAAGGCTGTGGGGTGTTCATGCCCCTGGTCATTTCCAATTCCTCGGCGCTAGGGACTCGTGTTGATCTGTAGCTTTGAGCCCTACTGAATCACTCAAATCGGGCCATGGGCCCATGCCTCTGTGCTTGCTAGTCATGTATTGTACCTTCAATAATTTCAGATTAATACAAAATTTCATCGACGGTGCCAAGGGTGGCAAGTGTGCTTTCTACTTTGTATAGTTTCGAGGCGTGATGATCTCTTCTTGGCCAATTTAAAGTGACCACCCCCCCAAGCCGTTGGCAGCAAAAGATCTTGTGCATGACAGAAAGAATCAATTAATTTATCATCTGTGGATGAAGAATGGATCTTCAAACAATGGAGACTCATCTGAGCTATATTCCACCCGCTGAGCTCAAGATCATTACCGAAGCAGCTCGGATATTCGACAATCTGAGACGCACGTCGGTGAACAAGAACGACAGTCTTCCTTGGACTCCCCAGGAGATTATGTTGCGCGATCTCTGGGCTATCCACTTGAATGTGCCTGGCGAACATGTTCTGCGTCACGATGATTTCTCTCAACTCGGGGGCGACTCGATAGCAGAAAGGAAGCTGAGCACTGCAGCCCGCGTCAAAGGGATCTCGCTCTCTGCCTCTGAAATCATGGACAATCAAGTTCTCCATGTCATGGCCACCATCATGAAGGATACCCTAGACCAACCGGCAGAAAAGCCACGTCCTTTTTGCTTGATTCCCAATAATCACCTCCAACCCACCTTGAGAGAGGCAGCTATGGGTTATGGGATATCCCAGGATCTGATCGAGGATATATACCCCTGCACCCCTTTTCAAGCAGGGTGGATGAGTCTATCGGAAAGGCATGGAGGCAAAGACGCCGGTGTTATCCGCACCGTGATCCATGTCGATCCAAGGGCAGACATGGCTCGGCTGGCTGCTGCATGGGCGACAGTCTTCTACTTGAACCCGATTATGCGAACCAGGCTAGTGGAGACTCAATCGAAAGGATGGATTCAGGTTGTGATATGACATGACCTACAATTTGACAGTCAAGACAAAGTTGATCTTCGGCCGACGATATTCAATTTGGCCTCGGATTGCCCTTGATCCGGTTGCGTGTTGTCAACAACGCTAGCACACCACAGCGGTCATTCGTGCTGTGTGCCCACCATTCGATTTGGGATGAATGGCAGACACGCCTGGTGCTGGAGCAGGTGGAGCAAGTTTATCGGGGAGAGATTTCGAGTGCTGAAAGCACGAGTGCATTCAATGTTTTTGTCCAGTATCTCACTGAAATCGATGAAGCGAAGGAGAATTCATACTCACAAAATGCCCTGGAGGACGACGGCCGTGCTCTTTCATTCCCACCGATCACCCGTCAACTAAGCTCTACATGGAGTAACCGATCGCAGAGGCGTGATATCACTTTTGACGCCCAAGTCCGTCGGAGTGGTAACACCGAATTTCTATTATCCACATGCATTCGACAGGCGTGGGCTCTGATATGCGCGGCATACACAGGTTCAAATGACGTGGTCTTCGGTGCGACAGTCAGTGGCCGAGGTGTACCCGTCTCTGGGATCGAGCGCATCGTTGGCCCAACCGTTGCCATTGTTCCACTCAGAGTACAACTCAACCGCGATGCAACTGTCCAGGAGACTTTGAAAGGAATTCATGAGCAAATGCTGCACATGATACCATACGAACAATCCGGATTGCAGCATATACAGAATATGGGACCCGGCCCAACGGCTGCCTGTAACTTTCAGTCGTTACTTATTGTCCGTTCAACTCCCCCGGTCATCCAGCGCAATTCGGTACTGATCCGAGCTGAGGATGAGCCTAATTCATTGCCCAATCTCAGAAGCTACCCACTCGTGGTAGAATGTACCATCATGCCCGATCAAGCAGGTGTGTCGGTGCGCGTGGCGTACAATGATCCCGTTCTTGATGCGGTAAAAATTGAACGGATCATCGAGCAGCTGCAGCTGGTATTAGTTCAGACGTGGACCCATCCAAACTCAAGACTGCGGGACATCGACACTGTCAGCCCCCGTGAACTTGAGACATTGAGCACTTGGAACTCTTCAATGCCGCCGTCAGTGGAATGTTGCCTTCACAATCTCGTTCAGGGGAAAATGGAAGTCCTTCCAGACATGCAAGCAGTCTACTCATGGGACAAGTCCCTCACTGCGCGTCAGCTAAATGAGTTGTCTTCACGACTGGCAGGCCATATCCGGAGTCTACGGATTGGGCCCGAGACTGTTGTGCCGTTATTCTTCGAGAGGTCGTCCTTGATAGTTGTGACAGTGCTGGCCGTGCTCAAGAGTGGAAATGTCTGTTTAGCCCTGGACAAATCTCAACCTGCTCAGCGATTGGTGAAGATGGTGCGAAGAACTGGGGCCCAGTTTATGTTGGTGTCGGAGAGTTTGGATGGAGCCCTACAAATGGAGGATGTCAGCCAGCTCGTGGTTACAACTCGTTGCGTTTATTGCACGAGACGAAGACACCAGATCTTCTTTTAGTCTGCTTCCTAGCAGCCGGAAAATCCGAGACGCTCGTCAAATCTCATCGAACTTAGCTCAATTTCTGCCTCCGTTTATGGTTCCGTCTTTGTATATGCCCGTTTCTCGCATTCCAATGGCCACATCATCCAAAACTGACCGCAATCTTCTTCGTCGCGTTGCTTCCGGTTTGTCCTTGGAAGAGCTGTCGCGGTATCACTTTGCAGAGTCGATGCACGAGCCATCGACTCCCGCTGAGCTAGAACTTCGCGATGTTTGGGCAACCTTACTGAATATCAATCCTTCCGTTCTCATGGCCGAGAGCGACTTTTCCACATTGGCGGTGACTCCGTGGAAGCCATGAAATTAGTGAGTGTAGCCCGCCGGCGAGGTCGAGACCTTAACTTGGCTCGGGTGTACCCGAGTCCCCGTCTCTGCGACATAGCCGAGAGCTGGGCGATGTCCCAGCGAGCGAGAGATGCGGAATTAGAAAAGCAATGGCCCCCATTCTCGTTGCTAGACAGTCCTAGTCGGGAAGATTTCCTGGTGCGCCATGTCTGTGAGCCCCATGGAATCGCTCGCACCAATATCAAGGACGCTTACCCGTTGCACGACAACCAAAAGATCACGATAGAGAACAATAAGTGGGTATTCGCGCACTTCAGAATCGATGAATCATTGGATCTGGATCACATCATCGACAGTTGGATACAGGTTGTTCGCCAGCATGATATTCTTCGGACCGTTCTTGTTTCCAACGGCCAATCCTTCTTTGCTGCGGTGCTACATTCTTTCGATTGGAAGATCGAACGACTCACCGGTGCCGGGGAAGCCGGAGTCAAAGAGATTGTCAGAGAAGATGGCACGACTCGTCCGCAGCCTGGGACTCCTCTCGGCAAAGTAATGGTGATTCAAGATGTCGAGAGGCAAGTGGTAACTGTGGTTGTGAAGATGAGCCACATTATCTGGGACGGGTATTGCCTAGCTCTGTTCTGGGAGGATTGGAAATCTGCATACGAAACGGGTATCGTGCCTTTCCGTCTTCAGTTCCAGGACATTTTATGCTCTCGCAAATTCATTCAAGACCGCGACCAGTCAGTGCGCTATTGGGAAAATCTTCTCGCCGATGCACTGATTCTCGATCTACCAATTGACGCTTCTGGGTCCACGGGGCTCTCTGCCCAGCTCGAGCAACACAAGCTCGAAAGAACGCGGGATGGGATTGTTGCTCCCCCTGGAATGATCCTTGATTCCCTTATCAAGGCCGCTTGGGCGGTAACACTTGCCGTTATTACTGGCCAGGCCGACATAATCTTCTTCCAGATCTCGAGTGGTCGGCGTTTAGGTGGAGCGAAAATGGAGAATGCAGCTGGGCCGTTGTTGGGGATTTTCCCACTCCGAGTAACACTGAACTCCGAATGGCGAGCAGATGAACTGTGCCGATTCCTTCAGGACCAGGATACGCACAGCATTCCACATGAGATTATTGATGTTGACGAACTTTGGGAAATGACGGACTGGGAGGATGATGCGCCGTTTTCCATGGTGGATCACGTCAAGGGTGGGATAGAGTCATACCTGACTTTGGACGGTGTTGACTTTGGACGGTGTTTCTCGGGGACCGGAAACTATCTACGAGGGTGATAACGAGCCTCAGACCCTCATAGCCAGAACACATGGCCACCGGGCTCATATCTCCCTTATGCCACAGCTGGGTGTTTCTCGGATGATGGCGGAAGAGGCGATGGACATGTCTTGTGCTAAGCTTCAGGCGTTTTCACAGCGGCCGGGAGAGTCAATCTATGAGTGTACTTTATTCGTTTCAAAGTTGAAGCGGTGCAAATACAGCTGGATATGTATCAGAGACGCTATTAAGGCAATTAGGTGGATTCTTAGGGTAGGGATGCAATGTGTTTAACAGTCGCGTTCTTCATGTAGACATAGACCAGGCGGAAACCATCTGGACCCGGTCAGGAGGAAGCGACAGAGAGATGCTCAACGAGTTGAGCGAAGAACGAATCCTGCCAGGCACCAAGATGTCGTAGCCTCAGGCAGTTTCCCCAGAAGTTGGAATAAGGAGCGTCCCCCCAACAGGCAGGCGGTCGGGAGCGGCGGAAGACCGAACTGGCCATCCTGCATATTTACACGTGATCATCGGAATGAAATACCTCCGATCCGCTCGGATGTATAATTTTGGTTCACGTTCGACTGTATCCCGCATTCGCTTGTGGGCTTTTTCTTTATTTCGGTCTTTCTTAGTTCTCGGAGTCAACGCAATTCGCCATGGCCAGCTTTATCCTGACGCTTTCTGGCCCTGATCGCCCCGGCATCGTTCATGCCGTCACAGCCTTCCTCGTCCAGCATAACCTCAACATTATCGACTCGTCGCAATTCGGTGATCCAACGTCGCAACGCTTCTTTATGCGTACACAGTTTGCATCCGCTGGCGAGAAAAATCCTGAGCTCACACAGCTCCGTACTGCCTTCGCGTCGACGGCAGAGTCATTCGCCCTAGATTTCGCGATCTACCCCACTGCGCAAAAGCCCCGCGTGCTGATCATGGTGTCGAAGATCGGCCACTGCCTCAACGATCTACTTTTCCGCCAGTCCACCGGCCAGCTGAACATTGAAGTGCCATTGATTGTTTCGAACCACCCGGACTTCACCCCTCTAGCCACCACCTACAACATTCCTTTTCACCACCTCCCCGTCACCCCCGACACCAAGGCGCAGCAGGAGGCCCAAGTACTCGAGCTTGTGCGCCAGCTTAATATCGACCTTATTGTGCTCGCGCGCTATATGCAGGTGCTATCGCCGACGCTATGCGAGGCGATGTCTGGGCGGATTATCAATATTCACCACAGCTTCCTGCCTTCCTTCAAGGGTGCCAGGCCCTACCACCAGGCCTATGATCGCGGAGTGAAGATCATCGGGGCTACCGCACACTTTGTCACCAGCGATCTGGATGAGGGCCCTATCATCGAGCAGAATGTCGTGCGTGTCAACCACGCCATGAGCCCCAAGGAGCTCACCCATGCCGGCAGCAATGTCGAGAGTAACGTGCTGGCTTCTGCCGTCAAGTATGTGACAGAGCGCCGCGTTCTGCTGAATGGACACAAGACAGTGGTGTTCAATTAACATGGATATATATGACACAAAAAAAGAACAAGAACAAGAAGCCTGGGGCAACAGTTCCACCTACCTCTCGGTCAACATCTCGGTCAATATTTATTCGTCATCAACTCATGTAGTAAACCAGGACACCAGAAAGCCTATTGTAGTCGATTAATGTCCGAATAAGGTATCGATCGAAGCACAACACTTCCAAGGTTGGGTAATGACACCACGAAGTCTTACGTAACCGCCTTCGCTGGTAGAATCGATTTTTCTACCCCTCAGCCCCTCTCGTACTGCCCCGCGGCAGAGTGACAGTCCCTGAAAATTCACTCCCATTTACTTCTCGCTGAAAGGCATCATGTTGCAGGCCATCAAGTACCACGAGGGTCGTCTCGAGATCCTAGATCAATTACAACTTCCATTCGTCGAGAAATACATCCCAATCCAAACTGCCGAGGATGGGTGGCATGCTATCAAAGAAATGAAAGTCCGAGGCGCACCAGCTATTGCTATTGTGGCCATGCTCGCCCTTTCCGCTGAACTGTCGACGTTTAGCGCAGCAGATCAGATCCCCCAGGCAGCGAAGGAGACTCACGAGTTTATCGCAAAGAAACTTGACTATCTTGTCACGAGTCGGCCAACGGCGGTCAATCTCAGTGATGCGGTTCGCAAGCTGAGGAGCCTAGTGACCGATCGCGCAAGTCAGTCTGGGTCTACCGGTCACGACGTTGCCGCCGCTTTCATGCAGGCTGCGGAGGATATGTTGGGAAAAGACCTTGAGGACAATCAAAAGATTGGGAACAACGGGGCCGAGTGGATTCTCGCCCATGCAGCGAAATCAGAAGACTCCCAAGTCACTGTTTTGACCCATTGCAATACTGGGTAAGTCTACCACTAACAACATCCCTGCAAGTCGTTCAAGCTAACAAAAAGTGTCTAGCTCCCTCGCTACTTCAGGTTATGGCACAGCACTAGGCGTGGTCCGCTCACTAGCAACGAAACACATCTTACGCCACGCTTATTGCACGGAGACGAGACCATATAACCAAGGCTCCCGCCTTACAGCCTTCGAACTCGTCCACGACAGTATCCCCGCTACACTGATTACGGATTCGATGGCCGCGGCACTTCTTGCAGATTCCAGGGCGGGCGTCAATGCTATCGTTGTGGGTGCAGACAGGGTTGCAGCCAACGGAGACACGGCCAACAAAATAGGAACCTATGGCTTAGCGGTCTTGGCGAAGCATCACGGTGTCAAATTCCTTGTTGCAGCGCCGCTCACAACGATTGACCTGGCCACCAAAGCCGGGGAAGATATCATCATCGAGGAGCGTCCGGCAACCGAAGTGACTAGCATCAAAGGTCCCCGCGAAGGGACTGGCACTGACAGCTTGACGTTGGACACCGTGCGAATTGCTGCGCCAGGGATCAATGTTTGGAACCCGGCATTCGACATCACTCCGTCTACTCTAATAGATGGGATCATCACGGAGGTGGGCGTGCTCGAGAAAGGAGACGATGGCCAGTATCATATGGGTGGTTTGTTCGATAACCAAGCTCATTAATCCAGTTTGGCACCGTCACTCGCGCCTTCATCAGCTGGGGCCGGGCCTTTTCCCTTCAGCAATATACCACAAGCTTATCACTCTGGCCTCTTAGTATCTTGAGGTGAAGCATTGCTCCAGAGCCAAGGCAGTCATTTCACCCCTCCCCTCTCCAATAGCCAAGGAAATACTAGCCACTGACCCTCGCTTCGCTCGGCTGGCTTAAGGAGACGTAGTACATACTGAAAAATAGATTTTGAAGCATTATTAACTATTTGATTCGCATGTAGATGGTTCTTTTGCTACTACTCCGATTATTTGACTAGTGCTTTTGATATATTTTTTTTTTCATTTTCTAATCCTTCTTGCATGTATTTCCTGATCATTATCTGAATCCTCTTTCAATCTTTATTCACACTCTCTTCGCTGTATCTATCCTGATCATCAGCACTCCCACCTTCTCAACTGGTTGTCTTGATACATGCGACAAGGAATCCCGACCGGAATGTGGAATTCGAGGTCTGGACCGAGACGAACAATCTCGGTGGGCCTGCAACAAGAGGCCGCCGTGACCGAATTCTTGCATGTACTCAAAAGGGACTACCTTTCAGAATGGCATAGTCGGCAAGGGTGTCATGTGATCCGTTGTTTACTTCCACCTTTCAGCGCATCAGCAATCATCCTTGAAGTCCTCCACAGCCGGAAATTTTCCACGCGTCATGGCGAGGCCCGATCAACCCAACCCAATTCCAGCATACTATTGTTGCTATCTTCTTCGCTCGACCGTTCGACACGCCTCGCTATATATTGGCTCAACACCGAACCCAATCCGCCGACTGCCGCAGCATAATGGCGTCGCCAAAGGTGGAGCCAAGCGTACGGCCCGGGAGAAATTGCGCCCGTGGGAAATGGTTCTTCTGGTCGAAGGATTCATGAACCGCGTTGGGGCATTGCAATTTGAGTAAGTGCCGAGCATTCTCCAACATCCCGACTTATGTCTGACTTGACGCGTAGATGGGCATGGCAACACCCAGAAAAGTCCCGACACATGGTATCCGATCATGCTGGCACAGACCCTGAATTACAATCCAAGGTCCATGTGGATCCCAAAATAGGGAAGACGAAGCCGCGTGCTGCCCGCTCCAGAAAATCCCTCACAGCCCATGTGGAGGACCTGCACTCGCTCCTCCGATCTCCCTATTTCTCTCCTTGGCCACTACGCCTGCGGATCTTTTGTGCCGATGTCCACCGGGTGTGGAGAATCTGGAGCGAGCGGGTCGATGCCCAAGTTCCCCCAAACATCAACATCATCCTTGACGGGGACTGCCCAAAGGCTGCGCGGGACATCCCGCAGGGTCCTGAAGGTGCCTCAGTCGGGACAATTGACAAGCTATCAGTTGACTACACACGTCTTGAAAATTATCTTGAGAAGTCAATGTTCCTGCTGGATGATGCCGAAGATCTACAGTGCAACGTTTGCAAAGCCCCGGTCATCCCGGATACACAACAGATTCTAGTGTGTCCCCAAGCGCACTGCTATGGCACGAATCATTTATTGTGTTTATCTACCAAGTTTCTCAGAGCCGACGAATCAGGCCCCCTGGTGCCAACAGTTGGGATTTGTCCAGCATGTCGGAAAGTTGTGCAATGGCCTGTCATGGTGCAAGAACTCAGTTTGCGCAATCGAGCTGAGAAAGAAGCGCGAGCAATCATACGAAAAAAAGAAAAGCGTGTTCGCAAAGAGGCTGCATCCAGTGAGGAGAAATTGTCTGACTCACGGTCATTTCCAGTGGACCATACACCCAAGAGTCAGTCGCGGCAAGCGCAAGATGTCAAGGCGATTCTTCAAGACGACCCCGAGTTAGATTTCAATTGGTGTGAGGTAGTAGACCAGGAATCTGACTCTGAGTGTCAAAGCCGACGGGAAATTCGATCGACACAGCCTCCGTCGATACCTGAAGTCGTCATCGAAGATAGCGACTGGGACGATGTAGAGATCTTGGAATGATTCGCAAATCTCCCTTCCTTGCTGCGAATTTAATCAAGTTTGTCTCGTCCGAGCTCGTCGGTAACATATGCCCAATGTCCTCAGTGGCACAATAGCAGAAAGACACGTCATATAGTCTCTCTGCTTTTTCGTCTATGCGAACGAGCAATTAGTCCAGTGAAGATCACCAATGAGAGAAGGGGAGCATAGTCGCCACTTGACACGCCCAAACACCAGCTGGAATATCCACGGATCTTTTGCGCGCGAGTGGCCAGAAGGCGCTTCGGGGGAGTCCGCTGTGATCGGTTACGGAAACTCATGTTGTGATCGTTCCGCACACTCGTTGCTGCGAGACTGTAGGACACAGAATGATCTACCGGCTCGTTTTCAACAGTGGAATGGTAGGTAGAAAAGCGAGGTTGCTTACTGCAAAGCTCTCCCTGCCAGCACTGGTCCAGATGCAGCCACTGGTTGTGGAAATGATCCAGTGAAAATGGCGAGAGACTAAAGTCAAGGGCCGGGAGAAAAGGCTGCTTTTTCTTCATCGAGTGGCCGGCTGCTGTGCTAGCCAGAATATTTGAGCTGCCGTGACGAGCTGTTCCTGGACGAGAGCATGAGTCTGAGGGAAGAAAAAGTTCTAGCGTAGTCGAATATGGGTTCCAAGCGCCAACGCCGACATTTGTTGCGCTCACATCATCCTCTGCACCTGAGTTCAGCGGCAAACGCGAGGTGGGCCTTGACGATGGAGGCAAGCAGTGGTCAGTGGACATTGATGAACATGGGATTTGGGGGTCCATTGCGATCACCCACGACAACGGCGGCTCTGGGTGATCCACGAAGAATAAATCCGGAAGACGAGGGACAACCGCATCTATCATGGGCGAGCCTCGGCCTGCAACGGGGGTCACAGATGACCGGGGTTGTTCATTTTCACTGCTGGAGTGGGGGGATGGGTCGGGGTTGATTGCTTTCAGTGTCTCGATGTCGTCGCGTCCCACGCCATTTGCGTTGATACGCCTCTGGAAGTAATCCGCGTCCATGAGCGTGGACACCCGGGTACATGGGACTCCATGATAGCCAGGCGACCCTTGCAATCTTCCCCACAGCTTTCTGACAAGTTTCTGGGATACATACCCGAGAGGCGTGATGATTCGAAGATTCAGTCGCTGGGCGAAACGAGGTCTGTCGAATTTCTTTCTGTTTTTGGGTCTGTTCGCCATGTCCGCAGCGCACGCAGTATTGGAGGCGATAAATGGCACGGTATCTTTAGTTGAAGGCGCCTACTTATAAAGGCATTGGATGGCTTGAGCCTTTGGTGTCGAGCAACACCATGCATGATCTGCTTTGGAGGGTGGTTTCAATTCCAGCGTGAACAAAGGGCGTGGATGGAAATATGATTTTGTCTCGTCGCCAGACCACTTGTCGGGGCTTTCCTCCTACAGCTTTCGCATAGCGAGCAAAGAATATTCAACCCGCCACTGCCGTGTGGAACTTTCTTTCATGGCAGCGACAGAGGTTAAATGCCGGTTGACTCTGACGGCCATAACGACTGTCATGTCTATACCTTCGAGCTTCGTGACCTCGTCAAGTCCCAAGTCACACCCAAAGAATCATTTCAGAAACCAAATGAGCATCTGAGATGGGCAAAGTGGTCAAACCATGCGAGAAAAGAGACATGCCATGGATTATGTACAGCGAGGTGCGTTGCGTGGCCCATCGCTCACTAGCGCAACTCCTTCTCATGTCCTTTCCAACGAAATCAAATTCTTGGAGTATCTCCCCAACTGTAGCTAGCCAAAGGGAGGTCTTTTTGTTTTCTTTCTTGTCCATCCCTTCCATTGTCGTCGGTTGGTACCAGATCTCGATAATTTCAATGTCCACTCTGACGATTCCCCATTGACACGGAGATGGCAGACGCGAGTAAAATCGCGTCCAGATTGACAAAAGGCGGTCGCCCAGCAAATCCCAGAAGAAACCAAAGCTAACGAAAAGCCAGGAGATAGAATCGTCACGTTCATCAAATCGGTACATAAGTAGAGGGCCAGTGGAAAGCCGGTGTTGACCATGTCCGGTCCGCGGACGATGTCGGATCCGCGAACCTCGGATCCGGTTACGCCCTCACAGCAGTTCTATGGAGCCTCATTGAAAGCATGCCCTCGGGTGTGTATAAAACCCCAGACAACATGCCGGGTCTGGTGCTGGAACAGAGCCCAGCGAAACATCAATCACACAACGCGATTTCCATTCAACCATTTCCAACCTGGTCTTCTTTCGACTTCATATTTCCAACTCTATGACACCAAATCATGTTGCAATCATTGGAGCAGGGTTTTCAGGCCTCGTCTTAGCCCTGTCTCTTCAGAAGCAGTCTGTTTCGTGCACCATCTACGAGGCCCACTCTGCCTCACTCGACATCGGCGCCATTATGCTCTCGCCCAACGTATTGCGTATCCTGGATGCAATTGGAATCTACCAGCAAATTCGCCCACGATCATTCCAGTTCCAGATCCTGCATTTCTGCACTGACCCACCCGTGGACACGTTCGAGTTTGGAAACCGTGACCGCTACGGCTATGATGCGCTGCGGATCTATCGCTATCATTTAATCGATGTGCTCGTCGCTACAGTGAAGGAGAAGGGAATCTCCATTGAGTACGGGAAGAAGCTTACACGAGTTGTTTCCTGGAGTGAGACTGAGGTCTCATGGGAATTCGACGACGGTACAACTGACCGAGCAGCATATTTAGTCGGAGCAGATGGGTCTGAAGTTCTCATCGGGAAACAGAAACGCGCCGCCGAACTGGACCGCGAGGGCTGGAATCAGCTCATGAACGACAAGCAGCGGTGCGTCGACTTCCTACGCCAGGGACCTGAGGATTTTCCCGCCCTTGTCCAGGGGGCAGTATTTCATATCCCCCTGGATAAGATCAATCTTTGGCCTTTCTACATGGTGCCTAAGCTAGAGTCTCTTGAACTTCTCAGCATTCCCGTGTCGTGATTCTTGGATACGCAGCCCATGCTATTTCCGCCTTCTGCGGGCCAAGGTGTGAACCAGGCGTTTGAAGATGTTTACACCTACGCTCTGGTCTCATCCCAGTCTCAGTCGCAGGATCTGAAATCTGCTCGGAAGGTCTGGCAGCATGGTCGTCAGGAACGAGTCGACCGGATTCTGGCACTGAATTCACAGATTGACGCTCGACGAATGCCTAAGAGCCATGATTCGGGTCCACCAGAATTAGACCAGGAGCCGTTCGATGTGGAGTGGCTGTATGGGGCGGATTTTGAGGACATGGTGCGGAACTGGCTGAGCAGAGTTGTCAAGGGGTAACCAAGTTTTGATGAACATGGCCTGGTCTGTTATTTGATTGTATTCGACAAGTCACTTGGGCACAACGGTAGATCCTGGAATTAATCGTGAAATTTCCATTCAAATTTTCAATTTCTCCCTTTTCTTTTCTTCGTTCGGTAGGAAAAAAAAGATTTAAAAAAGGACGCTGCAAGTCCTGCGACGGACACTTCTGACATAAAACCTACCATGGTTTCCTCCTTGATCGTATTCTTCTACTTCTTTGTCTTTCTCTCTCTCTCTCTCTCGGCCGCGTGGGCACCCGGTTGTTGATCAGGGGCAGATCTCAGACCCACGGTCACGTGCACCGGGGATAGCTAGTCGTGGCCACAGACCATCCACACTTTTAACTCCTTCTCTCCTTTTTATCTTTCACTCGCTCTGTTCATAATCTCAATGGATCCTGCAACATTCAAGGATCCGCAACTTACCCTCCCGGATCAGCTGGTGATCGAAACTTTTCTGCAAGATCCCAGCCTCAAGAGTGAGTCTTTCATCATAGTGGGTATTGGCATCCAACTAAACAGACACCTTAGGCAAACCAAGTGCACAGCCGCTTGAGGGAACGCTGAGTACTGAAGAAACTATTCAGAAACTCCACTCTCTTAATAATGATTCTCATCCCGACTTCGATCCCACTGTTTTTCAGTTCTGGGACACTCCGCTTCTGAAGAGCAAGCTGCCCAAGGTCATTCAGCGGTATATTCTGCAACCGTATATCGTCTGGGGCCAGAGTATCGTGCGCTTCAAGACGGATGTGGTTATGTTGACACATCTTCTCCTCTATTTTACCACTCTGGTTCCCAGCGCGGCATTGCTGTATTATCGCTTTTCCTGGCTCCATGGTGTTTTCCATTGGGCCATGCAACTGTGGTTTTGTGGAGCATTCACCCTGATGAAACACCAACACATCCATATGAATGGCGTTCTGGCACCAAGTTATTGGCTTGTCGACACGCTGTTCCCTTATCTCCTCGATCCCATGTTGGGACACACCTGGAACTCTTATTTTTACCATCACATCAAGCATCACCACGTCGAGGGCAACGGTGAGAATGATCTGAGTACTACCATGTTCTACGACCGCGACAGCGTCTTCGACTTTGCACGCTATGTCGGCCGATTCGTCTTTTTCATCTGGCTGGAGCTGCCGTTGTATTTCTGGAGCAAGGGTCAGCTCAAGTACGCCTTCAAAGCCGCATTCTGGGAGCTGAGCAACTACGCCTCCCTCTATCTGCTGTATAATTATGTCAACTCTCACGCCACCTTATTTGTCTTTATTCTTCCGCTGGTGGTTATGCGCTTTGGTCTGATGGTGGGGAACTGGGGCCAGCATGCGTTGGTTGATCCGGTAGACCCTGACTCGGATTATCGGTCCAGCATCACGTTGATTGATGTCCCCGTGAGTATCAGACTCATTTGCCCTTAGTTTCCCACGCTGATAACCACCAGAGCAACCGGTTTTCCTTCAATGATGGGTATCATACTTCCCACCATCTGAACCCGCGCCGCCACTGGCGCGATCACCCTGTGGCTTTTGTGAAGCAGAAAGATCGTTATGCCGAGGAAAAAGCGTTGGTGTTTCGGAACATTGATTTTATCTTCCTCACTGTGTATCTGCTGCGCAAAGACTACATGCACCTAGCAAAATGCCTGATCCCCATGGGTGACCAAATCGACATGACCCTCGAACAGCGGGCAGACATGCTGCGAAGTCGGGCCCGTCGATTCCCGAAGCCCTCGTCCAAGAAACATTCCTAACAGCGAAGCCTTAGGATTTGACTAGAGCAGTCAGGTTGCTCTCTTGTCCTTGCGCTTGCTTTGTCTGCATTTTTTTTTTCACACACTCAATAACGCATATGCGGAGTTACTGCTATTGTGTATTTCTTTTTTATAAAATAGACAGTATAGAGCAGCAAATTAAAAACCAAGAGGATGGATAGAGGTGAGTGTCATGGGTTGTGTGATGGATACTACAGTTGTTTCCCGTTTCCCGTTTCCCGTCTCTCCTCTCAGCCCACGGTCTCACTCTCATGGAAATCAATCTGCGAGATTTGTTTTAGAAAACGAACGTGATTCAACGGCCAGTTCTTTGAGAACGGGCCGAGGCAATGCATTAACCGGGTGGATCGGCTACTGTTGGCCATAGGTCGATGACTTGTCTTCAAGATCTTTCAGCGATGTTTCACCCCAGCACCATTCAATCAATACTTCGATTGTCTTCCATGTTACATTTTGACGACCTGTCATGACATTGTCGATTAAGTTAAGGTACTGAGTTCAAATTAGCCGCTTCATGGTTTTGAACCCAATACTTGTGAAGAATGCAGCCATTTTCAAAGGGCCTCGGGCACCAGGAGTTCTGCATTGCTACTTAGTCAATCAACTCTATGTAGGATCTTCTTTCCAGTGAGAAAAGTGCTGGAAATAGTTTAAAGAGGGTGAGGCATATCCTTGAATTATTGAAGACATATGAATGGGACACACTTCGAAGTATTTCGTGACCGATTTTCAACAATCGCAAAGTGAAACTCGACCAGTGCTTAGCATAGACCAAAATTATATCCAACATGAATCGCCTTGCTATCAGCTCATGTTGTCATCCCGAGAAGATACAACACAGACGGCCTATGTAATAGGGACAAGTCGAATGGGATTACTAGGCAAGCTTTCATGCACGCTGTGATGCGGATAAGATGTCCACAGAAGACGAGTAGGGTAACCATATCTTATCTTTCATACTTTCTCGAGCATTGCCATAATCAAGTCGGGAATCGCCCTGGGGCGCTTAAGTCGAGCGGGAAAGTATTTAGCCGGAGTGTGGGGGAGCACTATTAGCACTGCGGATGCCGCCGGGAAAGCTTATAGGCGGTCTAGTGCCGCCTCTCGATGCCGCGCTCCCCGCATTAGATGAGGGGATGGCAAGGAAGAACTTGAACTTGTAAATTCTGCGCAGAACTTCGTATGTTCCATTCGGTATTGTCGCGGGCTACCCTATCCATCTCTTCTCGCACACCCCCGCCAAGATGAAGCATCATCTCATGGTCGGCACCTGGACTGCCCCCGGTCGCATCTATACTGTTCAATTTGACGATGAGGCTCTCACACTCGACCTGGTCAAGAAAACCGACATCCCCGAGGCCGAGCCTATCTCGTGGATGACCTTTTCGCACGACAAAAAGACTATTTATGGGGCTGCCATGAAGAAGTGGAACAGCTTCGCCGTCCACAGCCCGACCGAGATCGCGCACCAGACATCGCACCCAGTCGCTGGTCACCGTAAGTTATTGACCAAGTTACAATTCATGAGGTGTTTTCTGCTGAATCAATCATGTCTGTGTGTGTAGCGCAGGCTGCCAGCAACGACACCAACACCCGCGCTATCTTTGTGCTCGCCGCCCGCCAGCCGCCCTACAATGTGTACGGCAACCCTTTCTACAAGTATGCCGGCTACGGTAATGTGTTTTCCGTGAAGCCTAACGGTGCTCTGGACACCAACGTGCAAAACTACGAGTATGAGCACACAACCGGTATCCACGGCATGGTCTTCGACCCTACCGAGACCTACCTGTACTCGGCCGATCTCCAGGCCAACAAAATCTGGACACATCGCAAAGACCCCCAGACGGGCCAACTGACGCTTGTCGACTGCCTCGAGGCTCCCTCGCCTGATGACCACCCGCGCTGGATGGAGATTCACCCCAGCGGGAAGTATTTGTATGCCCTCATGGAGGCGGGTAACCGACTGGCAGTCTACGTGATCGATGAGCGTGCTCACAAACCGGTGTTCACCCACATTACCTACCCATTACTGCCTTCTGGTGAGTGCGATTCAAGTCAGAGATGTCGACCATCCAAGCTCATTCCCCTTCTTCCTGGTACAGGACTGCCCCCACGCAACAAGTACCGCGGCGATGTCACTTTCACCACACAGAGTGGAGAGTATTTGTTCGCCACAACGCGGTCGAATCATTTCGACGTAACAGGGTATATCACGGCGTTCAAGCTGGGCCCGCATGGCGAGATCGAGCGCCAGCTGTTTATCAACCCCACCTCAACCAGCGGCGGGCACTCGAATGCAGTCAGCCCCTGTGACTTTAGTGACGAGTGGCTGGCCCTCTGCGATGACCAACTGGGGTTCGTCGAAATGTACCGGTGGCGCGACGAGAAGTTGGCTCGAGTGGCCCGGGTGGATATCCCTGAACAAGGGTTTGGCATGAACGCCATCTGGTACGATTAAAAAGGACACCGCAGTAGATATAGATCAACCAAGCATAAATCCATCAATCAATCCAAAGTCGAGATGGCGTAGTGGAGGGGGGGAGAAACGTAGCAAGTGGGGAAAAGAGTAGAGAACGAAAAGAGTGGAATATCACAAACCGTCGGCAGTCAAACTCGGTTGATTGCGTTCTCCCGGAGACGCGGGGGGTTTGCCCTACCGTCCCTCCTGAGTCCCGATATTTAATTGTCGCAATGGCCTCAATCCTCGTTGCCTCTCCACGTCCTATTTTGCGTTCATCACTGCCACCATGCCGACTCCCGGTCTCCTCTACGTCACGATGCAGCCCAACGGCTCACTCCCCAACACCCAGTTCCACGACTGGTACAACAACGAACATGGGCCCCTGCGATTGCGGTTACCCTTCATCAGCAATGGCTTTCGCTACCGGGCCACCGATACGACGCAGCCCGAGTATGTGGCCCTGTACGACATCACCGATATGGACGAGTTGACCCGTGAGACGTACTTGGCGCTACGGACAGACGTCATCAAGACCGACCGGGAAAAAAGACGATGGCACAGATTGACGTGGGCCGCCGCCTGTATGACCTCGCCGATGCGCGCAGCCACCCGGATTTCCGCCCGCTCGAAGCTCAAGCCGACACCGATGCCGAAACCAGGGGCAGTGTTCTCGTCGCCGTCACTGTGGCCACCCATCCGGACCCCACGAAACAAGCCGACTTGGATCGCTGGTATCGCGAGGAACACTTTGAAATGCTCTCCCGTGTGCCTGGGTGGCGTCGAAGCCGTCGCTTCGTGACCGCGGCCATCGACTCCTCCGCCCCACGTGAATCACTGGCGCTGCACGAATATGCCCCCGTCAACGGGCTGGGCGGCGAGGCTCACAAGGCCGCGATGAACACCCCCTGGGGCCAACGGCTCATGAGCGAAGTGGTGACGTCCAAGAACCGTCGCGTCTACGAGTGGTACTACACTTTTGGCCCGGCCCCGCGTGAGCTCTCTTCGCTGGCTGCTCCGGATGTGATCGGACCCTGGAGCTCCAACGACGGTCGCACACAAACAATCCCCTCTCCATCACGACCCGCGCTTGAGTCGTTTGTCACTACCTCCGACGGGGTAGAACTTCCTTACCGACTCGAGGGGAACACCGACCCCACCGCGCCAGTGGTGGTGCTCAGTAACGCGATTCTGGTCAACTGGAACATTTGGGACCGATTTGTCGATGCTTTTTTCGCCAGGAAGCAGAACCAGCGCTACCGTGTACTGCGATACCTCACACGGGGCCGGTACTCGCAGAGTGGCGAGCAGCCCGTAAACATTGATTTGCTTGCCTCTGATCTCGCCACACTCCTGGAGGCGCTGCGCGTGCCGCCCAAGGCTGCCCGCCTCATTGGGGTGAGTCTGGGTGGCGTGACGGTGCTGAATACATCGCTCCTGTATCCGGACCGAGTCGGGGCCTTCGTCGCCTGTGACACCAACTCCTCGGCGCCCGAGTCTAATCGCAAGGCTTGGGGTGACCGTGTGGCCATGGCCGAGCAGGAGGGCAGCACGCATCCCGACACCCAAGAATCCATTGTTGGGGAACAGCTTGCGGAGATAACGACGCGTCGCTGGTTCACGCAGAAATCGTACGAAACTCAACCTGAGGTTCTTGCGCCCGTCAAGGAGGGCGTGCGGACCAACAGCCTCCGTGGTTTCGCACACAGCGTGCAGTCCCTGTGCGCCTATGATATCCGTGAGCGCATGGCCAGTGCCACGGTGCCGGGGATCTTCGTTGCTGGTGCCAATGACGGTGTCTTGCCCCAGACAATGCAGAAGATGGCCGCAGATCTGCGCGGCAACGCCGAGTTAAAAATTATCGAGTGTGCAGGTCATCTCCCCATGGTGGAACAGCCGGATGCTTTTGCCGACGTTGTTTCGGATTTCTTGGGTCAGATCGATGGGTAATGGTCGAGCACAGCTCTTTGAAAATGTATAGCGGAATCACGAATCAATTTTCTTATCACACCAGCCAGGAGGAAGATGAATCCCATGTCTACCTACGCCGGTGATCACCCCGATCAAATTTGTAGTTGTCGAGAGTACCCTCTACGCTCACAAGAAAGAGTTCAAACATGCATCTTGGGCAGTTGGCACCGGGACCGACTGTCGCGTACGTGAGACGTTATCCGCTGCGGGAAATCACCGAGGCCCAGCTGGTGTTGGTTCAGAGGATCACCCTGCATCCTGGATTATGTCCCATGCAAATAAAGGAGCGGAACGGGGTCTTCATCTAGACTGGCGACCAATTCCACGGTGAACATCTTTTGGTGTGTGATTGTCGTGTAGGGGGGCTTGCGAGGGACCCTGTATGGCTTCGTAGCTTCAATTTGGTGCGACGGCAGCGGTTTGGAGCCAGGCTGATTTTTGGGCATGATCGGAAGGTGGCTATCGCGCTGATCGAGAAGAAATCCCATGAATAGCGTGAATTCCAAGCCGGTTGAATTCCCAACAGCTTCACATGAGATCTCGGCGGTTTGGGGGCCTCGGGCCGTTGACATCATCCATCTGGGCTCACCCTCAAAAATCACCGCGGCCCGCTCTGTCTCACGCGAATTCGAACTTAACACATCCATTCCAATCTCTCTGAGAATGACTGACAACAACCAGGGCTGCAAAATCACTCTCTACTGGTCCGTTGTCCTTCTGCATCTATCATTCGTCCCATACTGACATCAGCTAGGCTGGAGCAGTCGCGCAGCCACCGCATCCTCTGGCTGCTGGAGGAGCTCCAGCTCAAATATGAGCTCAAGACTTTCAAGCGCCGCGCCGACAAACTTGCTCCGCCCGAGCTGAAGAAGGTCCACCCACTAGGCAAATCGCCCGTCATCACCATCGAACCACCCGAAGCCTCCGCTCCTATTGTGCTTGCCGAGTCGGGCGCAATCGTGGAATATCTCTGCGACCACTTCGGTAGTGTGCGACCGACCCTTGTGCCCGAGCGGTATGCGCCCGGTCGCGAAGGCAAGGTGGGTGGGGAGCGTGAGGAGTGGATGCGGTACCGCTACTTCATGCACTACGTGGAGGGCAGTCTGATGCCATTCCTGGTGATGACGCTGGTCAATGATAGTAAGTTTCTCTTGTATCCGTGCCCGGGTCTACCTAGAAGATCTAGGCTAATCAATCACTCGCTTCCGCAGCGGTCCGCAACTCGCCTCCATTCATCGTGCGTCCGATCACCAGCCTCGTTGCCTCGCAAGTCGAGTCCGCCTTTCTGACTCGAAACGTCGAGGGCAACCTTGCATTCCTCGAAGACCAGCTCAAAACTGCTCCTGAAGGTGGGCCGTTCTTATGCGGCAAGGAGCTGACGGCAGCGGACATCCTCATGAGCTTCCCAGTGATTGCCGTTAGCTTGCGAGTACTAAAGGACAAGAAAATGCAGGGCAAGTTCCCTCGCGTGCAGGAATATGCCAAGCGACTGGAAGAGCAGGATGGCTACCAACAAGCCGTCACCCAGGTGGAACAAATTGACGGGAAATTCCAGGCGTCGATGTGAGGAGAAGCGCCGAAGCTGTATATAGCTATTGTCAGATGTTGGGTGCTATTGTAATTAGGGAGTGTGGGCCGTTAGACTAGTTCAGAGCTCGACCCTTTTCCTCCAAAATATTTTCTATATATTGTTTGACACATTTCCTTCGCTCTATATCCCCCCTCCATGGGTTTTATCTAAAACGCGGAGGCCAGCTATTAGCCACTACGTCGGAGGGTCCACTGATCTATGAGTGTGCGGGTGCTACCAAGGAGTTGAGCACACGTGAAACTTACTATTCGGAGCTCGAATTTATTTCCTCGGTTGATCATGGTGAATACCGCAGTATTCTGCTCATGTTCCTTATCCCACAGAATTTACAGCATCGGTCATCACAAATTTAAAAAAAATGTATTCACTTCACTAAGCCAAGTATATCCATCTCCGCACGTGACATCCGTTTCCCCGCGTTCTCCACACTCCCCGGAAAGCCTCGGTGGTTGCAGGATGCCTCTTAAGTACCCCTTTTACCCCAACTTTGAACATTGCAGGCCATTCTATGGCTCAAAGTTGCGTCCTCTCCACCTGCTCTTTGACTTCATCCGCAAACATGACCATTCGATCAGTCGTTTCCCTCCCGAAGGCCCCTCGCCTCTGCGCGCCAACGGCCCGACGCTGGCCGTCCATGGCCCGGACCTTTTCCACAACATCCCACCGCGATGCGACATGGGGATTTATCGGATTAGGACAGATGGGTATGTTTCGATAATGGCTTTCCAACAAGATTCTGAGATGAGTAACTTCGACCGACAGGCTACAACATGGCCAAGAACCTACGAGCCAAGATCCCCATATCTGACACGCTGATCGTGCGCGACGTCAACGAGGAGACCATAAAGCGCTTTGTCGCCGAGAACCAGGAGGCCCGGCGAAGTAGCGGCACCAGCCCCGATCAAGGCAAAGTCGAAATTGCCGAAAGCGCCCGTGAAGTTGCCGAAAAGTCTGTAAGTTCGACCATCGCATACGAACCAGGTTTTTATATGTCATACTCCATCTGGTCAAGTCTGATAACCATACTATTCGACACGTTCTATGCAGACTGTTACAATTACCAGCCTTCCGGAGTCCCAGCATGTCATCAATGTGTTTCATTCTGTCCTCAAAGACGGCGCTCTTCCGTCGCTCAAGGACGAGCGGCTCTTTATTGACACGTCCACAATTGACCCCGTTACGTCCAAAGATATTGCCAATGCCATTCACAATACCCAAGCTGGTCGCTTCGTGGATGCTCCCGTGTCGGGCGGCGTCGTCGGCGCGCGAGCTGGCACCCTTTCGTTCATGTTTGGCGCATCATCGCAGTCTGACCAGCTGATCGAGCGTGTCCGTAGTGTCTTGTCGCTAATGGGCAAGAAGGCATGGCACCTCGGTGACCCTGGCTCGGGTGTCTCCGGTAAACTGGCCAACAATTATCTTCTCGCCATTAATAACATAGCTACCGCCGAGGCAATGAACCTCGGTGTACGCTGGGGACTGGACCCCAAGGCACTAGCCCAGATGATCAATTCCTCCACTGGCCGATGCTGGCCATCGGAGGTTAACAACCCGGTTCCCGGTGTGGTCGAAACAGCTCCGGCTTCGCGCAATTACGAGGGTGGGTTCGGTGTCAGTCTGATGCACAAAGATCTGCGACTGGCCCTCGAGGCTGCAGAGAAGTCTAGCACTTCTCTTTACTTGGGCGGCCAAGCGCGCGATGTGTATCGTGCGGTGGAAGATGCACATCGGGGCAAGGACTTTTCAGTAGTTTATCAATGGCTGCAGGACAAGTCCGAGTGACATCTTTATTCCTGATGATCTACCCAGTATATATCTTTGTGTGCAGTTTTGGTTCCCCCCACGACTGCATACAAAGACAACTTTTTCAGACGAACTGTGCATGGTGGAACTAGCGCGCCGCATATGTCGCAGTACTCGGGAAGTTACTCGTTATCTCTCAACAAATGGATTGATTCTTCTTTTGGTATATACTTCGTGTTTGGGCCACTGTGGCGAAGAATTGAAAAAGGGTCGATATTGCCGGCTATTCAAAAGCACTTCATCCCATAATGGAAAAGAAGCAACCCTTGTGGATATTCTTGATCATGATGATCCTTCGCTTCGATTGGGTAAGGCGTCCGTGATAGGGAATTCTACTACACGCTTTCTGTGGAGCGACTAATACACAGTACGAACATGCAGTCCGGGGTTAGTAACTATATTAGCCAAGTCTACATGATCGAACTGCCAAGTTCCGACTCACCTATACGCAAGTAGGAACCAGGGAGCCAAGACCGGGCACCTGGGCTGTTAGCTTCAACTTCCCCACCGTGGGATCACCCGAATGCTGGCCCCATTTATTAGCGCTATGATGATCTCCGCTCCTTTTTCCCCATAAACGAGATTGGATAATACCGTTACGGGTAGATTCGATGCACGCTAGAGACTGTGGCAGCCCCCTCGGCCCCGTCTTACGTGAGCACTGGAGCTATCTAGCTTTCGCGGTATCAAGGAAATTGCTTCAACGAGAAATATAAATACCAGTCCATCGCGGTGGTGAAGGGGTGTACACTCACGCAATCGTTGCATCTTCTACTTTCTCTCAAATCTACCATCATGCTTGCTCTCAAGTCCTTTTTCATTCTAGGCGCCGCGACTCTAGCGGCCGCCAGCCTTGGCGATACTTGCAAAACCGTCAGCGTGAACGACCAGGGCATTATGAAAGCTTCGTGTGGTGATGGAAAGGGTGGATGGAATGACGCTAGTCTGGACTTAAATAAATGCTTCAAGCGTTCTCAGGACCCACCCCTTATTTATATGCCCGATCAAGAGTAAGACTGATACTTGAAGACACCCCTTTTTGTTGTGGTACTGGAAGAGCTCGCTAATCCTGACGTTGAATGTCCAGTGGTTCCGATGTGACCGATTGCCTGAAAGATGGCCCCTTCGATATCACCACTATCAAAAACCCCTCCGCCATCGACACAGAAAACTTTTCGATTGGTGGAGCTTGTCTGAAGAATGGGGAGACACTGGGCTTGGGTGAGTGCTAATTCGACTCTCGGGATATGATCAAACCTAGGTCTTTTGCTAATGTGGTTATAGACTCTCTTCAGAACTATAACGGAAATCTGGCTTGCTAGAGTGGTTTGAAAGACATCGGGGGCCTTCAAGGGCAGGATGACTGGCCAGAGCCCATACTATTCTCCCTAGAAGGTCCTTAGTCACCCTATCATGACCTTCAGGCCGAGGGATTCATCATGTCTCGTCATTTTGTGTTCTGAGCGATAAAGCAGTGGAAGAAGGCTGCTAACGATGATGCCTCCACCAGTTTAGAGATTCGTTGATTATCTTAATGCTGCCACTCCCTAGCCTTGAAGATAATCTTAGCTCCAGTAATATAATCTTGATATAGTTTGAGCCCAAAGACAATTAATTCGCTAGGGCATTGCATTTTTTTTCTCCGATGGTACATTAATATGCCTTGATGGATGCGAATGCTTCATATAGGGATTTGTCAAGCCCAAGCACCTACTCCATAACCAGATGGGCAATTTGCCAACAGAACCTTGAAACAGCCAACCGGGCCAACTATCTTGCAAAAGATCAAGATATGTCACATAAATTTAGCATGATTAGTTTCATTACTTTAATATCTTTAAACTTCAATCTATACAAAACCGGGTGATGTTAGAATGATATAATACTTTAGTCACGGCTCTGTGTGATTGGTGTATGGTATATAAACCTTTCTTCTCTACTAATACAAAAACCATCTACTCTATCAGACTCCACTTTCTTTTTCACTGATGCTTTGCCAATCTATTAACTATGCTCCCTCACAAAGACAACGATCTCCCCTATATCCACCGCTATATCACCACCCACAGCACCGACGGCGAAGCAGTGTTTGTTTCCCACTCGCAAGTACCCGACTATATCCCATCCACGCCAGCCGGTGAAGATGGCGAAATCGCCCTGCTATACGCCACAACTAACGTCCCTACGTCTATCGATGACGAAGCCGATGTGGCTATGTACGATGAATTCTTGCACCAACCACCAGGGCTAACGCTTGGCTCCGGAACTGTTTTCCGGATGATCGACCTTCGTCCAGGCAAGGTCACCCCTATGCATCGGACCATTAGCCTCGACTACGGCGTCGTACTTGAGGGCGAGGTCGATCTTATTCTCGACTCCGGGGCGAGTCGGCATATGCGTCGTGGCGATGTGAGTGTGCAGCGTGGCACAGCGCATTCGTTTCGCAATCGCAGTAACTCAGATTGGTGTCGGATGATATTTGTGTTTTTGCCTATACAGAAACTTATTATCAAAGGCCGGGAGCTAGAAGAAGAAGTATATAATGAACAGTACGAAGCATCGGCGAGTGAGTGAGTAAATAAATAAGCTTACCCATTGCCGTGGGAGATTCAGCGAGTATCGGATTAATAGTTTATCCGTTCCTGTATGCCCGGTTTTCCAGGCTGAGTATTGCAGACTTTGGTCTGTATCCATTCATTATGTAGATTTAGCATCTTCTCACTACTCAATGTATGATGTTTTCTGTTCTCTGGTTTGACTGCCTGACTGCTGAGGCTCGCTGGCATCCTCCCATGTCGATCTGCTTGCATTGACAGACAAGACAGCCTCCGAGCAGAACCCGGTTTGCACCATGTACGAGTTCGATCGAATTGAATTCGATTAAATCATCACACAGAGACCGGTCAGCCCTGAGGCCGATTTACCGCTAGGGCTAGTTGGACAAAAAGCATTGATCCGTTCAAGCGCTTATCCTTAAGCCTCCATCCCGTCCTTGTCGTCGCTTTTATCATTATGCGACCGAACCAATGCAACCACAGCAACTGAAAACCACCACATGCCTCTGTTTGGTCCTCGCTCACAAGGGGGAGGGGGTCCGTTGTTTTTGAAGCCCAGGTCAAGCAGCGAGTGGCTCAGGCTTCATCTCCTATACAGACGACACGGCATGTGGACGGCAGGGCTTGAGATCGACTGAGGAGCCCAGTATGCATCATGAACTGGGCTGCCTTCCAAGGTCGCCTTTGCATGCCGAGGATGCGAAAACGTAGTTCTACAAAGCAAGGGCAACGCATTAGAACGTGGCGCACGTTCTGCCTGCCTTCGCCTCTGTCGGGGTCATCGTCGAGGGCTTGCTAACGCTAGTTCTCCAGAGTTGACAGATATGCTACGAGAGCAATTTTGCCAGGTTGCATTCATGGAAGTATTGCGCTGCCTCTCTGACATAGTAGCGGATGCATCGTAAAAGCATCCTTGGTAGGTTTTGCGAATGTTCTGCGCGGTATATACGTGTTATGTTCGCTGGAAGTCCACTGCTTTAGGTACACTAGTCGGGCGATCTCATTTGTTCTCAACGCATCTCCCCCCCGGAACATCATGGCGACCTGGAACGCAATCGCCTTGACTTCAAAATGCAATCATTTACAGAGATCGATCTGAGCACCCCGAGGCCAGTTCCAAACTGCCCCTTATCTCTCAAGCCCGCACAACCCACGAAGGCACCATCCGAATACTCCGAGCCCGCCTTGCTTACAAAACCCACGAGGAAGGTCAACGTCGTGGAGCTTCGAAGATGCGATGGTTAAATCAACTGATTGACTCCCCGGTGCTACAACCGGCACTTCTCAACCTCGCTGCAAAGATCCAGGACACAGAGGAAACCTCGAATGGTTGTGTGCAGGTAACTGGGAAGGACGAACGGTTTCGTCCACAGATTGATCGGCGTTTACGAGAGCAGGCCCGCCCGCAATTTCCGGAGCTCCCAGAACGATTCGCCCCTTACCATATTAGCTTAGCATGTGCTGGCCGGCACGTTCCCACCACAAATCTACCGGCGTACCCGGCAGAGCTGCGTAAGGTGAAAGAGAAGCGTTCGGCTCGAGCAAGCCTAGGGAATGAGAAGGATGCATGCTGGGTCACATCACACCTCTGTCATAACCGCCGCTGCATCAATCCGGATCACCTTGAATGGGAACCATCGTGGATGAACCGACTCCGGGACAACTGTCCGGGAGGGGACGCATGTGTCTACCGTCCTCGCCTGTGCCTGGCTCCTCATCGCCATCCAGAAGAGCTGGTTGACTGGACGAAATACTGGCACGTTGAGCCTTGAGCACTGCAGGTTCCACGATACCCAGAATGTTCCTCATTACCTCTCAGTGAATGGATTGACCCCAATTTTGATATCTCCATGGATGTATTACAGTGGTGAAAAAAAGTGAGTTGGCGGGTCGCCCACGAACCCTACTTGCAGGCCGTTCTTGTGGCATCGACGATCATTATTAGGTATGAATCGAGTGGTAGTGTATCCACAACAACTTAGGTAAGTCTGAAACCAAAGTCGCTGGTCACGGCTGACTGTAACCGATATAAGAAAGCCGAGAAGAACAGCCGGGCCATGCGAGCCAGTTGCATGGTCGGCATAAGAAGTCTCCAGTTTAGCGGGGAGTCTTTTGCCCCTTAGAAGTCTCAAAATGAATCATTGGCATTTGTGGTTGGAACGAAAAACACCTCTGCCCAGCGGGATTGCACTTTAATATAACTATTGGCTTTTCTGTGGCATCTGGTAATACTGACTTCTATCCCGATTTCCTCGCCTTGTCTCACTGTTTACCTCGTTGAGGAGAGCTGCTTCAACGGTGCCATCCAGCCCGCTCCATCCCTTCTGCCACGGTTTCCTATCGGCTCTTGTCTTCCCAATGCATCATTAATTCTCGATAATTCTCAGTCATGGATATAGTATCTGAATTGACCTGGGAACACCGAGATGGATTTGATGGACAACTCGATTCCTATATCAGCTGTGTCGGAAAGCGGTTCCGCCAAGTAAAGCTTGACCGGCCAAGAGATATCCTTCGAATGGGACAGCCTCCGGATGAGATGTGCATCGGAAGCCTTGCATAAGCGGCGGCGATGGCGACGGCGAACGAGTTTTGCGATGTGAGAATTTCCTTCGGTTTCCAAATAGGACTTCTCATATTGAAGGTGGACCGTGACAGGGTCATTCCTCAGGGTCTCATGACTGTGGTTCAATAACGATGCAAGCAATCTCGGCGGTTAAATTGCCAAGATAGTTAAAGCAGACCCAAGCGTCCTAATCCTTTTCCTTGGGTCGGCCTTGGCCTGGGGGTAGCGATGCTTGGTTCTGATAAATTCGGCAACTGAACCGAGTCAAGAGCAAGCCTAAGATGGAGTAAATCGGCCCCAGGAGATTCGCGTGACCTGCCAAGGCCCCCAATGACTCGGCGTATAATGAAACAATGGAAGAATGGAAACAAAAAGGAAACAACTGTGACCCCGATCCACTACATCTCCACATACTTTCCTGTAGATGGTCGGGTAAGGCTAAATGATGATCCTCCGTGATCCACTCCAGGAATCGATCCGACCTCCGAGGTTCCACTTCCCCACAACGAGGCCCCAGGAAAGGGGGTTGCATATTGGTCCATACGCTCGCTTAGGTCGACACTTAAATTGCCATTTTCGGTAGGCCTGTCGCTGATCGGCGTCTCCCCACGTCAGTAGGATCCACCTCGCCAGCCTGTTACATCGATGTCGGGTTAAGACTATATATAGATATAATATATTTTCAGCCGCTAAGAGGTTTGGGCCCTTTCTCGGGCCCTCGCGCGACTTGCCTAGAGCGGCCATCGGCCAGCGTCATGCCTGGACGTACTTGCTTCGGCACCGTTGGTCATGGACTGGGGCCCCTCAATTCCGGTCAAATATAAAAAGAGTCCTGCTCCAATTCTTCCCCAGATTGTGTCCAATCCATCCTTTTCTTTCTCTCTTGGTTTTACCCCTTCCCCAGGTCTAGGTCAACATAGCCAAGGTCGTCATCATGTGGACAACAACCTCCGGCTGGCGGGGCAAGAAGCTCCATCTCGCCATCACCTTTACTTCGGTAGTTGGTTTCTCGTTGTTCGGTTATGACCAGGGTTTGATGTCTGGTATTATTTCCGCCGACGAGTTCTCCAAGGAGTTTTCCGCCCTCTACATCCCCCCCAAGGGCAATCCTGCCTATTCCAAGGCTCTAGACGAGCATGTGAACGTTCTTCGCGGTGCGGTGACCTCTTGTTACGAATTGGGTTGTTTCTTTGGTGCTATCTTCACTTTATGCTTTGGCGAGCGGATCGGGCGAACCCCGTTGCTGGTCTCCGGTGGTACCCTCATGGTCATTGGCACTGTCATCTCCACTGCTTCTTACGGTCATGCCTGGGGTCTGGGCCAGTTCGTCATCGGTCGTGTCATCTCCGGTCTGGGAAACGGGATGGACACTGCCACTATTCCCGTCTGGCAGTCTGAGTGTTCAAAGGCCCATAACCGTGGTTTCTTGGTCTGTTTCGAAGGTGCTATTATCGCCGTTGGTACCTTCGTCGCCTATTGGGTCGACTTCGGTCTTTCCTACGTCGACTCCTCTGTCCAATGGCGTTTCCCCGTCGCCTTCCAGATTGTCTTCGCCCTTCTGGTTATAGCCGGTGCGGTTATGCTTCCCGAGTCTCCTCGTTGGTTTATTATGCGTGGATATGACGAGCAGGCTATCCAGGTCCTGGCCCAGCTGAATGATAGTTCTCCCGATGCCGAGGACGTTCTCGCGGATTTCAATCTTATGAAAGCCGACCTCAAGACCACCGAAGACGCTAAGGCTGACTGGAAGACCCTTTTTACCTTCGGCAAGACCCAGGAATTCCAGCGAATGATGATCGGTTGCTCCGGCCAGTTCTTCCAGCAGTTCACTGGTTGTAACGCTGCTATCTACTACTCGACTGTGCTTTTCGAGCAGAACCTCAATATGGATCATAAGATGGCCATGATTCTTGGTGGTGTTTTCTCCACTGTCTATGCTCTCGCCACCATTCCATCTTTCTTTATGGTTGAGAAAGTTGGTCGCCGGAAGCTATTCTTAATTGGTTTCATCGGCCAGGGTCTCAGCTTTATTCTCGCGATGGCCTGTCTAATCCCCAACACTGAGTCGGCCTCGAAGGGTGCTATTGTCGGTATCTTTGTCTTTATTTGCTTCTTCGCCTTCACAACGCTACCTTTGCCCTGGATTTACCCGCCCGAGATCAACCCTCTGCGCACCCGTACCATGGCTGCCTCTGCCTCGACTTGTACCAACTGGATTACCAACTTTGCTGTCGCCATGTTCACGCCTGTGTTTTCCTCTACTAGCGGATGGGGTCTATACCTCTTCTTTGCCTTGATCAACTTCATCGCCATTCCCTTTGCCTGGTTCTTCTACGCCGAGACCGCTGGACGGGATCTAGAAGAGATCGATATCATCTTCGCCAAGGCTCACATAGAGAAGAAGTGGCCATACCAGGTGGCCAACGAGATGCCCAAGCTCAGTGTCGACCAGATTGCTCAGATGCAGATCGATGTTGGTCTGAATGTGTTGGAACAGCGCAACAATTCCGTGACCGAGAAGGCCGAGCTCGCCATGAGCAGCGGTGACAGCGAGACTAAGCACGCCTCGGACTGATTTCGTTGCCCTACTAAAGAGTTTCATGTCTCTTGAGGTTGATTTTGTTTCGATTTTCCTATTTAGGGTCCACATAAGTCCCGACCACTTTAAGCATTAAAGTCGTCTTGACGTTTGCATTGTATTTCTTTTCCTTTCTAAGAATTTTATGTCGCTATGTCTTTGTGGTTAATTGCCAATTTCCTCTTTGTCAGGTAGTTTCTATTTGATTTCTATTTGAACACTGTTGAGAATAGAATCGAATGGTGATGGATCTACTCGAATTTAGAGATGTTTATATCCCTCCCAGCTTAATCGTGTATTATTGAAGCTCTTTTGCCCAGACATCTTATACGATGCCGATTTCTTTTTGGGGGGGGGGGGTTCCACCGTCGGCTTTTTTCCTGTAGGCGAGCTCCATGCAATGCAGCTATTTTAACCCAACTTCGGATACTGCACCTCCTCTGCAAAGTCACTTTTACAGCCACGCCAAGGAAGAGTGCGATCTGGATATTGGGCTTCCTAGCAGTCATTCAGGTGGTAGTGTGACTATGTACCATCTCAGGCATGAGATATGTCACACTGCCAAAGCTACATAATGGTCACACCTCCACCTTACCCTTCAACACCGGGTCCTTCATTCTCATGATGTTCTCAAGAGCTGGTGAATGCACTGCCCCGAGTGGATCACAATGTTCTCAACCCGACCGGAATTGGCCGCGTGGCAAGTAGCCCGTGCAGCGACCTTCTATCCCGGATCTCCTGCGCCGGCGCATGGGGTCTTTACCCCCTCGCAAAGGGCAATGCAACCCCATCCGAGACAACCGCGCTTGGAGTGGGCCAATGACAGATATTCCCGCATCAATGGTGGGACTGGTCTTTTTGTTCGGACAGGGTAAACGATAGGTTGCCCTGGTATATTTGCAGGGATTACTCAATGAATCGACACCCCACTGAACGGGGGAGTGGATAGGGAAGTCTTCCGAAGTAATTTGCTGTGCTTGACAGTGCGTGGAGCTCCGTCATAATTGTGAGAAGAGAGCTGAGCCGATGGCGCGATTGTAGGGATATCTGGTCGGCTTTCGCACATCACGATGCCAGGTGTATTCGAGCAATTTTCGAAGCCTCCGAGAGGGTATATTAAGCGAGGGCTCGGGTGGATGCTATATATAGATTCTATGCGATAAATTCCAATGATCAAAATTGTTCATTTGATAGTGGTCTTCTTAAACTACTAGCGCGAACGCCGATCGATCCAGCCGAGCCGATATTTTCGCAACGCCAAGACCACGATTGTCTTGTAATTGGGGAAAGGGAATTGTCGTCTTTAGTGTGTTCAAAAATTGAAAATCTCCCCTTCACGTACTTATAGCATTTGTATTTATTTGTGATTGGATTCGTTTCCTGTGCATTTTGTCTGTGGGTGCATTTATTAATAATACTACCTACAGTAACTACCCTCAATGGCTACTACCGTATGCATCATGAATTGGGCTGCCTTCCAAGGTTGCCTGGTAAATCTGGCTTGGCCAGCCAGTCGTTCATCCATCCATGGATGGCATTTGCACGCCGCACATTCTGCCTGCTTTCGCCTTATACGCATTGCGCGGGGTCTCTGTTGGAGTCTTGGTCGAGCTCGAGCTCGAGCTATCCTTTATAGTTGACAAGTATACCACGAGGACAATTTTGCTACTCTGTATCTGTACTAAGATTGCGTTGCCTACCCGGCGGAATGGCTCATGTATCGTAAAACCCTTCGTTGGACCTGGGAATGGCCACTGACACCAGCCTCCCGCTTCACCTTTTCTCTTCACCCTCTGCCGCTTCTGTATCATCCTTGCTACACCCCCCGCTAGGCACGCCGTCGACCAAGCACTACCGTCCTCGAACTTCATGTCCCCGCCTTAGTACCACTTGGTGAGTCATGGCGTCACAATGGCCGGCTATGCCGCCTATTCTGGACCAACCTATTGCCGAAAGCATCTATCGTCTTCGCGAATACACCCGGAAGGTATCAGCCTATGCGGGGGACGGAAAGAGGCAAAAGGTCCGAGTTGGGCAGGTCAAAGAGCTATGTGATACCTACGACGTTCTCCTAAGCCGAATCGCCGAAGAGATGTTCCTCAAATCGCGCTCAGCAGACACGTTTCAAGAGCAATTCCGGCAAGCGATGGAATCAAACCAACGCACGGCCCTTATAGGCATGTTCCCTGCCCTTCCAGCACCAACACCTCCGCCACAGCCAATACAGCAGTCCCCCGACGCCCCCTCCCCCTCCTTATCCTCCGCCGACGTGAGCAAAGACCGGAAAGACTTGTTCGTGAAAATCCGATGGGACAACTGCACTTCTCCCTACCTCAGCAAGTCGAACTCCCGCGTCGTTAAAGAACTCCAGCAGCTCGTCAATCAAGGAAGGGAGGGCTGCAAGCCAATTCAGTTGGATGCAGTGCGCGTGCATGGGAGTGGAGATGTCGAAACCCATGCCCCTACGGCGTTAGATATCGACAGCCTGACCGAAACATCACCCGCGTGGCTTCCGCGACGCCCCCACGGAGTAAGAGCCCGCATCATCCCTAATATGTTCTCGATCATAATCCACGGGGTGCCACGAAAGACATTCTCCCGCAGGAGCTTCGAAACCGGTCAGGCAAAGGATATTATCCTCCAGGCCAGCGCGGCCCGAATCCCAGATGCATGCATCGTGCATGTAAGCTGGACCAGTGGCCGCTTTGTATTAAAGGCCCAAAAACCAAAAGGCTCGCTGATAGTGGAATTCCACCGGGCAGCTGACGCAAACAAGCTCCTGCGGGAGCCTTTCATCCTCAATGGCACCCCACTCCACACCGAACTCTATACCCAGGAGGGACAAGTGTCCCAGTGTCATCGCTGTCAACACTTTGGACACATCCAGCGGGGCTGACACTGTGCTGAGGACCACAGCGAAGCTAACTGCCCACACCAGAAAGACCCTGAGAAGAGATATTGCGCGAACCGCGGGGCTAATCACCCAGCCAACAGCAAAAACTGCCGCTTCCACATCGAAGCTGTGACCAAATCACGCCGCGCTGTGGCCCAGAAGCCGAAATACTTCGAGGAACCACCTGAAAGTCGCCAGCAGGCCTCCCGATCGACACCACAAGCCCTGCCACCGCCTCAGATAGCCACAGACTCGGAAAGCGCCACATCAAACTATTCCACTACCAAGAAGAGGGGACGCCCGCAAAAGCAGCAACAGGGCCAGCAGAAGAAACAAAGACTCATCACCCATCCCCCCACGACCCCAACGCCACTAATACAGGGCGAAGGCACCGGCCCTACCCGGAAAGCAGTGTCAACAGGCAGATCATCCACCCTCGCCCACGACATCACAGTCGATGAAAGCGAATACCATAGCACAACGTCGAGAGTCCGGTCCCAGGACCTACAGTCAACAGACGACACAGCCTCCAGCCAGAAATCAACGGATGAAGCCCTATCAGGCCCGGAACAGTCCGCATCCGAACCAGAACTCGGACAGCAACTCCCATCGTCCCCGCCCCACCCGTCAGACGCGGCATCTCAGTCCGCTGCCTCGGACTCCGATATCCCCCCCGTCCCTTCCCCGCACAGCTCCCCCCGCAAGCGTCGCAGGTCCGCCAGAATCAGCGAATCCGAGCCTGAACAGGCGCCGGAGCCGCCTAGCAAGAAGCCCCGGAGGTCCAGCGGCCACCGATCTCCACCACTAAACCAGAGCCCGAGCAAACACCCAACACAGAGAGCGAAGTGGAACGGGAGGCGCAAAGCGGAGAACAAATACCGGCAGGCGAAGAACGGACTGTTCGGTAATAGACGAACCCCACAGACCCCAGCACAAGAGCAACAGCTCCGGGACTATATCGACGGATGGGAAGATGCCCAGAAAGGGAAAAGGGCAGAAGGGCAGACCCTCGATTACAGCAAAGGATGGAAAGACTCCCACCACGCCGCCAACCTCGCCCGAGAGCACGCAGCAGCAGAACTTACCCAGGCCGCAGCGTAACCAGGGCGCCGCCGAACCAATGACACTTCGCATTCTGCAATATAACGTAGGCCTCTCGCTCGACAATGTGATGGCCACGTTGCTACCCGACGAGAGGGTCCTTGACTATGCAGCCCTGGCGATTCAGGAGCCATGCATGGGTCCAAGACTATGGATCCATAGCCAACACGACACACTACCCTACAGAGATCAGGGACCATTTCGACCTCTTCTGGCCATCGATCACACGCCCCGATATCCCCCGAGTGTGCACCTTCGTCCGCAGAAGTCTCTTGAAACAACTGGTGCACTACACCCAGCATGCCCTATCAATAGATATCTCCGAAGGCGAACATAACTTCTTCATCCACAACATCTACAAACCACCAGGGATCATCGAAAACTACGGCATCAGGGATCTCCGAGAAGCCATCCAGAAGGCAGACAGCGTACCCGGACAGAACCACCACATCGTCGTCGGGGACTTCAACATACACGATAACCTTTGGAGTGCAGCAGGATTCCCCCACCCCGCCAACAACTCAGAACGAGCACAGGATTTCAAAGAACTGATTGAAAATATGCCTCTTACAGTCCTCACGCCGCGAGGTGTCATAACCAGGCCCTCTAGGGCCGGTATAGGAGGGAACTCTGGAACAACCCTCGACCTCACTCTCTCATCATGGGAACTCCAGGAGCAACTACAACTTGTGCAAGTAGCGGGGATATCAGGCCTCTCGGACCACCTACCAATCCAAAGCGAGTTCAATACCCTCCTTACTACTAAAGGGGCAATACCGAGGCGGAACTGGAAGGAACTCGATATCGACAAACTCTGCAGCACGCTCTCCCCACTGTTGGCTAACCTGCCCCCTGCCCAGCAAAACGCAGAAGGTATCGACGCCGTAGTTGGGCAATTTGTCAAAGCAATACAAACGGCAGTCGACGCCTCGACACCGTGGTCGAAGCCAACTGCCCTCTCCCGCCCAGGGTTTACCCAGGAGTGCCGCCAACTGCAGAAAGAAGCCCACCGGGCTCAGAGGCAGATCCTACGGTTACAGGAAGCGCACAACCGGCTTGCACCTGAACCAATGCTACCGGCGTTCCGCCACAAGAAGGCGGTGGCCCGCAAGCGCATAAAGCGCTACAGGAACCAAGCCCACCAAAGCAAAGTCACGGAAGCTGCGGAGTCAGGCTCCACACGACAGATCTGGAACCTCTCGAGGTGGGCAAGGGACCGATCCCCCTACCAAGCCTTCACCCCGCCCCTCTACGAAACGGACGGGACACTTCGCTTTCTTCCAGGGCAGAAAGCCGCCCTACTTACCGAGGCCTTCTTTCCACCGCCCCCAACAGCATCACTAGCCGATATCGAAGGCTATAGCTACCCGGAACCGGTGCCAGTCCCGTTAGTCACAGCAACTGAGGTCCAGCGAGCAATCCACCGCCCGGGGGCATTCAAAGCGGCTGGGCCTGATGACATCCCGAACCGAATTCTGCAAGCAGCGGCACCAACGGACCAACACACGATAGACCCGCTATCCCCTGTACTCGCAAACCTCTTCAACAGCTGGCTAAGCATTGGCTACTGCCCGCAGCACTTCCGTGAGGCGAAGACCGTTGCCCTCCGAAATCCCGGAAAAGACGTCTACAGCAAGCCAAAGTCATACCGACCAATCGCCCTACTGAACACAGTCGGTAGGGTCCTTGAAGGGGTGCTCGCGCTACGACTCAGCTACCTCGCTGAGGAACACATCCTGTTACCCCGAAACCACTTTGGCGGACGAAAAGGTCAGGAAACGGACACAGCACTCCATGCCGTGGTGGAAACCATTCAGGATGCATGGAAGCGACGTAAGGTGGCCACCGCGCTCCTACTCGATATATCAGGCGCATTTGACAGCGGCTCGCATCAGCGGCTACTACACAACCTCCGCAAATGCCACATCCCCGCTATAATCGTCGACTGGATAGCCTCCTTCCTCTCGGAACGATTCACTACTCTAGTACTACCCGAATACACCAAACCACGGGCCCGAGTCCAAACTGGCATCCCGCAGGGCTCGCCGCTATCCCCGATACTTTACCTCTTCTATAATGCGGACCTTATAGGAGACAAGCAGTACACAAGCAACTTTGGGTACATTGACGATACAACCATGATAGCTGTGGGGAACTCGGAGGCAGAGAACTGCCACTCGCTGCAGAAGAGCTTCCGGGAGTGCGATACCTGGGCCAAAACGCACGCGTCAGTCCTTGCACCAGACAAATTCGCTCTGGTCCACTTCCGCCACCAGAACCACTACCAGGAGTCACAGAACCACAGCTCCAGTACCACCGAAGGGTCTGCATCGCCACAGGGCAGCTTAGCAGCCGTCGACATCGGCAATGGACGAATCATCAAGCCCTCGTCATTGGCAAAGCTACTGGGCGTCCTACTCGACAGCCGCCTATCGTCCAAGGACCATCTACTGCAAATCGACAAGAAATGCAGCAAGGGGATACAGTCAGTCGGGGCGCTCGGCAGGTCCAAATGGGGCCTCAGCATCGAGCAGAAGCGACTGATTTACAACGCCTGTATCGCCCCCAAAGCCATGTACGCCTCATCAGGCACACATCCCCGGTACAGGGGAAAAAGAGCACTCACGACAACCAAATCAAAACCCTCAACGCCATCCAGCGCTCCGCAGCCCATAGCATCTCTGGCGCGTTCCGCACGGCCTACAACGCCCAGTTATACCTCCAACCAATGGCACACCGGCTGCGCGAGAGTCACTTTAAAGCAGTGACCCATATCGCCACATCAAAGGTCCACAAAACCATCCGGGATCGACGCAGCCACCACCGTAAGCAGGTAATGCAGACAGCACTCGAAACAGCAGAGGAGGAGCTGCTGCTTAGAGTCAACTTCGATGCTACAGAGATGGAAGTCAGACTCCCATTCGCAGTTCCGGTGTGGTGGGAACCCCCGCCCGTTGACATCGCGGCATCGCTGGACGAGGCAATGATGATACATTGGCCGGCTACAGTGCTCACCCCTAGAGTACCAAAACTCTACACCGGCGGATCAGGGCACCATTGCGAAACCGGGGCATCAGCATACTGCGAAGCCCCCAAGGCGAAGCGCACGGCCTACCTCGGCACTAGTCATCATCACAATGTGCACGCGGTGGAGATGGTAGGACTTGTACTTGCCCTCCGTATCGCTAACGAGGACTCCCGCTTCCACCAAAACGTGGAGATCTATTCGGATAACCAATCAGCGCTGGAGTGCATGCGAAACCCACGCCAATCGTCAGGCCAATACATTATAAGAGAAGCAGCTGGACTGCTGGACCGGAGGCGGGAACAAAGATGGCAAACTCGCTTTGCTTGGATCCCCGCGCATGCGGACATCCCGGGCCACGAGCATGCAGACCAACTCGCCAAACAGGCCACTGGCTGGCGGGAGGACGAGCGGGACTGCTGCGGACCCAAGGCTCCCACCCTCGAAGGCCTGCCGCCCCAGAACCTGCAATCCACCGCAGACTGCTCCATGCGCGGTATGGTGCGCGACTGGCACCGCGAATGGGCTTCTCCTCAGGACGGAGCCCCCGGGGCAGCCCTCCGTCTAATCATGCCAACCCTCTCCAAGCACAGCCTCCAGCCATTTGGGGAACTCACCGTGCCCGAGAGATCTGCATTGATGCAGGCCCGAACGGGCTACATCGGCTTCAACGCGGCTCTGTGTCATTCGCTGCGGGCGAGAGACGACCTGGCCTGCCACCATTGCGGCGACGACGAATGGACCTCACACGTCCTCTTCACCTGCCCCGAGTACCATGAGCTGAGGGGGTAGTTCTGGGGTGGGAAGACCCCGCGCAGTCTGGAAGACACGCTGGGCAAAGAAAATGCACGGGATTCAGCGCGATTCCTACTGGCGACAAGCCGCCTGACATACCTGCAACCACCCCCGCCGATTGAGAGCGACACGGACGACCCCGACAGCTAACCACTAACGCAGAAAACAGACCCAACGCCCCCACAATGTCTCTCTCGGGTCTAGACGGTCAAGGCAATAGCAACCACCTCTCTCTCAGGCGACGAGGGGGCCCCCTCACGCGCACGGCGCACCAGGCAACCACCGCGGGACAGGCTCCGCGGGGGGTTGCTGTCACAGCACGCGATTATCCAATTTTATCGCATTCCCATTCCATACTTCTCGCATCACACTCACGCGAAACAACACTGTCGATGCGATCTGCCTGGCGCGCACTGAGAGAGCTCCTCGGAGGGATTCAGAGGGATTCAGAAGGACACAATAAGAGAAACCAGACGGAAAGTGAGGCGAAAGCAAGACGAAGGCAAGGCAAAAGCAGGGTACGGGGAGAAGCAACGATAGGTGGATGACATAACGTTCCTCGGTGCCTCAGGCGCCAACC